TTTTTTTTATAGAATAAGATAGAAGTGTACATCAGGGTAAGGTGTAAATTTCTCCATTTATGTAGGCTGTAATGTAGAACCTCTTGTGAAGCCAGAGAGGCAATTTCCTGGATAATGGGGCTAATGCTTCTATTTCATGGCTTATGATCTCTTCTGATGACATGTTTGTCACTGTTGAGGCATCTTATGAGCTGGCTTTGATTTTGACCTTCACGAGGAAATTTCCAACGCCCGTGTTTTTATTCTTTTTCCATCGTAAACGATGAAGTGAGCGCAGTGACACCAGCGGGGCAATACCTTCAGACTGGCATTAAAGGAGAGCGAATTGTAAGGAGAGCCTGAGTGAACTTCCATCTTATGTGTGTGAAAACTGTTTGGCAGAATCAACCACAAACACTGCCATGTTGTTTTTTTCATGCTTTTTCTTTGATTCCAGACTGAAAATGTTCAAACAATCCGAAACATTTCTGCTATTTCCTGAATTTCCATAAGCTTGGCGATGTTTTTGATATGCCTGCTGTGCATCTATGTGCTAAAGCTCGAAATGAACTCGCTCTCCAGAATGAACGTCGTAATTATGGACAGATGCTGCCATGTTCTTTAAATTTAGAACATCATGGAAATTCCACGTCAAAGCTTCCTCAGAGGCTTTCTGGGGCAACTGGGATCATAAACCATTTCTGGGATGGTAAATTTAGCTTTTAACTACCCGCCTGACTAACAAAACAATTGTTGCAGATCCATATTGCAGCTCCCCCCCAGTGCAATTACACTGTATCCTGTTTCTACACAGCAGGTTATTTTGCCACAAGTTGGCCTGTATTTAATTGGACTGAATATTTAAGGCTTGGATGGCCGGTGTTGACTTCACATATACAACACTCTGGCTATTAATAGAAGCTAACGATGTATAGTTATATTTCGATACTTTTATAAAGACATTTTCTAAAAAGTCAACATATTTTACAGCCTACAATAAATTATTATTAAATATTTTAATGCATCTTATTTCAAATGTATTCAAAGGTTATTTTTATAATCTTGTACGATTCTAACTCATTGCATGGTAACGTTTTTCCCTACTGATGAGTAGATGTCTTGGATTCACGCGTCTTATAACTTTCTTTGAGCTTTGGAAGGATGTCACTCCGTGAGTCATCACTACCTGGCTCAGAAGCCGTCGTCATCCTTGTTGTAAATCCCAAACTGCATATTTCACCCTTTAGAATGGAGGTGAACTGAGGTGAGAGGGCGGCCTCATTGCAGGAATTCTCTGACTTTTTAAAGATGTGGTCCATATAAAATTCTTTGGTCTTTTTTACTTTAAAAAAGTAAATAGTGCATCTATAATGATGCTAGGTGGGATGATAGGTAGCATAGCATTCATCATATACTTTTCACAATAAACATCACAGGATGGTGAAGAATATAATGCACTAAGCACTGAAATCGTACCTTACATTTGTTTATTTGACCATCTGAATGGTCCAGATCCTGTATTTATTTTTCATGCTGGTATTAAGGACATTTTTGGCAACTTTAGCGGTTTCGCTTTCACAGAAATATACAATCTATTGAATGGCAAAGCCAGTTAGGGGGCCAAAACCCACTGATCTTTTCCAGCCTGCTTTCTAATGGTTAGCTGTCATTTCTGCCAGCCTCCAAAAACTTTCCGCTTCAGGAAATGGGACCGAACAGCCTTTTTAAATATCCTGACCTTCCCATCTCACAGCTGCAGGCATAGAGCTCTGAGAACAGGAACAATTGTCTTGATATTTTCTGCTATAGGTGCCGTTGCTCCCACACATCGATAAGCAGCACTGCTGTGTGATTTTCTCCTCCAGGTGACATCTGAGCTCTGTGTGCATTCCTGCAAACACTATCAAGATCAAGGCCTTTGTTAAGGTCTCCACCAATCTGCCAAATGTCATTCAACATCTCTTGCGCATATTGCGTCATTTTTTCAATACTTTATAATCCGATACGGTATTTCCCCCTGGTGAATATTTGACCCTTCATGCAGTGGAGAGTAAAGATTGACTTAAGACGCTGCAGTAAATCTCTGAAGCAGTCCCTCGATATAAACTCCTGTGAAGTGTTCCAGTTTAGGAATGTCCCTTTTATTTATTCAGGGCGGTTTCACTTCACTTGTTATCCCAGTACCACATCTAGGAATAATCCCAATGGCCCTGTCGATCATACGCCACGCTTTGTGTGAATACAGAAGTAAAACAGTAATAGTTATAATTATATGAAACATTGATTAGAGATCTGTGTGTCTGAGGTCATTATGCAGCTGCATCAACTCCAAAGCTTTAAAGCTGCAGTAAGCTCCACGTTTCTTATGGGTACTTTTAAAGTTTAATATTAGGAAACCTAAAAAGTCAATCACATATTTCAAATCATCTATCGACTTCAAAAAATCACCTGAAATCATCACAACCCCTGTAGCTTCTGACCAATCTGTTTTTCTTTTTAATGCCACATTTCTGTTGGAAGCACAAAAGAGCACCAATGTTTTTGGCTTATTTGTATTTTATAACCCAAATGAATCCTTTTGGAGCCTTGATGAATCGCTGTGCTATTTCACTTAATGACTGATGGTCGCAGCTTTTATTTCCTCTTTGGGCATAAACAGACTTTTTTCCCCTTGGCCCGCTCGTATTCACATTCCTCACATGAGTCAGGCAGCCCAAAACAGCTCGTATAGTTATTCCTCCTGTGTGCTCACAAAGCAAACACATCCATAGTGTGATGAAGGTGGATCACATTATGACGAAGGAAGGAGAAGCACTTATAAACTGTCATGGTGCTGAGCTCCAGCGAGAGCACTTGTCAATAGATATAACAACAGACATCGAACACATAAATAGCGAATGTGTTCCCTCACAGATCCATTCATTTCACATTTTGTACGTAACAATAGGACACTGTGAAAAGTATTGCAACTTTTTCTACTAACAGTGAAGATATTCCTCAGCAGGAAGCCCGTCCCCATGGCTGATTTTGGATGTTTACATCCATTCGTTCATCACACAGGCTTCAAATCAGGTCTGACTTTGTTGATGCGCTACTAATCTTTAATAACAAGAATCAGCTGACATTCGTCGGGCCTCTGCGGTGTCACAGATCTCTCATCTACCTCGAGCTGAGTTGAGCGGTTTCCATCTTGCTGTGTTGGAGCTTCACAGGCCCTTTTACATTAGAAAAGGCCTCGCCGCGCGCGAGGCCTTTTCTGAACGCGTACCACGTGTGCGCGTGCTGGCAGGGGGTCTTGTCGCTGCGTGTCGGACCGCCCGGCTGTGACGAACTCAGGATCATGAACGCACCAAAGAAGAACACGCACACAGACGAGTTAAAGTCGGTCAGAGGTCGCGTAGCAGCAAAGCAAAGCAGCCTCGTTCCATCACTCTGCTTTCCTTCCGTCCTTCTTCTTCTTCTTCTTTTACTTTCATCCACTTTAAACGCGGGACACTTTGATGCTGAACATCCCGTTTCCTGTGTTCTGGTCGGACTGACTTGCACATGCAGATGGGTTGGTAATTTGCATGGACTCAAAGGTCTCCCTTCTCTCCTGATGCTTTCTGACAACGCGAGCGTCTATTCATCCTCCGCGTTAAGCATCCTCCCGAGGACATCGGCTGAATCGCTGTCTCATGCTGCTCCGAGGCTCGTTTTACAGGAACTGATGAGGAATTAGATTAGGAAGATATTCCTTTCGAGAAAAAAAAAAAAAGGGGCAGACTCGCATCTGAAGAGGATAATTCACTCCGATATCAAAGCTTGTTGTAAAGTCAGACACCAAGTCGGGCTGAGATCATGTGGATTGTGTTGTACCTCAAGAGTCCCACCTGGGAGACTTCTAGAAAATAACAGATCACTCAAGCTCTTCTTATCCTCACATCACCTTAAGAGGAACGCCTCCACCAGCCGACCTGCAATCTGCCTTAGGAGAGCCAATTAAGTTTAAATATGCACAGGAGGATAAATAAAGAGAGCTTTGCTTTTTTTGTTTTTTTTATCCTGCTCGCTTCACTCCGTCTCAAATTACACAATAGTTGCTGTATCAGAATTTCCAAAGTTTTTTGCGTAGAATTCAAACAGATCCGCTTTCAAAAGCAGAGCAGTGGGAAATTCAAAAAATAAGATATTCAAAAATAGACATTTGATGACCGAACACACAAAAAAAAAAAGTATTTTAGTCCAAATACTTTTGGGGCCCTTGTCAATACTCATATCCTCCCACTTAGTCACCCAAGACATGTTATTCTGACTCGGTCGTCTGGGTCAAAACTAAAACATGATGTTGAAATCAACAAGGAGAACTCAACCAGAATCCACAGGTCTAAAGCAGAACAAACTGTTGGTGACATACAACCCCCCCTCAGGCACACTAATCCACATTCCACACAATGGCCTGGTGTTTTTTCACCAGAACACACACCATTACACATGTGTGAATATGAATCCTCTGCTCATTTATTACGGTTACTGTGAATAAACCAAGCAAGCCGTGAAGCCCTGACCTGAGACTAGAGGTTGTTGTGTGGGGAAAGGGGGGGGGCATTGAGGTGGTAATTGCTGGTGTAACAGCGTGTGTGTTACCCCTGCGGTGGCCTCGTAAGCGACCCGCTTTATTAGATCGGCCGGTATTGATCCCCAGCGGAGGGACGGGGGGGGGGGGGGGACGGGGCGGATCGATGAGCCTGGATTCAATCCCGTCTGGAGACAGAGAGGGTAATTCATTCTAATCACATGTGCAAAACGAAGGGGGCAAAAAAGTGAGAAGCACGCGCCCGTGAGGCACAGGAAGAGAACTGCAGCATGGAGGGTTTTTTCTTCCAGTGAAGAGACGCTCAGTTCAATAAGCTGCACTCTGCAAATATCAATATTCAGTGAGACACCGATGAGTCAATCTGACCTTCAGTGTCCGAATCTCCAGAACCGGTTTGTCTCACCTCGACATAAACCTTTTCACACCACTCACTCGTACATATTGATAGAGGTCGTCTTTGTTTTGTTTTTATTGGATTCAGAAATAAGACAGATAGACTCATGAATAAGATAAATCAAGAGCGATGTTTAAAGCCCAGCCAGTCTGTGTGCAGGACAAATAGTAACATGACAATGGATGGAAACAAACACACGCGGCTAGACTTCATTCACATAGAAATCCCGCAAATATTCACAGGAGGGCTTAATAATAACGTCCGTGTGTCTTCATATGTGCAGGGTGGGGGGGCTTGAAAGACACACACACACACACACACACAAGAAGTGATCCTCCATCAGGCGCGGGAGTTTCGCTCCTCTTCCTCATTCTCCAGGAGGTAGGCCGCCTTGTACCGCGTCACCCCCCTCCCGTCCACCACCTGGAGGGACGCGTTGCGACAGGTGTTGTCCATACTGCCGAGTGAGGTGTACCTGCAGGTCGGACGGAGACGTTTAAAGACCGAGAGATCGGCACCTCGGCAGGACGCGCGGCCTGTCTGCGTGCAGGTCTTACCCTTTGTCGTAGAGAATGCAGTAGGGCACGAACAACGTCCTCAGGAAGGACCAGATGTCGTGATACGTCCAGTCCTGTAGAGCGTTGCAAGACATTTAATTGGTTTGGGATTGATTCCAGATTAGTTCAAATGAGGATCCCTTTGAGATGCACTAATGCAATGAAGGGCAACATAAATTACCGTGAAATGAGATCAACTGGTGTCCTGTATGTATCATTTGTACTACAGCAGCTGTCACAGTGTGACCGTTAACAGCCGCTCCAAAAAGCATTTGCCATTTCTAAAGCCATTAGCAAATCCAACGTAAACATCCATTCTTTAGGTAAGTTGAGCAGATGAAAAAGTGGCATCAGATATTAATGCGTACATAAGATCAAGTGTCAATTCTGTCATGAGACGTTTTTGATGTTAAATATATGCGTGTCACACTAACAAAACGTTGTACCTGGATAGCTTTCTAATGCAGAGGTGTGTACGGAGAATGCGCATGTGTGTGTGTGTGTGTGTGTGTGCGTGTGTGTGAGGTAGGAGTGCAAAATATTATTATCATCGTCTTTTACAGCCATTACTGCAGGGCTGTTGAATTGCATTAAACTGTGCGGGCGCGCTGTTATTTCGTACACAGCCTGTAGATCTGCACTCTGAAACTCCAGTCAAGATGACAAATAACATTAAGTGTAACAAGGGAAAATTGCCAGACTGCAGCAGTGAAAACAGATTTCGATTACCAGTCAAAAAGCAGTTTTTCCTCAAGCACTGTACACACACGACTGGTTGCTTTTGATTTTTTTTTTAAAGATTTTTAAAATGCGCTTTAGCTCAATGTCGTTTTGTACATATCCAGCTTGGTCGACTTTTTTGGAGGGGTGAGGGGGGTTATCTGAGACCCTCCATGATATGACTCTGGGCTCTGTGACACCTGAGATGGATGCAAACACAATAAGGTATCTCTCACCAGTAACGGGTTGACTCTCATGTAGTCTGGCCAGCCGGGGTCAGTGGGACACATGGCCGTGAGTGTGTGGGAGTACGGGTCGCTCCTCCTGGTTCCCATGAGGACCGCTTTCAGCTCCGGCCTCCTGTCCTGTACCTCGCTCAGCGCTTGCCGTATACTGCCCTCCACGGAGAAGATCTCCAAGTCGTACCTACAGGAGACACCACCCCATTTAATGAGTTCTTGTTCGGCAACATGAGGGGGTTTAGGACACTTATTTGTCGAGGGTGGAAGTCAAATTGAATTAAAAACGACATAAATCTGCAAAAAAACAATCGGCCGCTAACAGTATGCCATGTGGTAGACCGGCGCTTCACCTTTTAATCGTGTCCTGAAGGAATCTCTCCATTTCTGGGAATGGCGCGACAATACGGATGTACAAGGCTTTCACTTTGTCTTTAGCTTCTGGATGTCGCCTGAGAGTGACGAGACATTCCGTTGAGAAAGACAAGGGAGACAGAGAAAAAAGATTAGATGTTTACCATTATCTGTCCAATGCATGGTGAAGAATTGTCCAAACAGTAGTCCGTCCCAGCGCGTTTGCCTCTCCCTCACGTCTTTCCTCCCTTCTCTCAGCGCGATTGTTGTTCCCCGGTTTAAAATGAGCCCTTCCACCGACTGTCTCACTCGCCCCCCCATTGTTACCGTTTCAGCGCTGCATAGTAGAGATGCAGCAGCGCTGTGCAGTCCTTCCCTCCGTTGAAGCCGATGCAGACCTCCTCTGTCGAATACTGATCCAGCGCCGCCTCGATCGTCTTCAGCGCGGACATGACCTTCTCACCCAGCGGTGTGCCTGCGGGGGCACCAGATCAACGGATGCTTTTTACAGAGTAGAAATAATCCTGCATTGTAATGTGCACACGCACATATTCTATTTTACCGCTGTTGGCCAGTGTGTAGACCTCAGCTGAGGCGATGGACACCGGGTCGGTCACTAGGGGCACCACGCTACCCTCGGGCAGCTCGTCCAGCAGCTGCGCCCGGGTTTTGTCCACCTCCTCCTGGCTATCCGAGTCCAGGACCAGCCTCACTCTGTGATAGTTGCTCAACCAGTCGGGGTAGGAGCCGAGAGACACCTTTCGACCCCAGTCGGCCTGCAGCTTTGTCAGCACGGGGGCGATGTCGGTTTCGTCCGCATCCACGAACACCTTGGACATGGCAAAGGACATGGCGGTTTTAAAAACCTCTCTCGGGGGAATTCGCAAACAGGTGCGCTCGTGGTGTTACCTCACGGGTGTGAAAGGTAGTCCCCGAATCGGCGAAGAGGTGCCGCAGCCCGTTGAAGGCCCTCTCCATCAGAGACGGGACGCCAGGGAAGATGTAGACGTTACGCACGCTGACCTAGCGGAGATGATGGGACACGTCATATCCTGGGAGGATGTACGTCGACTCGGCAGGCCGTGCGTAATCGACGTTTGTGTCTCAGCTAACCGCAAATGTCCTTTTGTCTACTTCTTCACTCCTGTAGTGTCTGCTGAGCAGTTGATGTTGCAACCTCAACTAACCGAAATTACCCCAGAACAGGACGGAACAGAGAGAACATCGTGTGACCGCGAGGCCTGAAGGTTGCCTCAGTTTTACCCCGAGAGTCGACTTAAAAAAGGAAAAGAATCTCGACTTCGCTGTCTAATTCCGATTGTATCTTGATGAATGAACGGAGCTGACCCCCCCACCAGGCTGCCGTCACTCACCAGTGGGTAGCTGTGCGGTTGTCCGGTCTGAGGGTCAGTTCCGTAGTTGAGTTTAGACGAGCGGGGCACCATGGCCAGCTTCATAGCCGCACTGTTTTTATCCGTCACCCCAAACAATTCCTCGACCACCCGGGCGAGCTCAGGATGGTGGTACAAATCTTCTTGGAACGCCATGGCGACACTCTCCAAGGTGACGTCGTCGTGGGTGGGGCCTATGCCCCCCGAGGTGATGAGATGCGTGTACTGAGGGGAAAGGAGGGCCACCTCTTTGGCGATGACCTCCTGCACGTCGGGTACGACCGTTATGCGCTGCACGGACACTCCGAGCTGTCTCAGCGCTCGCAGCAGGAAGCCGCTGTTTGTGTCCACCGTGTGGCCCTGGGGAGACCAGAGGAGAAACACACATATTCAAAGACTGCACAATGAGTCCAAGGTCGCGCTTGAGACCTTTCAGCGACTCACAGGGAGCATGGTTTTGAGACACGACATTGGACTAAGACCTAATGATTAAATCATGATCACGTCAAGTCAGAAAAAAGAAATGTTGAAATTGTTGTTTGAAGACGGAGCACTGGTGCTACATCAAATAACCCTCTCAAGGTTTTCCTGGAGTTACACATTGTGTAAGAGAGCCGAGGCATACTGATGAATTGGGGTGTCACGCTAGAATGTATAATCATGAAAGTCGAGTGCGCAGATTTAGTAGAAGAAAAAAAAAAACCACGAGGGTTTGTTTCGATTTTCTCAAGTCCGTTCAGTTCAAAGGGTTCTCGGCGGGAGGCTGTCAATCCCGCAGATGCAGATCAGTCGTACAACAAGTATGTCACCTTGAGTATCTCGTCTCCGATGATGAGAATGGCGGCAGTGGAAGCGCCCCCGTTGGCTGCGGCGGGCGGACTAGAGCCCTGGTTGGTTGTGAACATGGTTGCCTTGGAGAATTGAGCCGCCAGTTTGCTCAGACGCCACACTGCTCTACACGGCTTGGGAAAAGCAAGGCTAGGAGACAGAGGACAATTGTTCATTCACTCGTCATGCGTTCCATGCATGTGTAATTTGTTCACTTTGATCTCTGGACTGGTCAATGCCAACTTTATCTTAACGGGCAATTAAATATAACTTTTCATACTATGAATAAAGTTCATTTTGAATCTTACGTCAACATGAAAGGTCCATATGGTGTATCCCAAATTGTTTCAGTACAGCTCAGGCCTTCATATCGTGTCTCCTACCAGGGAGCATCTTCACACAGACAAGTGAAAGAGACAATTAGATAACTGTTAACTGTAACTAATTAGAAATAACTGGACAATTTGGATTTATAAATCTATAAATGACCTTGTCCATTTGTTTATGTCAACAGTTTGAAGAACTGGTTAGTTGCATTTCAAATACTTGACAGGGATTATTTTACTCAAATGTATTTCTATTATATTCACTACTGTATAGTCAGACCAATATGGCCACACGTGTATCGATTGCACTGAAGGTGTTTCATCGTCATACTGGACAGACAAGCCATAAACTGTTGACATTGAAAATTTGATTTGTCTACAAGTTGTCTGAAACAGACAAAAAATAATCTGCTGAAGAAATGACGACCTGGCGTGGATATGCGGTCAAATCTAAGATAATTCAGTAACTAATAAAGCTGGATCAAGGAACAAAGGTGTAATGGCACAATGGTTAGCATTGAATATATAATAACATAACATAAAAACATCCCAGAGAGGGCGTTATATCTATTATGATATCTTCGTATGTCTTATTACTCTGTTTGTATTCTATGTGAAGGGGATTTAGGAGTTATAGGAGCACATTGGTACCTGCACATTATATTTCGTGAGTAAATTGTAAAGTTAACATCGTGATCATTCTAAAAAAAAATGTAAAGAAAGAATAAATACCACAAATTATGTTTTGTTGTCGATAGAGCGTCAGGTAACGTGAGCTAACTTACGTGACAAATCTTAGCAAGTCTCCTTTCTGTCGTTAACCTATTGGGTGTCACTAGATTGCTCACTACACTTTCATGGTAGATTAAATTCTGTCTACAAAGTCGATTCATCTCCACTGCCATACACTGTGAAGAAACACTATATTGTTTATATAATGTTAACAAAACTGAGGCAACTTACTCATGAGTCGCGTATGACCTCGTTGCGTAGTCAACCGTCTGTGGGGTACATGTCACTCAAAGCATTTTCGATTAGCCGTCCAATCACATTTAAGAACAGCCTTCCCAACAGTCTCGACAGCCAATCAGATTCACGGAATTCTGTCTTTAACAGTCAGTCTTCAAGTACACGGAAGTAACAGACAAATCCTTAAGTGCAAAAACGAATCGGCGCAGTACGTGTCCTTTGCACAAAATAAAGATTAGTATGCCAATCCGAACGGTACCAACAACTCGTATATCTGCAAGTTTTCTCTTTGAACGATCTTCCCCGTGTATAACGTATAACGGGGTATTAACGGCTACAAAGACCTTGTTGTCCTCTTCTTCTCGACCACCTGAACCCTGAGCGCCGCTGTGCCTCTGCTGCCCCCGCTGGCCGGAGGAGCAATGACATGCTGCTGGGGTTTCTCATCTGGAGGTGGCGCATGTTGTCTAGAGCAGCGAGTCTGGCTTCTTTGGCTCTGCATCTATTAAAAAAGAAGAAAAACAAAGAAGATTAATAGCTGTATTGGCTTGAGAAGGCGTGTTGTGAGATGCACTGTATGTAAATAATTTAAAAAGGAATACGCTGAAGTTCCAGTGGATGGCATCAATTATGCCAAGCACACTACACCAGATAGTACCAAACAACTCTCTCAAGCAATCATGTTTAACTGTCAGAACATTTACGTGTTATATAATATTTGCAGGATTTTAACCATATAGTTGTTATCATTACTACAGTTTTGCAAATACATTACAGTGTGTAAAAAAAAGTAGCTGCAAGCCCTTTTCTGCCAGCAGAAGAAAATAGATAAAGAAAGATAACATTATTTAAATAAATATATATAGGAAAAGTAAAAAATAATTAAATAACAAGTCAGAATTAGGAAAATATTCCAATGTATGGGGCTATTTTACATATTTCATTTATAACACATTTCATAACGATAATATGTGAATGTTTTAGAGAGACAACTCTCACAGAAAATGTATATTATGAGATTATTATGACTAACAACTTTAACAATGGCTGTAGGCGGCACCTAATAAACTGAACTCAATGTCAATATCAAATGAATACTTTGCTATTAGAGACAAACATTAAGGTTGACGATGACCTAACAGTTGTTTCTCCTTCTTTGTTTTCGTATTTCTTAACGCAGGTAATTGGACTCTCGCGGTAACTTGTGGGCGAAAACGGAACTTTATATTTATTTTGCGTAACTTTCGTGTCGCAGCTTTTTGCCGCACGGGTTCTGGGCTTTTCTACTTTTACGCAATCCACACCGAAAGCGCCAGGTGCGTAGCAGACGCGCGCGCGCACACACACACACACACACACACACACACACACACACACACACACACACACACACACACAATCCGCGGCCAGATGACGTTACCATTTGTTCGCGGAAGTGGCTTCTGTCGTGACCGCTGAGTGGAGAGAGAGAGGGGGGAGAACCAGGGGGAGGAGAAAGGGAAGGAAGGAAGAGAGAGGGAGAGAGAGAGGTAGAGAGAGAGAAAGTTAAAAAAGAAGTTTTCAGAACTATAATTTCCTGTGAAAGTTCATTCCAAAAAAAAACTGCGAAGGCGCTCGGCCGACCGAAGCCATCGAGCCGTTTGCCCCCGGTAGGTGACACCAAGCCGAAGGGGTTTGAAGCAGCGACAGCCCGCTGGGCAGGAGGGGCAACTCGAGGGGGGAAAGGGAGGAAGAAAGCTGGTGAGTTGATCGTTAAAGTTGACCACACTTTGTCGGGAGCATGGCTGGAGATCCGCCGCGCGCCGTGCGTCACCGCGCCGCGGCCGCAGTGGACGTCTCCAAGGAGCGGGGGGGGGGGTAGATGGTTGCTTTACCTCTTCGTGTGGTGCCCACAGTGTTTGGTGGAGGTAAATGAAAGCTTATATATGTGTGAAACTTGCTCATGATCGGACCGATCTCGACAAACGTCAATGTTTCACGTCGTGTTCGGCCTCTCGCTGTCAGGCGAGTTTTCGGGCTTTTAGTCTCTGCAGCTGCCAGCAGACACATTTTGGAGAAGCACAGCGGCCGCAAAGTCGCTCATAAATGACTGTAGTTCGTGTAAAAATGGGCAACAGGGAGCAGTCCATTGAGTGACCTCAAGCTGGAGACGCTTTCAGTAGGTGAACAGAGAACCGCTCTAACAAGGCCTTCGCTTGTGCGCAGAAATGTCCTCAAATTGACTCATTGAGCTGAATGATCGATGAGTGAAAGTTTATTGGCCATTCATTTTGTAATCAAATCACCGTTTAAAGCAAACGTGTCAAAGGCTCGCTGGTTCCATCTTCTCCAATGTAAAGATTTCCTGCCTTTTTCCTTTGTTTTTAGATACTCAACAAAGCATTTCCATTAGAATATGTTGCCTTTTTTAAAATATTCTACTGTCTATTTTCTCAATTTTATACGTATTGATTTTGATTAAATAATAATAATGTAAATAATCATTGCAACTGTAAAATAAGTCTTTATGACTATAATTCTAACGATATATATATATATATATATATATATATATACACACAGACACACACAGATCTGTTTGCAATCACGCAACAAAATGACAGTTTTGCTCATCTGCGTCGAGGGTAACCATGGAGACCGATCATCAAAAGCCACCTCCGATGGGACAGAGACAGGGTCCCTGAAAGTTCCCAGTGAAGGACAGGCGGGCTGTTATGGAGACGGACCGACGGGCGTGAGGGGATGATTGAGGGGATGAAAAGCGGTGGGCTCGGTGCTCTTATCGGGGTCAGCCACACCGCTCAGACCGGCAGATCCCTGACGTGATGTCATGTGCTGGAAGTCATCTCCGCTGATGAAACGCCCCCCAAAAAAAAAAAACTGGACTGGTGTCAGGAGCCGGACAAACAAGACCCGTGGAAGGAGAGTCCGAGACACAATCCGTCAGTCAAAGGGGGGCATCTCCACTTCTCCATCACAACATTGGCACGATCCGAAATCCACTTGATTGAAATTGGGTCTGTCCAATTCCCCTCAAACGGTATCAATCAGAGGCCGAAAGCTTTCGTCCCGATCGACGGCACAACGTGACACTTGATCTTGTTGCAGCCTTGCTTTGACAGGTGTGTGTGTGTGTGTGTTTGAGCCCACAGACACTTAAGAGATGAATGCTATAGGCCTGATATTAGCCTTGATGTTGTTTTGATACTTTGCCATCGATTTAAAAACACACCGGCGAGGCGCTCTTCCTGCTTCGAGCGCGCCGAGGCCGTCGGCAGCGCCTGTGCGTCTCCGTCCGATGTCTGTGGGAGTTTGTTTCTTTGAGGTCGTAGCATGTGGTCGTCCGTCTGTGCCTCGACACAATGGGACTGAGCCTCGGTTGTGTTTCCTCCCGCGCTGCTCGGGGGAGTGCAGTATGTGAGCCGCGGTTTGCTTAAACCCTGTCCTGTGCATTGTTCAGCATGAGAAGTGAGTGCCGCTCGGGTTTGAATGCAGAAAACAAACAATCTGACTTTTAAATCACACCGTGATGACAGTTTTTGGGGCGTTTTTTTGGGATTGGCCCGGCTTTAATTTGTTTCTGATTTTTTAGGGTCAGTTAATTTAAAGCTGAGTAATGTCTTGATGTCTGGTTAAGATTGTATTTCAATAGTTCACTTCTCCTTTTCAGACGAGGGCTCCTCCGCTTTCCCTCTATAGCCTTCGGGGTGTGAGACTGAAGTTGTACCTCCGCCAAGAAAGGTCACTGGGGTTACGTCAATATCACGTCTGGAGGAGGCTGGATTCTGATTTCCTTTTTCCGTCTCTGGCTCTGATGTAATCTCTGTTTTATTCTTCAGGTTAAGATGATTTCAGAGAAATAATGAATCTCCCAACGACATTACGAACATTATGACTCCACAGGATGCACTCGACTCAGTGTGAGCGGTACGCGTGACGGCAGCACAGTCCACCGGAGAATTACTTTCTGTGGGTTTGCCGACCACGGGCGTTTTCATTCTCTGAGCCTGGCGTTTAAAAAGAAGTAGAAATGACTTCCCCTCAGTTTCATTAGAATTATCCTGTGCAAACGTTCCCGTCATCGTCGTTGTTAACGGAAGCCTGATCAGTTGGAAATGTGGAAGTACCGGTCGCGGGAGGGGGGGGGTCAGTAGGAAGGGAATGATGGAAGGAGATAGAGATGTGTGAGTGTGGTTAGAGGCGGTTGCTGGGGAGGTGGAGGGGGAGGCTGGGGGGAGGGGGGGGGGTTTGGCACAACCCAAAATAGCCAGCTCACATGTTGCGTGGTGTTGAGCTATGAAACCAGCAGAAAGGCCTCCTGCTGAATGCCGGCCTAATCTAATGCTCGCAACCCAACTCAACCCAACGGTTTCTCTCTGTCTGTACGTGTGTGTGTGTGTGTGTGTGTGTGTGTGCGCGTGTTTGCACGTCTTTTACAACCAGAGAGGCGCTCTCTTGTCAGCTGCCTCCACCCCTCCACCCCCTCGCCGCCCCCGCTGTGCTCATCGTCATCATTATTGTCTCCATAATGTGAACCGATGTCTCCGGCTTACTGTAGTCCAGGAGGGAAAAGGTCAGGGACTATTAGGCCTGTTTACACATTTTTGGGCCAAGTGTAAATGAGTCCCGGACGCGCAGAGGCAAAGCGCCGGCTCGCTGACTCGCGTTGGACAAGACGAGACACAGGCGCCCCCGCACGTGCGGCCTCCTTTTCTCAGTTGATTCCCCTCATTCCACGGAGTGTGTTTGGACATGCTGGCTGGTTTACTGCCTCTCTCCTCTCGCGCTTGGTACTTCCTCATCACTCGATCTCGCTCCCTGTGTGTGTGTGTGTGTGTGTGTGTGTGTGTGTGTGTGTGTGTGTGTGTGTGTGTGTGTGTGTGTGTGTGTGTGTGTGTGTGTGTGTGTGTGTGTGTGTGTGTGTGTGTGTGTGTGTGTGTGTGTGTGTGTGTGTGTGTGAAGCCAACGGGGTTGTTTATGTATACAGGTGGTCGCGTTGAGCTAATGCACGGCTGGAGCAAAGCATGCTGGGAGTCAAGGATCTGCTGAGGGGCCTGCGGTCTTTGTATGTGCAGTGTGCTGACGTGCAGTCTGGTGTGTTTACAGACTCACAGGAAGCTTGTGTTTTGGACGATGGATTATACGGTAAGACATTCAAATGATGCAACGTGCTTATCTAAAGCACAGTGGCAGAGGGCTCATAACTCATGTGTAAAATGTAAATGAGTTGGTTTTAATAGTGCGTTATGACATGTGCATTCAGGTCTAGGAGATTACTGCAGAAATGCTCTAAAATATTTTTTTAGAGATAAAGGTGACCGCAGTTTTAAGAGTTATTCATTTTCACTATATCAAGAATAAACCCTGCCGGAGGACGTGTCCTACATACCTGTCATTCAATTAATCTGAATTCAACTTTATTGAATTGTGTAGTTGGTGATGAAAAGATGGAGCTCGGTGTGACTCATAAAGATTGGTTTCTCAGCAACGGCAGAAAACCGTAATGTTATTCATCGGTTTATGAACAAAGCCCAGCATGTAGTCAAGGTAACATACAGTTTGATACATTATATTTGTTCATCCCTGTAGATGATTTCAGAAAACAGACCATATTTAATTTGACGTTTTCCCCCTGCAGCGGCCTAAAAGAAAAATATGTCCAGTGTGCTGCAATAATGTGAAAATGAAAACTGAAGTCGCCGTGTACGATCGTGCCGCTGCTGCGTGTATTTAAATGTTTTATGGTTTGCGTGAGTTACAGTTACACTCGGTCTTCCAATGAATACATGTGTTTATAATAAATTATCAGATGTTCAGTTTTCTGATGGAATTTGTGGAATGGCCTTTTGATTAAACTTCTGTTTCTGGTGCTGCTGAATTTTATTGCATGAAAAAAAAAAAGAAAGCGATGTGTATCATCTGCAAGGTGTAATTACTATTCAGTTTTATTAGGATGTACATAATAATCCGCAGATTATTTTTCTAAAAATACAAGCCCCAGTGTGTGATGAGCTCCAGTGTTGGAGGGGGTTGTCTTCGCTCTCTGCAGTTCTCTCATTTTTGTCCTTAACACGCAGCCCTGCGTGCGACGCCGCGGTGGTCAAACCGAGTACTGCAGTGACTGCGCGTCGGGGTGTCAGCTGAGGACTCTCTTTATATCTACTCTGCCGTGTTCCCGTGTCGCTCTACGGGTGGTTTCCTCCTCCTTTCCGTTACGCTGCTTTCGCATCAGATGCGCTGAAACGTCAGCACCGTCGCCGCCGCAGATTCACCCGCTTGTTTGTGTTCGCCTGGCGATGAACTGTCCTTTCCCCCCTGAGGGAGCTCTATTAGTGTAGCAACAACCATAGGGGATGATTATCAAGTGAATATCTATTTATTTATTTTATTTTGTCCGCTTTCATCAAGGTTACATAGAGTGACCTCGTGACACGCTCCCTCCTCCCTCCGTCGGCCTGCCTCCTTTCTCTTCCTCGTTCGCTCGGTTTCTCAGGTTACCAAACATGACCCCCACTCCCCCCATCGTCCCCCTCCCAACACATGCACACACAAACGCCCCCACCCTCGCTTCCTCCACGGCGCCATATCCCCCTGGAGTGTGTGCATTAATGTGCAGGAGTGTGCATACACATGCACACACTGTGAAATGACTGAGGCTGCAGATAGGTGGGGGGGGAGGGGGAGGACAGGAAGGAGGTAGATAGGAGGTGGGGAGGGCAGAGGCTGAGAGAGAGAGAGGGTGAGAGCGAGAGACGGTAAGAGAGAAACTGGGAGGCAGCATCTCCCACCCAGACGGGAAGGAGGGGAGGGCAGACAGCGTGCCCGCCCCTCGAACAGACAGAGGTGAACGGAAAGTGGACATGAGGGAGAGCGAGAGAGACGTGAGGGGAGAAGAGGAGCACAATGAAGGAGTGCCATTGTCCATCCTGCCAGCACTGCCATTTCACCATCTGCTGTGAGAGGGAGAGAGAACGATAGGGAGGGAGGAGGCAAGTCAAGAGAAGAGGAGGCAGCCAAACGGAGGAGAGGATAGATGGAGAGGAGCTGCCGCCGGTGACTTTGTGAATTAATCGAGCGGAAGAGTGGATCAGAGGAGGAGCACGTTTTTCTTTTTTTCAGGGAGTGGACGGACGGAGGGACAGACACACAGAGAGAGAGAGAGAGAGGGGGAAGAGGACGGCTGGCCGAGACTGTTTAAACATTTATGTGATCTCATGTGAATATGGAGCCCGGCTTTAGAGGAATCTCCATGGATTATCAACTGTATGCTTTATAAACCAAAACAGGGGCTATTTATGCTTTGCCATTCATAAAAAAAAAAAATCAGTCTTGGGGAATTTGATTAGGCTGTCTTCATACAGGACAATTTCAATAACTTTTTTTGTTAATATAGGTTCTGGTTGTGACTGTCTTTATGTGCATTCTCTGCAAGATGTGCACAGAATATTCAGGTTTTTCTGCAAGTTTTCTAAGCATCACTGTTGTCTAGAAGTAAATTAGATGTTGTAGCTGTTTACTGTTGTTAGAAAAGTGACTCTTGTCCTTTTTGAAGGAATCTCAGACATTCAGTTGGAGTCTGTGCGTCCCGCCGGCTCGGGATTCAACATTGACTGAAACCTATCGACCTTTCTGCAAGCCTTTAGTTTTTCTTGCAGCTGTGTTGTTAAAAAAAAAAAAGAAAAATCTTCAACACGGAGCCTTTGATGCAGCAACTAATTGCTGTCACGTGATTTGACGAAGCAGTTATCTCTTTGTCTGAAGATTTCTGCAGTTGTCGGGACTTCTCAGCGTTCCTCCGCAGGCATCTCTCTTAATGGCTGTTGCCATAGCAACGAGCAGCAGCTGCAGATGGAACAAGATGTCAAGTTCGTTTATTTGTTTCTCTCTAAACAAACGGTGCTGTTCCATTGTGTAACTGTTAACAAGAAGCCTTGTTAAGTCCACAATTGCGTGCAGTTTTTGGACTTTATACACGGCTGTTGTTTTTTCCTTTTCTTTACTAGACAGTCTTGTCTATGCAGCAGACTCTGGGAATCAAGGTTGTTTCAGGTCACCTATCCCACCCCGCCCCCCCCCCCCCTCCCCACCCCTTATTCTGTGTAGTCTTGTGCTAGTCGGCGCAGCCCTGTTTGTCCCAATCTCTCCTTTTTTTTTTTTTGTGATGGCAACTATACCATCTTCCTCAGTCAAGCTGATGTGCCGTTACCGGGAGCAACGGGGTGAATGAGCTCTTGGCGGCGGTCTCACCTGTCTCTCTTGTCACCAACCACCGATCATCAGGTGCGCTGTGCTCGTGACAGGCGCTTCCTTTTTACTGTCTCTGTGTGGGTGACTCAGGTTTTCTCCTCATGTAGAGGGTCATTTCCGCCGCAGTCACCTGACCTACACTGTGTCCCGTGCACCAACGCGCCCTCTGGCCCACCTGTGTGTTAGAACACAGCTGGACGTTCCTCTCCGATGTGGTTTCCGTTGGGTCTTTGGCCTTTTTTTAAACCGCTAACTCCTTCTTGAGGCTAGTTTCCTCTGATAAAACGGGTGTGACGGACTGTTTTGTTTGTTCTGCATGCTCTTTGATTGTCCAGCTACCGGGCGTCTTTTGTGACTTTTTTTTTTCCCTGCCAAACTTTCTCTCCAGCTCTCTGGGGATCATCGCAGCCTGTCTGGCGCTGTATAAGTACGACTGGATCCTCCATGGTGCTTTTTTTTTTGGCGGACACCAGACGGGATGACTGGCTGAGTTGCAAGACGGTCCCTCTGTGGTGCTAGACTGGCGTAGGCGACTGTTCCCTCGGCCATGCGTCCCGCGCCCACGACGAGCTGGTTTTTCGCGTACTTCAGACGCGGTTAAGTTCTGTGTGGAAAGAAATCCTGGCTTTGCATCACCGACACGTCGGTGCCACACTTAAACCTTTCGAAAGGTCGAGGGATTGCTCGCTGCAGGTCCCTGGGTGCGGCCTTTGTGCCTGGACTCTTATCGTAAAACGGGCTGCTGATTGCCCCCAAGGTCGGACTACGCAGAACGTGAGGTGTTGTGCGGCGTCTGTTTGTTAGTTTCCTGTAGAAGCGAGAGATAACCTGCCGCTTTGATAAGGACGGAAGCGGTTTGAGAAGTAGGGAGCGCTTGGGAGCGCTACCTTTGTGTCGTGTGGCGCTGCGTCCACGCTCTCCTCTCAGGTAGCGGACTGTAGTCCGGCCTCGTTATTTGAACCAGGCGGTGACCACAGCAAAGTGAGAAGAGCGGCTCGATGAGGGATCGGCACGGCGACGAGGTGCAGTTTCAATCGAGCCTCTCCAGCCGAGTGAGTTCAGGTTCAACTCTGACGAGCATCCAGCCCCCTTCAGGGAACCCTGGGTTAGGACTTCAAAACCGACAAATCAGGTCTCATTAACATCACAACAAGCCCGCCGGTAGTCGTCGTCAGCCGATGACCTACATTCTCCGTGGTTACATCACCACCGTGCTACTGCAGTGTGTGCCACTGTATCAGACAACATCTCAGACTCAATGGTGCTCTTTAGGGAGGGGGGGGGAATCCAGCCTCTTAACTGAGGTGACGAGTTTTAGGTAAACCAACTTCAACCAAGGCAGCCTCAGTTGTTTTAACCACATCAGGAACTTTTGTCAGGAAAGGGCCCGACACTGCCGGCCCGGTCTTAACTACTAACTTCTTTTCTTTGGGATTTCTACTGGTGTCTATATATAGGGGGCCACAACGAGCCTCTAGCCATCACTCCCCCCCCAAAGTCCGCGGGGCCCACTGCCAGGGCTCACCATTAATACATTAGACAGAGGGAGTCTAAAACAGGGCAGCCTGGAGAACGGGCGGGCAGACGAGGGAGGGGGCGAGGGGGAGATCATCTGGAAGAGGAGAGAGGAAGTGGTGGCGAGGGAAAGGGCGGAGGCGTCGGAGAGGCAGAGACTGGCAGAGCACATCGTGTGGAGGAAGAGGGAGGGCTTCCAGGAGAAGACGGGAGACCGAGAGAAGGGAGGAAAGGGCGCCGACAAAGTGCCAGAAGTGATCTGGAAGAGGAGGGAAGACGAGGAGGAGGTGGGAGACGCGGGGAGGGCGAGAGCCATTCAGAGGGGACACGAAATCATTTGGAGGAAGAGAGAGAGGGAGTGAAAGATTTGAGTGAGCATGTGTTAAAGAAAGAAAGCGTGCCGCGCTGGGCACAGGCTTCTCTCTTCTGTAGCCTGGGCTCCATTGGGCTCTGTAGTATCGACCAATTGGAGCCGTGCACAGATTGTGTGTGTGTGCGTGCGCGTGTGTGTGTGTGTGTGTGTTTGCCTGTGCGGCCGCGGTGTTCGTGCGTGCAGCGCCCTTGCGATCCCCTCGTCGGGCCGCTAATAGCATATTTATGGGAACGCATAAAGCGTGATAGAGCTGCCAAGTGGAGCTGCTTCACACGTGCACGCACCTGCGCACGCCAATACACACACACACACCCACACACGGCGATAATCTCAGTAGCGGTGTGGCGAGGGAAGATTTAGGCTGCCCTCACACGCGTGTGGACACGTCCCGTAGAGGAGTGCACCCTTCAGTGAAGTGAGACGCATGCTGGTGGGTGGTGGGGGGGGGTAAGACGGGGTGGTGGGGGGGGGGGGGCATATACAAAATACAATGGGGTGTGATTCCCCCTGTGGCGAAAAAAAACAACGTGATCACAGGCCCTCGCCGCCAAGTCGAGGCAGGAAGCCCACAGATATTGTTTTACATAATGGCAAAGCGATCGTGCGGTTTCGTCGGTTTCGGGACACGGCAAACTGTGATGACGTCTCCGCAGTGAACTGAGGACAGCATGACCCGCCCAGGTGCACTGAGAACAAACTTTCTGCCATTGGCTGGGACGCAACGCTTTCTGCCCCCGCGCCTTTTTCCCACGGCGCTCTGACCTCGGATGAAGCCGCTGTGAACGGCGCTTGGGGTTTCGGTCGCCTGGCGACGGGTGGACGACAGAACGCCGGACAGATGGACGCAGCTCTTACGCCGAGGGAGACCGACAGATGGCCGCTTGTCCTTTTTCGAGGAAAACTTTAAAAAACGAGACAAAGGGACTTTCATCGAAGCACCCGAGCCTGTGTGGACTTCAGCGGGTGTAAAAAAATAAATAAATTGATACTGCGGACTCACTATGGAGCTCGTCCCAAAAACCAAGTACACCCACTTTCGGAGTGAATCGCTGAGCTCAACTGACGAGACCAACTCCGACCCGTCACCGCTCCCTCCTTCCAGTCCCGCCACCCCGCTCACTCCCTCCCCTGGTTTGCCTCCTTCTCTCTCCTCGTCGTCTCTCGCTCCGATCCTGCCGCCCTCCTCTCCCCGCCAGGCTGAGAACAGCCCCACCACCCTGTGCTCCTTCTTCCCCAGGATGGGATCCCTCCGCCTGGGCGTCTCTGCCACGCTGCTCCCGGGACTCAAGGCCTCGAGCAGGCCGCCACAGCGTCGGCCTCATGGCCCTGTCGAGTTCTCTCGGGGCGACCGGAGCAGCTCCGGCTCCTCCCCGCCGCTCCATCGCCCAACCGCCCCTCTGACCGCTCCTTCTCCCCCTCCCCGACCCACTCTGCAGGACATGAACCGGCTGGGAGGGGCGTCCAGGAAGGCCCGGTCGGAAGGGGCCGCCAGGAAGGCCCGGGTGGAAGGAGGGCAGCTGGGCGGGGACGAGTGGACGCGCCACGGCTCCTTCGTCAACAAGCCCACCCGCGGCTGGCTGCACTCGGACGGCGTGGTCACCACCGCCGGCGTCTCCTACAGCGTACGCGTAAGTGATCGGACGCACTCGCACCAACCGCCTCGCCGAGGTGCACCATGAACACACTCATCTCATCTTATCCAGACGGTTTCCTTTGCATGCGTACGACCTTCCTTTCACATTTTTAGAAACTGATGCAGGTCCCGACTGTGGATGTGATTGTGTGTGTGTGTGTGTGGCCTTCCTGTTTCCTCTGCAGTACATGGGCTGCGTGGAAGTGCTGCAGTCAATGAGAGCGCTGGACTTCAACACCAGAACTCAGGTCACCAGGTCAGACTGCACACATTTCACCTGTCGCCGGTTCTGGCCATTTCTCTCGTTCAATTTCTCTTTTTTTTTATGTCGGGGGGCGATATGTTTGATATGAGGTTTGCTCAGACTTGGAGAAACATCTCACACTCACTGCTCATTTACTATCGGTCTCTGTACCGCTCTCCTACACTTGCTCCGCATTTTCTGCAAAAAATATGTATACAGTAACATAGTGTCAGTGAGTGTGTGTGTGTGTGTGTGTGTGTGTGTGTGTGTGTGTGTGTGTGTGTGTGTGTGTGTGTGTGTGTGTGTGTGTGTGTGTGTGTGTGTGTGTGTGTGTGCGCGCTTGCAGCTCTCCTAGCCCCTAAATTAGAACGTTCTGGAATCTTGGTGGTTTCCTTCTGCTTCCCGTGGGGATGTTTGTCTCCTTAGACGAGCACAGTTTAGGGGCCATAACAACTTCAGTCACCTTTGTTTCAGGGAGGCCATCTCTGTGGTGTGCGAGGCCGTGCCCGGAGCCAAGGGAGCCCAGCGCAGGAGGAAGGTACACACCATGTCCACACACACACACACCCTTACAGGCCATTATTTATTTATATGGCTTAAGTGAGCAGCAGTGGGACGAGTTCTCTGGATAAGAGCTAGATTTAGCTTGATTGTCCACTCTGTGGTCAGTTGGCTATTCAGTCACATATTCTCCCTCTTACACACACACACACACATACACACACATTACACGCACACCTTGATTTACGATGCTATGACACTATAGCGGTTAGTGGGCCTCTTGCAGGTAATTACCAATCCCTCTCTTTTCCCGCCCTCCTGCCACTGGGGAGGCTGGAGAGGTGGAGCAGCAGCTTCACATCGTCTGGCCAGAGAAGCATTACAGACGAGCAGACCGTCCATGTGAAGGCTTCATCTGTCTGTGGACTGTTTTCCTGTAAAACTAAAAGCATCCACCATACACAGTGGTGTACAGTCCATAAAACGGAGCGGCTAGTCCAGCGGCTTGTTGCCGCGGTGGCGTTCGACCCGAGGAATGTCTGGCGCACCAGACAAAACACAGTGAAAGGATGTAAACTAGAATAGCTTGAACTCGTTAAACTTAGTCCCCTCTGGGCAGAGGTCACTGCGGCTGAGCATGAGCATCCCGCGCGCTGGCCGCTTTTCTCACAGCGTACGCCAAAATATTCTGAAGCCGATCTGGATGATGGCAATCAGGACAGGGGGGAGGATTGGAATGAACGATCGGGAACACTAGTGCTGGCGTGGTGCAGTGTGATGCTGTTGGCCCGGCCTTCAGTATGTGAACAGTCCACTCTGCTCCCCGTCGGTCACAGTTGGCCTCGGAGACGGGATCACTTTCCCGATTGCAGCTGTTCTTCTACTCACACACACACACACACACACACACACACACACACACAAACAGGCCTGTCCACTTACGCACACTCAGGAAGGACTCAACGATCTACGGACTGAAGAAAGAAAAGTGTTTGTTGGGTTCTGTTTGTGCACCTTGTTTGTTGTGTACTCACGGACCACGTGGCCGTCCTCCTCAGCCTTCCTCTCGCTGTATGACGTCCATCCTGGGGAAGAGCAACCTGCAGTTTGCCGGCATGACAATCAGCCTCACCATTTCCACCAGCAGCCTCAACCTGTTGGCCTCCGACTGCAAACAGGTAAGACTGGAACCGGCGCCCCGCCGAGGCTGCTTCCCTTCTTCTATCCCTCCTCAAAAAACTTGATGGGCAGAGATTTGATAGTCAGTAAAAGATGCGTCTGATTGTTGCAGCCAGAGGAGTGTTTGGTATCCCGAGTGCACTTAGGCTGTGCAGTTTACTGGAGCTGAGTAAACATGGGGATCTCTCTGCCTGAGGGATATTATGTGGATTTAAAGATTACACAGACTTATTAAAGGTCAACTTCAGCATGGCCATTTATTTATGTAACGGTAAACATATTATCATCCTCGTGTTATTGTAATTCTGAACCTATTTTGAAATTATCTTACAAGCTTATTTTTCGGGATGTAAACGGCGTTGATATTGTTAAATCCATTAGCATGTATGACTGCTCAGTCATTTCTTATGATATCACTAATTTATTATAATATATACTAAGATTTTAGTCAGATGAAATTTTACGGAAGGTTGGCCCTAAATAATTTAGATGTTATCATTGATATTATATGATTTATATTTTAAATGGACTTTCACAAAATATGTTAATAAACAGTAACTTAACTCAAGGTATTGTCTTATTGTGCACTGTGCGATTTGACCTTCTGGGGATACAGAGATCAATTTAAAAAAACTTGTTTGCTTAATCATTCTGAATGCAATACAAATCGCTCTCAACCATCGTGTCTACTCCCGCATGGATGCAATCCTCCCTCTCTGAGTTATTAGCAGCCGAAAGATGTTTATTTCTTTCGGGATTTGGTACACACTAGTACAGTGCGCACACATTAACACGCAGCACAAAGAGACAAATAACGCCACGGATGTGGACCACACAATGTGCTCCGTGCATTAGCCAGTGCTGATGGTGGTTATTGATCCAACATGCAGACTGTTAGAAGAAAAAAAAAGGGCTCCAATTGATGCTTCTCAATGGAGGGAAAAGGCACTTTTCTCAGTAATGATTGCACATTTGTCTCTCCATCCACATGCTTTTGTCTCACTTCCCACATACTTCATGTCACCCACGTTCTGTCCTACTGTCTCTTTCTCCACAGATAATCGCCAATCATCACATGCAGTCCATCTCCTTTGCCTCTGGAGGAGACCCAGTGAGTCACTCTCAGCTCAATCCTACTCCTTTTTTCCATCTTTCTTCAGCCCGCATATCCTTCCTTCCTGTCTTCTGTCACTGTCTATTCCTGTGAATGCTACTCCCTCCATTACTGTCTTGTTACTTCCCGTCACTTCCCTTTCAGCCTCTAGCTTCTGTTATGACTTACAGGCAGACGCAGCTTTGGCTTAATCTCTTCCTTCTTGTTCTTTTCAAACCTTTCTGTCCTAAAACTGCCCTTCAGTTTGTCCTCCCATCAAATTTTTTCCCTCTCCCCGGGTCCCCTGACTGTCTTACCCTGTCCCCCCTCAGGACACAGCTGAGTACGTAGCATATGTGGCCAAAGACCCAGTCAACCAGAGAGGTGAGAAGAAACGGCAACCTGACGCCTTCACTGTAGAATAAAATAGAAACTTTTCTGATTGAGCAGAACTCTGAACCTCGATGCTTCAGTGCACACATTTTCTCTCCACGTTCTGTCTCATTGGATGAGGATACAGATTGCAATCTCATCAATTACTCTAAATATATAACAAAAACAAGCCATGTCATTAAGATATAAATAAATCACATTAAATAGATGGGACATGGGATGTTTTTAATTGTTTTGGCAGATCTGCTTTAGTTTTGTGTGTGTGCTAAATCTATGAACATGGGTCTGGATTTTCAATGTAATGATAATAATAATAATCCTGTAGTTTTGGAGAAACCTGGTAGGTAACGTGACCAACATGGGTTCTTTCTTTAAACTAATTACTGCCAGTGTGCCCTCTGGCAAGGCACATGGTCATGAGTGTACTGTTGCTGAAAAGGCACACGTGTGCACAATACGATACTGCAGTCTGACGGACTCGTAGTACATGTTTCAGTGCCGCTGCAGCGTCCTTATCAGCCCTTTGTGCCTCCTCCCCTTCAGCGTGTCACATCCTGGAGTGTTCGGAGGGTTTAGCGCAGGAAGTCATCAGCACCATCGGTCAGGCCTTTGAACTGCGTTTCAAACAGTACCTAAAGAACCCTCCCAAACTGGTCACACCCCACGACAGGTAAAGGAGAGAGCCCAAAAACGTGAGCTTGTGTTTGCATTACGTCGGCCCGTAATCTGTACCTGCACGTTTTTTATTCTCAGAATGGCTCCTTTTGACGGCTCCGCGTGGGAGGAGGAAGAAGAAGACGACAACGCTGCTGCTGCTGCTGCTCCACCTCCCGACGTCCCTTACTATAACAATTTCCCCGGAAAACAGCCTCCCCCTGGTGGACTGGTCGACATGAGGAGCCGCCCGGGTGCCACGCTGGTGAGAGAACTGCACATTAACACAACTGGGGGGGGTGAGATACACATACGCTGACTTCAACACATCCAAACACAACTCCCACTTCAGCCAAGAGAAGCTGCTCTTATGAGCAATGCAACATTTGCACAGAAAGGGTGTCGACTTGCAGAGCTCCTTGCCAAGGACATTGATACGTAACAGCAGTTGGCTCCCTTCGTGATGGATAAATCATCATTTAACCCTTTTGTAACCCTTTCTAATAGGAACAGATCCGTGAGTCATTTATTTGCTTGTATGTCTCTCTGTTTGCAGCCCTATGGACAGCCGGGCCAGAACGACATTCACAAGCAGCCGCTGCCGCCTCTGCCGGGTGAGTCTCCGTCCATCCGTCCCTCCGGTCCATCTCTCTCTCTCTCTCTGTCATCTCGGCTCACTCAGGACTGGAATCGCACGTCCTCTCTTGGCTTTGTCTCAACCTGTGTGTGTTCGTTTTCTTCTTTCTTATGCTAGTGGGGGCCAAAGAAGGCGGACGGGAGCTATTTGATGACCCTTCATACGTCAACGTGGACAAACCCCGCCACCCAGTTGCTGCCAATGGAAACGCTCACAGGGATGCTTTTGACATGAGTAAGTACTGCAGCCAGTCCACCCATGGTGTGTTGGGAATATCGTACCAGGAAGTGGACGGCTGCCTCAACACACTGAACAGTGTACGTAGACAAAGGTTTTGGAAAAGGTGACGTCATTTCATGCAAAATGACCACATCACCAAAATGACTGGCGACCCAAAGATGCAGTTGTTTTTCCATGTGAAGGGTATAAAGGTTAATTATTGACCGAGGAGAGCGGACGGCTGTGTGCCGTGCAGACCGCGTAGCTAATTGACGAGCGGAGCTGTTCGCAGACGGCCGTCTTGGGGAAAGATAAGGGAATTGGAGTGCTTATGTCCCTTACAGGGCCGCTTTATATGACATGATTGGTTGACTGCACAAAGCTTTTCACATGAAAGACACAGTCCACTATCTGTGTTTACCATGAGACTGTCAAATCATGTGTTTGGCTTAAACATTGTCCACACATTCTGGTTCTAAATGGAAAGACGCTTCCCTCTTTACAGGCGTGCATGGGATGTTTTCCACAGATAAACGCAATACTACAAATATGTTTGTGATTTTTCTCCCAAGAGCCATTTGACGACGCGCTGGGAGTCTCCGGGCCTGGTGGGGCGAGCTCATCGACGGCGGCGCCGCCCCCTCTGGTGCAGCAGCTGCAGTGCGAGGCCTGGTTCCACGGTAGCTTAAGTCGCAGGGAAGCCGAGAGGCTTCTGACCCGCGACGGAGACTTCCTGGTCCGAGAGTCCGGGACCACGGCCGGGCAGTACGTCCTCACGGGACAGCAGGGGGGTCAGCCCAAACACCTGCTGCTGGTCGACCCGGAAGGAGTGGTGAGTCGGGGGGGTAGGAGAGGTCAAGGGGGAGTACACAGGTCAGGGAGAGACAGGAGAAGAGTTGGGTGTGGGGGGTGGGGGAGGGGGGTCATTTTGTAAGTAGTGTTTGTTTGGGTATGAAGGTAAACTTGCCTTTTAATGCATTTTTTTGTCATTTAGGTTCGCACAAAAGACCACCGGTTTGAAAGTGTGAGTCACCTGATCAGTTACCACATGGACAACAGTCTTCCCATCGTCTCAGCTGGTAGCGAAGTGTGTCTGCAGCAGCCGGTGGAGCGCAGAGCCTGACGATACACACCAAATATACACACACGATCCCGCAGCAGACAAAGACACTTTCATATGCTATAACACACACACACACACACATACAATATGCACAAACCATTGCAAAGAGAGAATCACCAGTTCCTCTTTCAAATCACTCCCTCACTGCTGTGGCCACATGTTCCCGTCCTTTCTGAAAGCCAAACGGTGACCTGCAGTTTTCTACACAAATATCAGGCGCATCGCTCCTCAACGGAGAAGCACTGCTGCAATTTCTCTGCATCCTACTGTGAACCAGGGAGGAGCCCTTTGCTGATTTCAGAATGGGCAGAAAATAAAAAAAAAATTTCAAAGAAGAAGAAAACAAATTAAAAAAAAACAAAAGTGTGGAACTGAAATGAGGAGAAAGGAGCATTAATGGGACGACAAAAAAGATTTTCGGTGCTTTTAAGCATTTGTTGTTTCCCGCAGGGGAATGACTCCCGTCCTCAGACTGTTCTGTTCGAAGCCAAACACAAACTGGACGGTAACGGTTCTTTGCTTCGGAGACTTGTAGCTTGAGCTCTCCCCTCAAGTGTCACCGCGGCACTCGAGCGGCAAACCTGACTTTGAAAGAAGGAAAGCAGAAAAAAAAAAAACGGTGAATATGCATTAACAAGTTTTCTTCCAACGTAATCAGGAGCGCCTCCGACCGCCCCCCCCCCCCCAAACCGCTGCCCTCCTAAGGACTAAGGATTTGACCCCCGGAGATACACCTGGTGGTGCATACCTGGGGGACTGCTAAGCCAATGACCATGTTCTTCTTTTTTTCTTATCTTGGGGCTCATCGCTTGTTGGACAATGTGAGTAGCAGCTGAGCGACTGTTTGTCCCTTAATCCCTCCGTAGAAAACAGACACAGTTACACCTTTGAAACACAGCCTGCACCACCCCGTCACGCCAAAGAGAATCATCTCTGTTGCCGTGACAATTATGAGCGGTTATCCGTCTCATGTGGTTACAGCGTCGGGGGCGAGTTGAGCCTGTTTCAGAGGGGGGGGGGTCTGGCCAAGTATGCCTGAATAAATCAGGAAAAAAAAAAGATTTTTAAAGTAAACTACTTTGATGTCACCCGACAACAACTACATAATGAGGAGCGCCGCTTTGACCTGGTGCTTTCCATTGTTTGCACTGACAATCTATGGGTTATTTCTTTACAGAGGATTCTGACTGAAAGGAAAGGAGAGTAGTTAAAGAGGGGCCTCTTTTAAACGTTGGCTAATAAGGAACGTTGAACTGTGCTGCAAAAAATCATGCAAAATATGTCATTGTAACCAGTTGGGTAATTTTGTGCATCGTGATGTTGATTCATTTTTTTTAATCATTGGAGGGAATAATGTCCTTTTTTGAAAGATGAAATTAAGTTGTTATGTTTGGAAGCGTTGTTAATGTTGAAACCAAATGTTGTTCATGCTGTTTTCACAAACGTTTGAGGATCCGAGGGGAAGAAGTTCACGCTATTGTTTCTACTTTCTCTCTTCCTCTCTTATGTTTATGATGTTGGGTTTTTATTATATATATTTTTTTAATTGTGCCTTGTTTTCTCGATGCAGTCACGTCACTTCAATGCAGTGACCGTATGTACTTAATTCAAATGTAGTGGACTACAGGAGAATCTTACACAAGCCTCTCAGTTAAAACAAAGACTCTGCAAAAATGACACTCCAATAAACTCACACACACATCCAGTGATGGCAATCTCCTCTGATGCACATGGTTGCACACAGCTTGTAGTCACAGATACTTGATGTCACCATCGGGGTGGGGGGGGGTTATATTCCGACCGTCTGTAAATAACATCGACTTTTGACTTGTCAGCTTAGCGTTGGATCATTGTTCTCATAGTTGTGTCTCTGCCCGGTTTGTGTATGTGACGCAGACGCCACAGCAACACGACATTTCAACCCGTCAAAGAGATTTAACGGCAGGCTCTTGTAACGCGGGTACGGCTGGGTCGGTCAGATCCTCACACTTTGCCTGATCGGGTGTTTGTAAGTCAGAGATAGTAAATCCAGAGCTTTAAGATCTGCTGTTACGTGTATGTGCGTGTGTGTGTGTTTGTGTGTGCGCTGAAACACACCCGCCTGTCCCTCCGCATCATTAGTGAACCGGTCTCGTGCGATCATCGCTCATCACAGATGCCTTTTTGTTGCATGAAAATCCTTAAGGAAATGTGTCGTGTGTCCTTGGTGGTGGTGATAGTTTTGATGATGTTGTACTTTTTTTAATTTGTGAAAGCCAAAGGTTACTTTCAAATAGCGTGCACAGATATTGATTTTTACTTCATACGTTTCTGTTTTAATACTTTTTCTTTGTTTATAGGGAAACATTGCTGTTTACACCTGTATCTGAAAATATAGATTGCATATATAAATACGTATATCATTCATCTCGATTTGTTTTTTTTTATGTAACTGAGTGCGTGTTTTAAGCCCTTTAAGAGTCCCATCAAAGTACACCCAAAAACTTTAATGGAAAATGAAAGAACAAAGCAAACACTGCCGGAAGGTGCGATGGCCTGATCACATACTCTCCTGAACAAAGCGAGGGATGCGGTGGGAGTTGTGCTGGAACTCTCTTGTTTGTGAAAAGACGAGCCCGTGACTGTGGGGAGCCGACTCAGCGATCATCAGAGCCTAGTGTGCGAGGTGCTATACAACAGGGCGGAACAGTGCGCCGGCAAAGGTAAACAGGGCCTTTTTAATCAATCAGCACATGTTTGAAAGCGGGGGAACAGTTGAGAAAACGCAGGATGTGAAGGGAGGCGGGCCAAGTTTGTTCGGGAGGTTATAAGTAGAAGAGCTAACCGTGCGGGGAATACAAAAAGGACCGCCGCTGCCGCACTGGCCCAGTCTGATGAGATTTGTCTGAGCTCACCTTCCATTTCTTCTCATCGACTCTCCAGCTTGTCTCTGCCTCCTTTTTTTTTTTTTTTTTCTTTTTCTCCCTGATCGGAGCAATGCATCCCCAGCGTCCTCTTCCTCAGGCCGTGCCCTCTTCCTCTATAGCAAAGAACCTGAGGGACATGGCCATGGGTCTGGGGAGAGGCAAGAACTTCCTCGGAGGAAACGCCACCTACGGTTTCATCCAGTCGGTCAAGGAATGCCTCTACTTCCTCCTCTGCTGCTGGTGCATCAAGGAGATCCTGGACTGACGGAAAAAGAGAGGATCGAGTGGTCAAACATAGATTTTTGCCTTTTCTCCATCGGCTCCTGTAGTGTAATTTCAACCAGCTTTTATTTCACCGGGAATGGAGTGACCAGTGGTGGTGGCAGAGCATTGGCAAGTATCAGTCCTGTCTCATATGACAACAAAACATTTCTGCCTAATTCATATGATTCAGTTTGTTTTGAATTTCTCAAAGCAAGGTTCTCAATTTCAGACTGCCGCTATTTCAATGAGGAATAGATGAACTACATCATAGAATTATTCAATATGTTGAAATATCTTTTTGATCTGTTTTTTCAGTGTCTGTAGGATGCTCCCAGGAAACACACTTTTACAGAAGCTGCAAATTCTGATGACACACACAAGAGGTCAAAGTCTCTTCTGATCTGATCTCTTGAGGAATGGCAACCCTGATGTTGTGTATAACACAAACTGGTGTGCGATGAATAAAGAAACTAATGGCTAGAAATAAAATTACCTTTATGTCTGTATCTTTGTTCATTTTGTTTTGGTTAGTCTTATGGTAAACATCCTGTAAAGCCTTTAAAGGTTTTTATTTTATTTGGCAATGGTGCATGTCTTTATATAGGTTAAATATAACCAAAACAGGATACATTTATTAACTATATAATGTGAGAAAGAAGGGTATGAATGTCAATCCGGAATCAGGCCACGCAGGAGGACTAGCAGCGCTAAATGCTGAGCAGCGGGCTGTTATCCCATGTGACACACCCACCGTCACCTGCGCGTGTCAATCAAAACGGAACCCTCGCCAGTGAAGGACCGTCATGCTGCATTGCCATTGGTCGAACCGGAAGGCGAGAGGCGGGACCAGAGCCTACGCTGTCTGTGATTGGCGGAGAGGCGCGTTGCTCGCGCACGTTAAGGAGGCACTTCACAAGTTCGCAAGTTGGATGAGAAGAACCCAGAAGTGTCCGCTGTATCTGAGTCTGCGGGCTTTGAAATAACCACGGTAAGAAGTAACCGACTTATGCAACCGACTTTCCAATATGACGTGCTGAAGTGTTTTATTATTATTTCCGAGGAGGGGACGTCTGTTCTGCTGTCGTTAGTTCTTCCGTTGCGTCACCAACGTCGTTTCGTTTACGTTTTCCTGTTTTGCTCGATTCTCCGTCGAAGTTTTCTATTTATTCATCGCGTCTTTTTTTTTAAACATTTCACACTTTTAGCACACTTTTTAAATATATTTATATATATGTATATGTTTCTAGGTTTACCTCGCCGTGAATATACCTCCTGACCCCATCTCCATATGACATGATCCAGGGTTTCATTAATTAATGAGCCACATAACCGTTTGAACCGCCCGCTTTGTTGACGTCTATCATGCTGGAGTAACGTTCCTGTCCGACTCTCATGACCTTTTTTGGTCATTTTTTCCCCCCTGCTGAGACCAAGATAATACGACTAGCCCCTTACATTTCCTGCTGTGTTTAATATACCTTCTATTGCCTAGATGAGTTGGTTTAAAAAGGGTATTTTATAAACCGTTTCAAACCAGCTTTCCAAACCTGGAGCTTTACAGGTTGTTTATTTTACGTCCTCCCTAATGATCAGAGGCAAAGGAGGACAGACAAACTCTGGTCTTTTTTCCTCTGATAAAAGCTCTCTGCTTTGTGATGCAGTCAAAGAAGAATGATGTCCTCCCTCCTTGCGTCTCCAGTCGATTCCACGTTCGCTATATTTAGTCACTATCTATTTAAGCCATTCCTCCATACGCCCCACAATGCTCCGGGGGCCCTCGGCTAGAATCAGTGGGCCCCTCTCGGGAGCCGCTCAATTAGGAGACCTAAATTGCGCGGCCGGGAGAGAGATGAATTTGGGGGGGAGTGAAGTGTGTCATTACCCGGACGATGTGGCGTACATGTGAGTGGTTTGCTCTGAGGAAACCCTAGTCCAGCTGATGCAATTGTAAATGTCAATTTTGTGTCTGCCGGAGTCGTCTCGGCCTGGGAAGGTACGACTGTGTTGGTAAGGTGAAATCCCAAAGAATTGTGTTCATCCTACGGTAAAAAAAAGTTAAATTCCATAGTAATTTATACAGTATTTTACAGTTGGACGGTCTGGGGGAATATATTAACCGACCGCTAGCTTTGAAAAGAACAGCCCGTTCTGCTGTCCGGACCCCGCAAATGGCGTCGACCTTGGTTACCCGCGTCCAGTGCCAAAACCTTCCCCGGTTACTCAAAAGCCAGGGTGACTAAAAGGCCCACAACACACTCAAAATACTAATGGACAACTGAATTGTCCCAGTGAGCTGGACTTCCTGCACACATGCACTCTGTTAGTCACACACACACACACGTGGAGCAATGTGTTACAGTAGCTCCTTTTATCGGCCCAACGGGTTCGACTGAGTAGCAAAGGCCTGTATTCAAATCCTGCTCTTGGGCAAACAGAGGATGTAAATTTCTTGAAGCTGCAGCACACTCGCACTCTCGCCATTATTGTGGATCATTACACCTGCTCACTGTCGCTGGCTGGCGCCTCCATGAAGAGGGCCTTGTTGTCGTTAACAAAGCCTGCAAATGAAACGGTCCAGATGTGTTTTAGTTTAGCTTGATTTTTGATCTGTTCATAAAATGTTGGTCATGGTCTCTGTTGTGTGTGTTTTTCACGTTGTGTTGCAGGAGTCGGACACAGCCTCCAAGGGGGGGGCCATGTCTGGTGGCAGCAGCGCTAACAACAGCTGGACCATCCTCACTCCCGAGGTATAAAAGGAAGGGGGGGGAAGCATAGAAAGTCAATGTGAACGACCTAGTTGAAAATGCATAAAAGATGATATGAAAAAATACTTGTCCCAGTTGATTTTTCTTTTGGGTCACCTGGATATTAAGTAGGTTTTCTGTAATAAGACCGTCTTTTGTTTCTTTTCTTTTTTTCCATTTTTATCTACCAATCACAAATGCAAATTGCTTTAAGAGCCACTTGCCTGACAGCCGGTGACACGCTCGCTGCCTTTATTTAGAGTTGCTTCTCTCAGTCACTGCTGGTGCTCTGAAACATTCGGTCAACTGTATGTTCAGATTAGCCTGGATCACGCGAGCAATAAATGCAAATGTTATATGTGCGCAGTGTCCTTTGACCTTATTGTCTGTTTGTTTCAGGAGACTGTTGCTGAAACCCTGCGGCCATTAGCAGAGGGGACAGACAATCATGGAGGAAGCCTCACATCTGCCGCAGGTGTTTTGTCACAATATGTTATTGATTTTAGGATAATTTAGCCACAAGAAAAACATGGTTCTGAGGAACAAAACAATTTCATTTCTAATTTTTGACTTCCTTTCTTCCATGAGCGATGTTAAACTGCATCCTTTGTCTGTGTTTGCTGGTCCAGGTTGTGGGGAGAACCGGCCTGCCGACTGTGCACAGTCTGCAGAGGGGCTCCCTGTGGAGCGCCACCTGGTGAGACCACGGGACGCATCATTTTCTGTGATTTAATCTGTGTCAAACCGCTCAGCAGAATATTATGACTGGCCAACAAAGGCATTCTGCTGTCTTTTAGTTGTTGTTTTTTTAACTAAACCATACTTGAATTGAATTCTAAATTTCCTATCGATATAAATGAAGACCGTTTATACCATAGTTCTGAAATCATTGTGTTCATGTCCGAGCCCCCCGTCTCACAGACAATGGGCTTGAAACATCTGCTTTTCATTTAGGCTCGTTGTTTAAATTTAATCTCAAAAATGAATGTTCAGTGTAATTGTTAAGGAATTTTAATGCCACGATTTTTTTGCCGAGGTATCGAAAGAAGAAAAACCTGCAGAGCTAAGCGAAGACACGAGCACAGAGCTACACCGTCCCGCCGCCGTCACCGACGCGTCCGTTCCCAGCCAGTCAGAGGGACTACCTGAGACCACGGCATCGACTGGCCCCGACGCGGATTCGTTTTCGGACTCCTATGCCCACGTGGCCCCCTCCCCGGATGAGCCCTCGGCCTCGCTGCCGAGCACAGAGACTCTGGGAGGGGTGGAGTTCACGCAGGAGGAAGAGCGTCTCGCAGAGGAAGGAACGCGGCATCAGCTGGACCGGGAGGAGCTACAACAGGAAGGGGAGGAGTCAGACCTGTCTGCTAAACCAACCGACTTATGGAAACAGGCAGGTATGAACAACAAGATTTGACTCTTTTCCTTGTTCGGTTAATAGTACAGTAACCTCAGCATCTGTCTTAATCATGTGTGTGTGTTTGCTAAAGATCATCTCCTGCCTCCATCCTTTCCGTTTTATTTTTTAGACTAAGCCGTGTGTACCATTTGTGTTTTTGAAGTGTACTTGGTGGACCAGCTGGTTATGGAATGGTTCAGTATCTGGGCCAGGAGGTTGTCTGGAGAGGCTGTGGTTGGTACGAAGCAGGGAGCACGATGTGACGGAGCAACCTTTTAGTTGCATGACACTCTGCAGAAGCAAATTGGCTTCAGAGGGACTTGGACCTCCAAACGTTTTTTGCATTGTGGTTAAAAATCTTCTTTTGCTCTATTGTGCATTTCTTTTTGTTCCCTTTGATTGTGCCTTTTGCGTTTTTATAATAAATTGTGATAGTCGCACATAGTTTGGAGACTTTGCTGTTCCAAGGTCCAAAATGGAGCATTCCACTTTCCAGATGTATTATTCAAGTTTTTAAGACATCTCTATGCATTTTGAGGGAAAATAAGGAATGGCAATGGAGCAAATTAACCAGTGTGTCATGCAATGCAGTCTCATCTACCCATGACGAGTCTACTGTGGCATCAGACCGTCACAGCTGCTGGCCTAGATAACATCCTTTTTCTAAATGCAAGAGCAAATATTTAGCCCAATAATATGCAGCTGCTAGAAAATAGCAAACTATTCCGAAATTCAAATTGGGTAATGGATGCCTACACATGAACAGACGCCTGCGGGTGCTCGTAGAATAGATGAAATCCATTGATGTCAGAGTCCAACATACTGACTTTCTAACTCTTCCGTCCCACTGCCACCGACTCCCGTGGGGATGCAGAGGAGGGTGAGGGGAGATCCGAGAAGACCGGCGAAGAGGCGGAGCCAGAGCTGAGGAGGAGGAGGTCTCTTTTGGCTGCTCTGGAGCGTATCGGAAGGACGGAGGAGGAAGAGGAAGTGGAGGAAGAGTTCCGGCTGCCCCAACAGGGGGACGACGACAACGACAGCGGGTTCTCTGTGAACAAGTGCATTCTGGCTGTTGTCATTCTGATAGGCCTGGGCACCATCTTTTTCTCAGGTAGGCATCCCCTGACCTGACATGACCTGTGAAGCAGGTAAATGACCCATTTTGTTTATCTGCAACTGTATTAATGAATAGAAAAGGCCTTAACGTGTCAGAGGAAACTAAGTTATTGTAAGTAAACCAGACAAAGGTTGCTTTGAGACTGAGGTGTATTATTCCTGCAGGTGTCTTCATGAACCTGGATGAGGGTAGGTTATGTGTGTACTTGTTTGCAAATGCTTTATTATTAGTGTGTTTGAATGTGCATGCTGAAAAATCCTGTTCTGCACCTCACACCTCTTTAAAAAGGCTTTTTCTTTTCTAATGCTCTGCATTCAAATGTGTGTAAGCAGAGAACGAAGGATTTAGGCACCTTTTGTAATGAGGCTTACTTTCTATTGTTGAATGAAAACCTTAATAAGCAAGCGAATAATATATATATATATATATATATATATATATATATATATATATATAAAGAAAGATGGGGGTTTTTTCTAGCAAAATGCCAGATTTAGGCCATCTAAAAAACTACAAATACTGATGGTTCAAATTTTGAGAGGTTTTCAACCAGCAATAAATATATAATCAATAATCTTTCACTTAATATAAAGCACATTGTGTGTGTGTGTGTGTGTGTATATATACGCACGAGGAGTACACATTAAATGATACAAATCTTCAATGTTGTTGGGCAGTTGGAATTTTCCCTTTTACATGCATAGCTTGGCCTTGTTTTCCTTGACAGGGTTTTTATTTTTGCATAAACTTCACGCTTTGCATATTCTGTTTGCAGAGAGTGAGTATGGTACTATGGAGCAGAAAGGTGCAGAAGAACCAAGAAAACGGGTCAGTCTGACGTCAGAGTGTCACTTCATTTCTGCTCCTCTATTCTGTCTGTTCTTTCCTACTGCTACTCATTATAAATACCACTTGTGTACCTAGTTTACAAGCACATTGTGTACCACCACAAGAATTCTAAGCGTAACGTACTCCGCAGGGGAACACCCACGACACCGGCGACATGACCGTCAGCGGCCGACTGCTTCTTTAGCCTTTTATTCTTTCCTGTCTCATTTGACACGTACTGTTCTTTCACGTTTTGACGACTCAGTCTGCCGTTGTTCATTTGAAGAATTCATCTAAAATCCTGCCCTTGTGCTGTGAATGCAATTTGTTGACAGGAGTGGCTTAATCCTGAGGTTCCTCCGCTCCCAGTAGATGCTGACAGTTCAGAGCTTCTAAATAAGCAGCAGATTTCTTTGCTGCAAGCCCAACTTCAGGTGTGACTCCATTCTGTCTCTCACCGTATCCCCCTCGTGTGTGTGTGTGTCTGTCTGTCTGTCTGTCTGTCTGTCTGTCTGTGTGGCCACGGTTTAGCTTCTATGCATAAATGTGTCACTGAGTTTGTAATATTCTCCACGGGGCTATTTCTTTTTTTTCTTTCTTTTTTAACAACCAGGAACAGAAAGCGGAGCTAAAAGTAGCAAAGCTACAAGCTGATGAGGGAGTGAAGGGGCGACTGCAGTGGGAGGAGATGGAGAAGGAAAACAGTAGGTTGAAGAAAGAGATGGCATCTCTCCCTGTCCTTCAGAAAGAGAACGAGCGGATGAAGAGGGAGCTGGAGAGTGTCCCGGCCCTACAGAGAGAACTAGAATCACTGAGATCCACTGTGACTGAATTGAAACTCTCTTCAGGTACAAAGGGATAGAGGGAGGAGGTAGGGAGGGAAGATGTAGAAGGGTGAAAGTTATCAGACCGCTAAGGAAAGAGACGTATGTCTACTCATTTTACTGTGTTTAATCACACTTTAATGATGAGTTTTTTGCCTTTTGTGTGTTTCCTTTAGCAGCCAGCGAAGCGGCTCCAGCAGCTGTGAAGTCAGTCACGTCGCCCCCCAGTGGTCACCCAGGGAACGGCAGCCAGGCCTCAGCCGGATCTAAAGAGAGACAGCCTAAGAAGCCGTGGGATGATCAGAAGAAAGATGTGAAGAAGGATCGCATAGGACAGAAGGAGTTGAAAGAGGGAGATGCGTTTGAATGGAAGGAAGGAAAGAAAAGAGAACGCAAAGATGACGGTAAAACAGAATGGCAACAGGGCAGTGAGCAAGGAAAGTTTGACAAGGAGAAAGATAAGGGAGGTAAGCAAAAGCATCACGGTGAGGAGACAAAACAATGGAAGGACAAAGAGAGGAAGAAGGAAAAGACTGGCAGAGAGGATGAGGGGAAGTCATGGAAGTATAAGGAAGGGAAGAAAGAGTGGATAGAAAAGAGTGAGCGAAAAGAAAAGGAGGCGGAAGACTGGAAAAAGACAAATCGTGAGAACAGGAAAGAGGGTAAACAATGGAGGGGTGAGGAGGAAAAGAAGGATTGGAAGGTAGGGAAAGACCATGCAGGGAAGCACAAGAGCAAGGACGAATGGAAGGGAGAGAAGGAATGGAAGAAGGGGAAGGATGTCATTGAAGCAAGTTTGAAAAAAGATTGGAAAAAGAAAGGTGAGAAGAAAGACGGTGACTGGAAGAGTAAAGACGGCAAAACAGGGAAGGGAAAGGATGACCGGAAGCAGCGGGATGAGAGCAAGAATCATGGTAATGAGAGGAAGCTGTGGAATGAGAATGAACAGAAGAATAAAAATGGGAAAGCCGAGCGGAAAAAGGCCGAAGAATCGTGGAAGAGAGGAGGCGAGGGCGATAAAAAGCCCGACGGAGACCGTAAAAGGGACGGATCGAGCTCCCACAGCCACAGAGACGAGCACAAGTCCAGAGAAGGGCACCGGTGGGGGGACGGCGAGCTTCCTCACACACACAGCCGAGCGTCCCCGGGGCAGCCCGAGTACTGGCTCCAGCAGAGGCTCCGCCTCCAGCGCCGCCCCAAACCGCCGCGGCAGTGCGGCTCGGCGGAGACGTGCGCCCGCGCCGAGGGGCTGCTTCCCGTCCCCTTCCCCGAGTTCCGGGCCCTCCTCCAAACTTACCTGGCCAAGGCGGAGGAGGCGGGAGTGGACGCGTCCGAGAGGGAGGAGCTCGACGAGCTGGCCTCCGAGTTCTTCCGGGACGGAGTCTTTGCTCACGACCAGACGAGCTTTCGGGAGTTTGTCGACAACCTGGAAGATATTCTGGAGGACCTGGTGGAAGGAGACGACGACGACGACGCGGGAGGAGAAGATAGTGAAGCAGAGGATGAAATGGAGGAGTTCGAAAGAGAAGTGATTGAAAGGTTTTCAGCGCTGGGAGCTGCGGAGAAAGTGGGGGGGTCCAAAGGGGAGTGGAGGAAGCAGAGTGGACCAGGACGTGGCTGAAGTGATGGCTTAAAGGAATGCCTGACCTATAAAAGGCCATTTATTTCTCATAAATTACTCTTTACTTTGCCTTCTTGAAGGAAACATTATTTTTTTTTTTTCTTTTCCAATTGAGGAAAGTCATGATGTTGTTCTGAGCTTCTTTCAGGAAGTCAAGGTAACCGAGTTGTGAGTAATTGATAAACAAATGGCCGTTTTTGTGGGTGAAGTACAAAAGCCGCCATGACGGATGAGGGGTTATTCAAAGGGAACATTTTATATTGGACCACCAACGCTTCCAAGCCTACATTTATCATCCTGTCGCCCTTTTTACAGGATCTCGTTTGGCCTCTTCCACATGCCCAAGAAGTTCAACTCAAAGGGTTTTGGGGTCATTTTGTATTTTACTCGTGCACACGCAGTAGAAGTTACTAAAGATTGTGCTTTTCAAATAACGTTTTGAGATGAACTCAAGACGGGAGGAGATAAGCTGCTACAGATATTACTGACTCATAATGCATGCATTAAACTTGCTTTAGTACATTTAAAAACTCCACATCTGTACAATTTGCAATTGGTCCCCTGCCGCTAAACTATTGGGATGCAGAAATAGATGCTGTATAGTCTTCTAAAAACACACCTGGGCCTCTGCGAGCTGCACTGATGACGTCTTGTCCGTCCACTGGTTCTACGCTGTACCTGCCGTCTTTATGTACGCTCAGCCCATAATGTCAGACCTTTAAATCCAACGTTCTGGAAAGGGTTATGTGAGCTGCTAAATTTGTGTTTAGAGTAGTCTGCATAGATTTTTGTTTTGAATGTACATAATGCATCAAAGGCTTTTTTAAACTGTGCAGAAATATATAATTAACTTATTTTACATAAGTGGGAAATTAAATAAATACACGTAATTGGTTGGCACGTAAGATATCGACATGTTGAGCATGTTTCTTTTCAGGTACAGAACCCGCGCGCACTGAGCATTTTCTTACATTTAATTATAGTTTCATCATAAGTGTGACATTTGTCTTAACTGGTTAGTTCGGTCACGGCTCGTAGCTTACCAAAAAATCCTGTTTTTCTTGGTGTGTGTTTACACGATAATTTATTAACTCCAGGTCCTTCAGCCTCACAGAAAGTCTCCTGTTGCTTTGTGGCTGCGTAGAGAACTTTTCTTTTTAGGATGTTGACTCTGTTGCTGTTTCAAGAGCACAATAATAAAGATCCCTGTGATATGATAACTGGCTTCTGTCTTTTTATCCCCGCCTTTGCCACATGCAAACATCTCCTCATTGTTTTACCCACACTGATCCAAGGTTACACACACACACACACACACACAGGCTGACATCCTTTGTTTTGTCCGTAGTGGAGGTTAACGGTGTAATCCGTTAAAAGCTGTTACTTATTTGCTGACAGTGCAATTGAACATGAGTGATGTATTGCAGTGTGTCCTTCGCAGGTGGTTCTGGGCCTTTCACCTTGGATTGCCTTTGCCTCACTGATGCAAACTTCTCTTCTGGGAACCTTGTTCTGCTTTTTTTTTTTTTTCTTATAGTGTATGTTCCCTGTCTGGAGGGCTGGCGCAGTTTGTGTCTAGTAACTAGAATACTGGCCTATAGTTCAATGTTGAACCTTATATATTTTATTGGGCAATTTACTTGTGTTGAATACTTTGGTTTGTGGCTTCTACAATTGTGCGTTTAGCATTAGTAGTCGGTGCAAATGGCATTATTTCATTTACTGAGGTGGTTTAAAGATAAAATGGCAGATTCAAATGTATATGAAAAAGTAGAATAATAACAAACCGGTGTGTGAGATAACGGTTCAAATTGTTTAAACATTTTACATCAAAACTATCATCGATGTTTATGTCTCCCTGCATCAAATAATAAGCCCGTCCACTGAATATTTTGAAAACGCTGCACTGTAATAACGGTGGTAATGTCCGACACGCACACACACACATTGCAATGTCTCACAGATCTACTCCTCCGTAATAAAAAACAACCTAATGAACTCTGTGGAAGGAGTTTTTCCCTCATACTGTATTTTTTGTATTTGCATGAAGCATTAAAAGCAGAAATCATTTGTACCCACAAGGCCATCTAGAAATTGAAACATAGACCAAACAAATGCATCAATCATAAGACGAGCAGCAGCATCGGCCCATGAAAAACCCTGAGGAAGGGAGGAAGGCCAAGGGAAGGTGAGGAGAAGAAGACTGCAGACTGCTGTTTTAGGTCTGTGTGTGTGTGTCGTGCAGCGGAGACAAGAAAACTAGTTTAGGGGCCGTTTGGATGAGAACACCATTGTTCTTGTCTGCACTAATTGGCTCCCTAATATGCCAATCGAGCACATCCTGTCAGAGCTTTGGCCAAAGTAACATAGCTCTTTCCGAGATGAAGCCCTAGAGGCTCCTTCTCAGAGGTTTTTGCGACGTAGACGTTGTAATTATATCTGATTTACTGCTTGCTTTGTGCTCTTGCAGCTTTTTGCTCGCAAAGCAGAGAGAAAATGTGACTCTTGTCCACGCATTGGCATGATCGGAGCAAAAACGTGTTTAACTCTTCTCAACTGGCATTGTAAGTTTCCTAAATGGGGGGCGATTTGTGCAGCCATGTCCTACCAGAGGACACTCAGATTGCTGCTGACGTCAATCACGTCATGGAAAAAAGGTCAGTGGTGTTTGGAAAACGTGGTTTACATTTTTACCGGCTGCACGGTTCGGAAAACAGAAGCTGTAAATATTTAGAGGGATGTGAGTAAATGATTTGTTTGCTTCACCAGAAGACGTTGGCTATAAAAAGAGCAGGAAGATTCAATTTACTCGCACACATACCTGAGTTGGTGAGTCACTTTTGTGTTACCGGATGTAATTCTCGCCATAGGATCTGTGTCATTAAGTAACTTCATTTTGAAATTTTTTGTTGTATTATGATCAAACAGCATTTGCCATTTTTTGTCCTTTTCTGGCCCAAAGATTGAATCCTCTTGACTGACAATGGAGGCTGCTATTGGTGTGCTGGTGTCCCAGTTCAAGGCGTACGCTGGCAGCGATGGTTCCACTGACACACTGAGCAGAGAAGAGTTCCACCGACTGGTCACATCAGAGCTCCCAAACTTCGTCAAGGTGAAGAGCGTTGGTTTGACGGAACAATATTGCTTTGTTTTATTAGTTTCCTCCCCGGCGGAATACATCCCAGTAGGTCGAGGGGTTTCACATCAAAGTGCATCCAAAGAAATGTAAATGTGCCGTAAATACACTTTTTTGCTGTGGAAATGTTAAAGGTTAACAATGAGACAATTTTCTTTAGTCGTGCATCGCCCTGCTGCCACCAAAGGTGTTTCAATACGCTCCTAAATATAGTCAGCAAACCCAACAAGTACACTGTTAAATGTTGTTTGTAAGAGCCAGAAGGGCCAGCTTTTTTAGGGGATCAAATTGAATATTTTAAGAGTATAAGTGCGAAACATTTGTATCTTTTAAAATAAGTAAATGGGTCACATCAGACGTCAAAAAGTATTTATTGTTGACAATGCTTTGTTGTTTTTTTCATAGGTTTATTTGACAAAAAAACAGACTAACACCAGCTCTGTAAATCTTAAAATTTTTGTTAAAGTGCATTTTTCAGCCACCTATCAGGAGGACAGGAGCTTAAGCTGAGTACAATCGGTGACTTGTTAGCAGATTTATCTGAACCTGTTTTGTTTGCCGACCAAAAAGCGGCCTTATAAGGACAGATTAATTTTGAAAAAAGTATCATCTGACATTGGCCCTCTTTTTTCTCAGACCGTATAATTAACTCTCAGTCATACTTGTGTTCAAAAGGCCTCCTCTGTTCTACTTGGGCAGATCGTCTGTGGTCATACTGTACTTCTGAGCCAAATAACAGGCCTTGACACAATTATTTTACTCCTTCCTGTGATTCAGTGCACAAAAAACAATTGAATGTGTCATGAAGGCCCTCCGGAGACTTCAAAGTTAGTCACGCCAGTCTTGGGTACATGCCCTTGTGACGTCATGTTAAACTCAGAAAAAGCCCAGAAGGTCACATGGCCCATCTCATTGCAGCGAAGCAGTTGAAGTCCCCCCCCCCCCCCCTTTGGCCACCAGGTGGCGACAGATCTACTGCTCGTTTTTCCCAAATCACAGATGCTGAAGTTGCATAATTTAATTCAAACCGGTGTAGGTGCCTCAGTCTCACCGCCCCGCGCGCGCTAATAACTCACAGATAGCACGTTTATCTCTGCGGCTCCTTGAACATCTCATGTATCAAGCGTCTCTCTCGTTTTCCTGCAGAACGCCGCCGACCCCGCTGGCGTTGACCAGCTCATGACCTCATTGGACAAGGACAGTGATGGAGAGCTCAACTTCATGGAGTTCTGGCAGCTGATTGGGTCTCTCGCTAGCAAGCGTGGGGGGTTCAGCCAATAGTGCGCTGTCCTCGGATCCAGTCAGATCTGTTACAGTTTCGTGCGTGTAACGGACTTGTCCGTGTGCCAAACCTTTTGTAAAAAAAAAGAGAAAACAGCCAAATGGAAAACACCCTGTTATTTTTTGTCTGCGCCTCCTCTTCTCACCAACTGTGTGAGAGAATAGTGATGAAGAATTTGCAACATTTGCCAAATAGAAACCAGTCCTGTTTCTCACACACACACACACACACACACACACACACACACACACACACACACACACACACACACACACACACAGAGCTGCTAGTGTTAGGGAGTTGCACAATGTGAATACTTTGTCGGAAAACTGTCTGTTCGGGTGAGTGGGTTTGTATTCGTGTGTGTTTGTGCTCGCATGTGTGTAGTGTATCACTGCCGTTTCTAATCACTGTAAAACGCATCATGTGATGTTTCTGACCTCCATCTAGTTCCCACAAACAAGAGGCTTTTTTCCCTGTTGGCCGAGCGGGATTTTCTGTTTCAAGCTGGAAAATAAAATGAAAACAGTTTATGAAGAAAAACAAATTCTCTCCGTTATTTGACAACTTGTTCCAAAGTTTCCTTTCTGCTCAGCAGTGTTTCTTCAACAGTTGTACACCAGGGCTTTTAGGTTTTAGGGTGTGGCTTCATCTGTCTGTTAGGAAAGAGCTTTGAACGCACGCGCACACACGCGCGCACACTTATACTTAAGTGCACTCTTGTTCCTACATGTTTGAGAGAAAATATGTCAAGATAAAACCATCAGAATAACAAGTATAAAACAGACATTTATACATTAAACCACATTACAAAAGTCTTATTAAACACCGGGATGGTCCGAGAATAGTGAAAAACAACAGTGCTCCTTGGCTTATAAGCTGCGCCTCTTTCACATTCCTTCTCTCCCGGCACACGCCCTGTGACAATGAAGGGGGGAAAAAAGTGGGCTGGAGTGAGAAGCTAAATCACGGAAAAGATACGTGTTGCTGGTTCATCAAGGGCAGGACTGAAGAGGAGGGCCTGACAGAGAAGAAGGAGCGCAGGAGCTGAACTACGTTTCTTGCCTTTTGTTTCCCGGACCTAACGGTGAGTCTCCTACTGTGACACTAATACTAGTTTGTTTGTTTGTTGTTGTTGTTGTTTTTACTGCCCGTCTTCCACTGTGCTTGATTGTGCCGTTTTCCAGCTCAGTTTTAGCTTTTCATTTCCACAGCTGCGCGTCCCACATGCGGCATAATTAGCGGGCGTCTCCGTTGTCGGCGGCGGGGATCGGGTTCCCCGCGGCCACCCAACCCGCAGCGCCTTTACACTTCCAGGGAAAGCGGAGCCTCGACTCGCGTTTACTTATTTATCCGCCGCGTGTCAGTCCGGCCCCTGGTCCGGCCTGCAAGAAGCCGGGCATCACTGTCGGCGACGTGCACATGTTGGGACGCGGCCGGGTGTAAAAAAAACCCCGACGTCTCCGCTACGCGCACGGCGCGCAGTTTGCGCCAGAGCCGCTGGACGCCCCCCCCCCCCCTTCATTCCGCCTGAATTATTGACGTTATGGGAATCGGATGGGTTCGACCCTGGTGTTTAGTTAATGAGGCTCCGGAAGAAGAAGAAGAAGGAGGGAAAAAAATAGCGACTTGGGCGATGACAGGTGACATGGAGTGAGTCCAGGGTGGAGCCGATCGCCGCGATTTGTCAATGCGCACGCGCTCAGGGAGTATCGGCTATTGTCGTGTACTAAACGCTGGTAAAAAGGTACACTGACCACCCCCCCACGCCCCCTATAGATCCATCTGTGTGTCCGCTTGCTCAGTTGGAGGGGTGTCGGGATGACTAAGGGTGGGTTTAGGTGGCCCCACCTGAGTTATGAGCACAACTGGTTTGTACTTGTCGAGCCTTAAAGCCGGCGTGCAACTTTTACGCAACTCGCACGTTCGTCATGCTTTATTCGATGGATCTTCTGGGAGGAACTGTTTACATTGTGATGCATCATCACGCCTGCGGCGAATCAACGCCGCAATAATGCACAAATGACACGATACGTGTCCAACCGCCCTTTAGCCGAAGAAGTCCTCACATCTTTGAAAAGGGACTAACCTGAAAATGGAGGAAGAAAACAATTATAGGACAAGACAGGCCATTTTGTGCTGTTGGACTCTATCCTAAGTACATTCACAACCTCTGACTATATTATCATGACAAATTCAAATAACCAAACTGAGGCCTATTTTACAATGTGTGGATTAAAAAACATGTTTTTTCAGATGCTGCAATCCTTTCTTTCCGATTTAAAATTACGTTTTGCAACTCGAGGCCTGGAAATATAATTCAAAAAGGAAAAGATATCTCTCTGTCATTAACCTGGTGATAATCCGGCTGTATTCAGTCAATGATGAGTCACACGTTGCTTTTTTAAAAACGTTCATGTGTTTTGACTCACTTGACCCAAGTGCGTGGTGCTTTTATAACAATACAACTGCACAACAGCGTCTACTAATGCATTCAAACACTGCTCTGGGCCCCACACAGGCATTCATTACCCCTGACTCATGATCATCTGCAGGCTCCGCATGCACCGAGAGCCCGAAGGACGCCTTCATTTGTATGCTCGGCGCAGTCGGGCCACAGCTTGCTCTTATCTGACGAAGCCCCGCGACATGTTCCCTTCTGTGTAATTGTCTCCGGTTCTGACCCCCGACGACTTATCGTATCCAGCTCATCTCGTTCCGCTCAGAGAGGACGCTACCGGACGTGGGCCTGTCGGGCGTTTTTGATTGCGACCGTGCTGCTGTTCCTCTTGTAGCGGGTGACAGGAAGCGTTGGGACCAATTCAGTACCCCATTAAATAATGATGACCAGCATGCCGGTGACAGATGTCCAATTGTACGCAGCAAAGTTGTGTGTCGATGCCGTGTTTGTGTGTGTGTGCTTCCATGGCATGTAGACATGAAACTGAATCCGTGGTTTGGATGCTGATCCAGCAATGATCTCAATGCTACAGAAGTCCAAATCTTGTGTCCTTGTGTGTCGTCCAGTGTGCGTGGTGCTGACATTGGGGTGTGACAACTGGGTCAGACGTGAGATTTACCTTCTACAGTTACTCCAAAAAACATCACCCCGGTCCCCCGACGCTGTTACCCCTGATAGTTTCCGACGCGCGGTGGAAACCCCGCAGCAGATAGCTATCTGCAACTCTACCCGAGTATCTGCAGCTTCCATTCAGGCCTTTTCATTTTCTGAGTGCAGTTGAATTCGAGATGTTGTTTGTTGAGACAACGGAAAAAAAGATGGGAGCAGAAATCTCGGGAGAACGTTTTTTATATGTCTGGATTAAGTTGTTCTGGTCGTAGATATAACGTTATGTCCCAGTTTCATGACAAAATAAACAGCACAGTTGTTTTTAATAGCTGTTTTTGCATTTAGACTCGACCAAATGTATCATTGCCATGCTAACAATAATTGACTGTTTTTCTACCAGAAAGAAATGATGCAATACCTGCGGTTTGAGCTGTGAGCGGCTCCTCTATTTCATATCTGCATTGCATTGTGAGATAACAGGCCGCTTTTATTGCAGACCTTTCAGAGTGGGAAGAGCGTTGCGTGTTACTATTAACACATTAGGGGTGTTCATCCTTCCAGGTCCCAATAAGCAGTTAGGGGAAAGAACCCGAACTTAAAACCGCTTGTCTGCATTGCGTTAGCTGAGGAATTTGGCTTCACGTGACTCTGATATCCTGTCGACAGCACAAGCCTTAGAGGCTTTTTCCCCGAGTTCTGAAGCAGCTATGTGCGTTTTTCTTTTTAGTTTCTACTCGAGCGCAGTGTGCAGAGTATTCCTACAATGTGAGGGGGGGGTGTGCAAGCAGCAGGCAGCAGGCCGTAATCTGAACCTGGATCCTCCCGATGGCTTCTGGGGATCAGATGTCCACCGCCAGAGATCAGAGCTCCCATTGTGTTTCCCTCAGAGACTCCCCTCCTCCACGAGCTTCCATCACTCCCTCCCTCTCGCTCCGTTAACCTCAGAGAGCCTCTGGGGCGCGTCCGTTCCCTCCCCCTGCTCCTCCTCGGCTGACAGCACTGCTGAGCCTCACCTTCCTCACGCGTTTATGTTCAGGAGGCATATCTAAACATATCATTTAATAGCGTATGTTATCCACACGCATGCTCCATACGACACCAGAGAATTACATTGGCCTTCACCCAAATGGCAATTCTGACAAGTTTGCTTATTGTAGGAGGATGTGGTTTTTATCGTGTATTTTCATTTAGGATTTTTTTTCATTTTAACACATTTCACGACATGATATTTTCATGTTGATAAAACAAACTGTACCCAACGGCATAACGTCTGCGTGCCTGAGATATGCCCACATGGCTTCCTGCCACGTCCACCACTCAATCCTCCACTTGTTCTCCTTGTCTCTCTCTCCTTAGATATGGAGTCAGCCATTAAGACGGTGGTGACCACGTTTCTTGGTTCTGCCAAGGGGAAAGATAACTTGGATGGGGGAAGCTTCCAGAAACTGGTAAAGAAACAACTTGGCGGCATGATGGAGGTGAGAAACGTGTTGGCGTCCAACATCAGAAATGGCTTTATGCGTATGCGCACATAAGAAAGTGAATCCGTTTTTTCGATAGAAAGTTCTAACGTAGAAAATACAAAAATAAAAAGGAAAAAACAAGGAAAAATAAAGGAGAACCGATATTACCAATTAACTACCATGTCAAAATATAAATATTTACACAAAGGTATGTACATATATGAACATAAAAACAGAAACAACGACCATCAAACAGAGGCCATAGTGCTACATCACCCTTTTTTACATACAAAAAACAACTCAGTTTATTGGAATGATTTATTTTCAAGCATAACTAACATATTCTGTCCCCCTTAGAATGCAAACGTCTCCTCTGCCGTTAAGGAGATGCAGCAAGGTTTGGATGAGAACAACGATGGAAAGGTCAGCTTCCAGGAATACCTCACTCTGATTGGCTACCTGGCCACTTCACTCAGTGAGCGCAAGACTGGATCCAATGCAGATGCATCGTAGATGCCTGTGTTTAGATTTTTTTTGTTTCTGTTCTCGTTCAAATGTTTACCCGAACAATGCATAACAATTTTACATTTAATCAATCAGTCCATGCTCTTAATGACTGTTCACACCATATTGATCTCCATTGTCAAGGACACATTGAAGGACTCTAAACTGGAAGTATCTTCTTTTAAAAGAATTATACAAAAGATACTTATCGTACTTTCCAAATAAATGATTTGTACAATAACACTGTTGTGTGCAGTTTTTATTTGGTCTTTATTCAGATAAATACTTTATATGTGTACATGACTTCCAAATGAAATAAAATTCAGTGGGGAAATACTGTGTGTGTCCTTTGGTTGTGCATTGTCCCACAGGCACTGCTGCAATGATACCTGCATATTTCTCCCATAGACACCAGAGACACGTACTAAATATAGTTGTGACATGCCTGCGTGGTCAGACTCTGCAGCCTTTAGATGCATCAACTATTGCAACCAGATCCTGACATACAGTACACGCTTCCTATTGTGCACCCTCCTCCACTCTGCAACACAATACATACACACGTATGGTGCATACAAGCGCACACACACTGCGCTGACACAATATACTGCAGAGATAACACTCAAGCAAGAAGATGAACTTACCAGGACGGCGGATCGATCCCACCCTTCATGACATCTTGCGGTGCTCGTGCATTAAAGTCGATGGCGTGAGCTTTAGTATAACCTTCCAGTCCTTCATCGTGCACCATCATATGGGCTTTTGTCATTAGGTGGTGGGTTTTGGAGCTCGAAGGTGTGAATGTGTGTGTGTTGCATTCACATGTCCACCTGTGTTTTGCGAAGTTTAAACCGGTTCTTTGTTTCAACAACAAGAATGAAACGGTTGTGCAACAAAGTGCTGTGGTGGCTTTAGGGAATGGCGATGGGATGGCGTGTAATTGATCAAAGTATGAATGTTGCAGACTACTTCCATCTCTAAATGGTCGATTTACACTTGATATCCTAACTTCCATACAGAGAGTAAGCCCACTCATAAAGTATTCATACATGGCATTTGAGTTTGGCTTGTGGACACACTTCAATTTACCTAATACTGTAGTTACATTTCCATTCATTTTTCCATTGACGGCATGTTGTCCCTGAAGAAGGGGGGCAGAAGCACCTTCCATGTGTCCATTTAGAGCACAGCAGGTGTCTGATGCGTAAACAGAGATGGAGGAGGGCGCGTAGGTGGGATGGGTGGACTGAGGCACGTATTTAAGACGGCGTCCCTCTCATCCTCCTCATTAGTCGCTCTTGCCTTTTCTCTGTACACTTGACCAGCAGGCCGTCGCTCCTCCTCAGGTGAGACATGATGCAGACCACAGACTTCAACTCTGAAAGCTGGGTCTCTATTTTCCTCCATCGGGTCTATTTTGCCTGTTAAATGCAGTTTTAGGGGTACAGCCACTGCACTGTGCTGTCTGTAAGGAAAGCTCTCTGTTTACTCAGCGATAACGTCTAGAACCTTAGTTTATCTTAAACACAGCTCGCCAAATACGTTTTTTCGATATATGTATTTTTTTTTTTTATTCCCCTGACTCATGAGAATGAGGCGCATTGTGTCAGCAGGCTAAGATGTGATGGACGGTTCGGAAAAGCTTCAGAGGGGATGTAGGTCTCTGTTTTCTGCCATCCGGTGGAGCTAAAGTAAAAGGCAGATCAGGTTGCCTCAGCGAGTCCTGGTTACATCTCCTCCGCTGGTTTTTGGCTGTTTTGCCAGCTTGGAGTTTCACTCTTATCAGCTGGCTCACATGTCCGGCTGCTGTCAACGTCCTGACTTCCAGAGGTCGTCTCGCTGGGGCGAAGCAACCCACAGATAGTGGATTTGTTCAATCTGTTGCAGGATCTTATCAGGAAAACTGTCAGAGAGGAAAATCTCCTGATGAGGAAACAGCTAGACAAACTGGACCACTGTGCCGGGGTTTCCGTTTCTTCCGAATTCCCCTTTCCTGTTAATAAATAGAAGATAATTTCATAGCTATGTCAGTGACCTGGCCTACTTGGCCTATGATCACGTTTTCTCTGCTCGTCTCTCCACGCATCTAATCCTCTGTCAGTGTGTACACGGGGGGGAAAAGGGAGATGTGCGTGCAATTGTGTACGTGACAGAGCAAACTAGAGATTTTAACATGTGTGGAGTTACTTGTGCTCCATGCTCCTTGCAGGTAGAAGTAATCTCACTCCTCCTCCACTTTCTTCTTATTCCATCTCCAGAATGTCCATGCCCAACTCCGAGAACGCCTCCACCCTGGAGAACGCCATGCAGCTCCTGATCCAGACGTTCCATAAGTACTCTGGGAACGAGGGGGACAAATACACACTGAGCAGGGCTGAGCTCAAGGAGATGCTTACCGCAGAGCTTGGCAACTACTTGGGGGTAAGGAGATACTTCAGGAGACAAGCACTCACTCACACGCGTGTAATAACCGAGCCGGCTTACGTTTGCGTTATCTGCCATCACGCGTGCAGAATGCCCAGGATAAGGAGGCGGTGGACAAGGTGATGGGGGACCTGGATTCCAACAACGACGGAGAGGTGGATTTCACAGAGTTCATCATACTGGTCGGAGCTCTCACCGTGGCGTGTAACGACTTCTTCCTGGAGTACAACGACAAGCCGGCGAAGAAGTAGCGGACGCGAAGACGTCTGCAAGGCCACGTGATCAGGAGGGGAAACAGTTCAGACAGGAGAGACGGTCATCATCTCATGGACATTCACACACACACACGTCTAACAGCCACCAAAGCAGTAAATGTCCAATCGTTACATTACTCCAGCTGTGTGTTTTGCAATGTGAACATCTGAAGAGTTTAAGTCGGTTTCAACACTTTTCATTGTTGAATATATGAATACTTCTCTCTTTCTTTTGGGCTTTTTGTGTATTTTATAACACATTCAAGCAAAGGAATGAATAAATGTGCCCCTTTACTCAAACTATACAATGTGAGTGGTACTTTGTTTCACTAGAGAAGATGAGTAAGAATACAGGGGGGGGGGGGGGGGGGCACTAGGTGGCAGCAAATAGCCCTCCATTGAATCTGAGTATAAAGTAACTAGAACACTTACAGCACTTGAATTCAGCAGATTTGGACGTAGATTGGAGATAAATAAATGAAGAGATATCTGTGTTGAATAAATGAATGTTACGGTGCAATAGTTAACTCTGTCCAGGTGAGATGTCCATTGTTTTGAGAAGATACCGACTGTATTGTGTTTTTTCTGCAGAATAATGAGAAATTATAGTGACCTTGGCTGGGCCTACACCCAGCTTTGTTTTCCTAAAAAAAAAAAAAAAAGCACAGCGGGACTGTAAAGGTATGTGAGTGTGTGTTTATGCGTCTACAACAAAGGAAGTTACCAGCATGAAAATCAAAAAGCCAGGAAACGGTTCTTTCTTTCATTTTATCCTGTGGTGAAAGATTAATGGGAACTTTGGTAATACTGTGATTTACTGACTATGGGTTACCTCTGTATGTATGTGTGCGTGTACTTGTACTACTTGTACCGGGGTTCAGACCTTCCGATTGAGGACGCTTTTGAATATCCAGGTATTTATTTCCTGTCCTTACTTTGGGACAGACCTCAAGAGGCCTATTGGAGGGTTCAAACTATGCTTTATATTGTTTAGGCTTCCTTAGGTCACGGTTAGGTGTGGGGGGGGGGGGGCAACGACCATCACAAAAAAACAAAAGAAGTTTAAAGTTAGGGTATGGTTATTATTCCGGAAATAGCGCTTGTGGTTAGACTGTGTCTCCAGGGAATGAATGTAAGTCAATGTAAAGCCCTCTGAAGTGATGGAAACACGACATGTCCATGTGTAAGTACGATATCAAAAACATGCCACACGGACGCACACTTTGTTTAATCTCAACCTACAACCTTTATTGGACTGGGTTAGGTGTGCACAGGAGCAGATTCGAGAGCCAGGAACGAGAAGGGTGAGAAGCGGCGCAGCATGATGAGAGAGGAAGTGAAGAGAAAGGAAGTGGAGTGGAAAGGTCGAAAAGGGAGAGGAAAACAGTGCACAGCGGCACTTCTGTCCGTTCGGAGCCGTGCACGCTACAGTTTTCACAGGTCTCTGACAGGCTTTTCACACTTGCTTGGGATCTGTTGGGAATCCCCCCTCCCACCCCCGTGGGTAATCCCATCCTCTAGAGACAGAGAGAGAAACGCACAGCTGATCGGAGCAGCCGCACAGCCTTTAACAACTCACAGCGAGTGACAAGATTGTCCATTTCTTTACACTATTCATCATTAAGTGAAAAACCTTTCGCCCAACCTTCTCGTTTCATTTCTGCGTTTGCATTTTTCATCTGTAACTTATTGCGAGGTGCGGCTGCTTCAGCATAGGCCATCGTGTAATTTCTCTCTTGTATATATTGGAAACGTATTTCACCTCCACTCCCTGCATCCCTGAAAAGGCCTTTTGTTTCGCGCTTGGTTGCCAGTGAAGCCGCTGAGCATGAGGCAAAAAAAGCCGGATTAGCTGGTTGATTGTAATGAAAAGGTCTTCAGAGAATGTAGGTAATTGGAATAAATGTCAGAAATGTGTTTGTCTGTGGAAGACCAGATAAAGTAGAGCTGGAGAGAGGTCTCCAGGGATTAAAAGGAAGGAGGGGGAGGAGGCACGTACGTTATCTGAACACCGTAACTGACGGATGTGATAGTACATCTGGATGTGGGGCAGACACAAGAATTCACGTATGCTCGGAAGAATACATACAGAAATATGAGATTACAGATCGGTACACATAATAGCTTCATTTTCTCTTTCTTCCGTCACTACAATTTCATTTTCAGCTGATCTTTGCTCCGTCACAACTGACCTCCTCAGTAGATACTCGATTTGAGGGACATCGTGTTCCACTGTCCTTCATATGAGAGTTCGTATCCACCTTCTTGGCTCAGATTCCTCCATGTTTCTGCAGCCAAACTCATCTCACTGCAGCTGCGTACCCTGGCACAGCAGGCTGCTGCTGTCCTCTATTATAGTGAGCATAACCTCGTCCATGCATATATTACTTTATCTCTTTCATCGAATAATGCAACCGAAAGAAAGTTGAATAATTCAAGTCCCCTCTATGTATTTTCCTTCACAATCCCTTGCTCGTACACATTGTGTAACAGTGTGCATATGCCAGGCCGTGTAGTACAGTTTATATATCACATTCTTGTTTAATCTATACAATCATACAACACACCATAGCCTCTCTATCAGCAGCAGACCCTTGCATGAGCGAACACAGAGAAATCTTAATAATATATTCCTAATGCTATAATGTGGTAAGCCGCTATGCTATGATAAAATAAACAGAATCAGCTCACCGACAAAGTGAATTTCTGAAAATGCAAAAGAATCTTGATATGAACCTCCCCTTCCCTTTCTGATTAGCTCCCTGTGACACCGGTCAATACCGAGGACGAGTAATGTCATGGTAGAAACACGCCACGTGTCAATCAAGCAGGGTGTTGAGAGGCTGGCAGGAGGTCCGACGAGGTGAAAATCAGAGCATCCTCATTCTCCGACTGGCCGAAGAGGGGAGCAAGGAGTGACCTTTCCACCAGGAAGGGGAGGTCAGTCCAATAAACATCTGGACAAAAAGCAGGTAAAAGTATGATGGGGGTTTTCCTTTTTTACTTCATCCAAGAAAAACTGTTTGTTCGTTGAAAAAACGTTACTATAAAGGTAATGGGCGTGATTGCTGTTCAGTTCCAGTCCTGGTTTTTCAGTTCCATCGACACAATAAAACCCGGACCTGCCCCCCCCAAGCCCCCGCCTCTGTTTCTTGTCCTGCTGTGCCGATTGGTTGGGGGAGCCGTCGGGTCAGCGTGTTCTCGGCCTGGGATTGGTCAGCCCGGCGAGCTGGTGATGGTCTTGACTGTGTAATTCTGGTAAAGCGGCTGCATGAACATGCCCAGTGTCCCAAAAACACACACAAACACAAAGATCCACAGGAAGAGGCGGTCGATCACCATGGCAACGTACTTCCAGTCCTCGCTCACCTGTGATTAGGGAGAAAAGGAGGGTTTTAGGACAGGCTGAAGAGACACATTAAGGTGTCCACAATCCCAGCGCTCGTCTTTATTCTCTCAATAACTGTCCTCCTGGCTTTGGGGTTAATGGAGGTGAAGGGTTAATGTGAGCGGAGACTCGTTCTGCCACGTGGCTCTGATGAGATCCGACGCGAGTCAAGGAGGAGGGGGAGAATGTAAGAGATGAGAGACGGGCGATGGAGGGGAGGGAAACAGAGGGGTGTGCTAACACTGTAACCCCTGCAATGATGACTGGGGGAAGGGAGGGAGGGATGGGGGGGGAAGGGGTGCACTGTGCCAGGATTGTGGTCTGACTTTATTTGAGGATGGCTAACTGCCGGTTCAGTTCCCTTCATTCTAGGATTGAGAGCTGCTCTCCTACGAAGCCTTCAGGCGACGAAAGATGACACCGTGTGGCCGCCGTCCTGGCTCCTCCACTCCAGCACTTCTCCAGTTGTGCTCCTTCTCTATGCACACGTCATGCCGCTGCTATTATTACATGTCTGTGGTGAATATTCAGGGAGCTATGATTACGTCAGCGGATCTGTCTGCTTTGCTTAAGCGCCGGTGTGGTCCCCCCCCCCCCCCCCCCCTGCGTTTCAAATGGCACAGCTAGAAGGGACTGCTGGGACTGAGGCAAAGATCTCTGCAGCTCTCGGGGCTTTTTCGAAGGGACAATTTTTGCCAAGATTCTATTCTCACGAAACAGATAATGATTTTTTGTAATACATTTATTAATGATCTGATTAGAGAGGAGCTCAACTAACGTCTGTTTTCTTCACAGATATATTGGTGGTATCATTTGTTTTGGCAAGAAATTGCAAAGCCGTAAACTGCAACAATTAGGGACCTACTAGCCTTTGTCCTTTTGTATTTGACCAATATAATTGTACAAAAATAGAATTGACATTATCCCATTAAAAAAGCTGATTTAGTGAACGTGTAGCTAACAGGTTAGCGGCTGATTTATGCAAATCCAATATTTAAGGAATCTCTGTCTCTTTAGCTGCTCCACTGTGTTCTCCACTGTGTTAACAAGCAAGACGCTTTCAGTCGCTTGGTGCTGGGCAGGCAGAATAGATAAGTTAACAGTTTCAAATGGTTACTTTAATATTGATTATCAGTCAATATATGTTTTGTCTCACTTTCCCCCTAAAAAGCCCAGTCAGGCTGCGATAAGGAGCAGAGACTATAACTATAATGTAACTCTCAGATGATCCTGATGATGATACTCACACTCTGATCATCGTCCTCACTCTTCATGTGGTTGGCGATGAAGCGAACTCCCTCCACGGCCTCCTCAAAGCCCGGACAGGCCTGAGCCAGCAGGGCCTGAGTCAAAGCGGGACCTCCTGCCGCTTGCTTCCCGCGCGGCGTGTTTCCAGAGGCCCCCCCCTCCCGGCTCTCCCTCACCCTGTTCAGACTATCCATGGACCCCCCGCCTGCCCCGACCAGATCCCCTCCGAACTGCTTAACGGACGCCCGGTTCACGTAGCAGGTACAGGGGTCACTGTCCTCCTTGCTGAACACCCCCGTGGAGGTCCCGCCTCTGTTGCCGCTGGCGTTGCCCAGCCCGAGCCCCACCATCAAGGCCCCCGCCTCCCCGCTGCGCCCACCCTCCTTCTGCTCCTGGGCCCGCCTTCTCTGCCGCAGCCTCTGGCGCTCGCAGCTGTTCCTGGGCTGGCGCATGAAGAGCAAGGCAGGAAGCTTGTTGAGGAACACCAGTTTAACCCACGGCGGCATGGTGTGTGTGGTGGGCGAGCGGTGGTGCACGTTGAGCACGCACACGCTGGTGACGATGGAGAAAGTGACCAGGACCATGGTGAACATCAGGTACTTCCCCACCAGCGGGACGTCCAGCGACGTGGGGGGGACGATCTTAGAGATCAGCAGCAGGAACACGGTGAGGGCCAGAAGCACGGAGATGCACAGCGTCATCTTCTCTCCGCAGTCGGAGGGCAGGTAGAAGACCAGGATGGCCAGCGAGGTGATGAGCACGCACGGGATGATGAGGTTGATGGTGTAAAAAAGTGGCTTCCTGCGAATGATGAAGTCGTACGTGATGTCCACGTAGGTGGGGTCGGCCGGGTTCTCGTTCCTTCTGCCCGGCAGGGCGATGATGTCCCACTCGCCGCTGGGCGTGAAGTCGTCCATGCTGGCCACGTCGGCGCGGAGAACCAGATCGATCTCGGTGCGGTCGTACGTCCAGGAGCGGAAGCGCAGCGTGCAGTTCTGCTGGTCGAAGGGGAAGTGCTTGACCTCGATCTTGCAGGCCGACTTGTAGATGGCCGGGGGCAACCAGAAGATACTGCCGTCGTAGGAAACCACCGCGTTGGAGTAGAACGACACCTCGTACACGCCGTCAGCGCTGAGGCAGAGGAAGCGGGAGAGGACAAACACAAGGAAACGAAGCGTCAGACATGAACAGAAACCTTTGTGTGACGATTTAATTAAAAACCTATTTTATAAAAAAGTATAATGAGAGCCATATGAACGTTTGAACGTGACGCCTCTCATTTTGCAGTATGGGTTCATCAAAGCGCTCTAGGACACACACACACACACACACACACACGGGTTCGGAGGCTTTGAGGTGTCTCAGAGCTACAGGATCACACGGACCTGCTCCTACAAACACGAAGAACAGGATGAACATGAGGTCTAGACAGAAGACGCAGCTCATCGGCCAGACTGGGTGGAGTTACACCGCTAAAATTAGACACTTAGGTCATTGTTCAGCTGACTACATTAAAGGTTTATATTGAATTTCCATTTTACTAAAGCGTTTGACAAGATAACTAATTCATTATGCCTTTTAATGTTCGTCACATATGCAAAAGAATAATTCAAAGATTTTGATTGATTACACAATTGACAGAAACGCAGACTTTCTTTTTAGCAAATTTAGTGACAAAATCAAACCGTTTCCTACGTTAATCCTCCTGTTCGGGTGCCTGACAGGAGTCGGAGCAGTGGAGAGGACTGGGAGGATATAGCGTTGTCAACCTGGGGTTTGCTGGATTAGGAGGATCATTTTAACCAAAGTGCCCGGGATCTTTTAATCTTTACTAAAGTAAGGACAGAGGCAAGGAAAGAGGAGAAGGCCAGACGGATCACTGGACTCTGATGAGCTGATTTACATACTGTAGGCTGACACTCAGTTTCCATTACATTGAGACTAGTGATCTGCATCCGTCGCGCAGACATGCAGACTAACTGGAATGAAAGAATAACAAAGTTTCTCTTTCATACACGTGATGCATTCATGTTAAATGCATTGAAGATAAACCTAAAACTGGGTTGACAGCAGTGTCAGATAACGTAAAAGTATTTCAACCTAATTAAAACCAGATGTATATTTGATATACTTTTCAGTAAAGTTACACAAATGGGTTTCTTTGTCACTGTGTGCACTGTACCCGAGAGCAACTTGAAACTGACCAGGTGCTTTTTCAATTTGCCCAGGTACAGGTTAATCTAGGCCTAACTAAAATTAAAATGCAAATACTGAGTTAGTTATCAAGTTTCTCAAGCCGATGAAGAGATAAACCTCACACTTATTAAAATGAGTAGAAAAAAGAATTTTGTCACTTTAAGGTGCTGTATAGCAATGCAGCGCGAGTGATATGAGCATATTACAGTCACATGGGGCCTTGCACAATGAAACCTCTGGTATTTAATTGAGTTTCTTATCCAAAGCGATTTACTGCACAATGCCTGCAGCTGGATAAAATACGCTTCAACACGTTAACATTTCAATATGAGACTTGTACAGTCTCGTGTGTCTTCAGGGAGCGAGTGAGTGACTCACTTGTTGTAGAGCACCACGTCAGGCAGCCAGATGTGTTTGGAGGGCAGCCTGACCTTCAACATCCCGTCAAACTCCTCAGGGACCCAAGTCAGCCGATAGTCCTGCCACTCCTGAGGGCCAACAAAAACAAGGCGCTCCATCACTCGTGTGCCAATCGCGCTGCAACAAGAGTGGAGGAGTGCGGAGAAGCTCCGTCTGTCAGTCAGTGGTCAGCATGACCCCTCGCTGGCCGGAGGAACGTCCGGTGCCGTGTCCCTCTGTGCTTACATCACATTCTTAACTATAAGCCACACAAAGAGACTGAAGTGCTCCCGCCAATCCCGACACAGCCAAAGGCCAATCAGCATGATTACAATATCTCCTTTACGTTTACTACCTCCCGTAACAAAGTTGTTTTGTTGTGTGCATTTATTATTTTAGCAGGTCTTGTAAATTGGTATTTTAATTTTGACTTTAATTAAGTATTGCACTTTTAGCTAGACTTCATGTTGCATCTGTTACAAAGGGAAACATTTTGCTCAAATCTCAAATCTTTCCTCACTGGCCAACGGCGAGTTGGCGAGCATGCTGAGTGACGCAGCCTCAGTGTTTAAGAGCTGTGTGCTGTAGAGGTGACGCGCTGAATGTCAAAATGCTAATGGCTCACTTTCTACCTCTGTGACGGGTTTGAGCCCTTTCTACCGGAGAGCCGCGTCCAGATAAAAACGTTATTGAGCTCAGGGAGGGAAGTGGGACGGGAGGACCGGTTATGCTGGGACAGAGACACTGAGAGGACCGGCCGTGGTTTGGACACAGAGGCTGAGAGGACAGGTTATTCTGGGACTTGAGGCTGATTTTATAGTTTTCACTGTTCATTTCAAAAGATGTTCATGCTATGTGGTGTCCTCGTCTTGTTTATGGTTGATCCCTAATTAATCTTTGTCTCTTTTCTGGTTAATCATTGGGGGACAACAATAAGACAACACTAACAGTATTATCAGGTGTCCCTTCTTATGTAACCCAGCAACATGGAGGCCTACCTACATTTTCTTTATACCTATAATAAATATATTTTAGGTAAAAAGGCCTCTCAAAATACTGTAGTACACTTTTCACCTGTGCAATAATGCACCCCTTGTATCAGCAAACATCCTCACGTCCTCTGGGCAACCTTCTTTTTAAAGACAGCCTCATCCTGTATGCTGTGGGTCGCTCATTGACATTACCCCACGAATCCTCGCTGACAGCAGCTCTATCCGGCTCCTCCACGTTATGGCAATGTTGGGAGCTGTAATGCTCATGTTGGGCTCATCTGCAGTAACGGTGATGCATTATGGTCATTACAGTCCTCGGCTGCTCTCCTTAGCGGTTGCAGAGGATACATGTCATGAATCTTGACTTGGTCAGGTGTGTGTAACGTCAAGCAATAAACAATGCAATCAAAAGGCAGCATGGGCGACATGTTTCAGATGGATCTAAATTAACATCTAGAATGAATGTACATTTGTGTAATTATATATACTTCATACTAATAAAGCAATAATAAAGCAAGCACATAGGTTGACCATGAAACTGCATTTGTATACCTGATGCGTGTAAATGTGTACACATACATGTTCTGCCAGCCTTGTAGAAGCGTGTCACAGCTCAGTCACGTTACTCACAGAGTGAAAAGTCATGTTAGGATTCATCGAAATCCACAAACTGCAAACTTCACTAGTTGAGTAACAGGGGCACAGCATTTGTCGCTATCACCATTTACCTGTGATTTGACTGCAAGAAACAAAAGATGTGTGTTGGCTACTCATAACTTTTCATATTCCTCCTGTGAGATTTGTTTTTTATATGTCTCTCTCAGTGTCTGACACATTAACATGTCATCTGCTGCTGCTCCACATGAGGAGAGGATCAGACTCGACTATAACCAGGAAAGGATCTGTCCCCATCAGCTCGTATTCTCTACGGTCCAATGATGTAACACTGTAACCTCCAAAAAACCCAAAATTGAATTTTTTTTAAATTCCCAGTAATATATGAGGAGACAAGTCTCACCTGTGTTAGCCAGACATTGGTGGTCATCACTTGCTCTCTTTCATGCTGCAGAAATAAGAGACATGTATTGTAAATTAGAAAACTGTGATGAAATGTACAACAACAATTATGACGGGTTAAAAGACGTCTCGTTGACAGATTTTTCTAAAGTGGCACAAGATAAATGCAGCAAAGTCAAAATAACCAGATGTGAAGTACCTACAGACCGAGTCAAGCGTTATTATGCAGCTTGATGGTGTCCTGCATTCCTTGGTAGTTTATTAGCTTTTTAGAACGAGAAAGAAATTGAAGTGTTCAAGCGCACGCTGAAATAACCCTGATGACCACACATGTTAATTACCCAGGTTTTAAAAGCCACGATCACAGGAGACTTAATAAAACGTTTGTTGAGTAGCACTCAACATGATGAGTTAATCGATCTCTGTGTGTAAAATCTGTGAATTGGACCATTAACTTACGCAAAGATACTCTGCAGTAATTAATTTCAGTTTCAGCTTGTTCGCAGTAGTGAAAAGTACATTCAGTCAAACGCTGTACTTACTGTAAGTACCATCATGAAATAGTTAAATATTTAAATGGTGTTCATCTTTATATTTTACTCTACTATATTTCAGAAAGTAAAATTGTGCATTTTTACTCCAATGCACTAATTTGGCAGTTTGTTATAATTACTTATACATGCAATTAAATTAAATGAAACCAATCGATAACATAAATAGAATTAGCAACAACAATTAACTTAGCGATAAATAGCAATAAATACAGCTTACTTGTCACTGCATCAATAATAATAATCCATAATAATGTAACAGGACTTACTGATGTACATGTTTAAACTCTATAACTCCTGCTAATGTAAAATGCAGGGCTTTTACTTAAGAGAGTATTTTTGAATTGCGGTATTTTTTACCTTTACTAAAGTACGATAAAAAAGATCTTAATACCAATCAGGACTTGAGCCGAGGGCTAAATGACCATCAGACCTACATGAGACTCAGAAGGAACCGCATCCGGCAGCATTACTGCACTTTTTACACCTCACACATTCCTTCTATGTGTAGATCATTTTTTAGTAATCTCTATGTTGTTGTTGTTGTTGTTTTGGGAGGACTGTCCTCACTCACCACGCTGATGAGCTGAGCCAACGACACCATCAGCTGCACGGTAACCAGCTCGGAGCCGTTGGTCGCGGGCCGGATCAGCTTGTTGTAGTGGGCGGGGTTCAAGAGATGCTCCACCAGGCGCTCCTCCGTGTCTGCCCCGAGGCCGCCTGTCACGAGAACACACCTTCATCATCATCATCATCATCATCATCATCATCATCATCATCATCATCATCATCCTCTGTCGTGAAACAGAAAACGCTTTTATCGTATGGGATGATCGTCTAATCGTACAGAAGCAGTAAATCAGTGGTGCTGTTGGGTTTCTCTGTTTGGCGGCCAGCACTGAGCGCTACCCCTCTGAGGCCTCGTATTACTCATTGCTGCCGGCCGGAGCGCGCCAGCGCGGCTCAATACACACATCTGACATCACGAGAGTGAGTGTCTCTACCGCGCTCCCTTCCGTCTCTGTCGCTCTCTGGCGCATCTCCATCTATTCCCCCTCTGCTGCGTTGCCCTTCTTTCCCCCGACTGATGGGTTATTTTCACTGCATCCCTCCCTTCTGTTTGCCATCCCTCCATCTGTAGGAGGTCGTGGTCGTATCTGTGTGAGGGGTCGAGTTGGGGGGGGGTTGCTGTCACAACGGCACACTCAGGAGGGGAGATGTTCTACCGAGAGACGCGATGCGTGGGGAGAAATAAGCGCCGTGCACCGTCTTCTTCCTCCCTCCTTCCTCCCTCTCTGGCATCTGCTCTCGCCTGTGCTGAATATTTTCACTCTCGCAAATCGCCCTGAAGATAAACAGAGCCTGATAACTCTTAACTTGATGCCAAACATGTAAAAGCTGATGTGATTAAAATGAGAGAAAAAAAACACAGTTGGGTTTGAGCTGACGAACCCTTTCATTATGAATGATATTAATAAAACAATGAATAAAACATCAAATCAAAAAAACTATCAGAATAATCTAAACAATTATGAAATACAAGGATTCAAATGAACCGCCGACTAATCATTCAACACCTTCATTTCCCTCTTTTACATGCGGCGTTTGGACAAACTTTAGAACAAATGTGCTAAAATAACAATTGCTGGAACAACTAAAGAGAAGTTAATGAAATGATAAACAACATTTTTCCTGTTTTATATCGTTTTAATTTGAATGTGCTTGTGATTTGGAAGAGAGGAAATTACGATGAGCATGTTATAGACGACATGATTAATGAATTAATAAAAGAAATCACCAATTAATAAAGGAAACAACAGTTTAGTCGCAGCTCAGTCTACACGCAACAAAGACTAAAAAATATGTATTTCTAATCAAGGAATATACAACGGGTACATTTGAGTTGTATTAGTGATGTAAAAATATAGAAATTAACAATATATATCAAAAGCTTTAAACACACTAAACATATTCCACTGTCGTTGACCGTTTCACCCTCTGAAAAGGCTTCAGAGCTCCTCTGACTCTCCACACCCCCCAAAGCCCTCTACTCCCCCTCCCGCCTCCCTCCCCCTCCCTCCCGCCTCCCTCTGGCCCCGTAGCACTGCTGTGTTCACTGAGCAGGAATGACGGTCTCTGTCTCTGTAAACCTCGCTCCCACCTCAGTTTTTAATCTCCTCCTATTTCGTCTCATTGTCTTTCTCCCTCTTTCCATCACCAACAGCCGGCCCAGTGTTTCCTCCTCCCTCCCGCGGCTGTCTCCCTCACCCTCACCCCTCGTGTTATCTCCATCTCCCCGTCGCTGACAGCCACTGTCCATTTATTGGCCCTTCTCCCGCTAATCCGCCATCATCAATACACATCCTGTCAGCACGTGTGTGTGTAGCACTCGTTTGTTGTGCACAGGCGCCGGTCAGCTTTTTTGTTCATGTGTGTGCACGTATTCATGAGGGAAATAAACAACACTGTCTGTGGCCAAATCATATGAGCAATGCATATTATTCCCAGAAGCCCAAGGCAATAACACTGCCGGATGAGACGGAAAAGCTAATTCAAATGATACAATACGAGCGCTTTGAAGCATCTGTGCACTTAAATGTCTTCGAAAAGTCTTTGCTCCAAAGCTCATCAGAACATGTAACCGGTGAGAGCCGACCCGCCTCATCTTTGATAGCACGTGTGAGTCGCGGCACGATTCCTTAAGAATCAGAGAATCCATAAGATGACTGAGACCAAAATAAAGTCCGAGGCCAAAATGATTCAGTTTCTTAGAACCAAAATATTGTGTTTCTTTCTCTGATGTTATGATGACATCTTAAAAAGCATGGCAACACATTTCAACAAGCCTGAAATCATTTCGGGTTTACTGATATACTGTATATATATATATATATATATATATATATATATATATATATATACGGTATATACACAACTGCACTTTCTAGATAAAACATCCTACGCATATCTTAATCAATATGCAGATTAAAAAGGGATCGTGCAATGTTTGCCTACACATCCCTCTATGGATCTTTGTATTTTCTGCTTATTCTTACTAAAATATTAGCATGCATACACTCAGGATGAAAGTCTAGACTGATATTGTCCGACACTGCGACAAATGAACAGAACAGAACCGAGAGCTCCTCTCGTTTATTCTTATCTCCAGAAGACGACGACACCCTGCATCCTGATTGATGTGCAAACATGTTCATCCTAAGCACCAACGCAAAGTCTGATCCCTCTCTGTCCTGCGGCACGCTGCTGGAGGCCGCGCTGAGTGGTTGTAACGTTTGGCGGTGGCTCAGGTTGTATTATGGTTGTTTTCCAGTTGAAATATTGCAAACTTAATGTGACGCTATGAATATTTCAGCGGGTCTCCCCGTTAGACCCTGCAGTGAGGGAAGTTACACACCAACCCGCACACACACGCACACACACACACACACACACACACACACACACGGACCTCAGTGACAGAGCGCAGGAGCAGGCGGGGGCGGTAGCCATGTCCATTGGCTTCCCTGTGTACTTTGAAACATCTTCTGATCAACCAAACTAAGTGTGTGTGTGGGTGTTGGAAAATCTCTGTGGGCAGTAACTGAACTCAGGCGTTAAATTCTAGTCTTGTATGCATTTTACAAAGCTATTAGAGGACACGCACACCGTAAAGTCAAATTGACGATTTAGTTTGAATTGTCCTGCTAAGCCTGTTACAGCGATGATCTCCATTTATGCAGCTCGCTCAAGTGAGAAAAGGTTGGAGGGGAAGGAAGTGCGTTCTGCCAAAGAGGCTTTTTAGCCGCAACAGCGCGGGACCTTTATTTGCTGAAACATCGATAATGGAGGGATACAATGATCTACTAGCAACACCCAGTCGGCACCGTAGTGCCCATAGAAGTGAGATGTAAATATTGATCCTCCATGCGAAAGCAATATCACAGCGCTCCAAAAACAAAGCCATCCCACTGGCTACGAACTGCAAGTGCAAGAAGCTTTATTGTCGCCAAATTTGAGAAACTCAAATCTGATTCAATGCTGTGTTTGAAGCAATTAAATAAAAAGCTGCGCGTAAATAGACAGAATATTATAGTGATAAATACAGAGAAACTAGATTAAACTTGATCAAGTCCAAACATCAACACATTAAAAGTGTAAGAGGGAGCTACAACCTACAATGGTCTTTTTCTAATTCAAGTCAACCTTGTTAACAGTGGTAAATATACAAACCTTTTGGGTTTATCATAGCGCAATTTAAAAATTGGTTCCTTGGATTTGAATATAAATTTGGTATAGTCTAACATTGAGGGGCGTGTTGAAGTTGTTTAGAGTGCAGAATATATAACTGAGAAACTCTGAAGCTGTGAGATCTTCTTATGCACTTTGGTTTTCATTGTGTTACAGCCCGAGGAAATCAGCTGTTTGGCGACAGACGTGTCGCATACGTGTTGCATATTTCTGGGATTGCAGTAAAATACATAATTTGAACTGCATAATTCCTCTCATACTGTTGTGTGGATACCCATAAATCACAAACAGTCACACACTGGATCCTGCACAAATCACACATCATGAGACCATGCAGTCTCACACGCACTCACACACACACACACACACACAAAAACACACACAAACACACACATTCTCACAGTCAAAGGCAGGCTTGGGGTGAGCGACTTCTGTGCATCCCAGATGCATATCCTATCCGCTGATCTGATCCTGTTGCTGCCGAGTGTTGGGAGTTAGTCCAAAGAGAAAAAAATAAGGTGACAGAACGCAAGAGAGAGAGAGAGAGAGAGAGAGAGAGAGAGGGAGGGAGGGAGAGAGGGAGGGAGAGAGAGAGGGAGGGAGGGAGAGAGAGAGGGAGAGAGAGAGGGAGAGAGTAGCACGGCTCCTGTAATGTGCAGGTTGAGGTGCTGCAGACATCAGTGGGCCGGAGCAGTGCAGCAGAAAAGTGATGACAGGTTCAACCGACTGAGCAGAACTTTCTAGACCGCAGCTGCTCCAAAGCGACGGTTAGTTGATATAAGTGCATTCGTGACGCAGAGGGCAGAGGTCATGGCACATGAATAAACAAGCACGGACACACACGCAAAGAGGACGCGTGTCTGTTTGGAGATGCGGCCGATGAAGGCGTCGAGCTGCGAGTATAATCCAAGCACACTACGCCCTTTGGTGATGAGACCGTCGCACACTGTGCTCCATATCCGGCACCCTTGCATCGGGTCAGCTCAGCGCCGCGGACCTGTTTATTATGCATGGCCAGGTGACAAGACTGAGCGCGCGAGGCAGGTGGTGAAATGTCCTTGAGCGTCCTTCGGCAGCCATTGAGTGTGAGACTCGTGTGCAGGGTCTTGTGTAAGAAAATATTGTTGTGTAGAGGTGCGGAGGTGTGGAGTTCTCTCATCCCATCAGCGCCACAGTCAAAAATAGGAGTGTGTATTTTAGTCTGGTTCTGTGCGCATGTCTTGTCTTTTCTAAGTGCGGGTTTTACAATGACGTGTTTATGCCCAGGTGTGCCACCATGTGCCCATTCTTCGCATGTGTGTTTGTGTGTGGATAGAGTTTATAGATGATCACGAGTACTTCGCTTTTTTAGTACATAAACCTCTTATTGGAAATAAGCTATAACCTATTTGGAGTAACGGAATGATACACTGTTTACGGACACCAAATATTATGCAGAAACTTTAAAGGAACATCACAAACAAGACAAATGCTTTTCACAATCCGTCGGTGACCTCTATATATTTGTAGCTTAATTTATTCAATATTGCAATGTTCCATTTTTTTATATTTGTATGGTAACACAGACGCCCAGTATTACTTAGTGTGCGATTGTGTGAGTGTTTGTGTGTTCGACAAAAAGAGTGCAAGTGTCAGTGTGCCACATAGAAAGCAGGAGCACGCTGTCGCCATGGGTGATGATGATGATCAGTTATTCGATGCAAGGCAGGCATGTGTGATTGGATGGAGGAATGCGTATGTGTGCGTGTGTGTGTCTGTGTCGCTAGTTATGGGTGCCCCTACACTGCAGGAGACAAAGTCGTTTTGCTCGGCGGCACTAAGCCGGTTTCGGCCCTTTCACTACAATGGATTGGCTGAAAATATTATGTTGGCTGTAATTCAACCAGCTGACGTGTTTTACGCTGTGCTTCAGGCAAAGCCTCTCTGAGTAGAAACTAACAATGAATTAGAGCCAAACGGAAGTAAAATATGTGCAAACGCCCTAATGGCTTTACGCTTAACACGTACCTCATTTGCTTTAAATGCAAAGCATCAACAGTGTCTTAAATAAGACTCATCCGCTCAGTGCGTGTGATGAATGGAGACAAAAAGAAGAACAATGTATGAGCACAGGCAGAAGGCAGAAGGCGTTTCCTGCTGAATGACACATCGTTTGTCCTCTGAAGACAGGATGTAGAAGTTGCTTTAGCTCAACGTGTCTCTCATTAACCTGCCCACTCAATGCAAGACCTCAGTGTTAATGAGAGACAGAAGAGGGGGGGTATGTGGGTGATAACTTCATTTCCTTCTCTCTTTCCCCCTCTTTCTCTCTCTGTATCTGGTATATTTCAGGAAAAGGAGAAAACTGAAGAAAAACCACAGCATTCAAATCCTTTCAAACCCCTTCAAAATTTGCTATATTGCCAAAGTGGTATTTACCATGACAACAAGCAGGAGGCTCACTAACAAGTCATACAATCATATTATTGCGATGGAATAATAAGCATTTGGTTTGACTTTATAAAGTAAGGCCTTTAAACGAGCAAACGGATACACTACATTCTCTTTGTAAACGTGTGCATTTGTTTCTACAGTGTAAAAATATCTGCAGCCTCCAACGTTCATCCTCTAACATCATTCCGTCGCGCTGGCTGCTATTATGAGAAAAATGGTGACACAGCAATGAAATAATCCTATTCTCGGCGTGCGCCTTCATCGTCTGGGACGGCGAGATGTTTTCACACTCGCTCCCTCGTTACTTTGAAGACACCTGATCCCCGTGAACGCGGACGCGGCCCTTGTTCATTTAAGGTGACCACGAATAAGAAGCACCGTCGTCGACGTCACTCACCTCCCGCAATGGCGAGGACGGCGAGCAGCAGCAGCAGCGGCGGCCAGCGGTCCATCATCCGTCCGAGCGCGCTCCGGTTCCCGAAAGGTGTTCAACGGCGATGGAGACGCCACCCGAAGCACACCCGCAGTGCTACTCCCCCTCCTCCCCCTCCTCCTCCTCCAGCTCCTCCACCTCCTCCTCACGACCCGCAGCTCCCCTTCACTGTCTACCTGGCATGGTGACGTCGGGGGTTCTGCGTCTGTCCGCTATTCTTTGCCCCGGAAAAAAAGAAGAAGAAGAAGAAGGGAGGAAACAGAAATACCTCTGCGGGGCCCAGGTGCGCTCTGCGCTCGGTCGTGCGGTGCGCTTCGCTGTCAGTGCTGAACGCCGCTAAGCGATGGCGAGGCGGGGGCGGGACGGGGGGTGCGCGCGGAGGAGCGAGAGGCGGGGGAGGGGGGATGGGGGGCGTTTCACCACGGGGGGGCTAAGCGAACCCTGGCCAGTGTCTTCCCGGCACACACGCAGTCTCACGTCATAATATATAATATTCAGTGCTCTTGCAGTGTTTGTGGTGGTTAAGCTTGAGCCATAAATTCATGGTGACATGCATCCCTCTTGTCTGTCTCAGGGAAATTGAATGCATTCAAGCTTTCGCTGCATGCAATTTACAACAAAACTATATAGAGAACACATATTACAAACAGGGACGATTTGGGCATTTATGGTTGTGAATATTGTCGATTTATTTGGGGCGTGACTCCCTCTGCTCTAGTTCCTATATCTGACACATCTCTCTGTCAAACTTTTATAAATAACGTCACATGCACTTTTCTTTCCAGGTCTGCCAAGAATGTTATTGTTCAACATACTTGAGGGGTAGACATGATCATCACATGCATCTTGTTCTGGATATTGTTAGATTTTGGGAGGTCATGCTGAAAGTCCAGGTTCTTGAAGGTAAAAAAAAAAGCATAACAGGTTTGAACTATGAGGGGCGGAGGAAATGCAGCAAATGAAGAGGCGTACAGGAGGAGTTGAAGGGCGGGAGGCAGGGAGGGTTAGGTGGGGGTATGCAGGATGGAGAGAGGAGGCGGTTGCCGTGGTGACTGAGAAAAAAACGAAAGCTCCAGGAGGAAACAACCTGTTTCTCCTTCATTTTGTCTATTTCCATCACAGACACACACATATAAGATACGCATGCGCACACAACACACACATACACACACACACACACACACACGCACACACATATTCTCATGCATAAATGCAGACAATGCATACATTCCACACGGATGCATATGCATGCACAAACATGCAAGTCAACTCCTCCTGAGTAATGTCTTCCTCTTCTTATGCTATCTTTATACACTCTGAAGTCCTTTCCTTTCTCGCTCTCTTCCTCTCCTCTGCAGTGAATGAACTGACCTGACAGTGCTCCTCCTTTGCACTGAGTGCTGTGAGTCTCTCTGAATTATTTAAAAGCTGGGACCCCCACGAGTGCTTGTCTTCCCCCTAACAACCTCTTGTGCTTCCCCCTCCCTCTCTCCGTCTTCTCTTCCCTCTGTCCCTTCCTTTTTTGCTGTCATCCTGTCTTCTGCCGCTGCAAATTTCTTCATGCGACACTTAACAACATAGAAATCTGATATATGAATCAAAGACTGTTTAATAGTGTAACGCCCTTAAGTAACAGTAAGAAATAGTTACTTTCACATAACGTTACGTTTTCACTTTCACTTTCAACTCCATCCCATTTCCTGGACAACTGTGGTAACTTTTACAAATTATCAAAGAGTTCTAAGATTTTCACTTTGTGGTTACCGAACCAAACATTCCCTAAAACAGAATGACTCGCTCTGAAAGAATCCTTTGTCCAGCTCCTGGGGCTTGTTGTTTCTTTGTCATTTTAATTAAAAGAACATAGTGGACAAACCCCAAAGCATAAGGGTTCCCTCAGGTAATTGTAAGAAAAAAAATGTGTATATAGTATGAGAAAGAACATTTTAAAAAGTTCCATGTTCGAAAAAATTCCAAAATATTTTGCAAAAAGTCATGAAATTCTTACTACAGTCATATGAGGGGGCACGATGGTGAGAAAACAAACATTTCAAAATAAACCTCTGTTTGCTTTGTCTGCTGTTGTGTAACAATGCCATTTATGACGCACTGGGTCCATGCGTAAGGCCCAGATTAGAGATGGTTCCTCAGCCAGAGAGCCTCGTGCAAGTTTGCAGAAATAGCAAGGCACATATTTGTTCTGAAGTCGACCCCTTGAAGAGGTATCATATTATCAATAGTGCCACAAAGTCGGTGTCATAAACCAAGGGGATTGTAATCTATTAATTTTACGTACTCATACATGGTACTTCTCTGTCATTGGATGTTGAGCTCTTCATTCACAAACCAAGTGGGCGCTCATTGCTACTATGACACCATGGCCACATTTATTCATAGCTCTTCTTATATTGCACGCTGTCTCTCCTCCCTCTTACTCTTCTTCTCTCCTCCCTCTCCTCATTCCCTGCAGGGATGGCCCCATCTCACTCTAACTAATCACCATGGCAACCTGGTAATCCCTGAACAGAGAAAGTCTGATTCTCTCACACACACACATTCTCTCACACACACACACACACACATAACATGATGGCATACATAAATGCACACATGGATGCACATTTCGCAGATTGCCACTTGCACACACACAGACAACACACACTCGACACACAATGGATACTCATGCATGCCACTACACTGGGGTTTACTGGTTAGACATATCTACCACAAACACATGCAGGGATCAGGATGAAGCTTCTCCCTGTTTTGTGAGAAGCTTCATGTGTGCGTTTCATGGTGTGTTACTAACGATGCATGTATGCATTTGTTTTGTGCAGCTCAAGTGTGTGGACATTTTTGTCTGTTTTTATTGGCCACATATAGGTGTGCGCGTTCGTTTGTGAGTGCGTGCGTGTATTTGCATGCGGTTGAACGTGTGTGTAACTGGAATTGATTTCACACTACGCAGGTCAGTGGTTTTACAGCGACATGAGAAAAGCGCCCAGTGAATCTGTGTGCTCTGGTTATCCTCTCATCTCTGTTTCACTGATTTTCTTTGCTTGAACTCTGCTTTGACTTTGCTGCAGGCATGTATATTAATAACACTGTTTTACTGAAGAAAAGTCTTACAACAATAACATAAAACCCGCATCATTGGTGTGAAAGAGAAGAAATTCAGCACTAGCCAACAATCCTGTTATACACACATCCTTTATGCAAACAGTAGATACATGTCAGGTTACGTTTTCAGTTCATTTACAATAAAGTACACTTTTTAATCACAGCCTCGTTTAGATTACAGTGAAGGCACACACATATATATATAAATATATATATGTGAATATGTACATTCACATATTCGTTGTGCACAGTTACGCACACTTAAACAAATGGCTGGGTAGAGTAAAGTTATAAGTCCCCTTCTAACTTCAACAGTTCTAGTCAATAAATCAATAAAGCTCTTTCTCTTGACAGAAAGAGTCGGCAAAGGAGCGTGATTTTCAGAATAAATCAATGGGCAAAATGACAGATGTCAGATTGGTGACTGAATTCATTCCAATCGGGTGTTTTGAACTCACAGAGCGAGTCTAAATGGTTGGCAAAGAACTAAGTCATGACGTCAACACCTCTGTCTAAGAGGTGATTACGATCCTCTCCAATGAAATCAAAAATCCAATCGGTTACACTAAGTGCAGTTCTTCACGTGCATCGTCTCAGGAATGATGGAAATCAATGATACGCATTACCAAAACAGTATCACGCCTGGAGGGCAAATGGATAAGGCAATGGGCCGAACAAATGCACCAGGCTGGGGAAGAAGGGATTGTGTTGTTGAAACTATAAATACATTCATGGCGTTTAGACTGGGAAAAAATACCACAATGTCCTCGACGGTTATTGAAATGTATGACTTACTGTAGCGCACGTAAGAGATACAAACATATCATAATGAACAGGGTACGCAGGGCGATCAGATGCTGCACATCTGCGAGTATATGTGTGTACACATGTGCTGACAAGTTAATGTGTGTGTCTTTGTGCATTAGTGCATTGAAGTGTCCCAGCGTGTGTGTGTTTGTCCTCTATGCATGCTCAGTGCGGCCTGGGCACGGCGTGCTGCAGGGTCATGTGCTCTGCTCCAGTGAAGGGCAGTCTGTGCGTGCAGTAGTGGTGGACCAGCTCGGGGATGCTGGAGAAGACACAGCTGCTTTGATCCAGTGTGAAGCCCAGACCTTTAGCGCTCTTTGTCTGCGCCACAATGATGTGCACACAACTCTGACTTGTCCTGGTGGAACAGGAGAAAACAGATTAAAAAACACACACAAAATACAGTATTGTCGACAGCAGGGAGAAGACACAAATCATGAGTTACAGAACAAATGGAAACCTAGTCATGTTGTCATCTAACCTTCCCCATGTGAGGCTGTGCATTTTCACCTATTTTAGTGGATGTGTAAATGGGGTTAATGAAGTGTACTCTCATATGAAAGAGCAGCTCACAACAAATTTGCACTCAGGCGCACACGAAAGCAGAATTACACCACAGGATTTGTGCCTGTATCCTGAGGACCTGTTATGGGCAAACTTTGTGTCAACGGTGCCAAAAAGTTATGACGATTGTGATGCAGCAACGTGTACGTTGACAAAGACGGCGCCATAAATGAATATATACATGCGCAGACTATACAGCGGGCCTTTAGCCTGTCGGATAAACACACATTGGAATGAAACACACATCCGTGAACTCACTTCAGAGCGATGGAGTACTTGCTGGTTCCTGATTCGCTGTCCCTCACCAGGAAGCTGGCTTCCCTGCAGCGCTGCAGCTGAGCTTCCGCCTGTTGCCTGCTCACACTGCCGTGGTACCAGCTTGGAAGGGCGAGGGAAGGAAGGGGGTAGTGTGGGGGAGACGCAGAGAGAGACACAGCGGATCACTGACATGTAGTGCAGCGGCATATGGGGATGAGACAGATGTCAAGACGATGATAGGTGACGATGGTGAGGCAGAGAAAGAAAGAGTGAGAGATCGAGAGTTACAGTCTCCATCAATCAGACCAACGTTTATGGGGTACTGAATGAGTTAACAATGTGGAATGTGAAGAGAGGGCAAAGGGATAAATAAAATGAACAAATTGAACGTCTGCGGGTGTACAGGATGTAACAAAGGCACAAGGTGGTGAGGACAGTGGCTATATGCTAGAGTCATACGTAACCTGACTGTATGTGTCCTTGATTCTTAGAAGCGAAACACATTCAGCTATAGCATGAGAGGAACAAATGCTGGGACATGCTCTGAGCATGTCCCCCACATGTCGCCTACTGGAAAAGAGATGAGGACAGATGGTTTACGGCTAAGATGAGTCGCTCTCTATTCAAGTCTTAACTCTCTCCAGCAGTTATGTTTAGCAGCTCATCACGAGGATGTGATCGAGGCCCGCTGCCGCCCAATGCTCTAACTGATAAAGAACAAATCTCACTTAAAAATGTCTTGCGGGCCAACTGTAAAATATAATTGGTTTCCGTCAAGACTGCTGTCCGTCTGTGCCGTGTTTGGCGTTGTGCCTCAGCCAGGTCTGGTGTGAGAGAAAATCTGCTTTAGGATGTTGGTATTAATTCAACCAAAGACTGTGGAGGGCGCTGTTCTTCCAGAGTTTGTCACAGCAACGCTACAGAGTAACACAGAGCAATTCACTCTGCACAGGCCATGGGACAAGGGGAGGTAATAATACACACACATGATATGAAAGCAAGCGAATGTCTCAACCCTCGTTGCATTTGTTTGATTCCTTCAACCCTCTAATCCTAAAATAAAAACAAAGTTAGACTAATTGACAGTATTTTCTAAATCACCTGACGTCTGGGAGAAAAACAGACATCGCCAAATTCGCCCTTCTTATATGGTTTTAATGTATTTCTTCGCCTTTTAATTTTGTCTCCGTCAGTGAGGTCTTTTACATCTTATACAATGATGTCATACATTAGCTTGTCATCATTTTTTGATAGCCACAACTGTTCTCGACAAAGTATCGTATCCTGAGTGTCTCCTGGAATATGATGTGATCATAGTGAAATTGATCTGTCATGTTGATGCTGATATACATATTAGTTTGGCTGATGACAAACTAATATGTTGCCCGTTTCCCTTCCTTATGAGTTATAATTCAGCATTCAAAAGCTTTCCTGTGTTTCTGTTTCCAACATTTATAAACGTTGCATTCCCTCTTCCTTCCTATGGATGAATAAGTCATCTCCTTCCTTACTTCTGCTTCTCCAGCAGCAGGCTGGGGTCCACTTTGGCTGTCTCCCCGTCCAACGGGGCACTGCTGGGGGAGATTGGAGACGGAGGGGAAAGTTTGGTGGGGCTAGAAGAGGGGGAGAGGGGGGAGATCTTTAGGGTGGGGAAAGAGGGAGACGAGAGAGGGGAGAGTTTGAGAATGGGAGAGGAGGGAAAGGAGGAAGAGGAAGAGCCGGATGGAGTGGATGGTATTTTATGGGTCCAGTTCTTCTGCCTCAGGGTGAGTTGCTGCTGCTGGTGCTGCTGGCGGGGGGGAATAGAGCCGTTCTCTTTGGTGGGAGAACAATCCACTGCCTCAAACTGAGCTGGAGGAAGCAGCAGAGACAAAATCAACGTTTCACAATACAGTTCCATTAAAGCATGCAAGAGCTTTCAAGTAAACACATCTCTGGAAATTGATTCAGAATGACTACTTTGTTTCCTTTGCTAAAGCAAACACAACATTGTTGTGGCATCACTGAACAAGTGAAACTCACAGCATCCTTCCTCCACACCCTAAACCCCCGCCTTCCCCATCATCCCTCTGTCCCTTTCTCTACCTGACAGCGCTCTAACTATGTCCTCCTTTCTCCACTCCCAGGGCAGCTCGTACTCTCCGGCGGGGCGGACGTCAGACTCTGGCCGCGTGACAGGGATCCAGACACCCCCGCTGTCGCCTTCCAGCCCGCCTTCGTACGGTGTGTCGTAGATGTTCGGGGGCGGGTGTTTCCTCTCTTCCTCCTTCCCCTCCCTGTGGCCTCGGTCCAGCAGGACGCACACTTTCAGGAGGTCTTTGGAGCCGCGTCGGCGAACCTCTGCAGCACAGTGGTCACGCGATCAGTAAATGGCATTAGATATTCACATGCAGTAAGTCGTATGAAACAAGCTTTGAATCTAGAGGATGAATTCTCGCATTCTCTTTTTTTAGCCTAAATAGCTTCCTTAATTATTTTGACAGAACGATCAGCTACCTGAAAAAGGGCTCTTTGGCCTCAAAACATAATAAGGAAGACATTTTAAACAAAGCAGGTGGCCTTTTAGAATTCATGGATTTATGATTTTTTGGTTTTGGACTCAGCAGTTAGATATGTGTATTATAGACAAAGCAATCCTCCGATGTGCCTGATCACCGTTTTAATGTTTTTTTATTTTTGGAGTATCTCCCTCTGCTTGAGTTACCACACATGCACCGACCTTCATTCATTGCATATTCAGCAACATTCACACAATTCTACAGCAAGCTCTTCCATTCCAGTTCAACCTTTCATAACACATATTGGCCTTGAAATGATTCAATCAGCTGTCAATATATTAGAACTAATCCTGCAATCTGTCCAGCATGCATAAAGGTTGCAATGTTTAGTTTTTGTTGAATCACTTCAAGAGAGATGTTGATCGCCACTTATTAATAAGTCGGGTGGACAAAAACAACAAGTTAATGGTCCCAGATAGTATTCAGAATGACTCTAAAGTTAGATCCATCCATCTTCAAAACCGCTTTTCCTGCACACAGCGGGGGCTGAAGTCTGTCCCCGCCAACTTCGGGCAAAAGACGGGGTACAGCTTGGATTGACAAACAACCATTCACACTAACATTCGCACACCCACAGGCAATTTAGAGTCAGCAATTAACCTGATCCCCAGAGCATGACTTTGGACTGTGGGAGGAAGCCGGAGTACCCGGATAGAACATGCAGACTCCACACAGAAAGGCCACTGGGTGGAGTTGAACCCAGAACCTTCTTGCTGTGAGACGACACTCTAAAGTTAGATCTCTATCTTGAAGTGCATTACCTTCACCTTCATGAAAAAACAATTTATTTTAAAGAAGCTGTTGGATAATTACTTTCGGTAAGTTGCATCGTGCAAACGGACAACTAACTATATTTTATAAAGACATTTAAAAAAAGAAATCGCCTAAATAAGCTTATAGTCTGGAATGCTCAGAATGAACGCTTGACATTATTCCATTATACGATGTTTCTATCGCACACGGATATTGGATATACATGTGCGTATCAGGTAGAGTGGAAAACATCATCATCAAGATCATTTTAAAACTGACATATGCAAAAAATAAATTAGATTATGGGGCCATCTGGATTAACCATATCTGCCTCTTTAGTGTGATCTGATCTCTTAAATTAAGTTTTTTATGACAGGTCATTCAATTATAGGGGGATTTCACATGTGTTCCTTTACTGTCTGACAGGTAGCCTCTGTGTCTGCACTATTGTGTGACCAAACAATGGGGCTACAGGAAGAAAAGGTCAACACAGCTGCTGATTGGCTGGAAAACCAGGCCACTTCCTGGCTGCCGGGAAGTGATTGGGCGAGGTCAGTGGGGGGGCGACCCGTAGGATTTGCAGAGAGTTGGTGGGGGGTCTTTCGATTCTTTTCACACGTAAGGCTTCATAAAGCATTTTGTGTCAGTGTGTGTGTGTGTGTGTGTGTGTGTGTTTGTTGAGGAGGAGGAGTGGGGAGGGGGCTGAAGCCAACTTCCTATCGAGAGAATGGGGCGAAGGAAACAGAGGCAGGAGACAGGAAGTTGGAAGAGGAAGCTGCACCCATTGTTCCTGCAAAACACTGTTCCTACGGCAACCGCCAGCGGGAAGGGAAGTCGCCAAAGAGGCTGAGGGTCTAGTTAAACCCTATAAGACCCATTCAAATGTAGGTGTGTATTTCTTTGGTTGCATTCCATTTGCATTACCAAAGACGACATGCAAAGAGTATCAAAATGTACAGAAATGCAATTATGTTTCCCGCAGTTCAGATGATGCCATTTTGGTTCTTCCATAATTGTAATTGCTGAGATAGATTGTGATCCTAAACTCACCTGTGATGATGACCTGGGCATCGTAAGGCTCCATGTACCCGTCATTCACCCCTGCTCTCTCAGCCTCCCTCTGCCCTTTGGTTTTCTCTGCATCAAAAGGATCTGCATAGTCCTCCAGGATGATGAGCTGTGAGCAGGCAGAAAGAAAAAAACGCTGGTCTGTTAGCATTCAGATGTTACATTTACCTGGAGACAACAGAGCTGGCAGCGTGGAGGGATCTGCCAATGTTGTGTTTGTCTGTGTAGGGTGTGTGTGTTTGTCTGTGTAGGGTGTGTGTGTGTGTGTGTGTGTGTGTGTGTGTGTGTGTGTGTGTGTGTTTGTGTGTGTAGGGTGTGTGTGTGCTTGCGTGTGTAGGTGTGTGTGCAGTGTCCATGACAAATTGACAAGTAATGGAGGGACAAGCAGAAAGAGTGTTTGAGGTCAGGCCATTGTTTTGGTCTCTTTGATGTTACACAGTGAAACTTCATTGTATTCTTTTGATGGCATAGAAAGTGAATACAGGGTTAAAAACGCCACAATTGCATTGTTGTAACTGTAGTGCATTGACTTTTTATCTGCAGCTTCAGCCTCGCTTTGTTTCAGATTAGATACACATCAAAATTGCAAATAAGATGACATATTTTATACATTTAATAGTGGCACACATGTTACTCACCGTTGTTTTAATATCAGGCCTTCCTGTTTCGTTTCCCAGCTGCTTGTGTTCAGTTATCCCGTTGAGTTTCGGAGTCTTGTCTTGTTTATCCACCTTGATCATCCTGCTGATGTACGCTTGCGCCAAACTGGTGGTCCTGACCTGCCGGTTCTCATCCGACGTGCCAGCCTCGACCTTGGCGTTTTTCCGACCTTTTCCAGGTGTGAGAGTATCCCACACTGTCCCACCACAACCAGCGTTGTTGCGGCCGAATTCAACCGAATTTTTCCTATTCCTCCCTGCCAGCAACCCCCCCACTCCTCCATCTTTGCGCTGATTCCCTTTCAAGCTGTCGCGAGAAAACGAGGGTTTGCTGTGACTTGGCGGACCAGATTCAGAGGCCGAGCGGACCCGTTCGTTCCCGTTCTTTAGGTTGATGGGGAAATCTCTGAACCATCTTGCCATGGCGGTCAAGTTATTAACACTAATCTTTAAAGAAAAAAAAAAAAAAAAACCTGTTGCTCCTCTGCAGCTACTTTTGGACCCTATACGCGTCAGCTCCAACTTTACGCACAGGTGTTTTTGACGCACGCCTCGGTTGAAGTAAATGCAAAATTACAAAAATCTCCGAATTGTCGAGTTTGGACACACGTGCTGTGTGGTGAATATGATTGCGAGCGTCTAAACCACGTTACGACTGCCGGTGCGTCTCGGGAGTCTTTGGCCGGTGGCCCCTGCTGTGGTGTCGCTCTGATCCTGCAGTGACAACTATCCCTGCAATTTGAAAAGTAGCCTCTGTAGAGCGTAAATGCGAAAGAACTCAAAGTTTTTCTTTGAACCCAGTAAAGTTCCCATTCCCGGAGCGTGAGGTGATGTGTTCCAGCCGGTCCAAGTGATGAGATGAAGAGGAAAGTTGTGTGCAAAGACCGTGGGGTGTCACTGGAGGTTGGGGGAGGGGCTGTGTACGGGGCGGGTTTTTTGCTGTAATCACTTCAGTGGATGAACAACTGAGAGCACCAAAGTGCAACATAAGGAGTCTAAATGCCTGCCAGTAAGGCAATGGGATCCAACATGCGAGAGTTCCAACGCAAGTTTTTTTTAATCTACAGGGATAATATTGATTTACCAGAAATAGCAACGGATTACAAACGGCAGTTAAAATGCGGCACAGATGCAACAGAAATAAAATCGCAACTAAGAATTCTGAGAAATAAAATATTGCACCATAGAAACACGCTAAATTTCCGCTTAAAACAACCCAAGAACAATTTACATGTATACATACAGGCGTTCATAAACATTTAAATAACGCTAAGGTTAACAACAGGGCATTGCATACTCGTTCAGCTGCAGTCCCACGTTATTGGATATCATGCATTTATAGCTGAGTTATATTTTTCGTCAAGGGACCTGGATGATGCTGCTGCACCACCAGATGGCGGATAGTGGCGCCATCTACAGGTAAATGGAAGACAAACATATGTGAGCACCTGTCTAGTATTTACCTTACTCCATCAATATCCCTGGACATGTTTCTCTAGATTATTTTCGGGTTATGCCTGTAGTTTGTTGTTTTGTTTATCTTAGCTTAAGGATAATACGGCCTTAAATTTTACAGTGAAAAGTGGACGGCAAATAATGATTGACTGACGTGGAGATTACACCAATAGCCAACGTAGCCAGAATCTTTAGTCCCGCCCATATTAGCCCGTTGGTCCAATCACAGCTTTTCGTCGGGAGACACTGGGCGGGCTTTTACATCCCCGACAAATGTAACAGGTTGTAGTCGTCGCATAATGAACTTGTTGCTGTGTTAATTTACGGAGGAGTCGCTATTCCACTCACTTTTCTGCGTGGACTTTGATGGAAAAAGTTTGAATCCCCGTCGACGTAAAGGAAGCGAAGTGTTGAAAAGGGTCGAAGGAACAACCTTAACTCCTGGGGAGAAAAAAAGGTAACTTTACGTCTGTTGTTGGACCTCACGTAGCGAGACAGTTCAACCGGAGAGACACGACCTGTCGGACACTTTACTTCACTCTCCTTCGGCTGCTTTAACTTCACTCCGCGAAGCCGAAACAAGTCCGCGTTTAACTGTGTGTCGCCTGTCTCGGAGTCTCAGCGGGGCTCATGCATTTAACGTTAACGTTAGCTCGGTAGCTAACGTTAACGTTACTTCACGGCCGCTCGCCTCTAACGCCTCAGAGGAACAACTGGCACGCGAGAGATGTGCGCAGGTGTCTCTGTTGACCGCACAACAACTCTCATGGTCACTAAGTTACACCGTTTTAAAACGTATTTTAAAAAGTTTTTAAAAGGTAATCTACCTGCTACCAGACAGACGTGTCTCCTCCTAATGTAAGACACAAGAGGGAACTAACTACATTCCCGTTAGGCCTGTGATCTAATTATATAGGTATGTGTGTTTGTTTATCTATATATCTATATTCGTTATTCTCTACAACATCTCAACGACATTTACTGGAGAGCAGGTTTGTGATTCAGAGATTCTAGTCAGTCAGGTTAAACTGATGATGCACGCGAGAAAGAGGAGCAGATTGTAGTTTTGAAGTGTGGGGAAATGGCTCATCGATTGTGTCATAAAAAGGAATAATCACAGCATTGCACTTGCTGAGCCGTCGCCCGTGCTGACACAGTAACACAAAATAAAATGAATGTGTGGAAAAAAAAAAAGGTGAACCCGATAGTTATTCTTAATTCTGGACAAAGTGATGAAGGATACAGTCTCTCTCTCTTTATCACTCACACACACACGTCCTCTGTCTCGGCCCGTGTAAAGAGGACAGAGGGACAGTGTCTGGAATGTGGGGTAAGGGAGGGCCGTATTCATAATGGTGTCATTAGTGTACTGTTAGGTAACACTGAAGTATCTCTTTGTTATGCCAATGAACTTCTTTTGGATTTGAAAAGAGGAATAAATGGGTGTTTGTCTGAGCGAGGAAGGGTAGCGGTGGCGAGTTTAGAAAGGGACGGACTGCTCGATGAGAGGGAGGAGACCCTGAGGACAGAGTGTCTGGCTCTCCTTAAAGGACACCTAAAGCGTGTGCTACTGTTTTGTCCATTGTGGTGACTCAAATTTTCATGTGCAATCCTTGTATACCTGTAATACATGACGGGTCATTTAGCTGACTCTTTTTGTCCAGAGCGACTTACATCGCATTTTGTTTTTACCTGTGGCTTTTAAATTTTTGCCCAGGGGGCAATTAAGGGTTAGGTGTCTTGCTTAGGGACATGGAGCAGCCGGGGCTCAAACCGCCAACCTCGCGGTTCCCAGCGTATACCTGAAAAAAGGGACAAACTACTATTGAAAACAATTCAGCTGATTTAATTATTTCAAATAATAAAAAGATATGACCATTCACAAATCTTGTATTTGCTGCTATTCCATCCATTATATCATTGAAATATCACTGGTGCTCTCATCCTCAGCCAATATTACGGATTGAGAAACTGAAATGAACAATTTTCACATTAGTAAACGCTGTGAAAAACCGTTTGTACACAATATCATATTAAATGCAGCACATACCAGTTTGGATTTAATAACCGGTATCTGTTTTAGGTCATGAGCCTGGGTCAGCAGAGGCACTTTCATGACGGTTTCATTTCTCTGCACACCTGCTCCAATCTCCTAATTATATTTTCCATTCGTCTCAGATCTTAATAACAGGGAAGCTGCTCCAATTCCATTTACTGTTGCATTACATTACATTACATGTCATTACTGTTGGCTGATTCACTTTGAGGTCAGAGGCAGAGACGCCATCCTCATAACTGCAGCGTAACACAATTGGTAGAGTTCTGCTGGCGAGGAATCCTGCAGAAGGCCTGTTGTTAAAGTCACATCCTATTAATGATACAAGTGTGGTTTGAAAGCTCGCTAAAATAATCTTATTTTTTTATTTTTAAATGATCCATTGATCCACCGAACAAGAGAACAATCTCCATTTAGTTGCTTATTGTTCTATTGATTTATAGTTTCAGCTCTAGGATAGTCGCACAATAATTTGTTCAAATAAAAGCACAAGAAGAACATACATTTTGACTGATTTCGATCCAAAGACACCAACCAAACGGATTCCTAGAAAGGTTTAGTTTTGTAAACGGAGAAGGATGTTTATATTTACGGAGATAAGACGTTTGCTCTGGGGTAGTAACCTAACACGGACAGTGTACGCAGACAGATAACGTGAAGAGCTAAACGTGTACGGGAGGGTACGAAGGGCCGTGGGGATTGTTGGTGGCATTCTCTGAATTGCCGCCCTCATTCCCTGCCCCACATGGGCTGGACAATAGAAGCGGGACACCCTCTCGGCGCTGGGACTGCATCCCCTTCACTGACACACAAACTACAGGTAGCAAGAGATGCTTCTCTATATAGTATGTCACCGTCGAACACACCTGTCTGTGTGTCAGACTGTCGCACGCGCTCTGTACAGGTTGTTCTGGTTCAGATTATCACGAATCCGCCGTTGCCCTCGCGCGGCCCGTTTGCCGGTGCTCGACCTTGCAGTGGAGTTTTCGCGCTCAACTGCACTAACGCGGTTTGACGGGTTGCTTCCTCCGTGGTTCCCAGAGGGGGGGGGATATCGACTATAGCTGTGCACGGCTGAGACGGCAGGTCTGTCTGCTCGGACGCTGCTCACGCACACGGGCATCCTGTGAGGTCGCTGTGCTTTGCCTTCTGCCACCACCGATTCTTGCTTCAAAGTTGTTTTGTATTCACCAGTTTCATGTGGATGTTTTTCTACAGCCTGATGACAGCGGAAAGGTGTGTGGAGAGAGAGAGACAAGGTCAATGTGGTAGCTTTTAGCGTGCGTTGAATGAACCGGACCAGTGTAATACACATGGGGATGAGCCCTCACAATGTGACCCAAGGCGTGATCGGTCAATGTCATGCCAGATATGTTCAGTTGAGTGCTCTACATTATGGCCGGGCGACGCTGACGGGGACTTGTCACTGGATGATAACATAGGTGTGACCTGTTGAAGTAGAAATAGTTTCTGCATGACTCATCAAGGTCTACCCGAGTAGTGGAGAAATTTCCAACGTAAAGGCAGGAACCCGTCCTTTTTCTCAACTATGGTCCCCGTCTCCTTCAAGCTGTCAAATTTTTGAAGGGGGGGGGGGGGGGGGGGGGTTTAGTATCTGGCTGAGAAACTTCCAAAAGTCGGGAGTGCTTTTGTTGGTCCGTACAAGGGGGAAGGTGATATGTGGGTGTGTGCTTTCAGGTTAATGACTAATGGAAAGCACTGAGGACAAAGTCCACAAACGCAGTCAAGAGCCAGAAACTAAGTGATAGAGCTTATAAATCAGCGTGCCCGCATGTGTTCAAAGTGTTTTGTCACTTCCTGGTTGCCTGTTAATGAGTTCCTAGGTAGTCTTTATCTGATTTCCTAATATGAGGTAAACAGTGTTCTATGTTGAGCTGGTTTTTGTCTGCTTGTAGCAGCCCCCCCCCCCCCCCCCCCCTCCGCTTTGTCCCTGAACCTGCTATTGTGAATATAGTCCAACCGATACAACATTTATTAGGCCGAAACTGATTCTTAATCAGTATCATACTTTGTGTGCTGAATGTTTTTGTCCTTTTACAGGCTAATATGGGACAACACCAGCATATCTGCACTGAGCAAATTCTGTAGCTCAGTCCATAGCTAATGAATATCAGCCTGGTGGATTTAATTGTCCGCCTTCGATCGTATCTTTTTTAACTCGACTTTTACAACACAAATACTGCCAAATCCTGGACACGTTTGGTTAAAGAAAAGAAGGTACTTTCTCAGTTCAAGCATGCATATGCATACACAAGCATGCATGATGCATCGGTTGGATGGGTGCAGGAAAGCTCTCTTCTTACATGTGATTTAACCACAAAATTGCATCCTTTTTTTCTTCTCCTTTTTTGCCGTATTACCAGCATGAGCGTGCCGTCCTCCGGTCGAAGGACCCCGGCGGACTACGGTGTCCAGATCCGCTTCATCAATGACCCCCACGACGCTGGCGGGGGGCATCCGGGGCCCCAGCCCCGGACCAAGCCCCCAACCCCCTCCAAGTACGGCGTGGCGGTGCGGGTGCAGGGCATCGCTGGCCAGCCATATGTGATGCTGAAGGACGGCAAGAAGGGAGACTCTTATGGGGTCCAGCTCAGGACCCAGTACCCCAGTGGCTACAGCAGCCTTCCCCGCAGCAAAGAGAGAGCAGAGCCCAGAGCGCAGAGGGCAGATGTAGAAGAAGAAAGCGGAGGAGCTGGGCACGGCGGGGCACTGCGCAGGGCCCAGTCCCACGGGTCTCTGCTGGACAGGGACGGAGAGGGAGGTGCGGGCAGTGAGGACTTTCAGCTGTCCAGGCCTCCAGGGGACGGGAAGTCTGGAAGTTATGGGAATTTGGACGGAGGACTCGGAGCGAGGGGAGACGGAGAGCAGCTTCGGCGTGCCGGTAGTAGAGAGGGCGGCGTGGAGAGGAACACGTGGGATGGTTCGAACAAAACGGGGCTCAACGGGTCACTGGGGTCGGTTAGGAGCACCCAGTCCTACCATGACCCACCCCGACAAACCAATCCGAGACAAACCCCAGTCAACAGACTAATAAACAGGTTTGATGGCAGCAACACGAGAGGCCAACAGGGAGGACTCCCTGCGGAACAACAAGACCCCAGAGCTTCCTCTCCTCTCCCCAACCCATACACCTCCCCTCCCTCCTCCACTCACAGCAGCCTGCGGCGCAGCCCGGCTGCTGTCAACAAATTCCCCGAGCAGGCCCCCAGCCGGTGGACATCCCCGGGGACGTACGCCGCCGCGGAGACCCCACGTGCCGCGCTGACTGAGCCACAGGTAAGAATGAAACGATTTCATGGCTGGGCATGAGAGCAGATCTGTAGAGAGCTCCAAAAAAACCACATAGCATGCAAGATCGCGAGAGTAGTTTTCTGATCTATGTCTCAAGGTGACTCCTGACCTTTTGCTGGACCAGGGTCAGAGTGCAGAGGCGACCAGTGAGGAGGAGCAGGTCATGCAGACTATATACAACATCCTGAGACAAGGGTACGGACCTGGTTGTTATCCTCGGGTAGCACGTACACGTTGTGTTTAGTTCTTATAATACCATGGTAATGAAAGTCTGCTTATAAATGTGTTCTTTTTAACACATTTTTACCCCTTTTACCTCTTCTCAGGACAAATGAGAGCGACGTCATCGTCAAACACAAAGTCAGGGTCATCTTTAAGAAGATTCAGAGTCTAAAGGTTTGTCCTTTTTAAAGAATTCTCTGAGGGGTTATTGCTGCAGGGGTTGAAATGTCAGGTAAATGAAACCGCTTACATTATTTCTCCGTTGGTCTTTTTCTACGACAGCCCAAAGAAAATCCTCCGGAGGAGTGGATGAGAGAGAAGAGGGAGCTTGAAATAAAGATGGCTGAACTGCAAACAGCCCTTCAAGTGGAAAGACGGGTAAATAAAATAGACAAAAGCATTCAAGAGCAAACAAAGTTCTATAACCGTAAACCTACGAGGTAATTAGCAGTGCAGAATTTTTCTCGTTCTTTCCTGACGTGTGCCAGATTTTTGGAGTTGATGACGCACCAAACCTCACTTTGACTGATTGGAACTGGCTGCTACCAGAGCAAGTTAACATTCAGAGAGGAATCTGCCACTTTTAATCAGCTTTGATTACACGGTGCACATCCAACACCGCGCATAAAGACGCCTCCAAGTCTTCCTGAAATGAGAGCAGCGGCTATCAAGTGAAGGGAAATGCTGTCAATTGATGGAGAGAAGGAAACTGTACTCTTGAGTTTTTATGTCTGTAACTAATCTTACCAGGAGCACTGTGGGGTTTCTTGCAGTGTGCTTCAGATTAGTCCTCACATTAATCCTTAAAGCCCTCGGGCCTGGTCAAAGGTGCACTCACACAATAATCTAACTTAAATAATGGCTCATTATATGCTGGCTTAAGTAAAGTGGGCAGGTCTTAATCTCTAATAGCTCCTAAGAAGCCAAATTCGTTATGGAGATTGGTGGGCAAATGCCTGCTTTTGCTAAAAAGCCACCGGAGCGAGCCGATGTCTTGTGTCTCACTGCTCTCATTTATTCATCGTGTCTGCTTGTGCAAAGGACTCTGTGAGCAATTCCGATGCCGCTCTGAAAGCTGAGCTGGAGTGCTGTCTGGACGAAAATCTGCTGCTCCAGGAAATGCTGGACCGCCAGAAGAAAGAATTGAATGAAACACAATCCGAGTGAGGACACATACACACACACTCTGTAACACACACAGACAGAGGCAAACGGGAAGGGGCCCAGTACCATGGGTGCACGAGTAGCCCACTTTGTTATCAAGCATAAACTCCTCACAGTTCACCAAACAATCATTCCCTGTCACTTATTCACAAGAGAAAATGTAGTGCGTGCCATCCTCATTTTGTCTTCCATAGAATCATCCAGTGGTGTGTGTGTCCTCTTCTACTCGCAGGGTGACTCAGCTGCGTATGGACCGGGAGAGCGCAGAGGTGCGGGTTAGAGAAATGGAGGACCAGCTGGCTGAGCTTCAGGACGAACTGAGACGGGAGAATGGCAGCAAGACGGTATTCCAGAAACACGCTCACACAGACGCGCAGAGAAAAACAATCTCTTCTAAAAATAGACAGCACTCGATCCAGACCAAATTGCTTCTGAAGACACTTGATCACAAAGCATTCCACTGACAGGTTGATGATTCGCAAAGGCTTTAGCATCTAAAGCAAGACTGAAGTTCCTTTAAGAAAAAGCTTTACCAAACCGTACGCCGTGAGGTCAAAAGCATCAAGTCACCGTCGTGTGTTCCCTCTGTCTGCAGGACCTGATGTCCTGTCAGGCGCAGATGGTGGATGTGTGCCAGCTCAAACAGAAGCTGGAGGAGACTCTGAGGCAGCGAGAGAGGGAGCTAACGGCTCTCAAAGGCGCTCTGAAGGAAGAGGTGGCCACGCACGACAAAGAGGTCGAGGTGCTCCGAGAGCAGTACAGCGTCGACATGGAGAAGCTGCGCAGCAGCATGGAGCAGGTGTCCCAGGTGTGCACACAGAGGCCACGAGCCATCCCACCGTTGCCTACATTTAACATTAAAATGTTTTGATGTTAGAAAACCAGTTGCTCCACAAAAAGAAGCGAACTGAACTAAACTTAAATGTGATCTCATCGGTTAAAACAATTCTGGTTGGTCTGTGGAAGGAGTGTTAACCAACATCGCCTCGATTGTTCGGTCCTTCTTATTTCAGTCCCACGTAGGGATCGAGGCCGAGCGGTTGCGCGTGAACGCGTCGGTTCGCTCCCTCCAGCAGCAGTTGGAAGACTGTAGAGACGAGAGCAGCCACTGGATGGAGCAGTTTCACACCACCAGAGACGAGCTTCGCACCGCCAAACAAGAGTGAGTTTGTCCTCGTACTGGAATCAGGCCTTTCCAGTGCTTACTTTGGTCACCGTCTGTTTTGGTCTGTCTTTGCACCTGCTGTGCTACTAATGCGTGTCCATCTATTCTCTCCTACGATGTTTCTCCCGCTCTCTGTCAGGGAGCCACCCAGCAGCCCTAAAACACCGTGAGAGTCACAATTTGAACTGCATTTGTGTTTAGATCTGCAGACCTGTAGATGTGGCTTGCTGTGCTAACGACCGTCTGACTGTAGATCCAAAGGCCATCCACACTTAACAGCCCTAATCCATGACTCACTGAATGATCCACGTTTAGATATGTACCAGGGAGCCTCAAAGTACAATGGGTTTGGAATATAGACCATATTTAGAACTGGGGTTAAGCAGAAATGGAAATCTGGACAAGTAAACATCTGTGTGTTTATTGTGTGCGTTCATTGTGGTGTGGATGTTCTTAGATATCTGTGTTTAGTGAAAATGTGTCGTAGACCCTTTCTTTTCTGTGAACATATCTGACTCTTATGATAAAAGGAAATGCTGATTTATTAGCTGTTTGTAGAGTGTTTAGTGATGCATCTGCTTGTTCAGTACGTGAAAGAAAATTAAGCTCACATAAATCACCTCTTCAATCAAACGGCTGCTCGTCAGATAATCAAGCAGAACTTACTTAATTCTTTCACACGGATCTGAAACTGTCTCTACGATGTTTAGACTCCTGCAAGCCCGACTGGAAAAAGAGGAGTTTGAGGAGGAACTAACCGAGCTCAAGGAGAAAGTGGGCACCATGAAACGCCAGATACCCGACCCTGACCACACGCAGACTCTCAACCAGGTGAACATCACACACTGCGCTGAATTTCACAAAAATCTGGCGGTTGACAAAGAGAAACCTGCTTTTTTTGTCATCTCTCTATGTATTACTGATATTGCGAGTGTTGCGCAAATAAGCCAAATTTTAATAGAAGTTACCAACCGTCATTTTAACCCTAGGAACTTCAGCGTTACCAAGCTGACCTTCAGAAGGCCAAGTCTGAGGTGGAGAAGCACAGGACTGAGTTTGACAAGAAGGTCATGGAGGTCATCTCCATGAAGAAATCTCACCAGAACCAGGCGGCAGAACTGAGGTATGAGATTGACAGGCTGAAGGACCAATTGCAGAGGGCCAGAGACGATGTATCCAAGGCACAGGACAAAAACAAACGGGTAAGTTAATTATAGTGTGGCAATGTTTATGTGGTAGTTTGTTCCTTTTTGTTTTCTTGTGCGTTTTGTCGATCTCAGTCTCCTGACTTCTTGCCTGTAGCTCCCAGACCCGAGCATCATCTCAGAGCTGGAGCAGAAGCTCGGCGTGGCGCTCGGCGAAGCTAGCCAGCTCAAAGAGAAACTCTCATTGGCTGAGGAGGAAGTGGCGGCCAGTAAAACCCATCTCAGTAGAGCTCAGATGGAAGTTAAATCGCTCCAAGATGCCCAGCAGGAACAGGAAGAGGCGAACGCACGTCTCAGAGAAAAACTCTCACGGCTGGAGGTAGGTCCCGTCCGCTCACACACTAGTGTCCCTGAAATCAGCAGTCATGTTGTAGCATAACTGTGGTTTCCTCAGGCTCAGCTGCAGACCAACGCAACGGAGAGCTCCGAGGCAGAGATCACCCTCCACACCGAGGTGAGAGGGTTGAGATCGGAGCTGGACGAGGCCAAGAGAAAAGCTTCTAGACTGAGTCAGGAGCACCGCGAGCTCATCCTGCGCGTGGATGATTCTGAGAAAGAGAAGGAGACACTTAAACAGACCTTCAACCAGCGGGAAGAGACCAGACAACGGCAGGAAAGAGCTCTGGAGAAACTCAACAAAGAAGTAAGACCGAGTGATCCTATTTAAAACCTTTGGAGAAATGAATGAAAGCGTCCGCAGCATTGGACGTTGTTCGAGCAGCAGAAAAAGTGATCCTCTTGGTTTCTTTCTTCCCGTCAGTATGAGTCCCTGACCATCTCCTCCAGGGAGGAGGTGCAGACTCTAAAGGCTCAGCTGGAGGAGCAGAGAGAGAAGGCACGGAAGGAAGTCCATGAGGCACAACGGAACGGAAACGGCGCTCAGAGTGAACTGGAAAAAAGTAATTTAAATCTACGGAGGCTCGAGGAAGAGGTTTGTATTTTGAGTGCGTGTGTATGTTCACTTGTTTTTTTTTTTCTGTTCTGAATGTTCTGAACTGGCTTAAATGGTTTCAGTAGTTCTGACACATTATTAGCAATACGTGTTACAATATGATCAATCTACCTAGATGTCACGACAGAAGAAGGAGATTCTGCTGGTTTGCGAGGAGAGAGACAACCACCAGCTGGATAAAGAGCTTCTGACCAACAGGGTGCGCCACCTTGAGGGAGAGATGGAGGCCTTCAAAAACGGCCAAAATGAAAAAACCCGGGAGATTCGCATACTGGAGGTCAGACATGTGCAGCTGCATCGCCGTGCTTTGGGAGAATTAATGGCAGCAGTGTTCTCCGCTGTCGATAGTTCTGTGCTGTTAATAATTCTACTCTGCACACGATGTCAATGGAGCAGTCTGTATATTCAGACACCTTTCTGAACATGTATTACCTATATTTATAAATCAATTAAATACAGTATTTCTCTGCTTACATGTACAAGCTTCAGCACTATTGAATTTCCTTCCACGGCCTAATCCAATGCACACCGTCTCCTTTCTGAGCATCTTAACACGGCGGCCTCTCCTTGCCTCTGCCAGGACAAGCTGAAGCGCATGGAGTTGGAGCTGGAGGAGGAGAAGAGCGGCTCGGAGATGCTGACAGAGCGAGTGGGCAGGAGCAGAGACCAGATCGATCAGCTGCGCTCTGAGCTCATGCAGGAGAGATCCTCCAAACAGGACCTGGAGCTGGACAAGAACACCATGGAGAGACACGTATGTAACGGCAACCCGGTGTCCAGTCGGCGTGTAACAGGAAAACTCTGACTTGCCACTCTGGTGTACTTTGGGCTTGTTTGACCCGCTGTCTGTCCGCTGCAGCTGAAGGAGCTGAGGAGTCGTGTGGCCGACATGGAGGGTCAATCTCGCTCCTCTGCAGGAGTCTCCCAGCTGGAGAACAGGATCCAGGAACTGGAAGAACTCTTACGGAGTGAGGAAAGGTACAGTGCAATGGACTAGTGTAATTCAGCATTCCTTTTATTCCCTCCATTTTATCTTTTTGTTTGAAGATAAACGATTTCCCTGAAATTTGCGGAGCAATGGTTTATTTTGCTTACATCTTGCTAATTAGATTTATTTAAGGAGAAGTGCATTTGTTTGACAACATTTGCAGATTCGGATGATTATACAAAAAAAAACTACTACTAATATATTATGAGTTAATATGATGGGTTGAGTACCTTTCCTTTTGCTACCATAAAGGTATTTGAATTGTTCGTTACATTACGGAATCCATGTTTTGGGCATTTCGACCGTTAACTCATGAGCATGCCCGCGTGTCTTTTGCTCGGTTTCCTCTCTCCTACATGTAAAGGGAGAAGAACTCAGTGTTGGCGTCTCAACGGCGTCTGGAGAGGAAACTGAAAGATCTCAACTTGACGTTTGACGAGGAGAAACAAACCCATACTGAACAGAGGGACCAGGTAAACGCCTTCACATCAAGTGCACCTCAATATCTGAAAATACTCTGGAGACATGGTAATACATCAAGAACCAATGCATCTGCATAAAACTACACTTTTAACCTCATGCTGTGCTGCAGCTCACTCTGAGAGTGAAAGCCCTGAAGAGGCAGGTAGACGAAGGAGAGACTGAGCTGGAAAGGATCGATGGGATGAGGAGAAAGGCCCAGAGAGACATGGAGGAACAGATGGAGCTCAAAGACACCTTGCAGGCCAGAGTCACAGCGCTGGAAACTGAGCTCAAGTAAGCGTTTTACTTGTTCTATGTATCCAATTTGGTCTCTCATCCAATTTGTTATTTAATGTGCGCTTATGCAAGACACTTCCTGGCAGCCACATTTTCACAGCCAGTCGTGTGAGTGAGTAAGAGAAATATCTCATCCCATCAGTGTCATAAGACTACAACTGCACATGAATGACGTTATTATGAGCAAACCCAGATTCCTTATACGTTACACACGCAATCAATAGACACCTGGTAGAGATTTACAGAGCACCCTGAGGTGCAGTATTTCACAACGCGATGTGTGTGAAACACATCAGCAATCACCCGCGTGCGAAAAGATATTTCATTACACTGAAAAAGGTCATTACTCATGTACCACGTGGGAAAGGACATGACAGCAATGCGCCCAGTAGAAAGAGAAATGCTTGTTGTTCCCTTGTGTTGCCAGCAGAGGGAGCACTATTTCCACTGAACAAGAAAGAAACTGTTGAACAAAGTGAGTTTTGAACTAGGGCTGTCAACATAAACTCATTAATCTATGCGATCAATGTGGCCGAGATTAATGCTACAAAATATTTTAACGTAGTTAACGTACGTTTATTTACCTTTTTTTTACGGAAGTAAACAAACGTAAGTCCCGGGAAGTAAACCGGAAGTTGACCCCAAAAACAAAGCAGCCGCTAGCTGCAGTCAGTTACATCAAGATGAAGAGAGCTTTTTGCATTGGCAGTAAAATAAAACCGAGGCAGGACATAAAGCGGAGAACTGTGCAGAGGAATTACTCTACGTGTCTAACCGAAGGGGGGTGAATGGCAAACTGACCACTTAAAGCACCTCTATGCTAAGTTAGCTGCTAGTCTGCTTCCATCTCATCTAACGTTACCCTGCGCGGCACGCAGAGGACCACAGCCATGTGTCCCTAAAAGACCGTCGTTTGAAAACGTCCTGGCTAAATGTGGGGAGATTGTTGGCACTTCAAACACAGCCGTTAAATGATGGAGAGTTGAGAGCAAAGTGCACACAAGGACAGCAGGAGGAGTCGCTAGTTCAACACGTTCCACCCAGTGGAATTCTGCCTCCCAAGATGATCAGTTTTGTGCTTCAAATAATATTAACAATATACAACAACAACATACACGCTTTCTAAAGTGATTACTCATTATTTTTAAGATTGTCTTTAGAAGGAGAACAAATATTCATTAAAAAAACAAAATTGTAACGACAACATTCATTAATCGCCCTTAATCGAGATTAATTTGAAAATGTGCCATTGATTAGTTAGATTTGTTAAATCTATTGACAGCCCTAGTTTGAACCGTTAGTGGTGCCATAGATAATGGTAATGACGATTAATGTGTCACAGGAGGAAAACCCAGGCAGCGATGCGGCCAGCGTTGGATTCATCAGCTCTCAGTTCAGATGATGACGACGACAGCCTGTTCGATCCCTCCACCATCACCTCCATACTTACTGAGAGCAACCTCCAGACCAGCTCCTGTTAAAACAGCACTTCAGGGGGGAGGGGGGAGAATACTGTTAAGGAAAAGATAAGGGTCATGTGGCCTTTTTGGGCTGGGAGTAAAGCCAAAAAGCAGAATGGTATTCACTACAGCCAATGAGGGGGGGCGGGGGGCTGCACTGATTTGTGATTTTAAATTACACATTGTAAAGTTTAGCAAGGAGACTGGAAGGAAGCAACTCATCTTCTGAATTTCATGGTATTTTCATCAGTCTACATGGTACTCGGCTGCACTCGACAGTACAGCTGGAGGAACTCCATCATGCAAACACGCACTACATCACAAAGACAAGTAACTGGATTACAAGAACAGAACAGAGGCTAAAAAATGTAAACCGAAATTTCCTCTTTCATGTTTTACAAATGCAAGTTCAGTCAAGGTTGAGGTTCTGGTTTAAGCACTATCAACTAAATACTCATCACCTCGCAGCGTGGAAAGGTTACCTTTCATATCATTTTTCTCTCTAGCGCACGATTCTGTACCTCGGCATGAATAAATAAGGTAGCTCTATTTACAAACATGGACCAACATTAAACTCAGATTCTCATGCTGTTTGTTGTTTAAAAAGTAAAATTTACTGTAAATGATTGGTACTGAATGAAATCTAGCTATTTAAACATGTTTTTTGAATGAGTCTTGTGTTTTTATTACAGGGCGGTACGGTACACAGTGTAGGAATTCAGAATTATAAAATGTGACGCTGATTATTTACTATAAATGTGACAGACGCCTCATGTTGGTGTGACTGGTTCTGTCAGTTGTGTCTTTATCTGCTGTATCTTTAACAATTTACTAGTAAAGATGCAACAGACCTTCTGTTTGGCTGATTTTGTAATGTTTTGTAAGTTTGAAGACAAGTGTCCTTTTGTCGGAATATGAAATAATTAACTAACAAGTTTTTTTTGTTTTTCCTTTGAGTTAAAATGGCCAAAAAAAAGTCTTCCTGCCCATTAAAATGTTTGTATTTAAGCTGCACAATTTCTATGCATTCCTTTATTGCAAGTCACTGAAATATATGCTTTAAAATAATTGTTAAATAATAAGTGTTTTGTAAAATTCAACATTAACATTGTAGATTCTTTTGAGTCCGGGGCTTTGTAAACTGTTTGACGAATCAGTTGGAGTGCTAATAACTGTCTTTTGCAGTGAAACTGTAAATGGTAAAATGATTTGTTAGACTGAGGAAGTGGGTGTTGAATTTCAAAATGCTGGCATCTTCTATAAGGTTGACGAGAGAAATTCACCTTGTGTCTGTACTTCAAAATGTTGATAATATTTCTATTGCACGTAAATGTAGCTACAATAAAAGCTCAACAATTTAAGTTTCCATGATTATTGTCCTTAAATATACTAAACGTTAATCAGCTACTTTTACTTTTGTGCGTTTTCTCTCTGAGAGAAGAAAGTCTGGTAAACTGCCGCTACACACTAAAGTGGAAGAGCAGTAGAAATCCTTCATCCAGAATTTGAAAACTCTCTTGCATAGTAGCCTTTAGCAGCTTTGTTCTAAATAAACTGACTTATGTGACTATTTGATAGACAAACTACTCTCTAATTGTTCAGAATTATTGTAAGGATGTAGGCAGAAGCTCATTTGATGAATACTTATTATGCTCTCATTCCCATTTTGGAAGAGGCGTTTATGACAATGAGATAATAGCGATGCATCTCGCTGCGCTTTAAATAGTTATTAACAAGGATGAAAATGACTGTGCGTCCTGTATCCGGCCTTTGTTCACATCACCTGTGTGTGCACGGGACAGTGTGATTACAGGTCTGTCTCATCGTCGCCTCAAACACAGACTGGTTACTGTGGCGCAGCAGACATTAAGACATTCAACATAGCAAACGATTCTATTATTTTCCTAGATGTATAGATTTCAAACGTGTTGACTTGGTGTTCACTGAACACTCAGCAGCCACGGCTCTGTGCCAGCGTTGTTGTTTTTACCCTCTTAACTATTGTTGCAGGATCATTTCATAGATAATATGTGCGATAAGTATCATGCAGAGCAGAAATAAACAAGGCAAATGTGTTGATACAGGGGGGGCCACATCCCCGTCTACGGACGCATTCCCACGTTCATGTGATTATCATACAAACCTGAAAAAATTGTTTAGGCCTCCACTTCCTCTGCCACCCGTTCCCTGCGGCACAACGAGCAACCAAGCCAAGCACAATAACACACATAATGACGACTAGGACTTTGCATTGTTTGAGAGTGAAGCACGATACCGTGTGAGTTCAATTTGCTCCACCGAGAATCCAGAGCATTAATCAACTGAGCTGGTGTATTGATAGAAGGGACCCGTGTCTCCATCTGTGGATTTATTCTCAGTTTTTCACAAGGAGGAGAGCAACCTTTTAACGACGAGGTCGGCAGGTTCGATCCCCGGCCTACGCTGTTGGCGTTGAACCCCGAGCGGCTCCTCGTGTGCTTTACAGCAACCCGCTGCTCCTAATCCCGTCTGGGATTATTGCCGTGAGACGAGGCGGTGTGCTGCGTGTCGTGCTGCTCTGCAGGGTGAGACATGTCAGGAATGTGCCAGCTGGAAGCCGATATAGTTATCACACCAAATCTAATGTCAGAGAAACCTGCAGCTACTAACCCAAATAATCTCTAGATGTTAGAAAACCGTCTGTCGAATGGATCCAAACTTTTCTACGCTTCACGCCAAAACATTCCGATCACTTAAGGCGTCTTCCTACAATTGAGAAAGAGATGAAGACAATTACCAGCTCCTCGGCTGATTGTGTGTTCACATCCTATCTGGCACGCTAGCGGGATTGTGTTGGACTATTTTGAGACCACAGGGAGTCTGTCCGGGTCTTTGTGACATACTGTAATAGTACTGTACCTCCTGCTGTTGCTATTGTGTAGTTGAACTTAAAAAGACTCCGAAAACAAACTATTTTCCCAGCCACTGGTCGCCAATAAATGGAACATTTAAAGTCTTTACCTGGAAACAATATGTTGGAGTCACACCTTTAATACTCGCTGTAGAACCTGATGCAGCGTCCACGATACTACAACTGCCACCAAACCTGTCGGGCAATACGCCTGTTTTGCTAGAAATTACGAGAGAACATACTTCACGAGGGTGCAATGGGGTTACCGCGCCATTATCCCAGCACAACCAGCACAACCAGCACAACCCCGAGAGCTGATTTTCCAAGAGCTGGGTGTGTGGTGTTACTAAAATCACCATGTGTTTCACCTTTTGTTATTTCCAAACAAAGTGCATTTTTTGCTTAAGTTGGTAAAAGACAACAATAACACATTTATAGGTCAAACCGGATTGTGACTTGGACGCGTGTGTGTAACACACACACGGACCGCACACAGCTGTCTGTTTGGCGGATCAGCCTGTCTGAGTGCGGTCACCGCGGTGGGATACAAACACATGGTTATGACTCACATTTGGCTTCGGCAGGCGGGACACATGATGACATACTGCCGTGAGGTGCAGGTGTGTTTGTTGCATGTGAGATAACCTCATTCCACTCAATAAATCAACCATTAAACAACAACACCCTCTGGAGAGGAACCACCTAGTGAACTATTACTTGTAGGAGGTGCTTTGAAACATCACTTCTTTCATTAGGGTCTACTAGATTTACTCTAGCAACTTTTCTCCCCATGAGAGTTGTTTCAAATTCACTTAGTGTCGTCCCTTTGTTTGCCAACCCGAGCCCTTAATGCTGTTAAGGTCCTTATTCTGGGTCCACAGTGCTGCGTCAGTGTGACCTCAGTCCACTCTGGAAATAACCTGCCTGTCATCTGACTTTTGACAACAAATAATTAGAAACATTCACATGCCTGATTGAATTACAATGTTTTTGCTGCGTACTTTTCATTGCTAATGACGTGCATACCAAACAGTTATTTTCATTTAAACTGTCACAATGAGAAAGTCTGCATTCTTTTCTTTTTTTAAGTTGTATAGTTATTTATGTGGTTATATGTTTATAAGTACTGAACTGAAAGGTTTCTGCTGCAGTGACCACACGACCAAAGGGCAACATGATAATAATAACAATAATAATAATAATAAACAGTAGCGTGATGTGCACTGTGGTGGATGAATCATTTCTAGCGCCATCTATGTAAATCAAACTTGAAATGGTAAAAATCAATTTTTTAAAAACTTGCCGGAAAAATTCTATAAACAACAAAACAAACACATATGCAATTATTCTGATTATTTGATAAGAACGGCGCGTCACACTTTTTTTTAACGTTTCCTATAACAACAATCTGTTAGTCTTTTAAATCACTGGGTACCAAACGATGCAGCGTGTAACCTAAGAGGAGACTCCAACGGGTTCAGTCTCCACCTGATGAATAAATGATAGCGGCCTTTGCGTAAACCGAGCGGACCGTCTCTCAGGGTCAGAAGCGTCGCACCCCGGGAGCACCGCGCGCCCATCACGTGATCATCATCGCTCGATCCAGAAGTGGGTGTAGCGCACCAGGTGAACCCCCCCCCCTCCCCCCACCTCCCACCCAGACATTCCGCGCACACCCGGATCCCTCGGTTTTGTGGGCGTGTTGTTTTTGTGTGTCTCACTTCCACGAGTGACGTGGACAAAGTTAGAATGCGAAGAGAGGGGAGGAGACACACACACACACACACACACATTCACGCACACGCATATACACGCGCACACCCGCGGCAGCAGAGAGACAGAAGGAACTCGAACCCACACACGGACGGAGCCTGTTTAGAGTCCGCTTTCATTTATTTATCTATTTATCTATAGTTGTGTTTCGTTCTCCATCGAAGATGAACGGAGTGACCAGAAGCTTGTGCACCTTGGAGGACATCCGGCACCCAGAGCAAGGGGTGAGTGTCTCCACAATCACACGTTGGTGTGATGATCTATCTATCTATCTATCTATCTATCTATCTATCTATCTATCTATCTATCTATCTATCTATCTATCTATCTATCTATCTATCTATCTATCTATATGTATGTATATATATTTTTCTTTTTACGATTGTGTTGGGACTTAATTTCCTCTAAGTGGTGTATTTACTCTCACGTCTCCGGCCTCGTTCTAATTAAAGCATTAGCCCGTAACCCCCAAAGTCTCAACACACACAAACATAGGCTGCCGTGTCAGATTTAGTCCAGGTAACATCTGTTCCTGTCACAGTTGCCTTCCTCCCTCATCATTTAAGGGCTTACGGTTGCACTTGTGACAGACGTCGACGCTCAGGAGACAAAGCTTCTTGTGCAGTATACGTGCACCGCCTGCGCGCGAGGAGCCTACTGAAGCCAGATTAGATACTTGTGCTGTCAATGGACGATCGGCAGCCACCCACGTCACGGTGCAGTAAATGAGCTTTATCATCCTCCGTGCAGGGCAGCGTACAGGTTTAATCATCCACCTCGGCCATCCGTAATGGGTAATGTGTGGTTTATGAGTCTGCAGAGCAACACAACGCTTTCACCTCATCAGCAGCCTCCCGCCGCGGTCGATACAGACCCACGGAGCTCGTATCGAATGGAAACCTCTAAAGAAGGCCATTACGGTGAATACTCTTCACCGCGATTATGTTAGATTAACTGGGATTAGAGTGATTAGTGCAGGATCTGACAGATTTGTATTGGCAATGGTCTAGACTTAAATGTCAGTTACCGTTGCGTAACTACACAACAAAGGTCAGAGTCCACAGAGGGAAGAGCCACACTCACACACCTAATAAACTGAATTTCTCTGGAAACGATAAGTGGAACACTTATGGAAAACAGTGATCTTTATCAAAGTCAAATAGTCAGCCGCCAACTTATTTACATACCTGATAAAGTTATTCAGGTCAGACTAAATGAAACATTAGAAATATTTCACCTCTACGTGTAATAGTTGTTGTTGGAAAAAAAGGAACCCCTACCCTTCATCAGAGGAGGGTGAGGAGGGTGAGGAGGGGTCAGTCCGTAAGGATGCATGGGGAGAGGGAATGTGTAGCTAGGAAATGACTTCAGTGGGAGTTTTGTTGCCAACTGTGTTTCCTGGAACTGAGATCATACGATCTAAAATTAAACAGCGAGGTTTGGCGTCGACACGGATAGTTACTCTAAACTTCATAATAGCGATAAAAATCCAGCGGTTCTTTGGGAATAATTTAAAACTTGCGGCGCAGTTTTTCCTCCCTAAAACCAGAGCGCGTTGAGAAGATTCTTTTCTCTTGCGAGGGCACTTTTTGAATAATGCCACAAGCGTCCCTGCAGGCATTTGGTTCCCCTGTGACCTAACACATTCCTTCTGTCTTCCCTCACCCCGAGACATCATCTCAGTCAGGAGTGTGTGACGTTACGGGTACGAATGGAAAACGGTCCCACAGAGTTTGCACGGTACAGAGAGCAGGAAGAGACCCAGAGACAAAATAATTGATCAAACTATGATAAGAGAAATTAGTGCCTCTGTGACTCAGACCCTGGACTGAGTTTACGATCCAGGTTCACCTGCTGATGTTCTCACGGGATGTTAAACACATGCAAACCTCCCAGTGCGTCGCCTCTGTTTGTGTCTGTACCCTGTAAAATGTACTGGATCTTTAGTTACATTTTTTAGGAAAACCTTCAGCTAACAATTATTTCCAATGTTGATTAATCTGTTTAATCTTTTCTTAATTAATTGATTAATCATTAAGCCGAAGGAAAATAAAAGACCAACAGTCCAAAAATTCCTTGTGCGAATGGCAAACATTACAGGTCTGGGTTTGAGATGTTCCCTGCAGCTCAGGTATTCAGGCCGAGGTTTTTAATACACAATCTTTGTGGAACGCAGGTACAACACCTGCAGGCACAGCGTGTGTTGCTGTGGAATCTGCCCATGGCGTTCTTTTCCTGAAGTGGCTTTTAGCTCTGAGGGAACATTTCTTGTTTTTTTTTCTTTACCTACATGCTGAAGCTCTGTCTGTTTATCAGCAACCTTGGCAGGTTTGGCGCTTTCACCTCTCAGCTAATTCAGCCCGCATGATGTACAGGCCTCCTGAAGCCAAAAGTCCAACACAAAAAAAGCTGCTCACCCTTAAAGCCCGTCAGCCGGCCATACCCCCTGATCTATTGTGCTCTTTGTCCGGCAGTGTGAATGCTGTGTGTGTGTGTGTGTGTGTGTGTGTGTGTGTGTGTGTGTGTGTGTGCGTGCTTGGTTTCAGGTTTCTGTTTGTTCTGTTATAAAGCCAGTGTGTCGCTGGTGTTTGTGTACTTTTATTGGGTGTATATTTGTGCCGGCATTTGCCTCTGTGTGTGTGTGTGTGTGTGTGTGTGTGTGTGTGTGTGTGTGCGTGCACACATCATCTTCCATTAGCAGATCAGGCTGGTTCCCTTTGTCTCTGTTCATTGGAAATCCAGTTTAACAGGTTTTCTTTTGAAGGTGGTATAAAAAGATTTTTTTTTTGAGTGTGTCAATATGAAAGAAAAGGCAGAGAGACAAGTGTGTATAAAGTTGACGGCAGGAATAGCGGAGCTTTTATTCGGTTGTCTACGAACCAGAGTTGAAGTTGTACAATGATGGATTCCATCCTAACAACCCTCTCACTGTTCTCCCTTTCCCTCCCCCTCCCCTCGTCCCCCTCCTCTAATGGCTTCCGAGTGTTGTAATCTGAGAAGAGAGCACGCTGAACAAGTGGAGGGTTTTTATTTTCCTTTTCTCTGAGTTTCGTTTTGAGTGGGACCACCGCTCCTGTTTCTCAGAAAGGCTCCACACAACACATGACTTTTCCTAACCTCCCTCCGCTCTTTATCTCTGCGTTAAACGGCCGAACCCAGTTTTTACTTCCCCCGTCTGGCTCGTGTCAAGGCCGCCGCATTCTGCGCATCACACATGGTTTCAATGCATGAGAGAAGCACGAAGCAGACACGCCGACTACCACCTAGTTAACGCCGAGCCGCCAAAACATTGGAGTTGAAATAGGGCACTAGTACTATCTGCACGTCAGAGATGTTGTGTACAAATACAAAAAAGTAAAATAACAGAAAGAAAGTTGTAGTATTTTCTTGAACGCCGACGCAATCCCCAAAAACTTTATCTGCAGACAAAGTTTGAGTAATCTGATTTAGAGCTCAGAAGACGCTACTAAATCGACATCCAGGTAAGCTTACAGTCTAAAGTTATGGACCAAAACATTGTTTTTATAATAATACTATTATTTTACACTGTTCAAAAGACTCATTATTTATTATGTTTAGGCCAGTTTAATATATCACCAATGAATGCGTTGTGTGTAACGTTGCTGCTGAGTCATCGGTTTGCACGTGTGCGTTTGTTTACGTTTTAAAGTATTTAACCACAACAGAACACTGCAGGCATTTCGTCTCTGCCTGATCCGTGTCTCCTAGTTGACATGATTCAGATTCCAGGTGGACACAGTAAACACACGAGGCAAACAAAAGAAGACTTTTGGCCGACTTTTGTAATGTCCCTGACCTCCTCTCCCTCGCATCCGCATACTTGTATACAAGGAGGGGGGAGTTCCCCCTAATGGAGGAGGACACACACACACACATCCGGCCACATTCCACTAAAGGCTTCCCCCCCATCAACGCGCCTCCTGGAACCAAAGAAAACAGCTGAGAAGGTGTCTTTGCTTTGCAAAGCGTTTGTTTTGTCTCTGACGAGCTCTTCCCACTCACATTGTGTGCGGGAGTTTAGTGCTACGGTGAGGTTTCTGTTTCCATGGAAACGGCCCGTTCTTGCTTGACATCACATTATCCGCCCGCTTTCCCAGAAACCCAGCCGCTGCGCTGCGAGCGCCTGGAGAGATTCCCCCTGAAGTCCCTCTGACGTCCGCGGCACACAATTTAATTCAAACAATCTGTCTCTGTGCTGCCGTGAGACAAACTTTCGCTTTTTCTTTTTTTTTGGGAGGGGGGGGGGCTGTTACACCCTCTTTCTTACTGGCTGCTCTCTCCCTCCTCTGTTGTTGATCCGTGAGTGTGACTCAGTCTCTCCTCCTCTTTCTTCTCCCCTCACCGCCTCAATCCGTCCCTTCCCTCACATAACGGTCCCTTTGTGGCTTCGCCCCATCGTCTCATTTCTTCGTGGCCCCCTTGTTTCTCGCAGGACGGGTGCAGGCGCCTGCGGCTCACACTGCACGACCAGAGGCAGGACGCTCGCGGCGCGGAGCAGCACAGAGACAGAGACAAGGTAAGGACCGCCTGCACGCGATGGCTCGGGTTGTAACCTGGAGGGTGAACTTCAATTGAAAGGTTTGCCTGTAACAACATCCCTCCCTCCCTTTGGACAAATGATGGCTTATTGCATTAGGTTTTTATCTAAATGAACTTTTCCTCTTTAATAGACGACAATCGGACAGATTGCCTTAAAGACAGAAGACACAGTAGCCCTGTTTTTTCTTTGGAGGTGCCGTTCACAGCATTTCAAGTGCACGGTTTTAACACGAACCGCCCAAAATGTCACAAGACCAAACGGTGCCAAAAGTTAGACAAAGAAAAAAACATAAATTGGACCACTGTGCTGAGTGTGTACTGAGTTACATGAGGTCTCCCCACCTCGTCCTGTGTGTCTGTGATAATGCTTTAGTCCCAACGCTGCTTCCAAAGAAGCACCAGATGTTTATGGATTTGTCTCCATGGCGATAATGACGAAATGTCCCTGCGCTGTGATTATAGAGGCTCACAGTCGGTTACACGGAAACATGAAGTATTTGCTTTGGCACCGCCGAGCGATAGTGAAGCGCAGTGACGACGTTTGCCGATGTATCACACCCATCCTGACGCAACGGAGTGCGCGCCGCGGCATCGCTAACGCCTCCGCTTTCTCACCCTCAGCCCATCGGACGCGTGCAGCCGGCCAATGACTGGACGGCTCTGAACCCCGAGCCGATCAAGTGCAAAGAGGAGCAGGTGGAGGTTATCAAGGTGGGTGTGGCACATTGTCGGCTGTTGCTTTTGGAAGAAACTGACGCTGTGTGTGTGTGTGTTTGCTTTAACGCTCACGTCAGTGTTTAACATCCTCCGTCCGTCCCTGTTCCAGGTTTATCTGGAAGCCCGCAAACAAGAGCAGCAGAAACACCAGGAGAGCCTGAAGATGCTGTCAGACGAGGTTTCCCAGATACAGGAGGTCAGCCAACACAAACACATTAACGGTGTTGTAATCTGAGAAGAGAGCGGGCTGAACTGAGTTTCCTTTTGACTGGGACCACCAGCTTTTAGCCTATTTCCAGCCCGCTCTGCTTTCTTTTGCATCTTGTTTTCCTGAACAGATAACCAGTTACTCATAAAGTCTCTGGACGGGATCTACTGGAGCTCCGACACACATTTTAAACGCACACACAGCCTCCCAACCCTTTTCCTCTGGATGGCGTAACAATGATTATTTGCACATTGCGCATGTAAATTCCTCCCAGCGGCCAGACAGGTTTCGTCTTGCGTTCACTACTTCATAGATACGCGTATTCAAATACAATTAAAGAAATGTGTCACTCACAATGTGTCTGTGTCTCACGTAGGTGAGGTATTGCCTGAAAACGCTGAGGGAGCAGATGGCAGCCAAAAACAAGGTGGGTGTATTTTAAGCGGCTTTGCCGTGCCCCGTGCCTTTGTCAACCGTACATCCTGTGTGCTTCCCTTTCTCACTCTGCCCGGGCCGACTTCCTTCTTTTCTCTTCCCAGTCGCTCACAAACGGGTGGAAAGTTGGTCTCCCTTTCAGAAAGAGCGCCTCGTCCTCGAGCACAAGGCGTACATCCGACGCACAGGTGAGCACTCAAGGCCGACAAATGATAATACGTAAAAAAAAAAAAAAAAAAGTATTTGTGTGAAAAATTAACTTGGAAACGTGTCCTCTGAACAATGGGTGTTTCGTGTGATGCCTGTAAAGCGATCAGCTGCCAGAGGCACACCAGTATAAAGTTAAATAGACGGACAAACAGATATGTCATATAGTAGAAAAGGACAGGTTTAAAATGACATCAGGACATAAATATTATATAGCACCCCAGGGTGTGTTACACAAGCGAGAGTACCAGCACACAATGTTTCTCAAAAGCAGTTATTGTGTTGAGGCCCGTCCCATTGTTCCCAGCATTCCACAGATACTTTTCCTTTAAGCGTTTTGTTGTTGTCTTTGAGCTACACACAGCACACCCACTAGTACTATCTGCACGTCAGTAACCTTGTGTACAAATACAAAACAGAGCTGTCGCCATTGTGTTTGGTTCAATAGTTTTCGCGCCAATTACAGCATTTATCTGTGACTCACGCTGCAGCTCACTCGCAGTGAGTGTTGCAGAAATTGGGCAGAGAACGCTGGTTCTGATCCGGCCGCTCCGCATGAAAGCCAAACCCACTGAGCTCCAATGGAAGCATTTGTCTATCCATCTTGAATAGTTGTTTTGAGGCCATTCATGTGTTCATTTTACTGTCATATTCTTTTAGAACATTGAGTCTTATTTTCAGGCAGATTAACGTAAAATGCGTTTTAATTTTCGAGATGAAAATACAAAAAAACATAAGTATTCAATTTTGCTTGAACACAGCTCAAGGTGGTGCAGTAATTGTGATTAAAAGAATTCTCGACTTGATTTGTATCGGGACACATTACATCACCTATCTGACAGCCGCACTGCGTTCTCTGTCATCCAGGAAGCAGATGAAGAAGCTGAGAGTGCCAAGCTGAGGGAGGTCAGTAAGCGCTTGTATGCACAGCTACAGGAAGCAGAGAAGAAACACCAAGAAGACAAAGAGAGGCTGCAGGTAAACACACACATATTCAGAGCTTATTTCTACGTCCATTGTGAATCATCCCAAACAATCCGCGCTGCATTTCTGTAAACTAAAGCAATAAAGATCGCCCTCTCTCTTCCAGGCTGAAAGCCGCAGGCTGAAAGAGTGTCTCCTCGTTGAGGGGGAGAAGATGAGGATCACAGAAGAGGACAGCGAGAAGAAAGACGAGCGCATAGAGGAGCTCCAGAGGCTGCTGACAGGGATGCAGCAGGAGAGCACCACCCTGCGAGAGGCCATACGCAGCCGCGAGGACGAACTGGGCGAACTGCGCAAGCTGCGAGAGGAAGGCCAGGAAGGGGAGCAAAGGTCAGCCAACGCAAACACATCAACGGCATGAATGATTACGTATCAATCAGCAGGAAATCAGATTGCGTGCTGCGAATTCTAACTCTGCGGGTATTTTTAGGGCGGAGCAGTTGGAGCGGGAGGTGGCTATTCTCAGGGAAAAGATCCACCATCTGGACGACATGCTGAAAAGCCAGCAGAGGAAAGTCCGGCACATGATTGAACAGGTGAGGCGCGCAGGTGGGAGGCTCTGAAAAGCAAACACACTGTGTCCGCGTTCGTCTTTGTGCAGGATTTACCGAGTGTTTGACTGTGCTTCTTCTCGTCTTTAGCTCCAGAACTCTCGCATGGTGATCCAGGAGAGGGACCGCGTGATCAAAGAGCTGGAGGAGAAAGTGGCTTTCTTGGAGGCTGAGGTGAATGCTGCTTATTATCATCTCCTACATTTTTTTTAATCATGAAAAAAAGATTCATGAGTCAAATTTAGAATAAAGATTTGCAGTCGATTTCAGTTTTTAAACTGAAGAAAGGAAATAAAATAAAATATCTGCAGACAGTTAGGAGATTTGAAAGGGAAGAAGATGCAACTGTTTTGTCACATTCGTTATTTGTATTTATTTACTTATGTGGACTGACCCCTGACCTTTTGTTTGTGTAGAACCGAGAAATGCATGACCAGATGGACTACTTCCTGGGAGGACAACGGTCAAATTCCTACCTTTCATCAGAGCGCAACCCCCAGATTATCTACAGGTAACTCATTTTGTTTTTCCTCTTCATGTGGTTCGTCCTACCGGGCCTGTCGTCACGCAGGAGTTTTGGGGGTATTTTTATTTAACAAATTTGGTGAAATGAGTCACAAGATACAGTTTGTGCGCACACACACATACATGAAAATAACCCCCCTATCAATCCCCTATTAGCCACTCATTTTAGCCACTTGTCAGCACAGTAATATAGTCGCATGTATTTACTGTTTTGACATACAGTCCACTCATGTCTCTTCCTCTTGTCCCCGCAGCAAACCAATCAAGCCGTCCAACTCATCCAACAAACCACTCCCTTTCATCAAAGTCATTGAGATCAAGTCATGAAGCGACTGCGCAGAAGAAATACAGCGATTGTCAGGAACCACCAAATCTTTGCAATGCGGGCTAAGGCTGAACGGCAGTTCTACGGCCCCGTCTGATCCCTTTTCTATAGGTGTGTGTGGTCTCAGCTGAGCTTCCTGGACTGAAACTGAAACACTACAACTTATGCCACCAACCCTCTTGAAGGGAACTGCTGTGCGTCCGTGCATAAAGAATGAGCGTGTGAGCTTTAGGATAGACGCATTAAGCGTACTGTTGTGCATTTGTTCATGAGTATAATACTGTGTACTGTATGAAAGTGTTCCCTTATGCTGCCCGTTTGCCAAAGTAGGTTATGACATTATGAAGCTTATAGACTGCAATGTAGCAAACATAGCTAACCAAGCTAACGTTGTTTTTTTATATATCGTGGACCAGATGATCTACTTCATGTGTAATCAATACTCACTCCCCTGAGTCAACAGGAAGATGCTTAAAGTTGACTAAGGTTTGTATAAGGTCAACATCCTGTGATGTTTTTAAATAATATTTATAACCCCCATACGACGATATCGCACTTACCTAAACCTTGAAACGGCAAAGCAAAAGTAAAAATGATTACTTCATAGAAGTGTCATTATTGTACAAATTCCTTGTAAAGCATTTCAGTTCTCTCGCTTTGCCTGAACCTCCAGCTTATTTTGTAAATAATTTAAATGTGATTTACGTTATGTTCTACCTAACAACTTTCTCCCTTGTATTTATTTATATATGAAAATAAACCTTTAGGCAGACTGTTATGAGTCTTTCTTTAATGAAGTACATTTTAATCTGTGACTGTATCTGTTTGTGGTTTTCCAAATAAATTACTGAAAATGAAAGTAATGCCTCTTGATTTGTTACTAGAATGAAGCAGGCTGTTTTAAGATATATATATATATTAAGATTACTATGAAGGAGCGCCCTCAGCTGGACACTACGCACCATAAATGACTATATTGTGCTGAAATGTAAGAACATCTCATCCGTCTGTCATTGTTTTTATTTGGATAGCAACTTAAACAACAACTACAGAAAATACAATTATTCACCTCATGGGAACCCTGAATAGCAAAGGAAACGCAGTTCAGATATCTGCAGGCATGCCTACCTTTTAAAAAGAGACTTCCCCTGGTGCAACATTCAGAATGCATTCATTTACTGGAATACTGCTCAATTGCATCACACTGGCAGAGCTAATATACAATAAAAATAGCACTTGCTCATCAAAATTCATTAAATTAAGTATGGCTTCTGTAAAACAGATGTTTAAGGCAAAAACAAGCCACGAAATGTCACAGCTGAAATACAAGTTGTGACATACATAGATGTAAACATAAATGACATAAGCAGTGTGTGTTTTTCAAACAATCATTAGGTATCTTTACAAACAGTATCAACTATGAGCATGTTTTAATCCAGTTGGGTCATAGTAACAAGTCTAAATAGGCCTTTAAATTGTGCAATAAATACTGATTGTCTTATGCCGTTGCATAACCCCATTTTGGTCAAATCAACCCTACTTACTTACAGAGCACATGCATCAATATCGGATGAATAAATGCATGGGCTACACTTAGATCAGGAGCACTGAGTCTGATATGCATTATATTGTAAACCAGGAAATACGTTTGGGTATACGAAGGCAGTGTTTTTAACATTACTCTAAACTATCTGGTCCCCTGTCGCCCTCTGCAGGCACTTTAATCACTGACAGCTTGCCCTCGTCTTTGACCTTCCTGTTGGGACGTCTTCTCAGAACGAACTGTCCAGAGTGTTGTAGTTGTCTTTGAAGTTCTTCAGCTCCAGGAAGTTCCTGGGCCGCTTGCTGCGCTGCTGCATTGACGATGTGTGGTAGGTGGTCTGGGTCGGGGAGGATGAGGGGCTGGCGGGCTCGGTGGGGCTGGTTAGGTCTTTGGCTGCGGACTGGTGCCGCTGGGTCGGAGTGCTGCCGCCGCTCTGAGACTTGACCCTGAAGCAGCGAGCGGAGAAAAGGATTGTTGTTGCCGCCGCGTAATTAACATTCCACGCTGGGATTAGCATAAAAGGAGAGCTGTATGGGAGCGTTGTGTGGGACAGGGTGGTTTGACTCACACAGAGGCCAATTCAGTCAGAGCGCCGTGGTATTTCAAAAATTCTGCTTCACCAAAAGCCTTCAGACACAAACCGGAGCAGATGGCTGGACGTCAGACATTTGTTTTTCAGCTTTCATGCAATCGCATTGCACGTTACGTGAGACAATCAAAGACACTGACCTCTGCCCCGTGACGCGCTTTGCTGTACCCGTCCAGCACCGTGTCCACGAGGGACCTCAGGCTGTCCTGGAACATACAGTGGGAGTTTCGCAGCTGCAGAAGCCACGTCCGAAGTCTCTTACCGGTCACGGCTGCGGGCGTGCCGCCGAGTTCACGGAAAGGGAGATCTGGAGGGCAGCTGGTTTTGTAAAAGTCTGTCATGGCAACAAAACAGAGCCGCAGTAGGAGGAGTGACAGCAAAGCTTACCAGTGTCTCTGATGGCATCCAGCGCTCTCACCCTGTACACGCAGTCTTGGGTTCCTGCAACACACGCACAGATTGTTGCGCACACTTTTGCACAATCAGGAATCAGTTGTGTGTGTGTGTGTCTGTTTTGTGCCCCACTAACCACACAGGACACTTTGCTTTAGCCAGTCATCCTCTGGCCACAGCAGTCGAGGCTCAAAGTGGACTTTCTGGACGTGGCCCAGTTTGGCTTCAATTTCTTGTCTCAGCTCCTACAACACACACACACACACACACACACACACACACACACAATAATGTAACTATTAGTCAGCAAGTCTTTGAACAGCATCTCACTTCTGGTTCGTTGCAGGATTGCGTGGTACCTTAGGAGCATTGTGGCCGAGAGGGACATGTGGACCTCTACGAGACTTCATGGCAAATCGCATTATTTGTCTCTTGACGAAGATGAATAGCAGAACAAACACCTAGAGAGAAGAGTTGGGACGACGTTTTAACCCTTTATAAACATAGTGTACAGGATGCCAGTGGATGATAAACAGAGGTAACTAATAAAAGATACACAGTATTTCACATTTTTTCATTTCAATGCAACACATTTTTTTGAGTATTTTTTCCTGAACCATTTAATTTTCCTTTGACATAACGTAAAATACTATTTACCCTAAGTATTGCTACACTTTTCAAGTTGCATTTTCTTATGCAATGAGAAAAGGTAACTAGATATATTTGTTTAGAAAGCTATATTTTTTTTGCTCAGTGCTCAGCTGATATGTGGATATCTTCGACTAAGTAAAGTTATGTTGCATTGAACATTGAGGCCAAAGCAGTTTAACGTTGAATAATTCAACATGTCGCTGGAACTCAAATGTGGACTTGAGATGTTCTTACTCTGTGAGGAAGGGAAAGCGACTCACCAGACTACCGAACGCCATTACGAGCACCACGTTAACGCTCGAAAGAAGAGAATCGATGCGCATCCTCACACGGCGCGTTTCAACGTCAACGTAAAACTAACTAACCGACGCGCGCTGACTTACGCAAAGTACGTCCGTCGTGTGACACGCGAAAGGCCGACGGTTTCATTGAAGCGCTCGCTTTTAAAACGCGTGAAACCGAAGTTGTTGAACGAAAGACGGACGGACGGACGGCGGCGAAGTAACCCAAGTGCATTCCGTCATAACACGTCGCCGCCCTGCCGGTTTGTTGACTTCCGTGCTGGTCAGGTGACCTGTGCTCGTGGGGCGTGACGTCAGAGCTGACGTTCCTCTGGCCTCTTCCGCCACCTGCTGTTGGCAGCGACTTCATTGTGACCCGGTCAACAAACAAACGCAGATGAAAAGAAAAGAAAAGCCGGCATCAATCATTTACAGTCCGGCTACTCAAACAAAGTTGGAGACCAGGAAATATCTCAAAGCTTTCTCTCTCTGTTGCCTGACACTGAATGGCCTGCAGGCTGCTTATATCCGCCTTTCTCGCGAGGGCCTCAGAGTCCTACACCCTAAAGAATGAATGTACTGAATCAGTGTCTCTGTGAGCAGGACAGTGGTTTGGGTCCATGCTGCAGAGACACAGGCAGCCATTCTTCTGTTTGAGAACAAGGGTTTGCCTCTGTGGAGTCGCACTGGAGCTATTTATCTCTACTCACAGACTTATCTCTTTCCCCAGAAGACCACGCGACCTACCAGCCCCGTGTCTGAATGGATAACCTCTGATTGGATCATTACGGCCCTTAGACCTGACCTAGGATTAATGTCTCTGACTCAGTTCACCCAGAGAGACTTGAAGACGTCTCTCATTTAGCGTTGCAGCAGACTGATTCGGAAACCGCAGTTTCCTCTTGTCACTGAGGAAGCAGGTGCATGCAGAAAAGTAGCAGTAAGAACACGAGCCTCAACATGACAGCCACAACTGTAAGTGATTGTTAGTCATTTAAACATGTTAAATATCTGTCTGCTTCCTCAAAGGTTGTTGTTAACATTCCCCACTCTGCAAAATTCAGTTCTTGCAGGTACAATTCTTTGTATTTTGCTTCTTGTTCTTCTTGTTCCTGGGGTTTCTCCCTCTTCCTGTGTATAGATAACATCTATCACCAATCTTAGGCATTTCACTCCTTCAGTCCGCATTACAGTCCCACAGATTCTCCCTCTCTTTGATTTGTTGAATACGAGAGGTGCACCGTTCACAAAATGAACGCCTGCCGATATGTCGGGCTCCACACAAGCTCTTTGTCCTCCCCGTTCCCTATTAAAGCCGCTCTGTTATTATGTATTTTGATACCTGCTCAGCCCAGGTGATTATACTTAGTCTGTCTTAGGGTGGGGGTGATACAATAAGCCTGTGTTGGAAAATGTCTTTCTTGTTCCGTTTCACACTATGATCTGACCTGTAACTTCTCCCCCCTGAGCTATGAAATGCTTGTGTGTGAGGTTGAGTTTGAAGTCTGCAGCGACAAAAAGGGCGTACATGTAAGCGGACGTACATGTAAGCGGATGTAAGTGTGTGTGTGTGTGTGTGTGTGTGTGTGTGTGTGTGTGTGTGTGTGTGTGTGTGTTGAGCTGTTTAGCTGGTTACTACACACTTAACTGAAGTCAGGAATGTTACCCTGTGAGAAGAACAAAAAGAGGGAGAAAACAACAATTGGAGGGGGGAGGAGAGAGAAACACAGAGAGAGAGAGACAAGAGGATAAACCAGTATGGCAGGTTTGCGTCACTGTACTCACTCCGTCATTTAAAGCTGATGGAAAGAGAAGAGAGACGAGTTACTGTATAGGAGCTGATGTCATTACAGAGCGCTGCCTTCATTATGAAGCCGTGTCAACACAGGGTAGCTGGACAGGTACACAAGTCACGCCAGGAGAAGGTAAGGCACATGTGTTTGTGAATTTTTGATTAATAAGTTAATTTGTGAGAGACTTATGCGAGAGAATACACGTGTTGTTGTTTTTGTCTGGGTGCAATTGTATCCGCTCGAGCGGAGTTTAATGAAAAGAGTGCCGCGTTGCCCCGGTTACCCAGTTTGTGACCTCGCAGAACAGGTGTTTCTGTAAGCCGACACTCGACTCACCTGCATCGGAAAGCACCATAGAGACTGTCGCTAACAGTTATGCGCTGTAACCTACATAAAGGACACAGGCACAGCTTATCTGATTGTTTTTGTTCTGTTGTTCATATACAGTAAATACGGTAAATCCTGATTGGGCTCAAATTCATTCAAAAGAGATGATTTAATCATAATTCTGACCTGGTTAATGATAAAGATTTCCCAGTTTCACCGGCCTACGTACAGTATCTGAGTGGCTCTGTAGTCCCTGATGAGCCTGATTGTTCCCTCAGCAGGCTGTATGTAAATCAATCCTCATGTTTGTCCAATTTATCTAATAATTTCCCCTGAATACACCGTTGCAGGGTTTCGGTCGGTTCTCTCTTGTCCGAGACCGATACACGCTGCACTGATAGTGGAATTTGGATGCATTGTTTTTCTGGGTGGATTGCTGTTAGGTTGGTTCTTCCGGTTTTCGGTTCTGGTTTAGCTGAAGATGACAGGTAGTGACGAGTATGTTGCTTGTGTAAACAACCAATGCGATGTGTGTGTGCGCAACAGGGAATTGTTGAGACACACTGTGTTCTTTTAACGGGCTCATTGAGCCAGCATGAGGGGAATGTCAGAGAGTCGAGATAACATATACGAGTGAGTATGTTGCAATTGTTTTGGCTCTTTGAACCTCATGCTCCTCTGTTTCCATTTATTTTTTCTATGAATTTGATATGTCCTCCATTCACTATCTACTTCATCCTTTTCCTCTATTGTGTTCACTGTTCTCATCCGCACTGTGTTCCCATTTGACCACTTCGGGGAGCCAGAGCAACCGCAATGCACAAATCACAACATTCCATCCCAATCTGTTCTCAGGATAGAAATTTTGCCCATTTTTATGCTCGGCAGGCAACGGGAGCTGTTCGCTGAAGTCGTGCCGGGAAATCGAAGACTGCAAAGGGACAGCATAACAAGACATCAAGAAGAAGAAGAAGAAGAGGCATCCCTGCAAGGACACACAATAGAGAATCATCAGGAGCATTGCAGAAATATCAAACTTTTTTAATGCCGCGTTTGTTTCTGTGAAAACTGATGAGGGCTGCAATTGTACCACCTTTACGGAGCTTTTTAAACACTTGCAGCTGCTGCATTCACACAAACTGCTTCCAGATTACCGTTTAAAAGACAGCTGCCTGGAATTGTTTAGAGATCCAGTCCATTCTTCCCCTCGCTTTCTGGGATTCGGCCCTTGACAGCAGATCATTAACTTTGTTTACTCTCAGACGATGGACTTGTCCATGCTGCCTGCTCCAGTGAGAGAGTATGACAACCAGAGGACAGGAGAACGCTTTACTGTCCGCTCAGCTAATTCACCCTCGTACAGTCTCGCTTCCAGGCCAGGTGTTGGGAAACCATCAGGTTTTTTGGAAGACGAAAGGAAGAGTGCTGACGAGGTCGGCAAGAGAGAGAGATACAGGACGAATACTGACACAGATGTTACAACCAAAGAGGGGGATTGCACAGTCACTGGTTATCAAGCAAGGACTGGGAGTCGCAGCAGGGAAAAAGGTCACTGTGAGAAAGAGGATACGCCGGGCTATAAAATATCGACTGAGCTGAACCAGAATGGGACAGCAGCCACAACTGTCCCAGGATCTGCCACTGACATGAGTAGAAAATGTAACGCTGCGTCTGAAAGCCAGGGCCGGACACACGAGAGGAGATTCAACCGGGAAGGCAGAAGTATGAGTCTGGATCGGAGAGTTTGGCCATCGAGCCCCGATCGAGGGAGAATTGCGGACGCATTCATGTTGCAAACCAAGCGAGGCGAGGAAAAGAGAAGGACTGAATTCGAAGGCCCGAGGGGCAGGATGAAGTCTCCAATAAAGGCTTATAACCCTGCTGGTACAAGTGACGTTCAAGAAAGTAGCCCAGTGAGTCACATGAGACATACTCTGGACAGGACCAGTAAAGGTAAATCTCTCCCCACTAGGTTGAGGTCCCTGTCCGGTTCTGGCCCTGGTGTCAGAGGGACAGATTTGTTTGGGCCCGAAGGAGGTCAGAGTATAGGGGAGCGGATAGAGAAACTCTTCGGGTCGGCTGGTTTGGGTAAACCGGAGGATTGCTTCTCGACCACTGCAACGTCCCATCCCAAAGAAACAAGCGCATTCTCCTCCATTTCGCCACAGCAGATGTCGTATGAGATGGCTTCAGGCGGAACCTTCCCCAGGCGTTTCTCCTCAGGAGAGAACAGAAGCGTCAGTCCATGGCACCGCAGGAAGTCCATCACCTGGACAGGGGAAGACACTACCTGTCCTGAGGCTTCCTTTGTGCCACAGACAAGCAGGACCAGCGAGAGACGGTCAGGGGTACAGGGGCAAGGACCGATCCAGAGCAGGTACTCAGAGGTAGGGGGAGGTCACAGAGGGTTAGAGGAAAAGGGCTTCGGGTCCCTTGACAGAGCAAGGGGCAGAGACTCGAAAGCAGCTCAGATACGATCTGCAAGGGCTACAGCGGGAATTACTGCCCCCCCACATTCAAACAGTTCTTCAGAAGAAGAGAGATCAGTTTCTTTGAGAGATTTGTCTGGTTCGAGGGAAGGAAAAGCAATGGGGAGTGGAAGTAAGGATCAAGGTGAGACTAATGGAACGCACGGGACACCGAGAGAAAGAACCGAACGGCTTGAAGAACAAGGGGAAAAAACAGATCACGTGACAAGTGAAATTACAGAATTAAAAATGAGCAGCTCTGATGAAGAAGTGTTTGATCCGAGCCCACAGAAAGTGACAAGAAAATCACCACAGAAGAATAAATTCTCAGCCTCGGCTGCTAGTGTGAGAAATAAGATCCATCAGTTTGAGGCTCTCACACAGAGAGCCCAGGGTTTGGCTGCAGGACAGGCTCTGATGTCCAGACGGGCCTTTTCTGTGCCGACACATTTCAGCAGGCTGAATGAAGGAGTGAAAAAGAGTGGGTCAGAGAAAGCAATAGGTGGATCGAAATACAGGTGGGAGGGATTAAAAGAGGGGGGGGAGGCAGATGATGAGACTGAAGATAAATTGAAAGGTAAAATAAGCCTTGGTTCGAATAGGTCTTTTTCCGTGGATGAGATTGGGCTAAGATCAGGGAGGGAAGAGAACAAAGGAAAAGAAATGGATAGCAATAACATTTGTGCTGATTTTGGTAAATATTCCAATCTCAAGACCACCCTCAAGATCCCGCTAAAAAGAGGCGCTCAAAGGAAACATAAAAACTTTAACAAAGACGAGATTGATTCTCACACAACCTCGAGCTGCAAGGAGCAAAGCGAGGAAACACTGTTTTCTCACCTGCCCGACTCCACTGGTGGGCAGGAAACGACAACCGCTAGGTTGACGTCACCTGTAAACGACGAAGACAAGACTCCAACAAACTCTCCGTACATCTCACCCGTTCTTACGCCTACCGCACAACCTGAAAACATCCTTCCTGGTGCTCACAGTAACAATGAAAGTACCTCAGTACTCACAGCGGCGGCCGGAATCCCCAAACAAGATTCGTGGCTTCCCCCTCGACCCCTCGCTTCTTCCTCCCACAGCAACCTCCCTGGTCTCATCTCACCGGATTTTAACACAGCCCACGCACATGAAAAGAAACAGCTGTTGGACCTGAATGCCTGGGTAGCTGGTTTGAAACCAGATATTGTGCTCTGGGATCACAACGAAGACGATTATGAGGACGATGATAAAAGTACGCAGAGGGACGAGGATTCAAACTATGATTCAGACTCCGGAGAGTCCTCGGTGACCATCACTAGTAACATGAGCCAGTCAGATCACAAGAGCTTCTGCGTCAGGTTGGTACCGTTATACGTCCCATTTCTTGTTGGAAGTATTCCTTCCAACAATTTGTCGACCTAATAAACTCATACCTCTCGTCTGTCCTCCCTGCAGTCTCGCCGACCTGCGTAACTTTGCTGGAGTTGACTGCGAGTCGGAGAATGATATCGATGAGTGGCAATCTACCGGCGGCCGCCGGACTGCCTCGCTGAGCTCGGACATGTCGGCCTTCTCCTCTGTGTCTGTGATGCCCAGCGAGAAGCTCGACAAGCTTCTGGAGGACGTCATGAGCGCGGGGGACAGCACTCAGGTACGGTGAACGTTTTGTGGACTCGAGTCGACGATCTAAACGTCGCCACGAATGTGGTCACTTTCCCAATGCGAGGGACACCCCGCTCAATCAGTCATTCTGACCGCCTTTCCTTTTTGCAGGACTGTAACGATGTGCAGGTGGTGGTTCTCCATAAGGACGTGGGTGTAGGAATGGGGTTCAGCATGGCGGGAGGCGTGGACCAGAACAAGCCCGTCACTGTGAGAAAACCCCCCTCCCTGATTTCTCCTGAAAAATATTTAAAAGCGTCGTCTTAAGTCTCATCATTTGTCCTTGAATTTCTTCCCCTCAGGTTCACAAGGTGTTTCCCTCGGGTGTTGCAGCCCAGGAAGGCTCCATAAGGGAAGGGGACCTGGTCCTGTCAATCAACGGCACGACGCTGTGCAGCTACACCCACTGGGAGGCCGTGAGGGTCCTGAGGAGAGCAAAGACTCGGGAGATGGGGGTGGTGGTCTTCAGGAGGGGAGGAATGAGCAGTGTCTGTAAGAAGCCAGCGGAGACGAATACTCCGGAACAAACGCAGACTCAGTTTAACGAGACAGGTAAGAGGTGGTCCTTTACCGGAGTTCTGAAAAGACATCAGTCCCTCTGCTGCAGCAGCTTGAAAGGAGATACTTTATCTGTTTGTTTGGTTTTTTTGCGTTTGCCGCTCTCAGGTCAGAATGTGTGTGTGCGCCTGGAGAAGAACACCAGGGATCTGGGCTTCAGCCTGGAGGGAGGTGTAGGCTCCATATCTGGGAACCGACCACTCACTATACAGAAGATCTTCCAGGGTGAGAACTGAGGCGCAGTTTGTCAGATCTGCACAGAATAAAATAAATAGGGATGCAGAGATTTGAAATTTATTTTAAAACCCTTAAACAATTTGCAATATTGCTAGTTGGCCACAATAGCATCAGTGAGGTCAGGCACAGACTCTGGTTGATTAGGCATATTTGTTAAGTGTCACAAATTGCTGCGGCGTTAAGTTTGAGATGTCTCGTGTGAATAAAGTAAAATAAATAAAGTGATTTATTTACTCAATTGTTAAGGTTCAAAACCAATTTTTCAAAGTACGATTTTGCAACCCAACATGTTAGGTTTCCATATTTAGATATCATTATATACCTTTTCATCCTGTCTGCTGCGGGTTTACCTCTCTGGCTCTCAACCTGTTATTCTCCCTCTGGGAGGCGCTACAGAACAAAATAAAAGCATTTTCTTTATATATGTACTTTCCATCTATCCCTGTCAATACAAATCAAATTTTAAATGCTATTGAACATTACAGATGCAATGTATTTATTTGTAGATACTTTTATAATCATCCAGTCCATTAATATTCAACCATTCACTTTTTTCTCTGCAGTATTTGATTTGTTTTGAAATTAGTTTTGACATCCATATAAATGTTTTATTTTCAATTTCATGTTGGGTGTTGGTGCTAAGACAGCTGATTTGGATTCTTTGCTTACAGTCATGTTCATTAAATCCACCTTTTACCTTCAGGGGGTCCTGTGGACAAGGTGCGACCTGGTGATGAGGTGGAGCAGATTGATGGAACAAGCGTGGTGGGGATGAGGCGGTTGGAGGCCTGGACTTTGATCAGAGGACTTCCCCCTGGCCCCGTGGACGTGGTGCTCCGTCGCACTCCTAAACATGTGGAAACATGAGGGTCATTGAGGTGCTTTGCGCACAGTAAAGCAACTAAAAGCCGTGCACTAGTGCCTAAGAACCAAACACAATATAAGTGAGCCGTCTGCTTCTAATGACAACGTAACAAGTTGCAGTTATTATAACAAATGAATGAAGGAAAATCAATTGTCATGTGACAAAGTCAAAGAAAATGTCTAACTTTATTTACAGTATTAAATCTACCTCAAAGCCTCTGATGTTTCCTTACCAGCTCATAACTAAGATCCACTCATATCTTTGTCAAATCGACCAACTTTTGTAAAATATGCTTTGCTCCGCTGTAATGTAGCACCTGTAAATAAATGTGCATGTTGTCAAATAGTATGAATGGAGTAGAAGAAAGAGTTTATATTGCTTTTTAATAAATTCAAACTTAAAGTGTCCCTTTTTATTCTTATGTCATACGAAGGGTGATAGTTATATATGATGTTATCTTTCTGATATACAGTAAATGCCCTTTGACAAATGTAAATGTATCTGTCCTTATACACATTGCCAAACAAAATATACTAAAAATGAGATGTAATAAGATAAGACGTAATTAACTATCATTCTCTATACAAACCATGTCAAAGTTTATGTTTTTGAGAGACACTTTATTTTACATTAATATTTTTGTTCTTCCCAAACTTAAAATATAAGGCCGTGAAAAGATAGAAATCAAAGCATTATCAAAAGAAGGCAAGTAAAATCCGCTCGTCAGACATAATCTTCATATGGTATCATATATCAGTACATATTGTTTGTGTGACAGTCATCATTATCAACCTTAACCCGCTTCACTCTCACGCAGCAATTTGTTGGGTTACATAATCCATCAGGAGTCCGGAGTTCAGTAAAGAGGAGTCATAGTGACATTTTTCTTTCTGGTGACAAGAGGATCTTCCCAGTTAACTTCCTTACCCAAAAACAACAATCACCAAGAAAATTAAAGGTGTGAACATGCAAGAATGCTAATTTACATTCCGTGGTCCATGGGCGAGTAACTAAAGCAGAAAAATCGTGAATAATATGAGTAATAAAAAGTGATAAAATGCAAATACAAATATGCAAAAGTAAAAAAACAACTACTGTATTATATACCATTTCATTTTAATAATGAATAACTACTGAACAAACAATTGTATGCAAACTAACATTAGTAAAATATGCACCAATGATTTAACATTGGTGACTCAGTTGCATATTGACTGCGAGTGCATGCAACTATTTATGGCCTCTTTCAATTTTAACCTCCAACAGGTGAGGGACACGCGCTCTGCTCCAGCCAATCCTGAAGTGTGACTACCCAATAAATAAGTAATAGTGTTTGACCAGCTGTGGATAAAGACCAGGGAGGGAAGTGGAAGAAGTAGGATGCAGAACGCAGGTCCTTAGATGCTCAGAAATTCTGACTAAAAACATTTTGCATCAGCACTGAGACCTCCAGCACTCACATCAGCGTTTTATTGTGTGGTCAGAAGACGGATTAAAGCCCACCAATGCTGAATCACCGTGTTGTGAGGGTGAGGAATGCCCTGTTGAGGGAGTGCATGGCTGAGATATTGGGAACTTTTGTCTTGCTGGTAAGTGACAATCAGGTTTTTAAGTTTGCTTTTGTATTTGGTACGTTGTTTAATTTTGTGTTCTAGTACGGTTCCCACAAACTGTATTTGGATGTTGTACACGCAGCCTCATTGTAACTTAATGCTGCTGCATAATCATGAAGGTTGTATTTCATTTGTAATGCAACATACTAGTAGTTCTTTGTTGTGGCTATATTGGATATGAGAGTATTATTATTATAGTTATTATATTCCTTAAATGGAAATGAATGAAGCACTGAACATCGTCCCTCGAGATTATCTTTCCCCAATCTGTGCACTTCCACTGGAATTACCACAACAATGATATACTGATTAGACCATAAAAATATTGTTGATATTAACATTTTATGTCAAGGACTGTCATGAAACATTTTCTAGAATATCATTTTTATTTATATGATTCTTTATTTTTGGTCATATGAAGTTATGCATTTGAACATGTGTGTAGGTATTAATATAGTATTAATTTTAAAAAATTGGTAGCCAATTGTAATATTACAACAGTATCGTTAAAGGGGCTCCAAAGTCTGAACTGTAATGTTAATAATTAGTTTAAAAAATCCCACAAAATGGGATAGATTTTATTTTTTTATCTATGTTTCCTCTACTTAATTTGAATATTTATTTTACTTATAACATTACAACCATTAATTAAGTTTCAGACTGAGACACCATGGCATTTAAATAATTTATTATGGTACCATAACTCTCTGTAATGTAACCTTGGCCTGTAATAAATAAAAAAATAACATTTAGCCTTAAGTTGGTCATTACGTTATATTACCTTTACTGCAGATGTGGTTTTTATGAGATGAACAGATATAATGTATGTGTGTTTGCCCCCTTTTCATGTGGGGTGTGGAGTCAGATTGGTGTTTTATGGGGCAATTTAGATAAGAAGTGGACAGTGTCATTGGAAAGTCTACGATAGCGACAGCATATTATGTTCTAAATGCTTTCGAACAAAAGCATTTTTTTTCCACAACAACTCAAATGTTATTTTCTTATAAATAATGAATCAATCACTAAGGGAGGAATAATCACTACTGAATGTGCACATGTATTGGATTGTTTCCTGTATCCAGACTTGAGATACTTCTCTTCTTCTTTCTTCATCTCCCCTGAAGCTCTTTGGCTGCGCTGCTGGGGCTCAGGTGAAGACGAGCAGGGAATCTAAAGGCCAGTTCCTGTCGGCCAACATGGCCTTCTCTGTGGGTGTGATGTCAGCTACGTACCTCACCAAGGGCATCTCAGGTAAGTTAAATCAAGTCAACAATATAACACGGCTAAACTGTCATCATTGAATGATGAACAACAGTATTCTGTCCTCGCACTCTGACCACTGGACATCACCCTAAAATCTGACGCTCTCTGAAAAGAGGCCTCGTCAATCTCGTCGAGGTCTTCAGTCTGTGATCTACTAGTTAGTTGACACACTGTACAGCTACAAATAATCCAACATTTAATTACCTTTCCTTGGTTTTATTTCTCCGTAGGTGCTCACCTGAACCCGGCGGTGACTCTGAGTTTCTGCGTGCTGGGCCAGGTGCCGTGGGGAAAGCTGGTGCCCTACTGCCTCAGCCAGGTGCTGGGGGCCTATCTGGCATCAGCCCTCGTCTTCCTGGTCTACTATGGTTTGTGTTTCTGCCCCTTTAAACACGTTATCATTGACCTAAAAATGGATGATTCATTAAAGTCTCTCTGTTTTCCTTGATTTTCATTCTTTCTGTTTTTATCTCAGATGCCATAATGGAGTTTAGTGGAGGAGTATTGACTGTTTATGGCGCAAACGAGACAGCGTCTATATTTGCCACGTATCCGTCAGAGTACCTGAGTTTAGGACGAAGTTTTCTGGACCAGGTCAGTGAGTGGATTCGTAAAAAACGTGATCAGGATTTGAACGGGATCGTAATCTGCTGCTTCTGTGCTTATTGTATTAGGTAGTGGGCACTGGCATGCTGATGCTGTGCATCCTGGGTTTGGAGGAAAAGAGGAACACCCCGGCTCCCTCAAAGCTGATTGCTCCCATAGTGGCAGCGATCGTCTTGGGCATCTCCATCTCCATGTCAGCCAACTGTGGTGCTGCAATAAATCCTGCTCGGGACCTGGGACCTCGCCTCTTCACACTGACAGCAGGCTGGGGCACTGAGGTATTCACGTAAGTATCCTAGCAGGCGCACAAGCACCGAACACAAACAACTGACCAAGTATACACCTCAAGATTGCATATTCCATATCAATCATTCAAAGGCCTTACTGGCGGAGCTACATATTTAATCTGCAAACTGTTGAAACTGATAATCTAAAGGGGACATTGTTTGCACTTACAGGTCACCTTTTGTTTCTCCAAAACTCAAATATGTCAGAGGTTATAAGTGGCAGGATTTGTTGCGACCTCTGCCTGTATGCTTCTGCAGCTTTAAGTACTCTTTGTGTAAAATAATATATTTAGAGCTGCATAGGTTGATTCCGGTCCAGTAGGTGGCAGATTAACTCCAAATAGTGCTGGACAAAAGGGACGAACAGCTAACGCGTTACGGCTTGCAAAGCTGTTTTGAGTAACGTCTTAGGAAATAACGGCATTCTTACAGTCCATCCATCCATCGTCAAACCGCTTATCCTGCACACAGGGTCGCGGGGAGGCTGGAGTCCATCCCAGTCAACTTTGGGCGATAGACAGGGTACATCCTGGACTGGTCGCAAGCCAATCGCAGGGCTACACAGAGACACACAACCATTCACACATCTACGGGCAATTTAAAGTCCCCAATTAACCTGATCCCCAGAGCATTCTTACCGTATAAAGCAGACAGAGAGCTGTGTTGTAATCCAATCTGTGGGGGCAAATCAATAGTCACTGGTCTTTTTATAGCAAACTGCCACCAACTGCAAAAAATAATAATAAATAACTGCTTGCTAATGTTGTTTGATATTAGCAAGTAGCTAGAAAGTAATATTTCTAACAGCAAATCATTAGTTTAGCCTGTAACAGAGCTGAAAACATCTGCTTCTGCCTCTGCAAGTGCAAACCCTTACCAAAACACTGAGCGAAATGAGGCTCTGTAGAGCTGCTGGTATTACTTCTCCATGTGTCTGTTTGAAATCACGTTTAAATCACACATTCAGTGTCAATGTAGAACATTTTGATACATGATTAGATTAGATAAAAAACCATCCTCTGAACTCCTCCCTGTCTTTTCTCCAGGTGTTACAACTACTGGTTCTGGGTACCCTTGGTGGCCCCACTTGTGGGAGGCGTAATGGGGACTTTCATGTATTTGGTGTTCATCCACTGGCATCTGCCTGATCCGGATCCCGCGGAGAGCTTCTCCTCCAGCGGGGACGTGATCAAGCAGCCCAGCATCCAGCAGGAAAACGGAGCGGAGTTAAAGGCTACACATCTCTAAGCGTCGTTAATCACAAAAACTGAAGGTTAAAGACTTGGTTGTGAATTATAGTAGAGACGGCAAAATCTGTGCTTCGCCAATGCTAAGAAGCACATACTGTATCTGTCTGTCTGTGTATGTGTTATCTATTTACTCTATGAGTAAGCTTCTTTGACACAGCCAGGAGGCGCCAGGAGAGGTATTGATTGTAGGGATGTTGATATTGATGTATTGTTTACAGTGTGGATTTTTAAATTATATGTACTTTTCATGGACTAAAGAATACCATTATGACTTGTTGATTCAATTAAAATATACAAATGAATACATACAGTATATACACCATGCAGTCTTGATTTATTTCTGTTTCTCCTATTTCTTCTGTAGAAAAATGACATTGCATTGCTTCACCTTGGTTGATAGTGCACATGTTAATTGTTAGAGGTCTTTCCTTGTTGTTTACTCAACAGCAAGGAGAAGATGGGAGATGGTCATTTCAGGGGGCCAAAACTACACTGTGAATATGTGAGTCCACTTATCAATGATTGATTTAGATTGGTTTGGTCTCTTGCGTCCATCTGGATACACTCAACAAAAGTGCATTAAAGAGTAATGGTGGGGTGGAACCTTTGGGGCACATTTACAAAGGTCAATACTTTATTGAATTTGTTGTTTCGATCATTGACAATAATGTCACAAACCATATGACAACAATTCACAAGCATAACGGAGCAAGACTAACGGAAAACAACAACAAGACACGTCAAAGCTGTTTGGTAGCCTATTTTTCCACAATTGTTGTTTGTAGATTTTAAATGATCTTTTATGCCTCCATCCAGACATTTGTTATCAGAGAATACTGGGGCGAAATATAATGAAATACAATGATAGCAAGGAGTGGGCATCTTTTCATCTCCCCTTCTTCTATGAACAGATGTGCAGTGGAGGCCAGTATCACACAAAGTGTATTAACATCTGTTAAAGCAGATGTGTGCGTAAAAACAGAAAACGCTTTTATTTGTTTTCAGTAAGGTTGCGTTTCCAAACAATGGGCAGACGAAAAGAAACAAATAGGAAGAATACCCAGTGATGGAGATCAGATCCTCAGGGAAAATGCTTGTTCAGGTCCGAAGTGCGGGAGGTTCCGATGGAGGTGGAGAAGGAGCAGGAGGTGAAGCCACCTCCCCTTCCTCCCTCCTCTCCCGTGGCCCGAGCCGAGTCCTCCCTCACCTCGACGCGGTGCCTCCAGCGCCTCCCCGGTATCCCGTCACGGGGGGGGGTCGGTCTCCCGCCTCAAGCCCCACCGTGTCCTCGGAGAGAGAAGCGACGAGGAGGTCTCCCCCACAAAACAACGTATAAGAGAAACTCGTGAAGGTAGGTGTCTATTTCCTGCCTGCAGAAGCGGTGGTTAGCCGTCTCCATTACGCATGACCAGTGCAGTCCAGGACTTGATCATCTGAAAATAATATTGATGTTTCTCTCTGTTTTCCCTGTGAAGTGTTCAGCTCTTATTACTGCGTCCGGAAATGCGGGTTACATTAAAGTAAATATGTACAGTCTATACAGCTCTCTGTAGTCTGGTTGTATTCAGAACATTTCCCCAAAGTCAAAGTGAAAGTTACAGATGTCGTTGGATACTGACCCCGCGCATCACCGCGTGCTCTTTCGCGTCTAACGGGGATTTTTACTGATTCATTCAATTAACTTCGTTGATGCACTACAGTGTGTTTTTCCCCAAAGTTGATACAGCGACCAATAGTGAACTAATAGTTCATTTTAAAATGAGTTCAATATAACAACCCAAATGTATTTGCATCTCCTGGCAGTATAAAGCAGGATTAAAAATCCAGGAAACACACAACTTTTAAAGTAATGATTTCATTTTGATAAGAGTCTTTTGTTGTTTAAATTTATTGATTGGCTTTTATTTTGATTGTAGCAAAGTTCATGTTTAGATATCATCAAGAAGCAAATATTAGTGCATATGTAAAGAACCCAGAGGTTACCTTTATTAAACGTATTATCACATGATGACTTACCCTCAATCAATTGACCCCCCTGTATATCATACACAGTTTGTGTATGTTTGTTTTTTGTCATGTTTAAGATGTGAAGCTGAGCTTTAATGTTGCTGTGCACACATTTCATCAAAGATTTTTGCTGCTCCGAATTTTCCCCCAACGTCCGCCCGTCTCCGGTGACACGAGGGAATTCTCCACAGAGGGCAAATAAAGCGCTCAGACATCATTGTCTCCCTCGTTTATTTCATAAGGGCACTGCAGCACTAAAGGATACGAGAGCAGGACACGGGACACCTTGAAGACCGGAGTGGCGAGAGAAAACTGCAGACTCTCATTCCACCACCTCTGATAGATTCACAAAGAGGTGCCGCGTTCAAAGTGAGGGGGGCACAGAGAGGAGTGCATCGCCGGGCATGAGGCACCGCTGGAAACTGGAGCTGAAAGCTGATCAGCACAACTCACATGGAGAGAGGCAGGGCGCTCTTCCTCGGGAGTATTGATCGGAGGTTCGCCGCCTCGAGCCCCCCGTCTGCCATTCTGGTGGTACCTGCTTCAGCTCGCTTTACAAACCAGGGGCCGGGGATGTTGAAAGCATCGCCTCGGGCCCACCTCATCTTCTTCCATTAGTTGGCCGAGACAAAAAACTAGTGACTGAAAAGCAGTCGCGATGTGCCGTATGAACAGCTCAGCGTGTGGGGGGAAAGTGGAGAAGTTGAGAGTGCTGGGAAGAATCCGGCTCCGTTACCCTTTATGATCCACCGTGGGAGGAGACTGACAGTGGATCTGGCCCCAGCCACCAGTCCCCTGACACTAAGTGGGCCACAGAGACAGATGCAGCTCTCTGCTGAATGTCATTTCCTCATTATGGCCGACCAGAGATCCTCTGGTGTGTGTGTGTGTGTGTGTGTGTGTGTGTGTGTGTGTGTGTGTGTGTGTGTGTGTGTGTGTGTGTGTGTGTGTGTGTGTGTGTGTGTGATTGCGTGTGTCATGGGTTTTTAATGCCTGATTGACTTTGCACTTTTTCTCTTCTATGAGAATGTGTTTCACACCCTGAAGACAAAAATGAAATAGAGTGCATCACCTGAATACGTGCATGTGAGTCAGAAAGAAACCAGTGTGTTTTTTTATGCTTATCACTTAATTTGTTTGCTGCTTCTCATCTTCATTCCCTGTCTTCTCCCTCTGCAGACAATCCCATGGGCCATTGCAGAAGGAGAGCAGCAGAGTGGAGATGTTCAGGAAGAAGCCTCCTCCAGGTCAGTAGCGGACTCAACACACTCATCACTTGTGCATTCAGGGGAGCTACAGCTGGGGTTTGATAATGGTGAATGATCTGAAGAAAACGCACAGTCGACTTCTACTTGGTGTAAACAAGTGACGTAGTGACTGGATTGTCGTCAGATAAGCACTTAAATGCACACAGGATGTACAGTGGATAGATTGTAATTTCATTTCCCAAACTAGGTGTTCAGCAATGCATTAGGAGTATGCTGAGCAGGCGATACCTATTATAGAGGAACATCTGTATACGTCCAGATACACAGAGTCCTCTCTGGTGATGACTGAAAACACTGAATTTTGTTTGCATTCTTACGCACGTGAGTGTTTATTTGCCATGAGAAGCTCTTATAAGATGTCAGATGTAAATGTAACCTTGAAATACCCACAGTCAGTTTAGATATTGACTACTGCAAATGGGACCACGGTAATATGGTTATGGTCCTTTAACCCACGCAGGGTTTGAAGACAAAGCCTCCGAGATCAAAGCATCAGTGACATTTTAAAATGTGAAGTTTAATTGTAAAGTTGGTGTCATCTCTATTTACGTTTTTGGAATGAAGCTGATACACAGGTTGTAGTTCCGGGGTGCATATGAGTCCTGATGAAGCATGCGGTCCACTCACAACGATCGTGCCTGTTGTGACTCTAAATACATTTTCAGTTTCATCACACTATATTGGTCTATCACTGCCTGCGTGGGTGTATATGTCAGTGTATGTCAGTATGACTAAATAAGGTTAATTTTCTTGGCCGGTGAGTTAAAATTAGAATTTGTTTCGCTAAACCCTAATTGTGATACATTGAAGCCACATGGGCTATTCCTAATTTCTGCCCCTGTTTGTGTGACATTATGTGGGGGCGGTGTAAGGTCCAAACAGGTAGTTGACTCCGCCACACACGAGGAGAGGAAAAGTACTGATGGTAGTTTTTATTATAGGGACGCACAATTGAATTGCATCGTTACAGGCAACTGTGAATGTATTTTCAACTAGGAATGAAAGCATATTCATGAAAATGTAAAGAAATAGGAAAATGTGCATATCGTTTCTGTTACAGAAATATATCATTCGTTTGTGTGTTCTTCAAAATATTTGAATCCTACATAAACAAAAAAACGGGTAATGTATTTAAAAGTATCTGCGATGTATCTGCACGAGGCTCGCCTTGCAGCACATGCACAGGCACCTGCCTGCCCGCGTCCACTGCAGTGCACCTTCTCCTTCATGACGTGCAGGAAACTGTGCAAACTGCACCAGCCACTTGGGCTCCCAACGCCACGGCAGCTCTGCAATGTGCTCGTACTTTAATGTCCGGAATGCCGGCGACTCGCTCATCTGCGAAGTCCTTGCAGAGACGGTTAGCTGACGTCATTACCCAAACTCGTGTGGTGACGTAACGCTCGCAGCGGGCGGTGTTTATGTTGTGGATGAGACTTGAACGCTGACGGTGCAGACTTTGCACATTGGTGCGTCGGTGAATTGATGAGCCTGCTGTGCAGCAGAATTGCTAAAAAAATAAAAAAATAAAAAACACTTTTAATTTACGTGTGTACGTCATCGACACGAAAGTTGTCTACATTACCCTATTACCCTATTACCCAAACACGTCTACAACCTTCGTGTTTTACAATCGCAGAACTCATGCTGGCGAACCGCGACGAATCCGAATGTGACGTTGCAGAAAAATAAATGACATCAGTGTTTCTGCGGCAGGAGAGAGAGAATAGGGAACAAATGACTGAGCGTGCGTGTGCGCATGCGTGCCCGAGGAGGCGAGAGAGGAATCCACGCAGAGGCGAGGATGGGACGGCGAGCGGTTCATCCAACTTGACCGAAGTTGTTACTGTGGAGCCCGTGTCTTTGCGGCGATGCGACGGTCATTGAAATAGCGCACGTCGTATTTACAGCCGTCCAGCTGCGGACTGCTGGAAAAAGTCAAGATGACAATACCAGCCGAAATCCCGGAGAAATGGTTTCCACTCGTTCTTCCCCTTAAAAGAAAGAAACAGAAAGGACTAAATGGAGCAAAATCGAAAAAGAAGGGGGCAGGTACGAGTTTGTGTGACAGTTAAGCCTGCATTTGATTCAGCTTAGTTATTATTATTATTATTAGTCTTTACTGTCGTTGTCATCATCATGATCATTAGGAGGCTGTTGATTGCACAAACTGCATCTGAAACATATTCCTCCTCCTCATCCCAACTGAACTTTCATTGCGTGTACACTGTAGCTTTAACCTCATTATAATACGTATCATCACATCTTACAGACTTAATATTATAGGTCTAAGGCATATTTAGCTTTTGTGCTGTGTTTTTTAAACATCAGCCCCTGACAGTAGTCAATTAATTATAGTAATTCTCATTCTTCATCTTCATACTTAGTGTCTTAATGTCTCCTACTGTTTGTGATTCTTCTTATTTTTCAGTTTCATATCCCAATATTAAGAGACGCCCTGTACAATGTGCCTCAACGTCGTCGCTCCGTTTTAGCTGTTTCCCTGCAGTTTAGTGCTGGTTATGTTTGTGTGTAAACAAAACTGGGTCCATCTGAATGTGATTTGTGCCTCAATAACTAGAGTGATATCCTTGTTGTCTCTGCTGTCTGACGCACTGATCAATCATCCAGGCGCCAGCCTCTGCGATCTCATCGCTGTCCTCATCTGTATCCCGATTCCTTCGCTTAACTATCACAGCTGTGCACCTTGATTTGACCTCCAGCCCACCACTCTGTCACAATTTCACCCACATTGTTTCCCAACTAATTAGATCATCGTGTGTGTGTGTGTGTGTATATGTGTGCGCATGCACGCGCATGACTGCAGAAAATTCTGCCATCCCATCCTCATCTAATTAAATGACACACAGCGAGTGATGATCTCGTCTGCGCTGGATCCGATCCTACCTTCAGCCACGGCAGTGACTACAGCATTTCCCATAGCTCGGACAGCTCTTTGGTCATTACTGTCATGACTTCAGCCTCTGTTCACTGTGCTGTTGTGCTGCCGCTCATGGAGACATAAGGAGGTCGTGCGCTGTGGCACGTGTCGTCCAGCCATAGGGGGAAGAGTGTTAAAGAGACAGTTATGGAAGAAAAAGAGACAGTTCGTCATTCTATGTCCGACGGTGTGCTATTAAGTCATTTGTTTTGAATCAATATTGATGTACTACCTTGTGTCCCAGCTGATTATGGAAAGCCTGCAACTGAAAGTTCCACAGTAATGGAGCTTTATAGATTGATGCAGACTTGCTGTGTAGCATCTACTCTGCAGTGCCCTTGAAGCTGTCAGAGACATTAAACACTTAATGGGCGTTCTGCTAAAGATGCTCGTGCATTCTGCTGGGGTTGGTCAGCTGGCACAGCTGGGACAAACACTGCGCGGTCCTGACATCAGGTGCTCGGAAGCCTCGGTGTCTGCGTGCTGACCTCGCACAAGCACCTCGGCCTCCCCGTGGAGGCTTCCAGGTCTCTCCACTGCCTGTCAGACAGATCTGTCTGATGAACACTTTCCCCTAGAAGGCGTAAGATAACATCACAACCTTCAGGTAGTTTGGAGAGGTGCCAGAGGGAAAAGGAAAGAGCACGGACAGAATTGATTGATTCTTTTTCTGTGTAATCAGCATGGTGGTTATGTCAAACAACTTTATGGTAATTCATCAATAAACGTCTTCTCATTACAAAATGAGTAAATATCCACTAAATGTCTATTCATGTAAATCCATAATTATATGACAGTAACCAGAAATACATAATATTACAATATTCCTATGTTAACACTGTGGATTTTGTCCACTAATTGAGGTATTCTTGTCATCAATTGAAACAAGGCCAGAAATAATTTGTGTTTTGTGAAATGACCAACCCACTTTGACAACAGCTGAGCCTTCCGGAGTGAAAACTCCTGTAAACAACAAAGAGGAACTCAGCTCATCTCTTTAAGAGGCCAGTTTATTTGGTAAAGCACGAACCGATACGGGCTTCACAGTGCTGCAGAAACAGGAAACCACATGGTCTTTGTTTATTGTTATGCATTTGATTATGGGGCCTCTGTTGCGTGATGTCCCTTCCTTTGGCGCCTCTTTGCCTCTCTGTCAAAGGACTTTGTGGTTTCACAGCTACAGTAAGTCTTTGCAAAAGGTGTGTGTCTGTGCGTTTGTGCTTGTGAACTGTGTACATCTCTCTGCAAAACAGGCCAGTCATTTATTTTAAAAAGCAGTCTCGTCCATATTAGAGGAGGCAGGCCTGGTGGAGGAGGAGGGGAACTCCCAAACTGCCTTACTTCAGCATAAATAGAAACCTTAAAACAGCAAGAGGATGAAGAGCTGCGGCTCAGGAGGGATTTTGCTCTTTTGCTTCCATTCTCTACGGATTTAGTTCATACGGGTTGTCGATGTTGTTCCTCATCTGTGACTATCTGTGATGGGTGTCAATACTCTTCTTGAGGTATACAGATGCACATCTGTGGCTGCGTGTTGCGTTTGTGCAGATTAGAAAGAGACGGAAGCAGCAGATAATTAAAGATCAGAGATAATCGGTGTGATTATTATTTCTGGTGTGTGTGAGACAGAATGATTGTGTGTGAGTCAATACTAAGAAAACAACTTCTAGCAGACAACTCCAGCTTCATTGATTTATAAATAAATGCACAAACATGGCGGACCTTTGGTCTCTTCAACTGTCTAGGTCGCCAGAGTCTTTCACTGGGATGGAAACTCTGAAGGATTAACAATGGTCTTTTTATCCACTTTGACGCACAGACATTTCTGTATACTTTAGTGTTGATTTTATCCTTGGATGAATTATTTCGTGCCTTGTGTCTTTAGAGGAGGAGAGACGGGTCAGAGCCAATGACAGAGAGTACAATGAGAAGTTCCAGTATGCGGTAAGAACATTTTCTCCTTTCCGTATTGTAAATAATGTTCATAATAGTATAGATGACATTTTCATCTTTGAAGCTATTCACTGAAATTGCTAGTCCATATGATGAATCCCCCTCTGCTTCTCCAGAGTAACTGCATTATGACATCCAAGTACAACATCGTCACCTTTCTGCCCGTCAACTTGTTCGAGCAGTTCCAGGAAGTAGCCAATACCTACTTCCTTTTCTTGCTCATACTTCAGGTAAGTGAAGGTCAGAGAGGGACAAAAGCATGACTTTCCTGGAATAAACACATCTCATTTTGCCCTTCACAGCCAACTCATCATTCACAAGCTCCAAAATGGTTTCACAGTTATCATCCGACTTTTGGGATTTACCACTTTACTGCTCGCTGAGCGATCTGTGCAGTTTGGGTCAGATGTATTTGTCTCTGAATTGCACACTGCCTTTATGTCCTTTTACAAAAGTAATCTGCAGACCAACCTTCTCTGTCTCTGTATAGCTAATACCTCAGATCTCCTCCCTCTCCTGGTTCACTACCATTGTGCCTTTAGCTTTGGTGCTGAGCATCACTGCAGTGAAGGATGCAACAGATGACTATGTGAGCATGATTCCCTAATCACCTCATACTCAAATCATTTTGTGAAATCACAGTCAAATGTAGGACAGAGGCACCTGCCATTTCTGGGAGAAACTTACAAGGAGGTTCTCCAGCATGATACGCTTGACTCGGTTCTTGAAAAGCTCACAATGATCTTTGTGTCCGGCAGTTTCGTCACAAAAGTGACAACCAAGTGAACAATCGGCAGTCTCAGGTCCTCATCCGTGGCTTGTGAGTTCCCTGTAATGCATTTGCACCTCAGTAAAGTTTTCTCTGCAAGGTTTCCTATATCCCAACACCTCCTCAGCTTCTCTAACTCACTATTTTTTCTTTGTTTCTCTGTTTCAGGCTACAGAATGAAAAGTGGATGAACGTCCGAGTGGGGGATATCATCAAACTGGAAAATAAGCAGTTTGTGGCAGTGAGTCTGTGTCCACATCTACATATTTTACATGCACAAACACACACTCACAGGAATGAGTATTCTGGTTAGGCCCATTTGAAATCAAGACTTCATCCCCCAACCGATTAGTATCCTTAAAAGTCTTAATTTACATGCATGGTGGTTATTGCTACTGTAAAGCAAAAAGCCCGTTGCTTCCATCATCGCTGTGCCACCTGGGGCTCACTAGTTCTGTTCCTGTGCCATCAGATCACGCAATCGTGCAATCGATGTTCTAATAACGTGTGTAATTACAGGCTGACCTGCTGCTGCTGTCCAGCAGCGAACCTCATGGGCTCTGTTACATTGAGACGGCCGAGCTGGACGGGTCAGAAGAAACACCACAGTTTACCTATCGACTCAAAGTACCTCACCATCTGCAGAAGGAACAGGACACGAGACATCTAACGGCTGCGTGCGTTATTGTCTTGCAGAGAGACCAACATGAAGGTTCGTCAGTCCGTCTCAGTGACAAATGAACTCGCGGACCAGAACAACTTGGCTTCATTCGATGGTGAGTTCCTGAGGAAAAACTCCTCCCCCTATTTTGATTTATGGTCTGGCTCTCCTTCTCTTCTTGATAATATATAGGTCAACCGGTTGCAGTGTAGAACACAAACGTTATCCACCTTCACACCCTCGCACATGAACACCGAAAACACCCACAATCTGCACACGCGCACACACTTTCTTTCTGCCGTCTCCTGCCAGCATTTAACAACAGCCCGTCCTCACCCGCCCACTGGTTTCACACAGCACAATGCTTTTATGTGCGCACAGCACAGCAGCACGCACAGAAAATGCCTCACGTGTTACGATATAACACTATATCGTAGTGGTGGTGCCATTGGATTTGGTGTACATCTATGATATGGCATTTGATTTGTATGTGTGTGTGTGTGTGTTTGAAGGTGAAGTAGTGTGCGAGCCCCCCAACAACAAGCTGGATCGTTTCTGCGGGACTCTGTACTGGAGAGACAAGAAATACACCCTTACGAACCAGAACATGTTGCTACGAGGATGCGTCCTCCGCAACACGGAGACCTGCTACGGCCTGGTTATCTTCGCAGGTCCTGTGTGTGTCCGACAGTATCTGTGTGTGAAAGTACGTATCTGGTGTGGGCAAGAGGTCTAACTTTCCCCGTTACTTTCCCCAGGCCCAGACACCAAGCTAATGCAGAACAGCGGTAGCACCAAGTTTAAGCGGACAAGCATCGACCGGCTTATGAACACTCTGGTCCTCTGGGTAGGACCTCCCTAAAACCCCTCGTTTTTACGGCTCAAACAGCCACTATTGACTGGCTAAGAGATCCGAATGTTCGGTATGAGGGTGCTTTTTCTGACGCTTGATCGTTAAGTCTCTGCATCTGCGTGTTTCTGTCAGATCTTTGGCTTCCTGGTGTGTATGGGTGTGATCCTGGCGGTGGGTAACGCGGTGTGGGAGAGAGAGGTGGGCTCCCTGTTTCAGAGCTATCTTCCCTGGGACCCCTCTGTGGACAACTTCCTGTTCTCGGCCTTCCTCTCCTTCTGGTCTTACGTCATCATTTTAAACACCGTGGTACCAATCTCTCTGTATGTGAGGTGAGGAGAAGTCCAAGACGTACTTAAAAAAATACAAAGCGTATGTAGAGGAGTGATGAAAGACAATAGGTCACAGAAAAGGGCATTTTTAGCGGACAGTTGTGTTCATCACACTGTTTTACATTACTCTTTGTATTAGACATTATTATTATTATTGTTTCCTCTCCTCCCCTCATTTCTAAACCATCACTTTTTGTTCTGCGTGGGAATTTTTGTCGTCCTCTCTCTGACCTCTAAAGGCTCACTTCACTGTTGTAATCATGTCCCTTGGTCACCTGTCCTGTGTACCAGTGTGGAGGTGATCAGGCTGGGTCACAGCTACTTCATTAACTGGGACCAGGAGATGTTCTGCTCACAGTGTAACACAGCGGCGGAAGCCCGGACCACCACTCTGAATGAGGAACTAGGCCAGGTGGGCATCAATACTGCCAATGCATTGTGTGCGTGTGATGTTGTTATTACACGCTTGTTTGACTCACATTCATAGTTTTGACAAAGCTTTAATCTTACTTTAAGGATTTAGATTAACTAATGTGTGTCCCTTAGGTTGAATACATCTTCAGTGACAAGACTGGAACTTTAACTCAGAACATCATGACCTTCAATAAGTGCTCCATCAATGGACAGACTTACGGTTAGTGCACACACACACACACACATGCATCTATGCACTTGGTGGCTGCTTCAGCTGTTATGGACTAAATTATATTTTTGCCATTTACATACATTGGAGCTTGAATATGGAAATGCCTCGATAGATACTGCAGTCCAGTACAACACCATCACTTAACGAATACTTATATACACCATTAAAATCACACCTCTATGACATCGTCAACAAAACCATTTCAGCTATCATAAACCTTTTGATTGCGTTAGATTGTACAGGTGTGCCTGTAAAGTGGCCAGTGTGTGTAATCACCAACGTGTGTGTCGCTGACAGGTGAAGGGCCAGACCCGTTGGAACCTCGGCCAAAGGTAAGCAGCCGCTCATGTTGCGTTTTGCCGAAACACTCGTTCATACACGTGCATAAGAGTCTACTGCTAGTTTATGACACGTCACCAAAGTCCTTCGCTCGCCGTTTTATCTTCAGAGACTGGACTTCACTCCCTTCAACCCCCTGGCGGACCCAGACTTCTGTTTCTACGACGACACCCTGCTGGAATCGGTGAAAGTGGGAGACGCACACACGCACAAGTTTTTCCGCCTGCTCTCCCTCTGTCACACCGTCATGAGTGAGGAGAAGAGCGAGGGTAAGCCGGGGGAGGGGGGGTATGTAGACGGTCAAATGGAGGCAAACATTGACACCCAACACACCATGTGGAGGTTATTCCTTTGGGCCATTATTCATCATCGTGTTCTTTGTCCGTCTGTAGGAGAGCTGGTCTACAAGGCGCAGTCGCCAGACGAGGGGGCTCTAGTGACCGCAGCCCGAAACTTTGGGTTTGTGTTTCGCTCCCGAACACCGGGGACGATCACCACGACGGAGATGGGGCGGCCTGTCACCTACACCCTTCTTGCCATATTGGATTTTAATAACATACGCAAAAGGATGTCTGTTATAGGTGTGCAGGGATCATCATGTTCACTTTACAAAAATAAAGAATCAGGTGTTTGTTTTTAGTAAAGAAAAAATAGGACATTTTTATTTATATTAAAAAGCTGAAAAAAGATTTAAAGAATGCTCTCTGCAATTTCCCACATACTATATAGTCGGACTCTCACTTAAAGTGTGTTTTCCTCCTATGATTCTCATAATGCATGTATGCATGAAACATTATTACCTATTCACAATAGTTATAGTTATTATAACTATGAGCATATACCATAACATCAAGAGAACAGGCTTTGATTGCAGCAGCACATGTGATATGTTGAAATTGTTATAAATCAAGCAGACAGGAGATTAGCCATGTTTATGTTTATACCTCATCAAAGATTAACTTGTTGCTGGAAAAACGCCCAGAAATAGCCGGTCATAAATCCACTCCATGCACGGATGACATGAGAAAGAGGAGGGTCTGAATAGTGCTACAGTTTGAAGGCGATGGAAGAGTTGTATGGATTTCTTGAAGTATTTTCTCTTTACCTAGTGCGTGACCCAGAGGGCCGGATCTGTCTGTACTGTAAAGGAGCTGACACCGTGCTGCTGGAGAGACTCCACCCCTGTGAACAGGAACTGATGAACGTCACCTCCGACCACCTCCATGTGAGTAGACTCAGGAGGATGGGTGCAATTTTACTGCCATCTAGCGTCTGTATTCTTTGCAAAAGGTAAGCAAGTATCTCATAATTTTCCCAGATAAGGTAAATCAACTTGGCCTGTGGCAGACAGATATATTTGGACTGTTTCAATAGTGAAATAGAGTTCTGTTGACCATTGTGTTTTCCTTCATGTCAAAATGTTTGCATATTTCTACGCTTGTGCACGCCTGTGTGTATAATGTGTGTTCTGTTTCCAGGAGTATGCAGCCGATGGCTTGCGGACGCTGGCCCTGGCCTACAGGGACCTGTCAGAGGACGAGTGGGAAGCCTGGTCAGAGAGCTACTGCTGCGCTGACAAGGCCACCAGCTGCAGAGAGGACCGACTGGCAGCCGCTTATGAGCACATAGAACAGGACATGATGGTTCGTTACTTGGCTTGACAGTGTGTGCATCCATGTGTGTGTGTGTGTGTGTGTGTGAGTGACCTTCATTTTCTATCTGGAACATTAAGTCATTTGTTTTTCATACCATTTATGCAAACTTCTCACTGCAGACGAAATGAAAATGCACTGAAATTTGTCTCCTTAACTGGAGCGGAACATGATATTTTCTTAGTGAAGTATTTTAATTCACTGATTGTCAAGTTAATGAATGGATATGAAAGTAAGCCGTTAAATGTTAAATGTTCTGCTCGCATGGTAACTGGAATTAATGTGTGTGTCTAGCTGCTGGGTGCCACAGCTATAGAGGACAAGCTGCAAGAAGGCGTCCCAGAAACCATTGCAGTCCTCTCTCTGGCTAACATTAAGATTTGGGTTCTCACTGGAGACAAGCAGGGTGAGACACGTCCACTTTTACACACACTTACAAGCCTCAATTTGCACACCGTTGTTTAAATAAAAATGATAATTCGCAAAAGGGTAACTCCAAAAATAAAGTATAGTAAATAAAACCAGATAAACTGGCAGAGGGAACGATGAGATTCTACATCAATTTTCTCCAGCATGCATCTTAATGTTTAATTTGCATTAGCATTATTAGCATTTTCAAGTAGACTTATGTTCATCATAACTGTAAATCTGGCTTTGTCTTGAATCCACAACATGATCGGCTGTTAACTGCACTTGAGTTACCTACTCTGTTCCTCACAGAGACGGCTGTCAACATAGGCTACTCCTGCAAGATGCTGACAGACGACATGCCCGAGGTGTTCATCATCAGTGGAAACACTGTCCACAGCGTACGTCAGGAGCTCAGGTTAGTCTGTTTGTCTGCGTCTCTCTACACTCTAGGATAGACACAAATGAGAAAAGGCCATTGTGAATCAGAAAATAACTAAGAAGTGTATGCACGAGAGAGCAGGTGGCGTAGCAGTTTGCCAACTACTTAACATGTCTTACTAACGTATTTACCTAAGCTTTCATTTAGCCACTGCAGTCAGATCAACACATTAAAACCGCCACGCCATTCATTTATCTAAATGCACTGCTGGGCAAATAGACTTCCTCCTCCAAGATGTGTTTGTAGTTCATGTACATAGAAAGAGTTTTCTGTTTTTCTTTTCTCAGCTGTGTCTGTTTCCCCATTGTCCCTCCCCTTCGTCTTCATTCACATGTCGGCTTTTGGCTCATCTTTCTGTCCAAAATGAGCCACGTTAATGTCGGGTTTGTTTGTCTTCATCTCCAGGAGGGCGAGGGAGAGGATGATCGAGTTGTCAAGGACCAGAGAAGGAGGGAAGGAGGAGGGAATTGAGGGATGTTTTATGGGTAACGGCTTCAGAGAAGGAGAAGGTTTGGGAGGAGCAGGAGGGAAACAGCTGCAGTGTCCTCCTCCTCCTCCGTCCAACCTCATGGACAACATCTCTGGGGAGTTTGCCCTGGTTATCAACGGACACAGTCTGGTAAGACTGACACGCCCCCAAACTCACTGATAAAAAACAAGAATTCATCTTTTAGCACTTGAGTCCACAAACCATATTCATCTCAAAGAACTTTTCTTGCGCCGCTACAACTCAGACCTTTTACCGTTCGGCTGTAAAACCTGTCGACCCTCTCTGGTTCTCTGCAGGCCCACGCGCTGGAAGCAGACATGGAGACGGAGTTTGTGTCGACAGCGTGCGCCTGCAAAGCAGTGATCTGCTGCCGAGTCACCCCGCTGCAGAAAGCTCAGGTGGTGGAGCTCATCAAGAAACACAAGAAGGCCGTCACTTTGGCTATAGGAGACGGAGCTAATGACGTTAGCATGATAAAAAGTAGGTGGTGCAGTCACGGAGGATAAGGGAGAAGTGGGGTTTAACTACGGGGGCTGCTAGTGTCTACCGTTTGGAAACAAAAAGCCTCAGCAGAAATCTGGAACAAATATTTGATCTAAATGTTTTATCTACTAGTAGTGATGACTAGTAGAATGTGGTGTGGAAATGTGTCTTACTTTAGCATCGATGAACTCATCTGTGCAAAGGGAACATTGTATTTAGCTTCTCAATTATCAAACCCAACAAATATGTCAAACTTAACTTGGGAAAATGTGTTTTGAATTCTAAACTTGAGACTTGAATAATTACATTTAATGAAATTAAAAGAGCCGCAACAAGTAGAATGGTCATAAGATGTTTTCTAACATGAAAGCTGCTTCAAAGGGAAAGGTTCTGCTTCTCTAAGTACGTTTGTAATAGTCTGTGTTATGAAAGTGTTGCATCACCTCGTGTGTTCGCCTGTGGATGTATTTCATGTCAACATGTACATGTGCATGTTTCTTCAACTGGATTTATGCAAGTCAAAATTTATGCAAGCGATGGGTGGGGTTGGTTCACATCCTGTGATTTATGCTCTTTAAATCTCATAACGAGCATCTGAATACAATGTATGAAAGGTGTTTTTGTCTTCCCAGTGCTAAACAATATTCTCACTGGGGTGAAATGTTTCTTGAAGTAACACTTTATACCAAGATTTTACAAACGTATTCAGGTCTCTGTCCAAAAATGTTTGTAAAGTCAACCCTGATGCATGTAGGTGAAGGAGCTTCTATTGTGTAAACTAAACTTGCCTTTGGCTTGTGATAATGTGAGCTAACATGCTTTCTCCTGTAATTTCTAATAGTTGCTTGTCCCTTCAAGTGGATACAATTCACCATCAAAAAAAATAAACAATCCAGTTGTTTTTTTGTCAATGATTTTTAACTTTTCAATCTCTCTGTGTCCTCTCTCCAATCCATCAGGTGCTCACATCGGAGTAGGTATCTCAGGTCAGGAGGGCATCCAGGCCGTGCTGGCCAGTGACTACTCCTTCTCCCAGTTCCGCTTCCTTCAGCGCCTCCTGTTGGTGCACGGCCGCTGGTCCTACCTGCGCATGTGCCGTTTCCTCTGCTACTTCTTCTACAAGAACTTTGCATTCACCATGGTGCATTTCTGGTTTGGCTTCTTCTGTGGCTTCTCTGCACAGGTCCGACAGTAGGGCTCATAAAGACATCAACCATCTCAACCATCTGGTAACTGTGGTCATGATTTTCTTTTTGCCTGTGTCCATTTCCTCTTTCTTGTAGACGGTGTATGATCAGTACTTCATCACTCTCTACAACATTGTCTACACATCCCTCCCTGTGCTGGCCATGGGGATATTTGACCAGGTCTGTTCAAGCATACTGCGCATGCTGTATTCTTTCCATTAAATTGAAGAGAACCACACGAACAGTATGTAAGTGAATCCAGAGGATGAAGCGTATTGACTTAAAAGAATGTCTGACTATGAATGTCTATAACTGCTCCTGTAGTGCTGAAATAAGGTTCACAATTGGAAAAAACTTGGATTGCAATGAATTCAATTATGATATTCAGAATATTGTGATTATTTAATCTTTCCTCTGTAGGATGTTCCTGACCAGAGAAGTTTAGAGTATCCCAAACTGTACGAGCCCGGGCAGCTCAACCTCCTTTTCAACAAGAGAGAGTTCTTCATCTGCATCGCTCAGGGCATCTACACGTCAGTGGTGCTGTTTTTTGTCCCCTGTGCTGTCCTGTCCGACGCCACTCAGAGCACCGGAGAGCCCCTCGCCGACTACCAGACCTTTGCGGTCACCACGGCAACCGCCCTGGTCATTGTGGTCAGTGTACAGGTGAGAGAGTCCAGTGTGGCTTTGATCACAGCGCGCAACCTGAATGTTTAGCTATCGCCTGCACCAGCATTCTGTTTTATCTCTGCATGTGTGTCTGTGTCCGATGGTGTAGATCGCTCTTGACACAGGCTTCTGGACTGTTATCAACCACGTGTTTGTGTGGGGGTCTCTGGGCTCCTACTTCTCCATCATGCTCGCTCTGCACAGTCAGACCCTGTTCCTGATCTTTCCCAATCAGTTCCACTTTGTAGGTCGGTCCCCTCTTCTTGTTGTATTAACAGACAGACACATTGACTGATTCTCAAATGTCAAAGCTAAAATTAAGTTTGGTTTATACAGTTATAGAAACTTGATAATAATAATAAAAAAATGAAATATTGAGATCATCATGTAAAGATGTCTAGTCACTGTGCATTCTTAGTTTTTGTTAAATGCTGTAAAATCCAGACACGCATTTGCTAATGTGTGTGTTTGTGTGCGTGCGATTGTGAGTGCAGGTAGTGCCCAGAGTACATTGTTGCAACCAGTCGTGTGGTTAACGATCGCACTGGCGACAACAATATGCATAGTTCCAGTTTTGGCATTCCGCTTCCTTAAGGTGGACCTCAAACCTCAGCTCTCAGACACGGTGAGACAACACACACAAACACAACATCTCTAACACTGATGTTGCAAATCTTCTTTGCAACATGTGTCTCATCTTCTAAACAGTTTCAGTTTGAAATGCCAAACTGAAACTGGTCTTGTTCCCAGACAATGATTAACTGCACACGTACAGAACATGTATTTGTGAGTGTGTGTGTGTGTGTGTGTGTCTGAAGAAGAGTTCAGGCTTACTGTGCACTAAAAGCACTCTGCAAATATTGACTTAATCAGTGTACCCTAATAAATCAAGGTACTTCATAGTATACAAGCTCTGCGTGCGGCTTTGTGTCTCAAGCCATCAGAACTAATTAGCAGAATCTCTTCTATAATCTCTTATTAAACATCTGTATCTGCGATTCTGTCTATTTAAAATATAATGTAGCAAGAAAGGATTGCATACAGCTGTTTGTGAACCCCGAATGCGTTTATTTGGTCTAATTTATCAACTGATATACAGGCTGATACTTACTATGAACTGAGTGTTCATGTTCCTCCTCCAGGTGCGCTACACTCAGCTGGTGCGGCAGAAGAAGCGCAAGCCGATAGATTGCAGCGGCGAAGGTGGGAGACGTGGGCTGGGCAGTGTGTCAGACGGCCGTCTGGGTGCTCGCGGCGGTTCGAGGAGGTCGGGCTACGCCTTTGCCCACCAGGAAGGGTTTGGAGAGCTGATCACTTCCGGAAAGAACATGCGTCTCTCTTCCCTGGCCTTGGCCAGCTTCGCGTCCAGACACAGCTCCGGCTGGATCGACACGCTGCGCAGGAAGAAACCTACGCACGTCCAAACTCCTCCCAGCGCCTCCGGGGAGAGCAGCCCAGCCCCCAGCTGCGTGTCCGGGTCAGTGCCGCCACTTTCAAACTCCTCCTCTGTTCTGGGCGGCTCGCAAGACACGACCATCGAGGAGGAGACGGGCGCAACGCCTGCCCAAAACGCACAGACTGCTCCTGCACAAAGCCTGGCAGCTGCTTTGGCGGCGGCGCCTCGGGGTTCAGCCCAGGCCGCCAATGCTGAAGGCCTCGCCCGCGCGACCCGGAGGTCCCAGGGGGGAGACTCGCCTGGAGGCTGGTCAAGCACTCTGGGCGCCGTGCAGGTGAGTTTCAGTGATTGCATTTTCACGTTTCATCAATAACGGCACGTCTAAAGTAATACACGTCGACGCCTCCCTTCTTCTCTCCAACAGGAGGCTCTGTTCCGTTGGAGGGCTCGGGCTGCTGCATCCAACAGCCCCCGCCCGCCCTCTGTTCCTATGGAAACCAGACAGAATGAGGGAACCTTTTAGAATACATAGGGAAATACATTTTCCACTGTTGTCCACTTACATGTATGCACACAAATGGGATGTGTTGCGCGCTTTCCTGGAGAGACACTGAGACACGAAGAGCAGACTGTTCAAAGACTGTCATTCCTCTCTGTTTCCCAACTGAAGCTTGTATAATAATATAGGGAAAAGTGACATTTCCTAATCTGCAACTATGAATTGGGATTTAGAGGCGGTACAAGTGTTCCCATGGTATGAGATTGCTGTTCATGAATGACTAGAACATAACAATATGTACAGTATTTAACTGAAGAAAAGCAGCAGGTGCAGGAAAAGGTAACATCCTGTTAATGATGTTAATGATTATTTCCACTTTTTCTTTGTTTCAAGTCAGGGCTCGCTCACAATCAAGCTTCCTTCAATATCAAAAAAAAGCAATAGGTTGAGTGAATGTGCAGACTAACAACCTTCAATAAGTGAAGTTCAGGCCTTCTTTTTAAAAGTGTTTTGTTCCTTATAGTTCTCAGTGAGAACGGTGCTTTACTTTACAGAACACTGCACAAAATGTTTCAGCTCCCATTAGTTTTGTCTCACTTGTAACTTCACATCGAACGTTTTCCTTTCTTTTTGCATCATATTGATGTGTTTTATGATGTTCTAGTTGAGTTGCCCTTAAAGGATGCTCTCAGTGCTTTTTTTCTCCTTTTTGAAGCTGTGTTGTTTTCATCTGGAAAAAGGCACAAATCATGTTGACAAAGTGCCAGAAGCTGACTTGAGGTCACACATGGGCAAAAGGTGAATGGTCAAACCGCTATTTCAAGTGCTTTAAATTTGTCTGTGCATAAAGCGAATGTGTTTTGGGATAATGATGCCTTAAATATGTCACCATTTAGGTCCCCTGAAGCTACTATGTTCCCTGATCCATCAACGCACAACATTCCACCTGTGTTGCAAATGCTGCTGTCAATTATGGATTCTTACTCAAGTAGGGTTGATATTATACGTGAGCGTCCAAAAGGCCCGAAATGAATGTACTGTCGAACGGTGGTCAATAAACTCGTCATCTTTCGTTCAAATGAGAGGATCAAACTGTGTCCATGAAAATGTTATTTTAAGTAGCAACCTGAGTGTGAGGTAGAAATGACCACACTGCTGTGGGGCATAAAATGAAATTAGGTTAATATTACCCGGCAACTTTGTGTTAAAACAGAAAGTAAAACACACATCTGTGGTATTTTATGTGACAAAAGAACTCTTTAGTCGTCTCGTTTGTCACTGTGTAGTCTACACTCTTTTGCATGCACACGCATGTTGTTGTCGCCAGTGCAATCATTAACCACGCGACTGGTTGCAACAATGTGCTCTGAGCACTACCTGCACTCCCGATCGCACGCACACAGACACACACATTAGCAAATGCGTGTCTGGATTTTACAGCATTTCACAAGAACTAACAATACACCGTGACTAGACATCTTTACATGATGATCTCAATGGTAGCAAAAGGGATTCAGCAGGCAACTACACAAAACATTATTAAGATATTGTCTTATATCAATAGTCAATATATTGTCGTATTGGGGCTTGTCACGTATTTAACCGGTGGTAATGTATAAATGTGTTATTGGCTGCGTTGTAATTTAAGTTAATAGCTTCACTGATTAAGATTGCTATTGTCATGTCTGTTTAATTACATTATGTAGACATATTTTGAATGGTTTATTGATATTACTAAATCATCAACCTGTGTGTTGTGTGATGTGGAGCATCCTTAAAAAGTTTTTATAATTTTACATACTGAATCACTAAAGGCCTGATAGTCGGCGAGGACAGCACAGGGGACAAAAAACAACACCTGTGCGATGCAGATGAAGAACTCTCTTGTTGAGAAGGAGGTTGCAGCGGGGTGACTCGGCAGCAGATCACTGCTTTGCAGGCGCACGCTGTCGACACAAACTCCGTCTCCATGTCTGCTTCCAGCGCGTGGGCCTGCAGAGAACCAGAGAGGGTCGACAGGTTTTAAAGCCAAACGGAAAAAGGTCTGAGTTGTAGCGCCGCAAGAAAAGTTCTGTGAGATGAATATGGTTTGTGGACTCAAGTGCTGAAAGATGAATTCTTGTTTTTTATCAGTGAGTTTGGGGGCGTGTCAGTCTTACCAGACTGTGTCCGTTGATAACCAGGGCAAACTCCCCAGAGATGTTGTCCATAAGGTTGGACGGAGGAGGAGGAGGACACTGCAGCTGTATCCCTCCTGCTCCTCCCAAACCATCTCCTTCTCTGAACCCGTTACCCATAAAACATCCCTCTATTCCCTCCTCCTTCTCTCCTTCTCTGGTCTTTGACAAATTAACGTGGCTCATTTTGGACAGAAAGATTAGCCAAAAGCCGACATGTGAATGAAGACGAAACGAGGGACAACGGGGAAACAGACACAGCTGAGAAAAGAAAAAACACAAACACAAAGAAAAACAAAAGCTCTTCCCCTGATGATGTGATGTGATGCAACACTTACAAAACACAGGCCATTACAAACACACTTTTGAAGCCGCTTTAATGTTAGAAAACATCTGAGGATCATTATGTGTCCCCTTGTTGCTGCTCTTAATGAAGCTAAATAAATCAAAATATTGTGTTACGAAATGTAATTGAAAAAAAGTTTAAATATCTTGGTCGAAAAAGTTTTTGAAAAAAAAAAAGGTAAAAATATATTGAGACAAAAAATCTTTTGAAAAACAAGCACAAAAAGAATCATGTCGAAATATCTCATAAACAAAACATCAAAAAACATTTGGCCGAAGAAAGTTGTGCACTAAATGTCACAATATGCTAGGTCGAAAAATGTCATCGAAAAAAGAAGTTGAAATACATTTGTTCAAAAAATAAAGTCAGAATATATTGGGACAAAGAAATGTGTTTTATTTTTTTAAATGTCATGGAAAAAAGTTGGGTCGAAAATTTGATGGAAAGAAATGTTGGGGGTGAAAAATGTTTTTTTAAGTTGGAAAAAATTGTGTCCAAAAATAATAATGAAACAATAAATGCTTTTATTTTCAACTCAACGATACAGGCAACACAATAATGACAAAAAGAATCAAGACATAAATAGAAGCAAAGTTGAGCATAACAGACTTCCTGTATCACCAGTTTTAATTACTGATACATTAATAGCACGTCCATTTTAAGCTGTAACAAGGTTTTTATTTTGGCGCAGGGAGAGATTTCCTGTTTAAACGACCTAAAAAACGGGAAGAGCGCTTAGATTTCACAATAACGGGTCTTCCTGACAGCAGGCTGCTGCAACCAGAGGAAGCTACTAACTGCTCACACAGCCCCGTCTGGGTTTTGCTTTCATTGGGAGGAGACGATGAGAGCCACAACACTCGAACCTGTAAGTGATGGTGTGAGGACCCGGTGAGGGGAGACTCGTGTGCAAACATGCGGGTTTTTCTCCCTTTGCTGTGCGTTCTGTGTGCGGCACGTGTCCAAGGCATTTTCGACGGAACCTGTCCCAGAAAAGGTAACAATAATCTTTGTGAAGACGGTGTTTTAAAAACGTGTAGTGTGTTCTCACTTACTTTTAACTTACTACCTCGTAAGCAAATGCAAGGTGTTAAGTAAAAAGAGTTATTCAGATAGATCAAGCACTGCGCTGTGTGAGCGCACAGTCGTTGTTTAACTTTAAAGATCAATCTTTCTAAGAAGCTCATTTTTTTTTTTCATTGATTGTTGAAACTTTTTTAATCACTTTATATATTTATGCACACGTTGTCATTTCTTCTTAATGGGGACGAAGTTCCTTTTACTTGCATGTCAAAATGTGTGCACTTTGCCCAAAATTATACATGTAGGTCAATCAAATGATGTGTACACTGTTTCAGGCCAATTCCAATGTTACAATATCTGTAAATGTATTAAAACCAGTATTAAACCAGAATCCTGTCCACACACACCAGCAGATGTGTGGAAAATAAACAGGGAACTGGAATATGGGAGTCCGGGGGAGAAAGAACTTGCGGGCAATAGACAGGAGGGTGTCTACACTTCTCAAGTCATCACTTATGGAGTTTTGAGATTAACCAGAAAATCTGTCTCACTATGGCACGTCAAGAATGTAAATAAGTGGGAGATAACAAAGAGAGGGAATGATTTAACAGAGAAAAAGAAACATTAAATGGAAAAGATGCCTCATAAAAGAGAAATATAAAAAGGACTTTTGGTTATGTTGCACTACATGGTCAACAAGAAAAAATAACTTGTCATTTGGTGCAAAATAACTGTCTGAACATACACACAAACACAAAAACCTGTTGGTTTAAGCTTACAACGGATGTTTGTCTTTCTGCCCAGACTCTCCCCCCGGCGTGTTGGTTGTACCTCCGGGCAGTACGTTGCTGTTGAGCTGCAGCGGCCGCGTGGAGGTGGACGGAGTGAAGGTCAGCGTTCACAAGAACAGTTCAAACAACAGAAGAGGGAGTTCTTTAAATGTCACCCCGTCCAGCGCAAACATTACAAGCACAGCTGGAGTTTTGACGAAAGGCCCAAAACGCGCTGCGAAAAAGACCGTAAGTGAGGAACCCCGGTGGAACTCCACCTCGGCAGCGGGACGCAGAAGCCTCGGACTTGGTCCCGGTGCAGAACACGCAGCTTCCGCCACCAGTCCGAGCACGCTGCTGGAGGACGAACCCGACTGGGAGGCGAAGGCGATGGATGGAGCCGGCGATTATGAGGAGGAAGAGGAGGGAGCGGAGGGAGCAGGGAGCAGAGTCACTAGGGGCGTAACGTCCAGGCTGCAGTGGAAGTGGAAGTGGAACGGTAGGACGGTGCGAAAGGAGGGCAGAGACCAGGGGGCGATCACGTTGGACAGGAGAGGGGCCTCGCTGTCTCTGTCCTCGGTGGGACTGACGGACTCTGGGAAGTACGCGTGTTATCACAGAGGCAGAGAGAGGTTCTCCTTGAAGGTGAATGTTGCAGGTGAGTCCAACAGCTCGGGACGTTGGTCCTTGCCGCTTTCATTCGTCCCAACATGACTTAAACGGAAAAAAAGGTTTAGCTTTTAGTTTTAGCGGTGGGTAAATGTGGTTTTAGTAAAAGGTGGCAAAGTGCACAATAAAGGTCTGAATGAAGATGTAAAGCATCAGTGTGACGATGAACTACTGAGTAATGATGCAATCACATGATCACATATTCACAAAGGCCTTAATGTGATTTATTGTTTATTGTATACATGCTGGTGGTGGGTTGGTGTCCCAACTTTCTCTGTTTTACGTCATTGTCAATTAAAGATGTTTCTGTTTTAAATATGTAGGTTGGACAAAACAAACATTTCAAAATGTCAAAAAAAAAACATAACGGCCATGTTTTATGATTATCAATAACTGTACCCTACCAGTGATTGGTTGGCGGTTGATACACACATTGTGTCTTCTATACGTTAGACCCTCCAGAGAATCCCAGCCTGTCCTGCTACAAAAGCTCCCCCAGCAGTAAGATTCGCTGTGAGTGGGCACCTCAGACGCCCGTCACGATATCGCCTACCTGTTACCTCTTGCTCAATAAAAGGTACGGACAGGTACTGATACTACAACTAACTAACTAACTAAAGCATGAACTTCTACATGTTCGTTGAGGCAGTAAATAACACTTTAAATGGAAAACATCACAAACTATCGAATCGAGATGCGGTTTCTTTTTGTTCCGTGTCGCAACTGACCTGTCGATCACATGAGACATGTTGGGTTCAATGTTTCAGAAGCAAAATTCAAAGGTCGACCAGAAATTATGACATTTTAAGAAGAACACTGTTTTGCAGTTCAGACTTTGGAGTTAGTTGATGTTTCAGAGAAAGCATTTAATTGGGTTAGTTAATTGGTTGACCAGAGTTGAGGATTTAGTAGAACGTCTAAGCTTTTATTAAATATTTGACAGGTCACTCCTGATGAGGTCAACCCGGAAAAAATACACACGTGGCTTTGAAAAAGCAAATACAACTCCCGCTCCCATTATCTCACCCGTGTTTCCTCTATCGTCCCTCCTCTCAGCCCGACCGACGTATTCCATCGATCGGCGTGCTCATACTCGCCGCGGCGCTCTCGCTGCTGGTGCGCCCTGGGCCACAACGAGGACGAGCAGAGAACCGTCCACACGGTCTACCTGTGTGTCACCAGCATCGCGGGGAACGCCACCAGCGCCCCGCTGCACTTCATACCTCTGGGCATTTGTAAGTTCTGCGTTCACGCGGCGCGTTAGTTGGATCCGTTAGATGGCGCTCACCACGCTCCCTCCTGCGTCCCCAGTGAAGCCCGAACCTCCTTCGGACGTGGCGGTGCGACAGGAGGAGGGGCGGGAGAAGTGGATGACCGCTACCTGGGGTTTGCCGAACTCCTGGAAGTCTCAAGACCGCTATTACGAGCTGATCTACGAGATCAAATACCGGCCTCTCAAGTCCACGTTATCTCACGGGCAGGTGGGTGCTGCTGGACAAACACGTTCTGCGTTTTACTCTTGTCTCCGGGGCTTTTCGGGCCTGAACCTGTTCGTGTCCCATGTAGAGGCACACGACGAAGCAGCGCTCGTACACTATCGTTGACGCGATGCCCGGTGTCGAGTACTTGATTCAACTGCGAAGCAGGGAGGAGTACGACGGTCTGTGGAGTGACTGGAGTACGCCGGTCTACGCCAGCAGCTCGGCAACAGGTGGGCACGCGTGCACACGCTCACACATGTAGACAAGAAATGTAGTGAATCATTTCAAGCGTTTTGACGTGCATTTAGTTGAAGCTGTTTGTTCTATATTAGTTTTTTTTTCTTGCTCTAGCAGCAGGAACCAAAAGGGTCTTATGGGTTTTAGAGACACGGGAGTAATTTTGATTACGTGGACCTGTAAATCATTGAGCTTTATCACTTGCTCCCTGGAAGCCAACAAAGGTTGCCAATGACGACCAAACGAGGAAGGTCTCCTGTTTCCTTCCCGTCTGATTAGGTTTTCCAAATTCCAAATAACCGGTTGATAATGACCTTCTCGCTTCTCTTAACTCTGAATAAGTTGTTAACTCATTGCAGGTACATCATGAATACATGCAACAATCTGAATGTATAATAATGCCAAACAAAAACTCGCTACATCACATGTCACAGCTATATTGCGAAAGCAATTATGAGCAGAATATTTTTTCACTTTAAATAACATGACACAATCTTCAAAGCATTTTATGTCTTGATGTGCCTTGAATCCAAAAGTAACACACCATGTTATCTATGTAGGTCAGAAGCTCGCACATTTTTTAGCATTTGATGAAATACTTAAGAGTTTAAAATGATTTTGCTCAGCAGAAATAGTTCTTCTTCCCAACCAAGAGCTCATCTTTGTACTTTTCATACATTCTTTACTAAATGAAGGGGCTTCCTTTCCGTTAAAGTTGTTGATAACACGTCATCTGCATGGATTTCTCTCTCCTCAGCCAAAGGGCCAATCGAGTCGTCGGAGGATGATCTCTCTGCACCAACGGTGAGACTCAAAGAGACGTTAGTGTCGCTGCTGCAGTAGTCGTTGTTGTCCTGACTCCAGTTCATCACGCCGTATCTTCTCTCCCTGCAGTTTCCAGTATATCCAGATGTTGAGGGCAGCTCTGGTACAGATGACGATGTGTTTTTTGGTAAGATAGCTATCAGAATGTGTACAACTTTGGTCAATATGGTGTGTGTGTGTGTGTGTGTGTGTGTGTGTGTGTGTGTGTGTGTGATAGGAAGGGAAAACGGACGAGCGAAAGGGAACCTTCAGATGTTGTTTGTGCTGAAAAACCCCCCTCTGCTCCACTGGTTTTCAACAGGAAGCCATGTCTTCATAGTAACTGAGGCGTAACAACGAAACAAGCCACAGGAAACATGGCTCAACACACACACACACACACGCACACACACACCCGTACACGTTCTTGCATTTATGTGTTTCATCTCCATTAGGAATTCAGAGTCTCCTCCTGTCTTTACTGCAGCTCCTGAGCCAGTCCAAAGTGGTACCGAGGTGTTACATGTCATTTGGATCTCCGTTTCATTATCCTTCTTGTCGGTCATTTTGGTTGCCTACATATTGAGGTATATTATATATTTTATATGTACAGTATACATATATAGAAAAGTGATTTTCCTGCTGTGCAACAAACACGGATACATTCATTTATAGTATAAAGTATAAATAGTTCAGTTATAGTCAGCAGAACGATATCCCAATTTTCAAATCCCCAAACTATTTGAGTCCACTTCTTCATTTTCATTTCAGACACAAGGACAGACTTATGCCAAAGCTCCGGAGTCAGGGACTCGTCGTCATACAGCGTGCTGACTCTGCGCCGCCTCCGCCTCCCACCGCAACACCTCCAGAAGGGCAGGTTCAGGTGACCTTTAGGCCTCCGGGTTACAACAAAACCCCGCAGAGCGACGTGGAAGAAGAGGAAGAAGAAAATGAAGAACAGCTCCTGAAGGAGACTGCAGAAGGCGTCCACTTGAACAACACAAGTTATTTTTTTCTGCATAGGGACTGATGAGCAAGCAGAAAAGGGAATATATTTCTCCTTTCCTTTTCGGAAAAGACGGATAAAGGATACTGGACACAATTGTTATTTGTTCTCCTTTAAGCTTCGGGTGGAAACAAACTCAGGAACTGGTCGTGATCTGTCTCTCACTCGCTACTGTATCTTCAACAAAATACCTCTCAAATATGTTTTGCTCAAGAGCGGCCTTTGCTCTCTGTCTTCTGTCTGTGCCCAGTTAATGTGTGTTAATAAACTGTATACTTTTTGCCTCATTATACACCTGTGTCGAGCATTAAAATGCATTTTCTGTTTGTTTTGCATTACTATTGAGGATTAGCAGATAAATAATACATATTCTTTACAAGGATTGACAAGTTCATGACAAAAGCACTGGATGATATTCCGCTGTTTTAGGCTGGGCTCGTTGTCCTGTTTAGCGTTCTGTTGTGGCCCCTGAACTCGATTTGACACAGGTCTTCAGTTGGGTCCTGCTTCATTATCCCATCCCGAGCCTCGTTTTAAAGTTATTTTATATGTAGCATATTCCCTAAATTAATTTAGGGATATGCAATTACATTAATTACGTTTTTTTAGAGACTCTAAGCAGACAAGACACTAGTGTTTACCTATCTCCTGAATTTCTTAAAAATAATCAGTAAATAAATACTGGGAACCGTTTCCCGCTCTTCTGCTGCCACCTGGCGGACGCATCCGGTCATGGCTGCAGGTCGTTTCCATAGCAACCCCTTAAACCGCACGAGCCAACGAGTGGCCCGTGTTTGCTCGTAATATTGAACCTTCTCTCAAACGTGTCCCACCTGCGGACTGTGGTTCGGTGAAAGCAGCGGGAGGAGAGGAGGAGATGGCCGGAAGTGGAGGATCGGGGAACCCGGAGGTCGGAGGACTGAGTGCGGAGCAGCAGGAGAAGCTGCAGCACTTTAAGGTAACGAAACACGAGCGGACGACGGCAACAGGCCGCGGCTCCGCGATCCTCCCATCCACTCAACTCGCTTGTTATCGGCAGGTCCAATTGAGGAACGACAACGAGCGGTATTTGAAATCGCATCCGGAACTGGACGTAATGGTTGGGGACTTTTTAGGGTGAGTTTAGATCAACTTCTCTTTCTTTTAGGTAAATCAATGCTCGCACTGTGCGTTTTTTACTCTTATGTTAAGAGTCTGAGAAAGTAAATGGACCCCGCAGCAAACCAGCTTTTATAGACACATGCAAATCCTTGTTTGTTGGCGTCCATAGACTATTATGTGATTTAATAGTTTTCTGATCAAATAAATAATATTGAAAACCTAAAGAGAATTGCACATAGTAACAGTATTGCTGTATTTAAATTAGAACTAAGTGTGATAAAGAGGATTTTCCCTTTGGAGATTTATCTTATAAATATCTCATTTACAAATAAAACAAGACTACAGCATCTAGACATCTCAAACTAAATATGAAGTAGGCTGAAAAAAATAAAGGTTTAACGTTATGTGTTAAAAGAATGGTAAACTCATGCTAACACTTCCATAGTTATCTTAACAAAGCTTTCGGAATGAGCTCTTCAGACTTTTTCTGTTAAACATGAACTTTCTTTTTCTTTCTAATATTTTCAAGGATAATTAAGGGTCTCGGCTGCTCTTGAAATCGTATTCTAGATGTGTAGTTACTATTTGATTTTCTGTCTTTTCTTAGAAATGTGCTTCTTAAAAGGCCCACTGACATCCATGAGTTTGCTGCAGGTGAGTTGTACACACTCACTCGCACTTCTAACATTTAATATCATTTATTGTTCTGTCTCATGAAAATACAACATCCAAGGATCTCAATTAAAAAAAAAAAAAGTTTACTAAATATTTATTTAGTAAACATTTTTATTGCATTACATTTCCCAGCCCTTTCTGGGTGTTTTTAAAGTTTAGTGTTTTAAAGTCGGCGTCGCCGACAGGGTACGGACATCAGTACGAGAAATACGAGAGACAAAGGTGTTGTTAGTTTTTGTTTATTGGTGGGATTTTTTGACAAGAACAAACACAAAACTATACCAGCTGTATTCCTTTAAATGGATCCCAGGACCAGTAGTTTTTGCCATGTTAATAAAGATCCAAATGAACAATACTGATAAAACACACAAGCTTTCGCCCACTAACAAGTGTGGATGTTTTGTTTTTTAGACTACTTCTCCAACCCGAATCTTCCAGTGGTTATTGCCTCCAAAATGAAAGGAAACATGGAATGAAACAAAGCCAACAGCAACACAAGGGGGAAGCCTTTGTTAAAAAATAACTTGGACACGTGTATTAATTAATTACATTCGTTTCAGGCACTAATTGTTCAGTTTATAACTTTATTGTCTTAGATGCAAGATACTAACGATTATTCCTAATGAGTGTGATTTTTATTGCCTTTTATTGTCGTAATACTTGAAGAACAGTGAACATAAAGCTTGTTCTATGTGGTGAAAAGGATCTTCCATTGTTATTTTTTGACTAGATATTTGATTGGCATAATAATAATAATTATATTATAATACGGCTCTTTGGTGTGTTGATTTCATCAGCCCATCCGTCTGTCCTTGCTCTTCATTCAGATTAATTCAGTAGTGATCATAGGGTGATTGGAATGACGTCACACACACACACACACACACGCGCGCGGTGTGTTTAAATACGATGCACCTATTTTGACTGTGTTGACTCCGGGTAATCACCTCAGCTGTGAGGGAGCATCAAAGGAACAACACGCACATCTTCACATCTCTGCTTTAAATTGCATTGTTTGAAGAATCTACCTGGTGGCGCACGCAGTTCACGTAAGTAAAAACATATTTAGACATAAATCAATGCTTTTTTGTGTTTCCCTTTTCAGTCTATGTGTTGAAAATTGTAGTTATGTCATTTTGTCGAACCCCTTACGTTGCTTAAATACACATGTATGAATGTGTTTTTGTGTTTCTAATAATGTTTTTTTTGTATTAAAACCTTATTAATCACATGTTATTTCTACACTTCCATTTCTCAATGGAGAGCAAACAAATTGAGTGAAAGCAAAGAAACATGCAAATGTTGAGGCATCTCTGTTATGCGAGAGGCAATGTCGAATTCAAAGTTTGTGTTTATGTAAAAGTGACGGAGGAAGCAGCACATCGTGTACCTCCAGACATGTTGTTCACGGCATGTTATGTTCTAAACTCCGTGGAGCTGGATGGGTAACAAGGGAGGTAACTATCACACCCCCCCCCCCAGAGGAAGAAGCATAAAACTGGAGGTAGATTGCACGGAGACCGGCTCCATAACAACTAGACCTCATAACAAAACGTAATAACTTTCCGTTATGTTACAGAAAGGTACAGCATTACAAAGGCAAAGTACGCGGGTCAAATGACTTCTTTTAACTCATCTTCAACAGACAGACTTTCCCACATGGCCCCAAAAGGAGGAACGTTTTCCTTTCTGCTCGTTGTGGGCTGTTCGGCCTTTGGTAAGCGTTTCCCACAGACATGATGTGAATGGAAACATTTGCATAAATGTGTGACTTTTCACAATTATCCACAATTACCTGTTCAGCTGCACCACCAGACGGGATGCCTCGAAATAAATGTGACTTCAAAGGCGTTGCAGAGAAAATGGTACGTCATTTCTTGAAGGAGATTCTTATTTTTTCGTCCAACTAAGTAAAACTTTCACTATCAAAGAGAGGATATTTATACAGTAACAATTATGATTTACAGAGCTCATACAGATTAAGTATCCTTAACGGTGACCCTAATGTTATCTGTGTCTTTTTTCCATTAGATGAAGAAGTGCCAGACTAAGGGTGAGGGTCTCTCTCTCTCTCTCTATCGACACACTAAAGACACACTAAAGTACTGACAACAGTCCTGATGTTGTGTTACCGTGCGACATCTAAATGTGGAGAGTTTCTCTGCTGCAGGGTACCCCGAGCCTGAGATGATGCAGCTGGGAACCTTCTTCAATAACACGTATGTTCCTATTCTGTCTGGTTCATTTCCCGAAGAGGCAGAAAATATACACGCAAGATGTATGAATAGGAAGCAAAGTATTCGTAATAAAAAGTCAGACATTGTTTAGGGAATGAACACTTTACGTTTAAACCCGTCTCCGATGAGTGACCATTTCTTTCCGCTCTTGATCCTCTCTAAGTGACTTTCTTATGGCAGCGAGAAACTCTGAGCAATCTGGCAGCTTCATGTCCACTTTCCTCAATGTCCTGTATTCTGTTACTCCTGACGGGGTCAACGAAAGGGTGCGAATACACACACAAACACACACACTGTCAAACTGTAAGTAAATATTCATAATGCTTAAATGCATCTTTCTTAGCCAGAATAATTTTGTTGACTATTTTCTATCTACCTTGCTTAGAAAAACAAGACGTGGAATTTCAGGAATCTTGCCAGCATGCTCCGGCTGATGGAGAACTCCTCTGTCAGTACTCCACTAACATGGCCAGCAAATAAAACGTAAACCATTAGCCGATGCAGCTTACCGGCCTTCTGATTCCTCACACGTCACATCTCGTTCTCTCAGGAGGCCTCCGCGTGTTACATGCAGGCCTTTGTGGCGCCTCTGTGCTGGAAGATTTTGACCACACAGAACGACGACAACATGACGGCAGACGAGTATGACGCGCTGCTCCGGGCTGCCAAACCTGCTCTGCAGAATATGCTTTTTACTGGAATGGACCTTCCCACTGATATAGGAAGAGGCCGAAACCTGGAAAAGATGTGAGGGCGCCATGATGTAATCACTTCCTCCACAGTCTCTCAGCAGCTTTCCTTATAAGTGTTGGTGATCGGTGGTGTATCGCAGAATGGAGATGCTGATGGAGGTGTATGATGCCATGTCTGAAGACCAAAGGACTCAGGTGGTGAGATGGGTGAAGGAGCAGATCACACAGAAGTACTTCAACTGTACAACCAGGCCTCCGTCTGAGCCGAGATCAAGTAAGAAATTGGTTTGAGACCAGCAGAAGCCATTTTCTATGATAAAGTCAAGACGAAATCCGACACACTGACCAGTCATCAGTTAATATTCACTATTAAACCTTAAACTAAATATTACCCCTCGGTCCTTAATGGGTCGTTGTGACACTTCCTGTTATCGCTTTTCTGTCGACTATGAATGTGACTTGTAACTATTTTACTCCGTAGTGCTGATGGAGAGCTGCGAACTTTCACTGAAATGGCTTAACTCGGAGGCGTTGACCATGATGGGACCTTTCGTCTCCTGTTTAGCGACTGAAGACGTCAATTCTTCTCCCAACAAACAGGTCAGACGTCCTTCGAAGAAGGACGAAGAGCCAATGAGCCCTCTGGCAAATGTCATGATTTTTATTTGTAGTGCTGTTTCCCTTTATTTTCTCCTCTAGCTGTGTGGATTTTTCCACTCAGCCCAGTTCCAATCCACTATGAGTAACATCTCTAATATCAATCCAAGCCTGGGCGAGACGTTTCTCCAAAGGTTTCAAGAGTGCTTCAGTGGAGAGCAGGAGTTTGCTGAGAATGTGGACAAGTGTGTATTACTTGTGAATGTGCTTTACAGTTAAAAACCATTGATTAACTTACCTAAAAATAACCTATTTTTCAGATATATTTAGCTTTTTCTGATTTTCCCATGTCATGAAATGTCTTATTATGATCATTATCTGATAGATATGAATGTACTCAACATTATAGAGAGCCGATTCAATTCCAAGCGTTAAATAATGACTACATTTCCACTTCCTCACCAGGCTCGGCATACTGGCCTGTTATTTCTCCCCTGCTGCAGACTTGACCCCCGACCTTAGCGGGAAGCTCCTCTCCGAGCTCAACAGCTGTGATGATTTCAGCAACCCCAAGATTACAAAGGTGTCGATCGCTTACTGACCCTCACCCAAACGTCTGCCCTTATCCCCCTCAGCCAGAAAAGAAGTAAACCTTTTATTCATTTGTCTTCTAAAGCTGAAGAAGCGTCTGGTCAAGTCTGTGATGTCCGATACAAACGTCACCAAAGCACTGGGCAGGCTGGGCAGAAGTGTCGCCTTCCTGTCTCCCAAACAGCTGTCTGAGATTCCCGACAATCAACTCAAGGGATTCCTCAAAAACATGGGAGCCGACGTCCAATGGACGAAGGGCCAGCAGCGCGCCGTGGTCGACAAGCTGCTCTGCAGCAAGGTGAGCCTGCAGGGCCGCTGGAGGGCCGGCTCTGCGCGTGCACTCGCTCTAATCTGGTCTCACATCTGGTCTTCCCCTCAGTGTGTCGACGTGCCCATTGAGGAGCTCGTGGACCTTCAGGCGTTTGTAGGTGGTTTGCCGGCCAGTGCGCTCAAGCGCGTCAAGAGCCTGCCGCCGTTTCAAGAGGGCCTGAAGAACTTGACCATGCGGATGAAGAAGGGGCAGCTGGTGGCCATGCTGCAGGGGGTGTGTATGCAGCGAGCGGCGCGATGAGCACCGCGGCCGTCGTTAGCAGAGCTAATTGAACATCTCCCTGTAGTTGCTCGGGGAAATGGGCCTTTCGGAGCTGGTGCAGAAGTTGTCCGGTCCTTTGCTTCGCAGGCTTCCTCTAAGCAAACTGGAGGAAGCAGACGTCCTTTCCTTCCTCTCCTTGGACACAGTGAGCGAGAAAATGTGGTCGATGCCACAGGTAATCTCCCTGAACACAGCGTCCACAACACTGACCTATGACCCTGTTCCATAATAACAAACTATGGAACATATGCGCATACACGTCTTTGCCATGTTTTGAATTATATGTTCTTGATAAATTCTCTTTAAACAAATGTGGATTACAGTTACTCTCACTGTGTATCTCGTCAGTCAGTTAAGTATTGAGGAGCATACGCTAAATTGGTGCAATGTTTCCGACTTGCAGGCGGCTTTCCTGGCAAAACAGATGCATGAACAAAAGAAGTTTCGATGGTAAGATATACAGCAGTGAACAAAAAAGCACATATAATCCATGAAATGCAATATGATAATAAGGTCTGTCTAAGTCCTATATATATAATAAGTTCTTCTTTTAGGACTAGCAGAGGCGTTAATTCCAACTGGTGGTCAAATTCAAGATCATTAAAGCAAATAAAAACAGAACATTGTTCATGATCAAGTAACATCCTTGAACTTTTACAACATATTTAATTATTGTATAATACAAATATTACATGAAGTAAGTAAAAACTGTGTTTCATATTGATAGAAAATTACACTTGAATAATAACATTTAATGGATTATTGTTGTTATGTTGTTACATATGTTGTTTTTACTTTTACTGTGTGCATTTCTGCTGTTTGCCTGACATGTTTACATTTTGAAATGTCGTCGTCCGGGACAGGAGGCCGTATTCATTCCTTCGGGGAGTCACCTGTGAGATGATCGACAATGTAGCAGACAAGGATATGCAAGACATGGCTGAGGCCATGAACCAGACTTCACTGTTGCTCTCCAAAGGGCAGGTATGTACACACACACACACACACACACACACACGTGGCTCTTTCATTTTTGAGTCTACCAATTGACATAAAAATTAACCTTTTTCAGGCGGGATGTGCAGCCAGAAAGCTCTTTGCCACGAAGGAGAAAGAGCGAGCCGACTATTTCCAAACCATCACTGAGGAGGAGATGAACAATATTTCGACATACCTACTTCTTCACCTGCCGTAAAGAGCCTTTCCTCCAACTCTCTCTCACTGTCTTTAAAACTAACCGATACTGACGTGTGACGGCTCTCCATAATCACTCCCACCGTCCCAGGCCACTGAAGCTGAGGAATTTGCCCGCCTCTGTGTGCCCTGCCTTCCTCAACAAGATGCAAGAGGCTGACCTGAGCTCGTTGCCTCCTCGTTCGCCGTCCCGCCCCGCACTGTCCCAGAGGGCCCTGCGCTGCCTGGTCCAGGTACACAGAATAAAGGAAAAGCTAACGCAAACTACTCACGTTAAGGTTTGGGCCCATCGCCAGCTGTTGGAGCAGCAAAATTGGTTCAGATGGTCCAAGTCCCTGAATGCCAAAATGAAAATATATTACATTTGATGACGGTGGCGGGGAATGTCTCAACCCTTTGGTCCAAGATGTGTTCAATTGGGGTGAGACGTGGCGGCTAGAAGGTCACGTACGCAATCCATCAACCGCTTCCCTGCATGGAATCCTCATTCGTTATGTTTCCACTTGTTTCTCCTTCACTTTTTCCTTTAAATTGTCACCCGCTTGTACCTGCTGCTCCTACACCCACTATTATAACACCACGATGTTATTGACCCTGCGTTTGCAGCGTCCAGGCGTGTCTGCACTGACAGGGGAAGATGTGCGAAGGCTCGGCCCGCTTCTATGTGAGCTTCAGCTTTCCCAGCTGCTCCTCGTGGCCCCAGATGTCCTCAACTCCAGCCTCCTGCAGATGGCTTCCTGCCAGCACATTCCTCAAGGCCACACGGCAGATGTGATCCGGCTGGTCACGCAGACGTTCGGGTAGGACAGTGTCCCTGTGGGCGCCTCAGTAACTGTAGAGAGAGCAAGCGTCTTTGATGATGTTTGTAAAAAAAAAAAAAAACGTTTGCAGGGATCCATCGTATTGGTCAGCTGAGACGATGGAAGCAGTTGGTCCTCTTCTCCTTCTGGATGACGACGCCACGTCCGCCCTGCCCTACAAGGTGTCCATCCTTTGTCTTAACCATCACATGTCCTCTGAACGCCGGCGCAGCTCATAATGTTTCTTTATCAATACATCACTACCAGATCAAGTTCTGCACTGTTCAAAATACTGTTTCTTTTTATTTTCCCCGTCTCCGTCTGTCAGTCGTGGATGAAGGACGTTCTGTATTCCCTGAAGTCGGGCATGCACCACCCCTCCAATGCCCTTAGAAGAAAACTATTTGATCTCATCACCACCACCACCAACACGTCAAATGCAGGAGGTGAATTCAAATGGTGATGCATTGCTCCGGCGTGCTTCTCTACCTCTTACCTGCCATTGTGCCTCTCTCTTCTCTGTCTCAGTCACCAGTAGTGATGGTAAAGAAATAACCGTGGACCTGATTGAAGAACTGGGAATGGACAACGTCTACTGGACATACACACAGCTGGCTCTGATGTCAAATGAAACCTTCCTCGATGCTTTAGAAACACTCGGGGCCGTCTCTGACTACAAGTCGGACCAACTGGCCGTGCTTAGTAGAAGAGTGACTGAGGTACGACGGAGGCACTGATCCCGGTTCTGTATGTAGTCAGTGAGCAGAGGACTCCTCCAGTGCATCAATAAAGGGGCAAAGTTAATTTATTATCATTTATTTGGTCTAACATTTCTGGGTATGTCGCCACAATGGGGGCAGAATGTAGGAATGCTACTTTGGAGGGTGGCTGAACCTAAAAAAATAGTCTGAATGGATCTTCCGTTTGAAAAGAAACACTTTGACCCTCTCTTTTGCCAAAAGAAAAACAGAACACAGTCCAAAAGTTAAAAAAAAACAGTATTTTAATGACAAAAACATTTCATGGATCCAAATGAAAAAAGAAATTGAAATGTTGTTGCATTGATATAGTTAATCATTTTAGGTTTAAAAGCTGGATTCGTTTCTGTGTGCGTCTGCAGGCTTTTGGCCCCGTGTCACAGATGACGGAGAGCGTGGTGATGCAGATGGGATGCATAACTCGGGGCTTCTCCAATGCGGACCTGCAGAAGCTCCCCTTCTCGCTGGACGCTCTGGAGGAAATTGCTAAATGTGGCTGGAATGATTCACAGGTGAAGAAGAAAACCAGCCAAATTCACTGAATGAATGAATGAAGAGAACAGGAAGCTACAGTCGAAGAGGCCGATGGAGCAGCATCCTCTCGTTTCCTTTCAGTCTGCGTCCCAGCTCCTGGTCGAACCTCGTTCACAAGCTCATTCACGTGAACCGAGGGAAGAAAATACATCTAGATTTTGCTGCTGGCGCATTTTAGGCGCTAGTTATTTAATTAGGGACATTTCAAATGTTTTTTACTAGAAAAATAACTTATTTCACATCCATCTTTTTCCAAATATGTCTATAAGAATTTTTGGGCCCCCCGGCTTCATGTGACGCTCACTAACCAAGATAACGCGTCTCCACAGATGGAGCCGGTGTGGAGGGGGGTTTCTGCATACAACAACCTGACGGCGCAGCGTCTGGGCGCTGCAGAGATGGTCGCTCTGAGCCAGTTCATCTGTGGCCTGAGCTCCACGGAGCTCCAACAGCTCAGCGTGGACGCCTTCAAGTCCGTGCACCATACAGGACGCGACACTAGTAACCTTAGATCGGTCAAGAGGGAGTGAAAAAAACGTATTGTGCAATTATGTGTGTGACAGGGACGCTGTGGGCTCAATGGATGGTGTTCAATGCTCCTCTGAGGTCACACAGCAGATGAGAAGTGTTGCTGTGTCAGCCTTTGGAAACCCAAACACCTGGACGGAAGCACAGGTGTCGGAGCTGGGCAACATCATTGGTTAGACAACCCCCCCCCTCTCTGCTCAGTGTTCTCTGCACACAACACCCACGTGTATTATTCCCAAGTACTGTTGGTTGATGGCTGGTGCAGAAACTAGTTTTAATTCAGCTGTTTCCGTCTCCCTCAGCTGGGTTGGATTCAACCGAGTTGTCTTCTTTAGACCCGGCTGTCTTCTCTTTTATCAGCAAGTCCTGCGTCCCGCTCTTACAACATTTACACGTAAGAAGATGTCTAGAATACTTGTTATCGATTTCTAACGTCTTTCAGCTTAAAGCTAAATCTAGTTATTAAGTTTGATCATTTGATCAAGTACACTGACTCTTGGACTTCTAATATTCTTAATTTTTTATGATTATTTATGACATTATGTATTTTACGGCATACTCCGATAACTTTTCTTTTACTATTATATGACCATACAATGTCAAAGCAGGTTGTGTTGCTTTGTAAATAAAACAAATCCTGCTTTCTTACGTATATTTCTGTGCGCATGAAGACTTTCGATGCTTTTGTCCTGCAGGCACTCTCTGCGGTTCAGGTTGAGGCTCTCGGACCCGACAACGCTGCCATGGTTACCAGTGAACAGCGAGCCGCGCTGAGTGACGAGCAGCTGGCCGCTCTTGAAAGGGCAGTGACGGGGTCACCTGAGCAAACACAGAGATCCGGCCAGTCAGGTGAGAACACGCTGTAAATTCACCCAATGGGAGAAAATACTTTTATACAAGACTCATAGTAAGAAACATGATTAAAATAAGTGAAGTTCTTTGCGCTCAGCCTTCACGTCACTCTCGTTCAGGTACTCCATCGCTGAATGTTGAGGCAATCTCGGCTTTCGTGAAGCCCTTCCTGTTACTCCTCACGGCGTTCCTGCTGCTGTGAGAAAAACTCACAGGTGCTTTATAATCACACACCCAGCCGGGTTAACATTAGGTACACTTGTGACATGTAATGCAGACATGTTTCTCATAGAGAAGCAGAAGCAGAGAAACGGGCCTATTATTCCCACATGACCTATGACCTGATAAACTGTGTAAGGAATCGCTAGAACTGCTTTTAAATATTCTGTCAACAGCATGAAGAGGAACATTTGTCTATGTGGTATATCTTTATTTTACAGTGTGCTGACAAAAAGGAAAGAAATGAAAATGACATGTGATCAAAGTCAATAAAGAATATTCATATACGTATTTGGTTACTGTTGAAATGGTATTTGATCTAAGGCAAAAACATAAATAAGTGCTACTTAATGACACGTCCCTGTATCCTCCGGTACGTGAGTACGGTATTTCAAACTCTCACCTCTTACTCTCAGATCTATTTAAGTCAAGCAATCGTTTTTTTGTAACTGTTAAATTAAACGGATTTCCCATCCTTCTTTGTTCACATGTCAGCAAGGCAAAAAAATAAAAAACCTGCTGCTCAGTGAGTCGTGCTGCCACGTCTGATTTGTTTTTTCAATACAAAAACAAATGACATTTTCAAGGACTGACATGGTCGTTGATCTGATGTTTACGCTGTACCATTCATTCAGTTTTACTCCATTAACTAGTAATTATTTTAGATTATTGCTGAGCATTTTCCAAAGCAAAATATTGAAATTGTATACTTTTATTGGTAGATTTTTATTTCATTAAAATATAAATATACGTAGGCTTCAAACCTGCTGAGACATGTTATCAACACAAGAACATAATTAATGGGTTCACATTTTTTTTTTTTCAATTTAGCCTCAAGACATTACCGACATCACACTAAATGCATTGAAAGTCTTTGGTCACCGTGACAATGGCAGTGTGGACGTTCCTTCACAGTATAGATGTACTACAGGGGAGAAAATCCAACGATAATTCCATTGAAAAATATATACTTCAAAATATACTTTCAGCCGTATGAGTTTGATTAAATCAAGCAGGTCCGAAATTTGTATTTTTGTTGCAAAATATAATCTTTGCATCGATGCCAGAGTTGGGAATCCTTATGAAACATTATTATACATTTCTGAAAATGGCCATAAAAAAGGTCAACCTTCTAAACCGCTGCAATGCTTATTGTAGAATATATAGAAAAACAAACACAAAGAAACATACCTCGGTTGCCGTTCATACGGCTCCTCGGTAGGATGAAAATATTGAAATCAGACACAATACATTGCAAACTATCAACAGCCAAGAAAACAGTTATCACAACTACAGTCGGATCGTAACTCTCTAGGGCACATTAGGGGACAGAAAAGTAGCCGTAATCGTTTTACTCGTCACTACTGAGCACAGAAATGCTGCTTCAGATCCGGAGTGTCAAAGGTCACCGGTTAAAAATCCCATTTAATGTTCACATGAGAACTGTGTTGAATCAGCTTCTTTGGGTGGATTCTTAAAAAAAAAAAAAAGGTGCGCTAACCCACTCTGTGATATTAAGTAAACGGCATATAAAAAAGGCACAAATATTCTGTCATCGCCAACCAACAGTGCTCTAACCGGGTATCCTAGGGAGCCTTCCCGACGTTCCTCGCGCTGATGAACGCCATCCCGTGAGTTCTGAAGTGCGTGGTCAGGTCGGTTGCCTTTTCAAACTGTCTGTCACACACCTTGCAGGCCAGTGCGCCCTCCTCTTCCTTCCCCTGCGATACGGAGGACAGAGAGGCGGGGGACGCTGGCGCCGAGCCGTCCTGCGAGCTCTTGCACTCGTGTTTCCTGTTGGCACCGGGGGATCCGACGGACTGCTGGTGATCAGCGTCTCTCACTTTGTGGGTGATGAAGCGGTGGCGGGACAGCGCAGAGACGGACGTGAAGCAGGCGCCACACTGCAGACACTGCTGACCGCCGCCCTCCGCCCCTCCTCGCCGGTGCTGCCCGATGTGCTCCAGGAACAGCGCGTGGTCCGCTGAGGCGAAGCCGCAGGGGGAGCAGCGGAACCCAGACTCGGGGGGGCAGATGGGGGCGGAGGAGGAGCGCATCTTCTTCACTGGACCAGCTCCATCTGTGGGCTCTTCGTCCTGCTCCGTCTTCAAAGTCCCCAAACTACTGTCCTGTTCTGAGGAACTGCCGGCCTCGTCGTCGCCGCCGCCCTGCGACCACAGGAAAACGAGGGCAGCTGCAGTTAACACCTTAGTGAAAATGGTTCATTGTTGGATTTCTTGATAAAAAGACTAGAATGTCTTACTATCGGAGTGTTCTGGCTTCCTTGCTCCAAGCTGTGTCTTTGCTGCACGTGTCTCTCCAACATCGCTCTGCTGCTAAACGTTTTCTTCCCCTCATTACAGAACCTGTAAATGTAAATGCACTTCATTATGATTCTGTCACTGCGATTACCTTTGGATTTTTTGGGATTTCAGGAATCAGCTGAAATAAGGCCGACCCGAATCAACAGCCAAATCCTAATTTGAGTCTTGTTTTTGTTTTTTCAATTATTAAATTTATTTACTTTATTACTATTACCTCAATTCCAAATAGTTCATAGATTAACAAAAATAATAATAATACTCAAGAGATGGCAAGTATAGTTTAGTACGTCAAAAACATTTTAGAAAGTCACAATAAAGTATCCAGTAAAACGTAATCTAATGAAATACAAAAAGTATCACATAAATTGGTACCAGAAAGAGGAATAGCTCATTTGTGATACTTACTGGCATCGAAAGCAGCGATTCGCGGCTTTGTGTTTGTCTCTGATGTGCCGTCTCATACTGGACGTGGTGGTGAAGGAGCTCTCACACTTGTTACAAGGAAACTTCTTCAGACTCTATACAACAAAAAGACACCAAAACCTTTAGCTACATCGATCCATTTATGGCTGTATCCAAAAACTAAACGTGTGGTGGACGTCCCTGACCTTGCTATGCTGTTCAGCCATGTGGGTAATGTAGTCTTCCCTGTCCGTGTAGCGTGCGTGGCAAGGCGCGCACTTCCAGCCGGAGGGGGTCTTCAGCTTCTCCGGCTTCACTTTCTCTTCGCGCCCCGACTCGTCTCCCTTCGAGCTCTCCGACTTCACCGACGGCCTCGAACGAGGGGAAGCCGCAGGAGGTGAAGGCAACTCTTGTTTTGGGATGGAAGTCTTATGGGTCTGATGAACAAGGGGGGGATGAAATTATAAAAGGCTGTTTCAGCACTAACCAGACTAAATGAGACCCTACGTGAGCACTTCATGTACCTTGAAATGATCCAGAAGAGAATTCCGCTGAGAAAACAACTTGGGGCACTCAGGGCATTTAAACACGTGCACCTTTTGATTGGTCAAGTGGGTTTCAAAGTGGATGTGCAGCAGAGACTTGTTTGTAAAAACGGTGTCACACATGACGCATTTATATATTAACCTGTGAAAGGAAAAATAAATGGGTTAATTGATTGATTAAAATGTTGTCATTTCCATGAATTGTAATAAATATATATTATACATATACATACATGGTCTGTCGTTCAGTGAGCGTTGGATGTTGCCCACTGATGTGGCTCTGTATGCTCGGAGCAGATTTGAAAGCCATGGGACAGCTGGGGCATTTGTGGAACATATCACAGTGGGCCTGTTGGATGTGAGACTTCACCGAGTTCAGCCCGCCGAACACCACCAGGCAACTGGAACACCTGCGCGGTGGAGAAAGAGTTGTGAACGCGAGCGCACGCACACACTGAACTCACGTGGCTGCAGCGACGACATCACACCTGTATCCAATGCGTCGGGCAAAGTGCAGACAGGCCTCGTCGAGGTGCGCTCGGAATAGCGACTGCTTGGCCGTGCCGCCGCACTCTGGGCAGACGCGTGGCGGACTGCTCTGGTGTATGCGGTGATGGGCTGCGGCACTGCAGCCGTTGGGCAGGAGCATTGGAGGGGAACACTCTGTGCATGACTGCAGAACAACAAAGTAATTAGGTTCATGTTTGTATCAGTGGAAAACAAATTAGAAGAAAAGTCCTTCCACCAAAAGGGGACTCACAGAGGTTTGTGCTGGTTTGATTTCTTGGAAATGCTCGGCAACTTCTTCTTTGCTATGAAACTGAGCCTGGCACTCGGGACATCTGTTACCCGTGTAGTGCACGGCCTCGGCCTTCTTCTTGGATACCGCTTGACGCGTCGCGGCTGCTGGGGCGGCCTGGCCTGCAAAGGACGATGATGATGATGAGGGTCCTGAACAGAATGACAAAAAACGGACAACCCAAGTAATCGATGAGGAGCATACGCAGAGAGATAAAATCACACGTATGAATAACATAGTCCGAACAGTTAAGCTACGGGGGCTGAGACGGATCTATGCCAACCGACCAGTTGCCGCGGGTTCCTGGTGGCCGATCATCTGCTCCACCGGAACAGGCTTCATGACCAAGTGCGAACACTGCATGATCAGGCCTCTCTCCTTGTGTTCTCTGGCGTGCAACAGCAGGCTGCACTTGTTGTAGAAGGCCAAGCGTTTGGCGCAGTGATTACAGGTCACCTCGATCCTCAGCGAGCGGCGGTCGTAGTGACGCGCCAGGCTCTGATTCAAGGCGAAGGCGTCGCCGCACTCCAAACAGCGGTAACCCTGGACGGGATCAGACATTCACCTTCTTAGACATTGACAGTAATGTTGAATAGTGAAACAATGCTGTGGGCTTCACGTTAGGGCCGATTCAGCCTCGTTCTGTTGGAGGATTGCAGTCAGAAAAGAACATTTAATTTTATAAATGAAAAGTGAACTTTTATCTTTCATAGTTGGGCCGCTCTTCATGATCAGATTTAACTTTGAGTGTTAAACAAAACCACCGGATCCACTTGATGACCTGTTATGGGTTTATGAGGGAACCCTAGCTGCAGTTTACACAGTAAGGGGATTACCGATTAAACTACAAATTGTTTCTTTAATGAATCAATTTCTTGTTCTGTTTCTAAAATATCAGAAAATGGGAAAATGTCCATCATATTTTCCAGAGCTCAGTGACAGATCAAAATAGCTATTGACTATTAAGTCAATTAAAATGTCATAATAAATAATTGACAACATTAAATGAGTGACAGCTGACCTGTGCAGGCAGCGGAAGGCCCCACTCTGCAGGGAGAGGAGAGCTCAGGTCTGGTTTATAACTGGGCAGGAGGTTCTTGTTGTTGAGGATCTTGTTGAACGCTTCCACCAGGTTGGTCTGGGTCTTGGATATGATCGCCCCGGTGCTGTTAACTATGGAGGCCGGCCTGCTGCTGATTTGAGGCGTAAGCAGAGGGGACGGCGCAGGAAGAGCCGCCGCACTGTTCACCGCTTTAGGAGCCAGGCTGCGAGGGTTGATCACACCCGGGCTGGTTCTCGGAGCGGACGCCGAGATGGTGGGCAGGGCTGCGCTTTTGGTGATGCTAACGGCTGTCGGGGAAACTTTGAGCTTGGCGTCCGCTGCGGCTTTGTCTTTGCCCGCGCCGGCGCCGTCCAGCGTCGCGGCGCAGGCGTCCTGGAGCATCGCCATCGCAGGCGTCGGAGACGCCTCTGGTAGCTCCCTCTTGGATCTGGCGCCCTGACGTTCTGCTGAAGCTTTTGAACTATTCACGCCCTTGGGAATGGCTCTTTTTTTAGGGGCAGCACCAGTCACGGTCCTTGTGATGCTACCCGTAGGCATTTTGATTTTAACTTTGAGGGGATGCGACTGAGAGGGAAGTAGTTTCGCCGCGCTCGCAGACCCAGAACCGTCAGCGCCGGCAGCGCAGCTCTTCTCGTTTAAATGTTCCTTATCCCCAGCCCCCTTTTCACTCAACTTCTCACTCTCGCCCGGTCTTTCCTCTTCCTCAAGCTCCTCTTTGTGAGCAAAGTCCTCGTTGTTTGCCGTTGCTTGGGCCGAATCCGGGCTGCTGTATTCCTTGGGGACTAGGAGACCCGTCTCGCTTGGCGGCGGGCTCTCGGGTGAGTCCCTTTCATCGATCACATGCTCTGGGTATTTGTCTTCTTGGACTGATGCGAAGCCCGTGTTGAGAGAGGCGAGGCAGTCCTGGGGGCTCTGTGGCTGAGGGGCTGTGGAGGCGCCACTGAGGGCTGTAGGTTGCACGTGCTCCTCAAGCTTGGGTTTAGGTTTTGCAGGCGCCAGAGAGGGCAGAGGTCGATGGGGGACAAGACGCGGATGGTACTCAGGAGGCCCAAGAATGTCAGACTGTAGTTTTGCTTGATATTGAAATTTGGGAGGGGAGGACATCACGGATTCCGGGCTCTCCTGGATCACCAGTGGACTTCCTAAGTCAGGCTCGGAGTCCTCTTCATCCGAGTGCATGGCATGTTTAACTCCAGCCTTAAAACTCCCATTTTGTGATAAAGGGGAGGATGATGGATCGCTGAGGAGGCACGTTTCATCCTTCTCGGGGGAGAGACGAGGAAGGTGAGGGCTCACTAAGTGGGAGGAGGGAGCCGTTGAGGGGTGAGGACCAGTCCTAATGGAAGACTGGAGGACCGGGAGGGGTTTGAAACGATTTAGGACATCGGTTGCGTGTGGGACCAATCCAATTGCAGCTCCTTTAGGGCTTTTACCCGCGGTAAAATCCAGTGTGGACCTCAATGGTGAACAAGGGTGCCAATGCTGTGTTTTGGGCTGTCCCTGAGCTCGGGGGATGGATCCCTGAAAGCCATTGGCGATCTGCGGCTCCACGGCGTCATCGGGTGGCAGCTTTGCATGAAGGTGTGAGGGCAGCTCACCCACCAAGACGGTTGTATGGGTGTGAGATGGCTCCTCTTCTTCCAAGGACTCAGATCGTACGGTGTTCTTCACAATAACACTACTATGTGAGGCGGGGAGACAGGGGAAGCATGGAGGTGACGCACTCTCTCCCTCGTCGGAGTTGGTCCCCATCTCATCCCGTTCCTCCTCCGGACTTGACTGAATGGCTTCTTTTGCGTCAATGTCAGGAATGTCAAAAGCTGCCAGCAGGTCATCAAAATCAGGGGTCTTCATGTCCCCCATCGCCGGCACAATCGTCGAAACCTATCGGGGCAACACGACGACGTTGCATATTAGCCGCGACACCATAATGCGTCGACACATTTGGACTACGACAGTTATACTTGCTGATTGTAATAAACATGTGACGGGTGGGATTATTACAGAATCGGGATTGTCTGGTTACGTAAAAAAACTAATAATCGTCTTAGTCCAATAATAGTGTTGTTATACAGGCGGAAAGAAGCAAGAACGTCAAACTTAACTGTGGAGCAGCAACAAGTGGGTCCTTCTGCTAACAGCTAACGTTAGCTGAATGTTAGCATTTAACCTAGCTGGCCGTGCTAACGACAAACGGCCAACTTTCCTCACGTAACCTTCGTCAAAACCTATAATTAGCCAGTTCAGTGTAACATTCAGCTAAAATAGTCCTGGTGTGTGTTACCCGCGGCGTGTTGCGTTTGCTGTAGCTTAAGCTAACATCGGCTCACGCTTGTGTTTAATTTGAATTACCTGCTAACGTCAGTTGGCAAAGTTGGTTCCTGACTTCGCACTCGGACGCATAAATTACTCGTCAGTAAATTGTGCGACAGCGACTTCCGAGGTGCCTCAAACATTGAAGAGGTGTAATGCAAAAACTCTGCTAAACATTGACATTTAAAACCTATTTATAGACTATACGTTCTGCAATTTATAAAGATGCTTTGACTTTTGGCCAGTGGTGGAAGGAAGTCTCACGATATTTTATCAAGTAAAAGTATCGATTAAGTAGAATCGCACTTTTTTGTAATAATTGTTGTACTACTGTTTATCACTACTGTATTTACGATTATATGTTGTAATCTTAATCCAAGAGAACCAGTTGGTCAAACATATGGCTCTGAGATGCAACCATTCGAAAAATAAAGTGACAGAAAATACAATTACTGCAGAACAGGTACCGAAATTATTCCACTGAAACACAGATTGTGTTTTATCATTGCTGGTTTTCGTACTATGGATCCATAAATATATAACCTTGTATAACGCAATATTATGAAAGATTAGTAAAATTATATAATCTCATTCTACAAAAGCATTTCAAATTAAATCATTTAGCAAGAAAAGTAACTAGATAAAAACCCAACCAACGGTGTCATCTGCCTTTTAAAGTCACACAGTGATGATACTAGAATGATGATGTTGAAAACAGATGAGCATTAAAAATCAAAGGTCTTATTGGGTCTCTCCTCTACTTGGCTTGTATATATGATGCAGGTTTCTCCTACAAGAACTCCCAGTCATAATAATTATACAAGTTGCTAATAATACACATGATTACATTGATATCTACAAACATTTATTTATAAATATCAATGCAACATAATTTAATACATTTAATTGATTGAAAAGGAGTGAACATTAAATTGTAAATAAAAGTGCCACCTTGCATTATTTAATCTGTTAACCCTTCCTATCTCAGAATAGTTATATTACAAATGACTCAAAAGTAAGTATTTTGCCTTCTCGACACAAAAATAACATTCGAATACACCCAAAGTTGAAAAAAATAAAAAACATGTTTACAGTTGAAATATCCTCAACATACATGAAGAAAAAAAAGGAAAACAAGTGCCTGTATAGAGGAGGGTAATGTTACTGTAAATAACATGCGCTGCAATGGTCTAGTTTTTTTTAATTATCATATACAAAGTTCTTCTTTTGGTATTCATTTCTTTTTCTCCTCATCCTTCTTGTTATCAGATTTAGAGCCCGTCTGGGAGGCCAGAGAGCCCATGGCGTTACGGATGGCCTCGTTGTTGGGGTCGACTCCAGGAAGGTTTTCCAGGACGCTCTGAAGAAACTCTGGATCCTGCATAACATCGTAATCCTCTTCATCCTGGAGGAGACGATGACATGTTATGCGTTTACCACGCACATTGCGATCTGCTGGAAGACACAAATGGGATATAAGAAAGGCTTGAGCTCACCTTAGCTTTGCTAGAGTCCGTGTCCATGTCTCCTGTGTCCATGTCCTCAGCTCCCAACTCTGCAAGATAAATGGAACAGAAATGTGGTTTTGAGTAGGAAACATGGATGCACAATTGTGCATCCACTACAACGTGCCATGAACCTGATTTTATACTGTTGATACGATGCCTACTGAATTCAACCTTGTATTTGAGGTTATTCATTTTTTGACTGAAAGAGTGAAATTCTGAAAAGTTTTTTTTTCGTTTTTGACCTGCGCCTTCTGCTTGCATGGACATCTGCAAAGCGTAGGCGATCTGTTCATCCTCGGTCATGCGGCTGAAGTCTGGTAGAGAAGGTGTGGACGACACTGTGTTTGGAACAGACATCTTCAACAGGGCATCATCAGATTCTGCAACAGAAAGATCACATCAAAATTCATCATCCGCTGAAGGGACTAGCATCTATGATGGCAAATCGAGTCGCTGGACATTGTTCACACCATCTGCAGCAGGAGAGGGGATACCGGCATCAGCAGCTGATACGACAGAGGCTCTGCGAGCTTCATCCTCCTGTCGTTGTCTCTGCTCCTCCATGGACACTCTCAGGGCCTAGAGATAAGAGGAAGCAATCAACAAGTAGCATAATGCCCCACACAGATGTGAGAAATGTGGTCTATAAGATAGTGGTGGAAAAACAACAACATTGATGGAATATACAAAAGATTTCATTGTCAAAAAGCAAGATACGCTGCGAGTTGAATAAACTACACAAACCAAACACACCACAGTGACCCTTTGAATCCAGTTCTGTCTGCTCTCTTACCAAGGCCAGCTCTGGGTCTGCACTGGGGTCCACCCCGAACTCAAAGTCCCCGGCACCCAGGCCCAACACGGCTCCTCCCTCTCCAGCCAGGATGGGTGAGGACAGCAGGGCATCGGCCAGACTGGGGCCCGGAGGAACAGTGACCAGGTGGGAGCCTGCTCCCTCTTTGCCATTCAGCGTATTGATGAAGGTCGTCAGCTTCTCCGTGTTCATCTCCTGCAGTGGTCACGAGGAGCGAAGGTGAGCAAATGGATCAGATGACAGGTTCATGGAGTTGAGAAGAGTGTGTCAAGCACTGATCGAAAAATACCTCCTCCCCAAAGTTAATGACATCCACGTTGACTTTTTCCTTCTTTAAACGTTTCGCCATTTTCACCAGCTACAAGAAAACAAGAATAATTCAGTGACAGATCTTCTGTCTGTTATACAAAATCTGTTTGTTTAAAAAGTTAGCAGTGTTTAAAGTTCACTTGGTAAGAATATAGGGACTATACTCCCTGGTTAACAATACATTAAAAACATAAACACAAATAACATTTAAACACATTGACTTATGCCAGAATGTAGCTCACTTCTTTTTCGTTGTCCTCCACTGGGCTGCCAACAAATGCAATGATGCGCATCTTGTGGTTTTTGCCCTGTCTGTGCTTCAGTGCCAACTACAGAGAGAAACAGTTAGGCCAGACAGAACAAGTGATATAGAGTCTTTGCCATACTACGGATTGCAAAGGCCCAGGAAGAGATAGTGTAGGGACACTGGCAGTGGGGAAAAGGTCTCAGTGGGGGGGGGGGGGCGGCGCTATCATCAACATAGCAGAAAGGTGGAACTAGTGAAGGACCGGGGGGGGGGGGAATAGTGGGGAAAACATCAGGAAAATAGTGACAGTGTTAAGGGGGAGGGGGAGGGTTTCGCTCAATCAGATAAACCTGAAAGTCTACACTTCAACGTAACACTGAATGCTTCAGTTCAAATAATTTGCGTAAAGAGGAAACATTGTGAGTGAATTGTATAGATTCTTACGGCCCTGACTATATGTCGTGTTGTTCCTAAATTTCACTCAATGTATAATTCTGGTTTCCCTGCAGGACGAGCGGGATAAGACTCACTGTGTTATGAAAGTCACAAACTCACATGTGCAACCCTGATGCCGGTGCAGAAGCTGATATTCCCACGGGGCTGCACAAGGTGAAGCTTGGATAGTATCCTGCCGGTGTCCGGAGTGAGCGTGGTCAGAACCTCACAGTTGCTGCAAAGCGTAACAACACGCGTGTTATTATCCGAAAGCGCTTCAGATGTCAGTACTCTCATACAAATACATGGTCACTTACTTTGCCATGGTGATGAGGCCCACGTTGTTCTCAGGGTTGGTCCGGGTCTTGGAATGGCAAACAATGTTAACTGCGTCCTGCTGAGCCTGCAGCCTGGTGGGCAGAAAGTCTCCATTGCGCATGTACTCACTATTGTCCACACTAAGAAAAAATCAAAAGCAGTGTTTAGAGAGTGTAGACAATGCAAATTACAATGATTGGACAAATATAGGTTTAGCAAATCGGAACCTCTTAGAGGAATCAATTCCTAATATAATTAAATATATATATATATATATATATATATATATATATAATATAAATACACTTCTTTGAGAAGGTGCAAAAGGCATTCATAATTTTTTCTGAAATTTAATACCAAATAAAATAACGTTATATAAAATCGTTAATGACAGCTAATTGGTTATATCCAGCTAACACAATAACCTGATTTTATATAATGTAACGTTGGTGGAAACCAATGCAAGAGTACTGCACTACTGATTCTTCAGAAAAACTATTGTTTAACCAACAGAAGGTAATTAATGTTGTTTTCTCCCTCCTAATGGATCCAAAATTCAAATTGTGATAGATGACTTTTGTTTGCTAGCTGACGCTAACGTCTCAAACAAGAGACATATCACCTCAACTTGAGCGGAACTATTGACTTAACATCCACGTTTTTGAAACGTAAAAGAGCAACATCACTTTGGCCAGAGTTAGTGATCATACAACTTATTAATGTCCATGACGTGACTAAAATCCCTTTGTTAGCGGTGCGCTGGAGGCTCCTACTGGCTAACGTTAGCTAGCTAATGGAGTGACTCAGTGAATAGCTTCAGCATCTTTACTACCAGACGAAACAACATAAATATGAACAAACATTTCCGCTGAGATGCATACTTTGTTTATCAAACGGCAGCTTATTTTGAATAAAGTTGCCCATCGCCATATTCATCTTTAAACATATTTCTCATTCCTTACCAGACCATAGTACTTTCAAGCCCCATCTTGACGTCCGTGGTTTACAACGTCATCGTGGGGCTTATGGGTAATGGAGTTTTCTCATCATACAATGACCGTACAACGTTCTGATCAAATGTTACGATGATTAACCATTGAAAAAAGTCAGATAAAATAAGCTCCTCAAGTTTAATTAATGCACAATTATAACGACTAGTCTATATAAACATTATCCGCTATTTTTCTTTGTCTATGAGGAATTTGATTTGATGAATTGGTGCAATATAAGAATAAAATAGTAAAGTAAAATACGATAAAAATATACAAGCAAAAGTTAAAACAATATAAACAGAAAAGTAGATTAAAACACGTATGTCCATATGTTTCCATGGTTCCATAACAAAAAGTGTTTCTGTGGCAAGAGGTCTTCGTCCTGATTTACCGCAGCCTCCTTCCAGAAGGGGCTCAAGGAATCAGTGGCATGCTCGGTCAGAGGCAATACGCAAAATTGTAAAAAGGGTTTCTACTGAGCTGTGCCTACAACAAATTATATCAATGAGAATAATAGATAACAAAAGACACGCGCATGCATATGTGTACAAATTGATAGCACAGGTGAGCACATGTGAGTAATACCGTAAATTACAGAAAGAATACAGACCACAAAAGGTTCCCCCTTGATTAATATCCCGCTTTTAGATTAGTCCACCGTTCTCCATGATAAAAGCAGATCTAACATCCTGTCGCACAAATCGAAGCCGGTCAGAAATCTTAAAAGTGGGGCATCCAGGCTAAAGGTCACAAACTAAAGGAATTGCAAAACATCTTAGACCTAAAAGTTCCAGCTTCTGCAGAACATTTGCATTTACCGATGCTTTTCTGTTCCTCACAACAATTTTTCTCCTTCATTTTCATATTTGGTTCATGCATCACACAATATCTTAGTCAAAGTAGTCTTTATTCTTGCTTCGTCTTCTCTGAGAAAGTTCCCTGGTTAGCAATTTAACTTGTGCAGGTTGACCAGCTCACTTCCCCGAGCAGAACAACATAGATCACATGAAACTTCTGACACAAGTTTTGGCTCCATGACCTGGTGACAAGTTGTTTCACAAGAATTGTTTCATTCTCATTTTAAGAACCGTTTGCCCCAGTTTTTCACAGCGATTCAAAACAGAAGTTCCCAGAAGTGATTTCTATTTTTTCTATTTGCCTCCTCCCACACATAGAGATGACTGTCCTCAATGAGATTAATCCAGAGGAAGTCATCAGAATGGTTGATCGGAAAGGGGAAGCACCCGACCGCAGGGCGACCACGAAAAGATTCATCCAATCTGGGCCAATTACCGGAACACCCACCAAAAACCGGGGCCCAAGAGCGCCACTCCTTTGGGTTTGAATGGGAATCATTCATTCATCTGTATGATTACTCAAGCCCACGTTTAGAGTAGGTCTACATTTTGATATCAAAAGCTATGTGGATGACGTACACTTAGCAACAGCGCAGCGAATGAACAAAGGTTTTGGTGGACGAGGAGCCTGAACTTATCGAACACAGCGCAATAAATGGAATCACTCATTAGCTAAACTCATTATACTGTATAGAGAAAACTAAAATATACTTTTATGATGATTTTTGTAAGCATGCACTGATATGCAACTATGCCTGCTGTTTGGGTTTTGTGAATAAAACATTGACAAATAGACTGATTTAGAAAATATGTTTAATCCTTCAAAACCAAACATGAAAACATCACCACCACATAACTGAAACATGGCAGGAGACAGGCAGCACGTATTGCATGAGAAGGCATTTCCGTGACTCCTATGTACATATACACATTTTATACACAGTAGAAATATAGCGATTGAAGCATTATAAGACAACGGGCAATGTCGTCGTAAGCGTTCAGAAACATTCACGTAAAAAAAGTTTGGGAGATTAAGAGCCCAGAATCGTTGTGGCGCAAATATATTCATCATATAACATTCTGAACCTTCAAATATAAAAAAGTAAAATAGTCAATAGTCTGCCATCACAGGAAATACACACTATAAAGTTTCAGACATCCTTCAGTGAGCTTACAGTAATCGTACAATCTACAAAGGTAACGAATCAAACTGTCATCATTCCACCCCGCAGCCACCACATTAATAAATATACTTCTTAGAAATGAAATGTGGCGACGCTTGTGTTTTGTTTGCGTACGTGTACATTGCATTACATTATAGTGTCTACACTGACTGCACCGCCCGTTAAGCACCGTAGGTGGTTTCTATTTCAGCCATGGTGAGGTACAGAACTGCACCACAACTGGTCTGCATCAGTCCGTTACACACCACAGCACCCATCAAAATAAACTACACCACCCATCTAAAGAAATTAAAACAGAAAAAAGTGAGATGTCACATAACATGATCTTAAAATTAGCTGGAGTTGTTTTTCTTTGGTGGCTGTCGACCAACTAATTAAAACTTGAAATTGAGCTGTTTGAAAGCAAAGACGTTACACTTCAGCATAGTATGAGAAACAATACATTTCAAGTACTTTGTCCTAATCACACAAAGGGCTACTAGTGAACAAAAGGAATGTGGGGTTGAATCTTGAAATGTCTCGGGCCAAAAGGAAACAGATTCTTGATAAAGAAACAATACGTTGTTGTCAGATAAGAGCAATTGTTTTGCAAAAATAACTTCCAGTTCAAGAATCAATCCTAAAAAGAGGTCAAACCAGTGTGATTGCCGCATAGTCAGTCAGTCAATGCGGGGGTCGAGTGTCTGATTTCATTTTCACGCCAACTGCACAGGATCTGGAAACATTGTAGACGCTTTTCTTTGGTGCCTCGACATCCTTGATACAAAAGACTCCGTCCTAAATCCTCAGCTGAACACGAGCGGCTTTCTTTTCTTCTATATTCAAACCTCACATTTCCCCCTCTCCCTCTCTGCTGCATAGACCAGATGTGCCTACAAAACATAAATAGTAATACCTTGAATGAGATGATGTCCAGATCTTAAGTGTTGCTACAGTCACATTGTAGTGATTCAAATTTCTGCATCAGAAATATGTGGTGGGGTTAAAAGTGCTCTGCAGCCTTGTGCCTTGAGAAAACACATCATCAAAAACAAAAAACAAAGCACGGTTGTTATGAAGAGCAGAGGAAAAGCGGAGATCGACCACATTAAAAAAAGAATACAAATAGTTATACACATAGCTATTAATCTTGGTCCAAAAGTGGATGTGGGCGGAAGTCACTTCTGTAACCAGCAGAAATGAATATGAAAGGGATCGACATCCTGACTGTCCCACGTGGGGGGAGGAGACAGGATTAGCTGAGCTGATGCATTCACATATTCAAACCAGGCGGTATTAGTGTTTTGCACTCAAATCGGAAAACTATTTTAAGCACTGACTGTTGGTCCAGACACACAAAAAGCAGTTTGACAACTTCTGCTGTAGTAATAAGGCAGGTTTCTCGGTTTAACCACAGCACTAACCACCAGAAACTGACCTTACAGTCACTTCACATCACACGTTAGGAAAGCGAAAAACATGTAAATAAAAATTAAAAAGGCACAGACATGACAGACAAATGACCTGGACATTATTCATTTTCTACGAGTTGATGTCACGACGCCCATCAGCAGCATCTCCTGGGCAGCGATGCAGCGCTTCTCCGTATACATATACAGCATACTTGGTCACATAAGAGAGGGAGATTTTCAGGGTTGTACAAATGTGGTCTGTTAAGTTAAGACACATTTTATATATGAAAACATTGTGACGAACATTCAGCAGTGGAAAGATCCCCGTTGGATCTTTTGCCAGCAGAATAACTTAAAACCAAATGACCTCATCCGCGGGGTTGAATCCGTTCCTCCACCGTTCTCAAACAAATACTGTACATCCGTTAAAAAGAAATGCATATGCGACTGCAGGGTCCACAGCAGCCGGGCTCGACTCAAACCAGGACTGCTGGTAGCTCAGCGCGCCCCTGCACGTGGGGGTCCGAGGGGGGAATGGAAGTGTGGTAGCGGATCACAAAAACGTGAACCCACTCAAGGCTCCGCATGAACACACAGTCCAGGCGATGTCCTCTATGTGCTCTTAAAGTGTTCCCACTGAAATGCTGTCTGTGTCGTCCATCGGACACAATGTCTCTATGGGTAAGGGCTTTTAACTATATACAACTAATTATTGTTTCTTTTTGTCAGGTAACATTTTTTGAGATGAGCGGGAGATCCAGGGCCATTGGCCTTTTTTCGCCCATGTGTGTATGAGGACAGTGGGGCTTGACAGGGGGTGTTGATGGCTGGGAAAACAAAAGCCTTCCGCATAGCCTCTTCTCCTTGATCTTCCCCATAACTATTTCCTTCATTCGTCAATCCCTGCATATACTGTTTGGGTGAGAAAACAGCAGCGGCGCAACGGAGGGTCCATGTTGGATGGGTGACTTTTGCTTTCTTCATCTTCATCCGACCTCGTCCAGAGACACCTCTTCTTCAAACATCCGTTGAGTTTTCTTTTTACTGTGAAGATAAAATACGTAAGAAATGTAAAACTGATTCTGTTCCTGGTTTTAAATAATATGCATTATCGGAATCTAGTGTGTCAGCGATTAGACTCACAAAAGAAATGTTGGTTTCGGGGATGATGTCCGAGAGTGAAATTACGTCTTCGTTCCCAGCGAGGTTGCCTGAACTATCAACCTCAGCTTCTGCATCCAAACTGGAACAGAGAAAAGGGAATTGATGCAAAACTAACATAAGCACTTTATTTTTCACAAGATGTGGCGGCATTGCTTTCTGTACCTGTGACGGTCGAGGTCTGTGTTTGCCGATTTGTGCACCTCTACCCCTACAGACCTACGGGGGGAAAAGGTCGGAGCAAAGACAATCAACATCAACACAGCGCGAAAGTAAAGTGGAGGAGCAAAGCCATGGCGCTGCTTTACCGTATGGGAGGAGAGGTGGCGCCGACCCCGGTGCTGCCCAGTGACGAGGTGGACAGGTTGGCCTCGTAGTCAGAAGGGTTTTCTCCAACCGGCGGGGTCCTTGGAACGAGATCCGGTCTGCCCAACTGCACACCTGAGGAGGGAGCAGCATTAAGGAAGCGAATGTGAACACCAGCAGCTACGACGTCCGCAGTAGAGCTGCTGAATGTGTTCTTGTCACGTTGCCCGTGACGCCGCTGTTCTCACCACTGTCTGCTTCTGAATCGGTGCTTTTAAAGTGGCTGTGGTGGACTTGTCTCCCGTCGGCAGCTGACTGTCCTGTTGATTGGGAGAGCGCGGTGGGGGCTCCCAGGGTGGGGGCCCTCCTGAGACCTCCCTGACCTCCGCCACGACTCTTCTTAGATGGAGATAGTTTCACTGCACGGGGTGGAGAACATGAAGGTGGCAATGATCGATACAGGCAAAGTTCTCACACGTGGGATTTCTATGCTGTTAATACTCCATCCAACTGCATTTAAAAATAAAAATAAGACATGCACACGTACGTGGAATTCTTTTGAACACAGTATTGCACATGAATTGCTGAAAACGATCTGCATAGAAGCCGGGTCTGTGAACTGAAACCGTGTCCTAAAGTGGGAAAAGAGGAACATAGACACGGGATACTCAAATTAAAACGCAGCAGCAATATCTGTATTTCTGAGTTTGTTTATTAACAATTCCGGATAGGTTGGTCTATTCCATTTAGTTGTTCAAAGCAATAGTTTGTCCTACAGGGACCTACAGGGAAATTGTCTCATTTCTTGACTCATCTTACCTGTCAAACAATTGATGATTAGGCACTCCAGTATTGTTTATTGAAATTACAGATACAAAATATATAGATGTATAGTACTCTACGTCATGCTGTTTCTCTGTTCAACAACACTTTGTTTAGATTGGTCGAGCATTAAGTGTAGCCGCTTACCCCGTCGTGGACCAAGGCCTTCCAGGAGTGCTCCAACTTCTTAATAAACCTATATAATAAGACACGATGAAACAAAGTAGTGGAAGTTACAGAAACAGGGGTGATGTGTGTGGGAAGCCTGTATTGGCAACAAAGAACAAATGTTAAAACATGGAAGCGATTGGGCTGCTCTGACAAACCTGTAAGACTGGAGGATGTCAATGATGCCGATGTAAATCAGCAGCCTCTCCCCTTTAGCATTGCGCGATGGAATACCCCCCATGCTGAAAGGATGGGAACACAGCGGATCATTTATCCGTCAAGTCACGCTCGTAAACCACAAGACAAACACCAGTAACCATTCAGCTGAGCGTTAAGACTCACTGGTCCTCTGAATCCAAAGCTCCCTTCCCTCGAGCCTCCCCCTGAATGGACTCCATGGCTGTACAGTACAGACTTTTCTGCACTTGTGGCCTTCGCTGATCTGGGGTCACCGCTCCCTCCGAACCCCCGCTGTCTCCGGAGTTTCCCCTGCTACGTTCACGCGCTCGGCTGGCCTGGTCCATGTTGTGGATTCCCATCAGCAGACTGTAATCCATGATCTTGAAACTCTGCAACAGCTACAGAACGCATAGAAACACAATAAATGGAGTTGAGGTGACCATGGGCATTCACACAAACAGTTAAATTTACAAACCACAGCAGCAGCGAGTTGGGTTGAAAAAGGGCTCTGCAGGTACAATAGAGAAACTGCAGCAAAACCTCATTCAAAACTGGGCTGCCACATCATTCATTAATGGCTTATTTTGCATGTTGATGGGCAGTAAATAGGTGCATTTACCCTATTATACATTTTCTGTATTTTTTCATGATAATGTGGTGGGGTACAATTTAAGCTTATTTAGGAATTTACACTTGTGCATCTTATAACAATGTGCACAAACGTATCCTGTGACCCCGTGCGGGCCGGGAGGCTGGAATGAAAATGCCGTAAATGACTCACCAAGCAGTCCCTCTGAATGGTCTTGCACAGGGCGTTGTAGTTGTCTGCTTCCAGCAGCAGACCGTCAGGCAAGTCCTCGATAAAGTCCAGGTCCTTGTGAATGGGAACGGCCTTTTCTCTCTCTTTAGGGGAAGCTCGTCTCTTATAGGTGGAGCCCTTGAGGTCGTATTTGAGGTGCATGGGGATGATCCGAGGCAGAAGATTGTTCATCACTACAATGCGGATGTTCTTGCCCCCCGCCTGAACGCAATACAGCCCGTAGAACTTGGGCAGCAGGGTGCGCTTGTTTTGGTTTATGTTCTGGAAGGGATGAGAAATGTGGGAACAGATATTGGACACACTTTCATTTCAAATAAATGATTAGTACTCTTATAGTGACTAGAGTTAATGCAATAACATTCACTCATATTGAACATGCATACTAATCACACAGGCTCACCATGAAGTATCCAGGCAGGAGTTTCTGGAGGAACTCCGCCTCTTTGTGTTGAACAGTCTTGATGATGAACTCATCATCGCTGGAGACGTAGAAGAGGGACCCGCTGGCTCCAGGGTTGGACAACTCGATCAGTGAGTCGTTGCACAGAGAATACTGTAAGAAGAAGCGGAGTCCGCGTTAGTATCCGGTTGAAACACAGCAAATATGTTGGTATATCCGGAGCTCTAATTTCACTAAGCCAGTGGATATTAAATGAGGGTTGAGTTTCCTTTCTAAATGGCTTTTAGTGGTCCTGCCTATAGGCCACTTCTTATGAACAACGACAGACATCTGACAGCGGCTTGTGATTGCTTCATTTACTTTGTTGGCATAATTAGTCTCCAGAAAAAGCCGTCATGAGGTCGCCCTCATATAATTGTAGGGGAAACACTGTACACATTGAAGTACGGTTATCACGACTAAATTACAACCTTGTCCGTTGAGTTACAGTGTGCTGTATTGGTATTAGAAATGAACCTCACGTCAAAAGAATACTACTACTCGTGCTATCACGATGGTCTCTAAAGGGAAAGATCCACACGCCTAATTGCAGGTATTATTCGATGGCAAAACCGGGAGCTCACAATTTAGGTGACATCCTCAGAAAGGGACAAAAGAAAGATTGGAACCGTGATTAATGAAAACTAAAAAGTAAATCTGGCCGTGTGAGTTACTGACCAGGTAGTCATCTGGACGGATCCCGAAGAGTTCTCTGAAGTAACGAAAGGCAATAGGAGCGTAGGTCTTAAAACGAAAGTCACTGTAGTGGTGAGCCGGAGTGAGGTTACTGCCTTCACTGAAAACACATTAGAGAGAGAATTTATTAGACTACATGAAATCAAAAAACAGAAAACCAGAACGTTTTTAAAACAACAGCTTTAGTTATTCACCTGGGGAAGAAGATGCTTTCGACCACCACAAAGTCCTGCATGAGAACATCCCTCTCCGCCTTTTGGCTTAAGCTGCCAACTGTGTGAGTGATGCCCAGCTGGATGGCACCTTTAAGGGCCGATGACGTGGTCTAGAGGGGTCAGACGGGAAAAAGGCAGTAAGCGCTGCAACAAACACTATTCTATCCCAGCTGTTTCCTTCACTATCGGTGGGTCACCGAGTGATGTAATCCCCACACTCATTTTAGACCATTAACACCCGACACTGGTGTCATCAACCCCCACCCCGTTCTAACCTTTTTATAGGTTGTTTCTCCTGTGGTGGTCTCGACCCCCCGGTGTCCAATGGTCTTCTTCATACTCTGGGTTGTGCCTGAAGAGCCGGGCATCTGAGGAGAGGAAGAAGAAGTAAATATGGTGCGTGTTTGTGAACACAGAAGACAGAGATAGACTTTACGGAACAACTGAAACACATTTACAGTAAATAGGTGGGTCAGCTTGATGACAGACTGTGGAGTCAGATGGTCTGGCTCGGTCTATGTGTGAATAACACATTTATGTCTACTATACTTAAACAAGTTCCAAAGACATTAACTTTTATTTTTCATTGTTGTCCCTCTCCCCAACATTTCTGACATCCTTACCTCTGAAGGGCCCATTTTTCGAATGCCACTGGTCCCTTAAGAGATAGAAACAGGTTTAGGATTTGCAATGCGTGAAATACAGTGAATCTTCAGAACACAAATGGAAAAAAACAAACACAAAAGCCTTACAGAACTGCTCAAGCTCTCAAACGGACTCAACCTCACAAAACCCAACCAGGCCTAATTGTCAACCCATGCAGTCAGTTTGCATTGACTAACTATGAACATGGAAACATTTGTTAAAGACTGTCTGCTGGTTAATTAGCCAGGGCTATTTGCAGGACTGACTGATGCTGGCCTCAATACACCAGCTGTGTGTGAACTGGAGCTACTTCTCCCCGGAGCCGGCTGCTCCAGATTCACCTGGTCCCCGAAGAGGAGCGTCTTCAGGCACAACCTCCCTCCACAAAGCTACAGTGTAACGCTCCTTTTTGCAAGACAACATATGCTCCAATCAGAAAACTTAACTGACCGGTGTAACAGTAGAGTCTCGTAGGTGAGGTAAACAAATTAAAGATGCCATAACCAAGTAAAGACTTCTGCTGTGTGTGTGTGTGTGTGTGTGTGTGTGTGTGTGTGTGTGTGTGTGTGTGTGTGTGTGTGTGTGTGTGTGTGTGTGTGTGTGTGTGGAATGCAATGGTTTGATAACCTAAGATAAGTGAAATAGTAATGCGTGACCCAGACATTCGGTTCTGTCCTCCTGGGGTTAAGCACCGTAACACCCACATCGCACAGTAGTTTTGTAAAAAAATGAAGAAAAAAAGAAAAAAAGAAAAAAAAGGCACACAGTTGAAAAACCCCCAAAACAACCTCGACAGGATTTCCCTTACATAAACTTGTTGTTTAAACTCGCCCACTCAGCAGGCACCTCTAGTCTGTAACCAATGGCAACATGTACTTCAATGCTGCAGTACCAGAGGTCAATATACACATGAAGGATGTTGCGGGAGGATGTACCTTCAGTAACAATCCTGTGTGTGGAAACCAAGCGTCGCCCGGTTAATTAGTTCCAGAATATGCACAAAGATGGTCACTTCAGCCCAAGAAAGGTGGTAGTGTTGATAATGAGGCAGCCTCTCTGAATGCCATGCATTTCTTCTCTGTTAACGGGGACACGCGGCAATCCTCTGGGAAACAATGACCATCATTCCTCCCACATTCTCCACTCTGTCGTTATGTAGAACAACACACTATATCATCACTACTCATGCAGTTTATGCTCACTTACAAAGACACACACACCCATGCGAGTACCTCGCTGAAATTTTCTCCTCCAGAACTGAGTCCTAATATCTGTGCAGAAGGAAATGTTCAGCCCAAACGAACTGCTGTGCTCAATAAGCAACACTGACCACATATGCTGACCGGGTACGCGTAAGAGAACATGTCGTTCCTGTAGAGCTGAAGGGATCCATCAACTCAAAGAGAATCATTCGAAAACAATTCTTTGGCCTCTGAGGAATTTCTAATTGGCTCTAATTTTTTTGCCATTTCAAAAGGAAAAAAAAAAAACGCTAATTGATGGATAAAGGGAATGATAAAGAGAATGATCATAAACCGCATTACTCACTTCATCATATTGAAGAAAACATCTCAAGAGCCAAAGTGGAAACAGAAAATGAACATAAACGGCAGCAGCTTCTGGCAAGAAATAACCCAACCCAACCAAATTACTTAAGAATGACTTTAGCTGGTCGGTGACGAGCCTTACAACAGGCAAGCCATCTGTTCCTCTCTGTATACCAAACAACTCCCTGCCAACCACATCCGTTTGCAGCCTGCAGCCTACACAAGGCAATAATATGGGACACGCGCACCCTCCTAACATCACTTTACCAAGACTCCATAAATGTACTGGTTCTCGCCCCGATGAGCAGACAAGGCTAACACAGGAGAAGACATTATGTTACCGTCACTCAGCTGTCTGTGTATTTGACGGATGTCAGCCATGTGAGGGCCGCTATGCGAAGTCCCTATTTTTAATTCACTGATTCAGACTGGGCGGTTACAGCAACACCTCTCCTCACAAGGAAGCCAATAGCTGGCACACAACTTAATGGATTAGCGGGATGCAATCTCTCTCATTATCTGTCCTGTCTGGAATGGAAGACAAATCTGAAAGCACTTGAGCAGCCCGTGTGTGTGTGTGTGTGTGTGTGTGTGTGTGTGTGTGTGTGTGTGAGAGAGAAACTGAGAAGGGTCAGTTCATGGGCGACTCCCCACACACACATCATCTGAAAATAGATCCCAGACAAACAGAGATGTCGGTTTAAGCCTATTTATTATCTGGATAAGGATGACAAGCCCGTGCGATTGGTTTAAAGAATGTAGGAAATCCACCTAAATGTCTTAATAGTAATGAAACACTTCGACCGCGACAGCTTGGAAAGTAAACGAACTGACGCGGTGCTGGTGTAAAAGAAAAAAAAGGTACGAAATGGAAAATTGGATTTATTTTGCCAGCTTCACCTCAAACCTGAACCTTTAACGCTGGAAAGGGGTTTAACGGGGTTACGCTAGTTTTCCCCGAGACTCGTTTCAAACCGCAGCCACTTGCAGCGTTGGTTCGTGAAACAATGGACAGGTAACGGTAATTAGTTGTATCCTCATCCCCCTGCGTCTAGCTAACTCATTAGCATACAAACAACAACGGAATTGCTGGCTCGCCCGACGTGGTCCGGGAATATCTGCTTTTAAAACACGTTATTCATCCCAATATACAATTTGATGTAAATACTAAAGCTGCATGTGACGATACCGACGCCGACCACCAACAATGTAGCTAAACAAGCTAACCGTCGCTTTATTCATTTGTTAGGCTGAAAGCCTCGATGCTAATTGGCTAACTGGCTAACGGGGACGTGAGAATGTGCTGACAGCGAGTCGGGACGAGATCGTCGCTAACAAACGTCACATCGTTTTGTTCGTACGTTCGCTTCAAGGCAATAGAGGAGGAAGATATATCGACTAGATACCTGTCGGGGCTGTTGATCCACAGTCTGCTGTCCCAGCAGTCGCCATTACGATTTGACTGTTCTCATCACGGACTCGCCGCAGAGTTGCGTTCTGGTGCTTGTGTGTTGCAGCAGCGCCACAGCGCCCCCGGTGGACTAAAGGGGAAACTGCGTCGGTTTCAGTTTAACTGTAATTTTTTTTACACTATATTTAAATGTACATTAAACATAACATATCTGGAATATATAATGTATGCTTCATTTCACCAAATAAGGTAATTTAAAATGTGTTTATTCTGTGTTAAGCTTCAGTTAAATATTATGTACAGCATTTGTCTTTGTATTTCTAGTCATTCTTTGCATTCCATTGTCCTATGATGGATTGAAGGAGTGTCCACTGTATCCTGTTCACGTGAAAGATCAAAACATATGATTTATACCTTTCATCTAATGTCACTAGGCAGACGTTAAAAACTGTTTATTGTGGAGTTGCAATCTCACAAAGACAATGAAGGTTATGAGTGCCATCTCAAACAAAATGTACATATAACTGAAAAAAATAATGATTGGGTTTGAATGATTATTTTTGGAAATCTATTCAAGTGATATTTTGACCTCTGGCCACCTGAAAGAGAACCAGTCAGTCCACATTTTGTCCCCTTACATGTGTCAGCTCATTGTAGCCTACCAGGCACACCTGTGCTGGTGAAACCAACAACATAAGCGTGCTTGTAAGAAGACAGGAAACAACACAGCAGCTACATTTAAGAATGCTTTTTATCAGAACTGTTGTAGATATGACTAAAGTTACACAGACAAACGCCTGTTTTACAAAGTAAGCATTTAAAAATATCTGTTTTCATTATAAGTATTCTTGTGATAACAATGCTTTTAATGTGATTCCAGATAATAGAAAGCAAATAACATGGCAGTTAGAAGCAAGGTCAACTATGCTGCTAGCTGGCCGGTGCCAGTAGGGTCAGCGGCAAAGGTTCAAAAACGTTTAAGAGGGCATCTCTTCCTTTTCTTTTGGCGTGAGACATTAGTCGCTTTGGAGATGGCATCCATGAGAATTTTGGAGAAACATTGTACCGACTCCGGTGAAGAGGTGCTGCAACAGCGACGGACAGCTTGGTGAGAGGTCCTCCTAGATGAACACATCTCTGATACCTTCGCAAGCTGATTTCATAAGGAAAGAACGAGATGACAAACAAATGAGTAATGGCGTTAGACAAAAACTTCTCACACCAAACTTCTTCGGATTTGTCCACTTGAATTGTTGCGCAGTCTCACCTTCTGCTGAATGCAAGCAGACTTGTTTTCTTCAGACAGGTGGCAGCATTGGTTCACAAAGCTCGTAAGAGGAAACCCAGCAGGGAGCCTGAAGCAAAACAACATTGTTTCTAATGATCTAACTTTGTGCACAGATTGTGACCATGTGTTAAAATCCACAACGATTTGGATAACACAGACAACACTGGGGATGAGTGCTGTCTGCACATTTAATTAGTAGATATTACGTCTTACTTCTTACTGAGTATCTTAGGAATGTCACAGATCTTGTGAAGGGAGAGCTCTTCAGGGGCAGAGGTCATGTTGTAATGTCGGTCGGGAGAAACCTCTTGGAAACAGTTGTACCGATCATCTGACACGTCGCTCAAACAACAGCGAAAATCCACACGTCCACCGTCCTTGTCCACACAGTACTTGTCGAGCTCCTCGCGCCACTGAAACGCAAAAGGACAAACATGGGAAAAGCCACATAAACGACTTAATCGGGTTAAATGCGTAAGTCTGTAGGTTTTCCCTTACCTTCTGATCAGCGCAGTCAAGCGCAGCCTGCTTCCTTTTGCAGCAATGTTTGAATCCCGTTTCAATTCGATTAATGGTCTTTGCCTGACGAGCCAGATGTTCGTGTCTAGCACCCATCGGGCAATTGGTCTTATATAGGGGGCGCCGTTTCTGGTTGCGACACAGCGCCTCAATTGTGTCAGAGGTGGGTCGTCCGGGAGGAAAGCTCATGTCAACCTTCTGGGGAGCTGCAGACGCTTTCATCTCCGTCGCTCTAGTCTGTCCTTGGACACTCTGCAGAGTCATCTCTGTCCTGTAAAACATGAGGCATTCGGTCAAAGGGATAAAGTTGGGCTTACATTTGTCTCAGGTTGCATTTGAAGAACCTCAAGCCCTGTGTACGAAAGAATGCTGCCCTATATTCATCTACAAAAAGGACCACTCCACTGACGCAGCTTGCTCACGCAAAAAAAATTCCCAGGTCAAAAAAGAAAGGTCGGTCAAATCCTTCCTCCCTAAATCATTACATTGGTTTTGAGTTGTGTTGTCGGATTTCATTATTTAATTGGCAATTGTAGAAAACACAATACTTTCTGATTTCCCCGCAATTTCAGTCCTGTTCCTAACTGAAGAAGTGACTGTTAACTGTAACTGGTAATGAAAGCTGGGCAGATCAGGTATTAGCAAATGTTAGTCAGAGAAGGGTGTAATGTGCATTTATACAGATTAACATTTACAGATCCAGGACACTAGTCGTGATGAAGAAAAATGTCACCAAGTGCAATAGTGTGGCCCGTTGACACGTTTAATGGACAAAAAAAAGTGTGTCAGAATGAATAGTATAGACTAGACTAGGGCTCATCCGACACACCTCCATGCATATAGACTACCTCAGGCACGTGCTAGGGTCAAAGGGGAAGACGCCTGTAGAGGGGAGCGGTGGAACCGGTAGCTCCTCCGTTGCCTCGTAGTTTGGGTTCGGAGCGTCATTTTGGAAACAAGCCAGCTCGTCGTTGCCGCTCAGTTTGCAGCAATGATAGAGACGGTCCTTTATCGACGACGCTTCCTCACAGAAGGATTGGATGTACAGCTCCCACTGAAGATGGCACACAGCAACCACACGGACACAGATGTGCTTTAAATCATTAGGAGGTTCGTATGAAAGTCTGCATGTTGATTGTTGAGCCCGGGCTGCTCTGACATGTCACGCCGGGCCGCATACAAAGAGACAAAGGCCTTGAACTTTGTTCCAAACGGGCAAGTACCATCACATCAGCGATGTGAAGAATGTTTCACGCCCTCTTTATGTTTGAGGTAATATAAAACAAGCAAAACACACACATGCATATATATAGGTTGACTTAGCGTATATGACACAAGTCTTGCAACTCTACAGAATGGGGAAGTTAAAATAGTTTAAATATTACCTCATAGCTGTTGTATTATTGTAATGTATTGTTTCAGCAAAGATTGAGCAAGAATTCCCATAATGTCACATCATCATTTTAGATGGAAAAGGGATGAATTGGCCAAAGGAAGGAAACTCACCGCCTGAGTGGCGCAACACAGCGTCAGTTCCGTCCCCCACGTCTGGTTTCCTTGGCAACATGTGCTGAACCAGGACTCGGCTTTATTCACAGCACTGGCTTTCCGCTTCTGCTGGCCAAAGCCGGAGGCAGGAAAGTAAGATTCCGGGTAGCTGGGACGGCGGTCTCCGTTGACACAGATGGCTCGGAGATTGTCGGAGGTTGGGCGCCCGAGTGGGAACTGAACTTCGTAGTCCAGAATGGGAGGACCACCAAAAGAACGGGGCCCAAACCTTAGACGACCTGAGGCGTAAAAAACCCCCAAAAAACCCAGGAACCTGACTGTTATTACATACTATACTTTTAAAATAGCTGTAAAGATAAAAAGTTCTCGACAACTCAAAGAAGGACAAAAACAGATACGAACTTCTTCCAGGTTTCAAGACACCCGGTAAATGGATGAATGGATGCTTACCTTTGTCGTTTATGCGTTCAAAACGTTCTGGTGGGGACACCACCAGGGAATCGTCTGGGAACCCTGTGAAACGAAAAAAACTATGTGACAAATGTGTAATGTGGACCTGCGGCCACGTCGCTTGGAACATGAGAATAGGTATGAACAGTACCGTTTGGGAAGAGCTCTGCAAAAGTTATTTCTCTCTGCAACATGGGATGTTGTTGTTCCATCTCTGAAAGACACATGGATTTTTATGACAATTATTATTATAGTCTACAGTCACTACAGATGGAAATACTTCTAGTCATGCATACCACAATCGTATCTTAACCTTTAGGGAACATGTAGTGATTTAGTAAGTCACTCAAGAGCCACAGAATACATCACGCAGACTTTCCAAAAAAGTGAAGTAGTCCTTGTGACAATAAAACTGAACTTCATGCCTAAAATTAGAAGGATTTTCCTTAAACTTTAATCTTAAACTGAATCTAAAACTGTTAAGAGATGGTTTAAATGTCCCTCAGAACATCTCAGGTTCTAGTTGCTCCTTACAGAGATAATGCACTAGCACGGCAATACGCGCACCTTGCATGATTTTGTCGAAGGTGACCTCACGCTGCTCCAAGTTGTGCTCATCTGGAAAATTGCACACACAAAAAAAGAGAAGGAAAGAGAAGGGCAGAAGTCTTTTAACCCACTTTTCATACGGAGTATTCCTTCACTTAAGTAATGTGTATTAATACACTCGGTTACAACTCAATTTAAAATTGTGTAATTATTATCAGATGTGCTCACAGTATTACCAATATATGACTTACACTATATTACTTTTAACGACTTTAATGAGGATCATTTTTTTATTGTCCATTAGCGTTAGTGTAAAGCATATGTAACTAACGAATGAGACAAGTTGCCTTTGAAATGCACTGAAGTAGAAATACCATCAAATAGAAATATTTCAGCCAAGTGTCGTTGCACCTCGGCAGCGAGGCAGTAAGCGCAAACTCCTTTAAACTCAATGCCGGCGGGGCCGAATACACGCGCTTCGTCTCGGGTCGAACAAAAATGGAGCCATGCGGCTCATCAGCACGAGCCCACTTCCCACATGCACCAAAAACAACACAACGAAGGGATCACAACAACAGCACAAACCCCGTTCGGAGGCCGAACTCAGCAACGCCAAGACCACCGCGGTGCAGCAGAACAGAGCCGCGGACGAGCCCATCGCGGAGCCGCTGGTGTCCGTCCCGCGGACGCTGCTTACCGGACCGGCGCACTGAACGGAGGCCGCCCGGGGGAACGCGCTCGGCGGGGAGGCGCGCAGACGGGTCCCGGTACAACTGGGTCCGACGGAGGCTGCTGTTGCTGTCGCGTCCGTGTGCGTTTGCGTGTGTGTGCGTGTGTGTGAGAGAGATACACGGGTTTTATGGTTGTTGTGGGGTTTGCAGGCGGGATGAGGCGGAGTGAGGGAAAAGAGGGAGGGAGTTCTTTCTCACGGGCGACCTGTTGGGATCCGACGCGCTGGAGAAAATGACGGGAAATTATGAAATCGCTGCTGTTTGGAACATGAGGGAACAGGAGTCTCACTTCAATCTGCTTAGTTCAGCTGTTGGCTGTCAAGCAATTATCTTGTCACCCGTTACTCTTCTATTAAGCCCAATTATTGTCAAGTAAGTAATTATTGGACTAGTTGTAGAATGTAGTGAGTTATTATTAGTAGTAGTAGCAGTAGTGATAGTTTAAATATTTCTTGGGGCTGACAATAGATTTTTTTTAAACCAACGAATTAATCGCACATTTTGAAATTCATTCATCTCGATTAATGAATGTTGTTGTTGTTGTTGTTACAATGTTGTTTTTAATGAATGTTTGTTTTTCTTCTAAAGACTAAATCTTAAAAATGATGAGTAATCACTTTAGCGTATTTTAGACACTGTTGTTAATGATATTTTAAACACAAAACTACACACACATTTGATCACCTTGGAGGTGGAACATGTAATTCCTCTGCACAGTTCTCCGCTGTATGTTGCGCCCCTGTTTTGTTTTAGTTCAAATGCAAAAAGCTTCTTCCATCTTGATGTAACTGCCGATGTTAAAATATTTTGTTGCATTAATCGCGGGCCACATTAATCGCATGGATTAATGCGTTTATTTTGACAGCCCTATAGTTTACAGGCTGATACGCCCTGCCAAGCATAAGTCAACATAAGACAGGATCCAACGTTGGCCTCATTGCAACACAGCAGTCTGTTACGTTGGACCTCCTTTCCTGGTAAATGCTCATGTCTTTCAATAACCACTTATTCAAAAATTGGAGTATTCCCATCTGAGCAAGCTTTGATTTTTTTTAGTACCAAGACTTAAAACTGGATTTGCAAAATCAGAACAGTGCTCTCTTAAACACATGAAACGAACTATAGGTTTTATTATGACACTATAAAATATACCAGCAACAAGATAATTCTGATATGTCATTTCAATCTGAATTTTGTCTCACACTGTGTTTGTGAGTTACTGTTGGCTCAGATATCAAAGTCCTTAAATTCCTGTTGTTGTCCCACACACTGAGTTTGAGTTTGGGTCACCGGGACCTTGTAGATTCCAGTCTAAAAGACTGACAGTAACCTCGTCCTTATCTCTCCCACCATGTCCTCGTTGAAAAAAGAGAGAACAGAGAAGTCCTCCCTGTTCAGTTTAGGACTGTAATTTAGCTTGTTTCTGCAGTTTTCTTTTATAAGACTCTGTTTAAACTGGAGAGATTATCATGCCTTTGCTGATCTCCCCACAGCTGTTTCATTTCCTGCCATAAACAGTTGATATTACGATAAAAGTCTGCTGTTTGTTGTGGTGAGTCAGTACCAAAGTGTTTGTCCATGCTAAAAAACTAAACAGACTCTCCCACTTTCACTGCAAAGACCGTTCTGTTTTCTTATTACTTCCAGAAGCATCAGGTCTTGTTTATTTATATGGCTCAATTACATGCAATGTCTCAAAGGAGTAAACAGGTCTTGAGCAACTGAAGTATTTTAGCACATTAGAGGGGGAGGACATTTCGGCAGAATTACTGAAAGTGAAATACGAGTGGGAAACTGGTAAGTAAATAAAGATAAAGTTGTGATGGTTCTGCAATAAGAGAGACAAGAACATCACAACACGTAGCATTTACGTCCTTCCAAACCAAAATATGAAAACAAAAATCACAGAATTCAGAAAATTCACTTTTAGCAAACACTCTCACACAGAAGAGAAGAAAGCTTTCTAATGTAACAACACATTGACAATAAGTCTTTGTGAAAATAGGGTTTTTACCGAGAATATTTGACTCAGTCTTTTAATTGGCTTCCTCTTTACTTTTAGCCACAGTTATGACAAACCGGTAACTTTCCACTGCCAGGCTGCTGGAGGGTCACCAGCAATGACTAATACTTCCTTTGTTTTCTATGCAACAGCAACAACTCTACAGTAAGGCACCGCAACTATGCTACGATCCTATATTCCATTCATAGATGTAAACGCTATTTTTCTTATCATCCCACAACAGGATCCTTCTTTCTTTCTTGCATGTCTTAGCCTTAACACAACTATTTATACTGCACAATCAAGTTCCCAAATAGGCCCGGTATCAAAGCCTCAGTCGTTGATTATCCGATTTACATTCTAAATATGTTCACTATAAACTCAGCCATCCTGGCAACAGACAGGAATACATCTGAACATACAGTGCTTAATGCTGAAGCATCTCATCATTTTATTCAAAGATATGTTAAGAAAGCAAAACATAAGCAAGTTAAAATGGAAAAAAGGGACAATTATGCTCATGGATGAAGAGATTTCTACGGTATCGCTCATATTTTAAATTACATTTTTAGTTTTAATGCAACATATTTCAAAGCTTAATAGACATAACAGTCTGTGAGGATATTTTCAAACACAGAGGATAACATGAAGAGGTACAGCTGCTTTGTAGGATTGGTTAGTCAATCTGACAGAATCAACCTGAGGAGACATTTCTCAAGCAAGCAGGTTGTCTATTGCTGTCTGGATGTGTTTATTTGAACACTGTTGTTCTGAGGAGAATACTTGTTATGAAGAGATACTGCACTCTTAAATGTGTCTGTTTGAGCTGTAAACTACATAAAAAGCGTCAGCTAAATGACATGTAATATGACAGTATACTGCAATGAAACACATAAATACTGCTTTTAATATTGACATTTCTTACAAAATTTGTAAAAATTGCTCAAAACGCCCTGTTTTGTTTTCAACCAGCCCTGGATCTTAAAAAGCCAAAGCTGTTTACAGGGAATGTCACTAAGCAACTCCTGCAACACACATCCACCTCGCCCCCCTTCACATTTTAAGTTTCTGTTGACAACAAAAAGCATATTTTTCTTTCTGTATCCAAGCACACTGTGTCACACATTTACTGTGACTCACATTAGCACGTGTCCTGAGAAAACGAATGGCTCACGGACAAAGAGCTGCTAAACAACAACAAAATGCATCTTTCCCTGGAATAATAGAAATAGATTTAAGCTATCAAAATATAGAAATATACGTTTGACACCATCTACCAAAAAGCTCGTTCTTTATATATTTTAATCGTTAGAAAAATAGATTCTGTCAGGAAACAACGGGGAGACAATAAAATAATAAGTGAGTGCACGGCTCTGCGTAAACTGGGTGATCATCACTGGGTGGTGCCGGGCAGCAGCTCCGCCTCAGAGGCGAAGAGCTCCTTGTAGAGCGGAGGGAAGAGAGAGTGAGCAGTGAGCGGGTAACGCTGACTGAAGACGCGCAGCTTCTCCATGTGCAGACTGCAGAGCGAACGCAACACTGACATCCTCTGGTTGAGCTGCAGGGAAAACACAAACAATGTCAGAAACACGCCGCCGACTGCAGCAAAGAATGCGCAGGTCGAGGAATAGTAGATCTCGACCTTGTACATTAGACTCTCTTGGTTGTCTCGGCGTAGAATGTGTGTGAGTCCAGACTCAACGCTTTTTTGCACTTGCTGAACTCTGCCTCTGTCCTCCAGACAAGGACGATCTGCAGCGAAGGACAGACAAAGAAACAAGTTTATTTAAAAACCCCATCAGATTCTGATCTTTTTACGGTATTGTGAATAGCTGTCAGGCTTGTTCTATTACATTGTCGACCTCTGGGAGAGGCTAATTCTGCCGAAATAAATAAATTAATAAAATGTGATGAGCACTGCCTGTTACATGTTGCTTGTCCTGAGGCTAATCTACTCTTGCATAGAGTTTTCCCACTTGTTTATGTTAAGGAATAACACGCAATACGATTGAGGCACAGGGGAGTTGATCTTACCCGTGTTGATCAGCACGAGAGCACTGAAGAGAGCAATCTGCGGCTCCGTGAGCTTGAGATCACACATACCGTGGGCAAAGTCAAACACTGCCGTGATTAGATCACCGCACGCTGCAAGACAACAAACCAGAGCGCACTAGTGAACCACCATACTTTTGTGTTAACGGCAGCGATAGTTTCAGAACTGCCTTTGCGCGTACAGAACTCCTTACCCAAAGACTTGAAGACTTCCACTCCAGCAAATTTCCCGTCAAAGAAGACGGTGCTGTTCTCTGTGTTGAAGAAGCGACTCATCCTGACCAGAACCACCTCCATGGAGCCTGAGGGCGGAGGGGGGAGGGGAGGGGGGAGACTGTGTTAAGAGAAGGTAAAACGGAGGATAAAGAAGCGTTTTAGACTATGGTTGACGGGGGACCGCGAAGCTCACCGGTCTTCAGGAGAGCGATCTGGTCGTTCTGGCTGAGCAAGCGGAAACCTGGGATGTGTTTCGCAAACTCCACCACATACTGCACGGCATCCGTTAGCCGGATGGCACAGTACTGCCACATCTCATCCACCGACTGGGAGAGAGAGAGAGAGAGAGAGAGAGAGAGAGAGAGAGCGAGAGCATGGTGAATTTATTTAAACGAATGAATCAACACAAATAGAGACTCCACTTCTTTAATTACATCACATAAACTCATCCTCACTTTCTTGACGTTTAAACAGGCTGTTTCCTTATTGTAGATCTTTATTAAATGTAAATACATTAAATATTACATGTGCTGCTGAAAAGCAGCTTCATATGCGTTCAGAAAGGAAGAACCGTGTCTGTTTTTATCAACCAAAACTTGCCCTCCAGCCTATTTTAAGTAGCGTGTTTTGTTTTCCCAAATGTGAGATGGAATCTTAAAACCCCCCCTTAAAGAGTCGTCAGGTTTGTATACTTTGCTCTGGTAGGCCTGGATCTCCTCTCTGCTGAGGAGCTTCCATCTGAGGGCCAGCAGCTCCTCCACTCTGTACTGGCTGGTTTCCCTGTGGGAACGCACTATGCTGGCGCACAGCTCATCTGGAAATAGAAAATAAATAGTTGTAAGTACTAAACTAAAGCCCTTTTTATTCATGTTAGCCCACTGTGCTGCTGGCTCACCTGTATTCCTCAGAGAGTGAGGATAGAGGCTGAAAGGATCCTCCAGAGGGTTGTAGGGGTGAATTCCTGCGAGATCATGCGACGGCTGCCTGGATTCGTACCCTGTCGGGAGGAATAAAGAAAAACAAATGAGAAATAGCAGAAAAGGACACAATGGTGACGTGTTCACACGCACACACAAAAGGCCTCACCTCTTATGTCAAGGTGTGCACCGTTGTCCAACCTGGCCAGGGATCTCGATGTGGGAGGCCCACCGGAGCCTCGGTAGATCATACCCGACACCTGCGACTCGCTCGGGGAGCACACCAGGTAAGGGTGGACATCGGCGGTGTAGGACAGCAGCTCGGCCTCCCTGGTGAAGGAGTAGGCGGAGGCCACGGAATGAAGGAGCTGTGGCGAGCGGTCTTGACGGACCTTGGAAGGTAAGGATAAGAGAGACTGGGCGTCTCCCTGACATTGCTGCTGCTGCTGCTGCTGCTGCTGCTGCTGTTGCCGATGTCGCTCCACCTCGGCATTTAGAGAGTCCCGCTGACGTTTAGACATTCGTCCGAACTTCACAGCTGACAAGGTCGAAAAACACACAAACACAAAATGAACGAAGAATGAGATGCTGTGAGAGTGAGAGTACATATTCTGTCCGGGCCGGGACTCACCATCTCTGCTCATGCCCTTCATCAAGCACTTCTGCAGACGGCAGTGTTGGCAGCGGTTGCGGCTGGTCCGGTCGATGGGACAGTTGCTCTGCCTGGAGCAGGAGTAGGACACGGTGGGTAGCTGACTGCGCCGGAAAAATCCCTAAGGGCGGGTTGATGTGGCGTGGTTAACAAAGCCCAGACAGGCCAGTTTTTGAACTCCTATGTCTCCTCTTGATGGCATTTTTACTCTTTGTCTCAGACAAAGGGGACTTTATATTTTATATCAAGACCGTCACTTGCTTTCTTTGGGTGTTGTTATGGGAATGGGGATCTTTCACATTAACTTAAGGGGGGCTATGGCCCGTGCGACTCAAACTAGTCTGGTCCTGGTCTTGACTTGGTCACAACCCCCAAACCAGCGAAATATTGAAATGCCCCTTTAATACAGACAGGTCTTGTGTGTGTGTGTGTTCATTGGATGCTGTCATCTCACCTTGCAGCCCTCACAGGTGATGACTCCATAATGCACCCCAGAAGACTTGTCACCGCAGATCTTACACGGGATGACCTCAATCTCGGCTGTGGAAACACAGGAGCAAGAGCAGTGTTAACGTTTTCAAGTGCATTTCTACTTTCCCCATGCGTCGCGCTCACTTCACACTCCCTCAGACAGCACTCCGGGAGGGGCAACGCAACCGCGGCAACTCGTCAGTATCTGAATCTCTGCACGCAGCAGCTGAGCAGCATATGAATAGCTACAATTTCTCAATTAAATTAAATAGTGCAATAGTTTATGTTCTTTGAATATCCTTAAACCTTTTAATGCCGCACACACAGATCATAACATCTGTCTGAACTGCTGTCGTGCACAGTCGAAGTAACACAAGCCAACAAGCGTCACGACGACAACGTATGTTTTCAGACAAAGAAGTGATCAAAGCAATTCCCACTCTGCGAAAGTATGTGTAAGTGTACTTCCCCCTCAAACATGTATCAGATGCTGTGTGACCAGAGTGAACCAAAGGTATTTTCCTCTCCAACACCTCCTGCCTTAATGTGATAGTGAACAAAAAAACATCAAATACGACAAAGAGAGGAGGCTTCTAAGGGAAGTGGAATATTTGCAAATGGAGTAAGGCGAAGCAGACGGAGGTGTCAACCTCAGAGGCCTTTCAAGTGGTTAACTGGCTTCTCTTTCAATGTGACTGTCCCTCTTTCATGTCTTCCTTTCTTTCTTTGTGAATCCATCTCTGTCTCGCTCATAAAGGACACAGCTGCCAGTAATGCACTCTCTCTCTCTACCTTCATCACTGCCAGTAATGGCCCACCCCCCCGTCCCCCCTCCCCCCCCCGCCCCCCTCCCTCAGTGATCCTGACCTCTAGGAGCTATCGAATCCATCAAACCTTTGCTTAGTGGTGAATCGGATGTTAATTGATGCATTGAAATACCAGAGAAGTCTAAAAGCTGTATTGGCAACAGAAGAGGGGAACAGTTTTATAGCACGATAATTGTGTGGATATTTATGTTATGTATTGAATTTATAGAAATATAGAATGACACACAGCCGGGAAGCAGAGTATATTTCAGTGTCATTCCTCACTACATAATCTCCCTTAATCTATTCCTGTCTGCAATTAAGCTGTGTGATTTTTTTTTTTTTTGCGATACGAGCTTGTACGTCTGATACCGAAGTATCCGCGCTTCCGTGCAAAACTGTGTCAGATTTCCTGGCGAGTGTGTGTTAGTGTGTCAGTCTGTGCCCTCTTTTTCTTATGCCACCGGGTTACCTGGCGGCTCCTGAGCAGGACGGACCTTCCCGAGGTGAAATGAACGTTTTAATTTGCACACGCCATGAAGCACAGAACACTCACAAGATGAGATTTCTGTTTCTACCAAAGGAGTTGATTCATCTACCTCAAGATACACCGTGATAAGAATTACAGTATTTCAGAAATACACCAAGCTCCAGACACTCCATCATGTCTTGGTGATTTGGTTTAAATAAACACAGCACAAGCATTTCCCTGCAAGCTAAACAACATATGCTGCATTTAATAAAATATCATGTAACGGTAATTATGGTTTTATATCTATCTGTAGTGGGGGAAATGTGCAGAGACCATGAGAAGTCTCAGTCTTTTCTCGCTATTTCACTTCTGATTGACATCAACAACAGGAAATCCACCTTGACCCACAACCTCTCACTGATCACACATTTACTCACGCACACACATTCTGCTTCACACTGCTGCGCAATAGTTTGGATAATTCTTAAATCGTCAACCTTACTGCTGTGTAGTAAGGTTATCATGTTAAATCACGCCTTCTGTTTTGTATATTTATACTTAGAACAACACCTGCAAAAAAGAGAATCTGCAAGAATAGGGTAGCATCTTTAAGTGCAAATTAAATGAAGGAGGACGCCACTGTGCCGCACTTCTTATCTCCAGCCGAATGGTTGGACAAATAACAACCAACAGATAGAGATAATTTACTGATAAAGAACTAAACCACCTTCATTTCCTCCCTCGAGTGTCTTTGTCAGTGACAGAGAAAGGCAATTGAGTTGAGCAGCTGAGATCATACGAATACATATTCAAAATAAATGTTTACTGGAAAATGAACAGCAGATATTAGTTTACCCTCATGTGGCATTTCTGCTTAACTGCTGTATAATGATCCAATTAATAAGGTCAGACATGTAAACCTACTATAGGTATAATGTGTATTATATGTACTTAATCCCTAATCAAGATTCATTTTGCTTTCCAGTATACTTTATCCAAGAAACGCTTTTTACTTGTGTTGTATCATGACTTACAATGTGACGCCGGATGTTTCCACTGAGTTCCAGTAACAACGTACAGTATGAACAAAAACATACAAACATGCATTTACATATTCATCCTGAAGTTAGCTCAACTAAACAAGCACTCCAATCAATTTAAATCCTAAAATGTTTTACTTGCCAAGAAGTTGAAGATGTTTGAACACACTGGAAAGTGGTGGAAATATTCTGGTTTGTCTGTCAAAATGAAATAGTGTCGCCTATTATCTCCGATTCTTCCACATCCAAAATGCCACTAACTGATTTGTGTCTTTTGATCAAGATTCAGAGTTATCGATGGCTCGAAAAGTAGATTTATAAGTGCCGTCGTACATACAGCCGGAGCTTCCGTGCAAAACAGAAAATAAGTATTGAGAAACAATCACACGTTTTTGTGTAATGACTTCCTGCTGAATGTGGACAATAACTGAAATACACATAAATTACAATTACGATTCCATTACAATATACTAAAAAAGGGCGAGGAGAAAAGGAAGCTCTTAGGGAAAGTTTTGGCTTTCAAAACTTTTGAAAGTTTTAGGATTACAACCTAGAAAGAGTATTTTTCAGTACTGTGTTTGTGGGGTGTGTGTGTGTGTGTGTGTGTGTGTGTGTGTGTGTACTGGCGGGGTGCCGAGGTGGTGGGAGGACGATACACATTCACACTCTCAACTCTTTGTACTCAAAATCATCCCGTCAGCAAGTCTGTAAACGGACAAAACTATCAGAAAAAACTTTCCTCTGACGGAAGCTTTGCCACATTCGCGAGCAAGAGTGCAAACAAAGTTTGTGTACACACCTCACACGCGCACACACCTCACACGCACTCACACACCGATTGTGTGTTTGTGTGAGGTGTGTTGATGATCGTATCTAAAATGCGTTCTGTTACGTGCAAAGCAGAAGAGGATCGCTGTGACACAAAACAAATTCATTTTAAAAGGCCACCAATTATGAACATCTAACATCTGTATTTAATTCTCTTTAAAATAACACTTTAAAAACACGTTGATGTAATTCATCACAACTTGGGGTATTAAATATTTTGTTAACTTAACATTTCTGATCACAATTGCTGGAATGCTGACTCCAGATCAACAGGAGTTAAATATCTTGATGCTCCAAACTGTGTTGGTTCTTAGACTTAAACTTAACGAGTTTCATTAATTATTTGAAAAGTCAGAACAAGCACCTCATCTGAGAAAATGAAAAAGATTAAATCTAGTCTGAACGTCAATTATCACCAGGTTAACTGTAATTACTTTGAAGTGCCGGCTGAATTTGGGGGTGTTTGAGAGAAGTAACGCTCTGACAGTAGCAAAAGTGTGTGAATGACTTATCAAGCGTTTTCTTTACCATATTTTGGGGGGAATGTGTCACCTGCGATTTTGATGTTTTTGAGCTTTGATCTAAAGCCAACCGCTTCTGCCGCTCTGGAAGCGCTGCACGGAGGCACAAGGAAATCCTTTCACACAAAGAAAGGGTATGTAAAATCTACACAGGAATCCCCCAAACACCAAAGAAAAAGCCTATTGAAATGTGTGTGTGTCTGTGTGTGTGTGTGTGTAACACCCAGGAATTAGATGAATAAATGTTTATTAAGTGCAGAAACAAAAGTCCTGTTTTGGGAAATGGAAATCTCTCTTTCGTACACACATTATCCACAAACAGCTGCAGGGAGGAGATGTGCGATATCTATGCGCCATCTAAAAAGCAGCTGCGGATCTGCGTGTACCTGTGCATCTATTGTGTGTGTGTGTGTGTGTGTGTGTGTGCATGTTGCAAGAGAAAGCAAGTGTATGAGCAACTCGCATGGAAATTGTGCTGTGTGTTTTTATTTTATTAGTTTGGAATGCATAACTTTGCATAAGGAATACCCTTTTTCATCATTTCATTTTCAGATTTTGATTATAATATCATTATTTCCTCTGCAACCTGTCTACTGTATGTGTGAGAGGTGAGTCCATTCGAACTGATGCACTGCGGTTGTGAAGCATCCTGTTTTCCTGTCTCTTTCGTTTTTACTTTGGTTACAATACGGCGAAAGTGTTTGCGAACGGGTTTGTAAAATTTAAAATGTCATTTAAGAATCCGGTTCCTTGGGCCTTAATACGTTTAATTTGTAATGACGTTACTTACAATAAAACTACGATGAGTCTAAACAAAATGTGTTTTACTGTAAATTCAAAATGCGATTTGTTTTAAAAAGCAGACATTTGAACTTATTGCATTCTGGTTCTCAACGTCTTAACTCTGCTCAGCTTTGTGTCTGTGGGAGGGGGGGGGTGAAGAAATATCTGAGACATGATTCAAATCTTCAATCCATCAAAGGAAGCGCAACATTGAGTCATGTTACCAAACCCTACAACTGAAACACTTATATTAGCACGCCAATAAAGAACTTTGGAGACACCAAATTAAGTTCATGTTTTCAGTTTGACGCTTTCTTTAGGGAACTTTAAACAAGCTGAAACATCGAACTAAGAAATACAACTAGTTGGATTTAAGCGTAGAATTATAAAACTTAAAAGCAACTTTCCCTGTTTGACCCGGCGAAGCCAGAGCTAAAAATGCTGTAAAGCTAACGATTACGTAATTAATTGTCCCGATAACAACATGTAGCATCAGCAGCATAATTTTACAGTCATGTATTCACTTTCAAAAAACTATGGATCTGGATTAATGAAGAGAAACGTATAACTAATAGCATGCAAATGATCTAATTGATACAAATATATTTCATTGGATCGTCCACACCTGTAATAACACACTAACAGACACACGCACACACACACACACACACACACACACATTCACACCCACACACACACACACCAAGAAACTTCATCCCTACCTCGCATAATCCTCACTCCTCCGCTTGCCTCGGATGTTTGTCCCACTTTTACAAAGTCACTCGTCCTCTCACTTTGTCTAACGACGGTCTCTCGTTGACACGCGTCCTTCCAGCCTCTCTTCTGTCTTTCTGTCCTTCCTTCAGGAAGCCGTGTCAGGTGCTCACTGCAGCTTTAGCAGACCTATTCAGACTTTTGATTGACAGTCACAGCCTCACCTTCCGTGTTTTAGAGCGTGTCTGTTTGTGTGTTTGTGTGAGAGAGAGAGAGAGAGAGAGAGAGAAAAGGGGAGGGGGGGACTGTCCCCTATTATTGCTTTTTTGTCAGGGTACTTTTTCCTTAAACCTTTGTTGTTATCCTTCACCCCCTCACTCTGCACCACAAGTTAAAAGACCAATTCTCTCCCTCAGACTTTAAACTAAGGTATTTCCAAAAGGAACAATCAAAGTAAGGTACAACAGTATTTCACTAATGCAACGCTATATATTCACACATTAATTAAATATTATATATATATTTCTTAGTTATAGGTTTTCTTGTTAATACTTGTGATGTACACGGTTGTTTATTTACACTGACGAAATAAAATATTTAAAAGAATATTGAGATTAGCAGAAATGCCAATTTTTTACATTACTCTTTTATGAGAGATATTTCAAAATCAAAATAAATAGTTAAAGTACATTTTGCAAAATGTGCTTAATGGGTCCAAAGTGGAAGGAATGGCCGCCATGAGGAGATTGTGTCACATTACTGGATTATTATCAATTCTGCATTAAGTGGTCAGCAGCACTGTTATGTTTCAGATGGTCAAGGTGGATTTAAACTACATTGAATGCTATTCTGTAGTTTATTCTATAACAGTGCATCAGACTTTATAAGGTGATCATCTGTTTCTATGTCAATCAAAGATTCCCTGTTAAATGAGTCGAAAAATAAAGCGTCATAAAATGTGAAACACTCAGGTGGAGTAGAGCAGCCTCTTGAGTAATATACAAAGCACCGGACTGATGAACAACACGAGACTACCGTGGCTATCTTCAATACACACACATGTTTATCACCACTTAACAAAGTGGTTGGTGTGTGTGTGCAGCGCGGCAATCTCGATGTTCGATAACACGCACAGGTGTGCAAAAGTTGTGGCAGAAAGGGTTCAACCAAAGAAGTTAAAAACAGACGATACGTTCGTTATCTGTCATCTGCATTCGGATGCCAAAGCCCTAGAAGTTGATATTTTCATCACTGTGTGTGTGTGCAGCCTGTGTTGTGTGTGTGTGTGTGTGTGTGTGTGTGTGTGTGTGTGTGTGTGTGTGTGAGGGGGGCAGCACAGGTGCAACACACAGCACACACACCGCGGTGCTAATGCAACGACACTACGCAGGGTTTGCGTGCGTGTGTGTGTGGTGTTGTGCTGTACAGGTGCGCTGTTGTATGTTCACTAACTACGAAATACCGCAATGCATGCACAATTATCTAGCACAAACACAACCAATGTCATTACCACACTCAGAGCCACACACATGCTAACGCGCCATATTTCAAAAAGCACTTACTCAATTGAGTCTTCTTGGACACAACTCCTCCTGAGGCAGAAGAAATGTTGTTAGTGATTCAGAACCAAACAGCATTTACTGTGAATGTGAGTTTCACCAAAGGTCGCACAGAATATGAGCAACTGGGTTGATTTGTCGGAGAAAAAAAACGTTGATTTACGGACCAAAACCATGGGTGAAATCCACAATTCAACCCAGCTAGATAATAGCTGAGTACATTTACTAAAATACAGTTTTAATTATAGTTTATACATTCAAATGTATCAAACCATCCAAGCACCACCAACTACAACATGCAAGTCCTGTTAATTTAAAGCTCTTAGTATCAGAGTTCAGCAACAACAGTACTTTAATTTTTGAAGTATATTTTGTTGTCGTTATATCTGCAATTAAAGTAAAATTTTAAATACAATATTTTTTTTAAATCATTGCGAGAAGTATTAAATCCACAACTGTGTGAAGTCCTGAGGCTTACAGGGTTGGCTTTCAATCAGCTTAATGGATCATTCAATTAAATCAGGCATTAAATGTGGCAGAAACCAACCCGGGATTCAAGTTACAGATTCAGCTGTGATAAACTCCTGGTTGCTCAATCCTCAGACTTCTTTAGTATTTCTTTTTCAGTAAGTACAAACACCCCGTGGTCAGATAAGACGCCTTTCTGATTAAATTAGAGGACTGCTATTCACAATGCTGTGCGTCTGTGTTGTGTTTGTGCGACTCTTTGGCAACCGTACCCACTTCAACACACACAGACGCAGACGCAGCAGATGAAGGCAGAGGAGGTGGGTGTCTGTGAAGCAACAGGTCCTTTTTCTCTCTGCCTGTTTGACCGCAATTGTGAGAAAGTCTGAATTGCCGTGAGTGCGAGTAAACGGGCTGAGGGCAGTTCTGAAAAACGGGTCGGCGGGGGGTATTTTTGGGGCTGTGTGTTCTTAAGTGTGCGTGCGTGTGTGTGTGTTTGTGAGAGTGTGTGTGAGACAGAGAGGTTTGAAGGCAGGGGAGATAAGTGTCAATGGCAGACGCAGAGCTAGCCGGTGTTTGTCTGACAGCAGATCGGGCCCTCTGTGGTTTCCACTGTTTTCCTCCCCTCGTCAAATCAGTTTTGCTTCATAAGCAGAAAGCATGGAAGGAAAGCAGAGCAGTTTTCACGCTAGGGGGTAAATGTAAAGAAAGATGAACACGAACTGCAGGTGGTTGAAGGGGATTGCAAAAGAAATTGTGTTAGATTAAAAGAAACTTTTCAAGGTAAATATAAGCTTAATTTTCACATCAAAAGCGATACATTTATTTATTTTCCTTGATTACAAAGTTAAAATGCTGAGTGTATATAGGCGTTGTGTTTCAAAGGAGATTAAGGAGTGAATGTTGTGGAACATTTTTACAAAAGATACTTATTAGACAAAAGACAAAAGATATTTATTATCATATGTTTAAAAAATTACCGAACCAACACTTGAAACAAAGCCATTGGTTGGATGTTTTACTGTATTTACTACAATGACCTACTTGTTCAGGTTTAATGTTATATTTGTTAACACGGTTTCGGTGGGGTATTGGAGGATGTTTGCTCTGTTGACAACAAATGAAAGCCAGTGAGCATTATGTGAGAAAACGGTTTATGGTTTTATCAACAGAATTGAATTAGTGAAGATGCGCTAACGGGGTTGAACAGTTTGGTGTGTGGCAGAAAAATAGTCCAATCACCAACATTGATCTCTGTACAAACTAAATGTGACAGAGGCTGCACACGTTTAGCAAGACAAACCAGTCATGAACCCACCAGCAGGTCCACACACACACACACACACACACACACACAGCAAATACATGATCACATGACTACAGAGGCACACACCTATCACGATCGAGCCATCATCATCAAAACTCCTACGTCTTTACACTCTGACATGCAAGCTGACGACTGAAGTGACAGTTGCTGCGTGACATAACAAGACCCCTGAACACAGAGGAGAGGGCCGAATGCCAAACTCTGAGACATAGAGGACAGGAAGAATACAAAATGTGCAAATATATATATAAGTCAGATTAGCTACTTTATTGCTCCTCAACATTCATAACCACAATTTGAAAGCCCCCAAAAAATCTTTTCTGTATGATGTTAACATCTTGTCCTATAAGTGACTGACTGAATGTTTAAAATTGACCCTGAGGAGTTAAAGGGCCAAAAGGGATTTGATGTTTCAACTGAAAATTTTGATTTATTGCGAAAAATCGGCTCGCTTGATGTCAATTTAGTTCACGGATACCACTGGCTGACGCTATTATGACAATAGACACCAATATTATATCAATAAAGGATAATGTTTAGAGAAGTAAATCCGATCCCTGTTGGATGCAAGCGACAGCTTCTGATCCAATAAAGAACCGAGAGAGGTTTTACTCGGAAAAGGCCGGAGGAAATGCAATGTGGAGCAGCACGAGAGACTCAAACGAAGCGCTCAAGAACGATAAAGAGACACCCACAGCCGCCACTAAAACCAAGACATTCGTCACCCTAAGAAGGGCCATCTCAGCACTATGAAAAACTGTACAACCACACCGAAACTCACTCAAACCAGACTGAAATGCCAATGCAGCAGTTCCAGGTGCTGATAAGCTGATGCTGATGGTGTAAAAAAAACATACTTTACCCCCTTTAATTGCGAAAAAGCAATGATGTCATTATTATAAATTCAATATACAGTCGCATTTATAGTTAAATCGAAGGATATCATGTTTGGTTTGGACCATGTGTAACACATGTAAGAGAAATCCATGATTGCTGTTTTTGCTTGATCTCCTTATCTTTGTACTCCAGTACCACTAGAGGCAAAAGTCATTACGTAATTACTATAAACTGATGCAAGTGCAATGTCAAAACTGTCCGCAGACTGCTGACACTGGTAAACTCTAAGTTTATATAAATATGTTTATATAACATTTTAAAAGGAGGGCCTTCTTTTGGACGCATCATTAAACTGTGGGCCTACTGTTGTTACGTCATTAAAGGGTATCGATGCGGTTTCACTTTGGTCACAATAAAAACAACGTTCTTTTCTTCACTCTGCACTTTACACCCATTAGTGAAGCAGTGCATGTAGCATCACAGGTGCGTGGTGGGTTGTGGCAGAAAAACAAAGTGTCTTATCGTCTCAAGTGACGGCCGACAGTTTGATCGTAGCCTGGCTGAGGCTTTGAATAGTAAAGCATAGACCAAAAACAGAAGCAAGTAGAACTAATCCTCAAGGATTACTCCGGCTTACTTCCATCCTTACCCACTCACAGCACCTTCACCACACTCCATGGAAGGGATCAGGGGGGGTTAATGGGGTAAAGATGGATGAGAGTGGAGGGAAAGGAGGTAATAGTGAACGCCGTGACGTGGGCCAGTGAAGGAAAGGTGAGCGTTGAATAGAGGACGTAAAGACTAGAAACAAAAAAAGGCAACAGAGAAAAAATGAACTGTAAACACGCCAAGTTGCATCCAACAACAGTTCGAACGGCCCCAAAGGGATAAAAGCTCACGGGTGGATCCTCTTACCTCTTTTGAGGGGGCTGCCAGCGGGGGGCACGTCGTGCTCCTCATACTCCATTACTCTCCCGTCAAAGCAGCGGGTGGCCTACAGACAAAAAGGCACACACGCACGCGCACACACGCACTGTCAAATGACCCGCGGTTCTGGAGGGCCTCCCGCCGTGGGGCTCGAGCTCGCGGACCTGTTTGGCTCCGTGCAGGCGTTTGAAAACGTGCGCGTGCGCCATCTCGTCCGACTCGTGTCCTTACCGAGGGGCCCGAAACCCCGGTCTCCGTCTCACGCCCCCCATTCGTCCGCGTGCCTCCCTATGTCGGGTTGTTTTGAAAAAGAATTGAACCCCCCCCTCCAAACACCTTCCCCCTCCCCTCAATCCCCCTCCGAGGCAACAGTAGCAAAATGAAGATCTAGTGGGCAGATACCTATCCACTCCCCCCCCCCCCCCCGCCGGGCGCTCTCTGTGCGCGCGCGGACCGTCCCGGGCTGGAGGGAGTTACGTCACCGGCACTTGTTACGTAACGGCAGCGGATCGGGTTTTGGCTTCGTACTAGTGCTCCGTCGGCGAACGTAATCCGCGTGTTGCTGCCACGCTAATCGACAAAGTGCACGATGCACGAGGGGAGACAATCCCACAGCGGGTTATATTTCACATCATTATTTTATTCAACCAAACTGCTTCCACAAAAGCTCTCTGGTGCTCAGGTAGGATTCCTGTGGTGGGTCGAAACGGCTGCAGGCCTCCGTGCGTGCAGTGTAGGATGGGGATAGTTCTAATAATGGTATGTAACACCTCGTTTTATCAGGAGGGAGGAACACAACTGCACACACACACAGACACACACACAAAGAAAACGATAAATAATCGATTCGTCTTCTCAGGTTACCGCTCCACTAAGACAAGGTGGTGACACCGGGTCCAGACACACACATGCTGAAGAGTCACTGGTGTTGGGCTTACTTAGATACAACGTTGTGGTATTCTTATTTTACTTCATACTTCTCACCCCCTTTATTTAGCAGGAGTGAGAGACACAATAGGACACACACCAAGTACCTGCAATCTGTTCCACCTCAACATTAGATTAGGTTATATGTGTATGCAAACTGTTACAGTGTGTAACATAACAGCTACTGCAACATTTGAGTTAAGTAAGTTAATAAGTGGTAATGCTAGTTTACAAAAAAGATCTTTCTGTAAAGATAGCTGTTTGTGATGCATTAAATCATCATCAGAGCGACGAAGAGGAAATGTTTGGTATCTTTATACTCAATAGACTGGACATGAATTTTCTGTCAAATGACTCATGGACACACGTGTCGACACAATGTAGCTTGTTTTAAAGATATTTACCTATAGTAATATGTACTTCTGGTTGCCAATATGAAACCGTCAAATAGATAATAAAACGGTAAAAGAAGCTTTCCATCACTATCTGAAGTCAAATCAGTTCTGGATACAGTGGACAGAGTACACTGCGGGTGGTTTTAACTGAAAGCAGAAAACAACTGCACCCCCAACCCGCCTCCCCCCACCCACTTCCTCAAACCCAACTTGACCACATGAGCCTTCGGGGGGAGAAGAAACTGCTGGTGTTAATTTGTCCACATACAAACGCACGCACACACACACACTTTAGAAACTAAGGTAGCATTTCCATCTGCACTTGTACTGAGGTTAAAGATGCGAGGGGCCCTCAGAAGACCACCGGATCTCTACTGTCATGAGCCCATACACTCCGAAACCACACATCAAACAAACACGCCGTTAGAACTTCACCTAACGCGCGCACGGTTAAGTACACTCGATTTAATGAAAACTCACGCAGCAGCACCGGCTAGTAAGCATCTCCTTTTTAAATGGACGCAATAGGAATTTGAGACAAATTAATTTCAGGATTATTCAGAGCATATTCGTCATTAAAAATATCAATATTAGCCAATGCCAGAGATTGTGTCAAAAACAACAACGATTTTTAAAAAGTTAATTTCACGCCGTGAGAGACAACAGGAAACAGAAATATAACTGATGCATTTCAAGCTGCTTTGTACATTTTACTAGAATGATGCACACGCTTGATGAACATCAACATTCAATGCGAATTGCAACTGAAGACCCTTTACGGGACAAACTAAGGTCAGATAAGAAAAATGTGTGACGTTAAATCGGCATAATGAAACAACTCTTTCTCACGGAAATACTTTTGGATTATGAAATCGTTCCACGGCTAGTGTGCAAGTTGTTTGATCCTCCCCCAACATGTCAAGCTCAATGTCAGACACGGACCCAACGTTCACATTTACATTTTTGATACAAAATTGAAACATATTAACAACCCAGTGTACAAGCCCAAATAGTGCCGTTTATGTTTTCAAGGTCGTCACAGGCCCATGCTGTCAGCCTCGCGGTCTGCAGAAGCTGCCAGAGCAGCACAGATCTCTGTGATGTGGAAAGATTTGACTTTTTTTAGCATATTATGGGACACCTCAGTAATTTGTGATAGAAATGCTGTAAGTGTCAAGAGTCTAGAGACACACAGCCTGTGAACAAGTCGACAACCGCTACGCTTTTGGAACCTCTGCATCTCCATTTGAAGTCATAATATTCTCATAGCATGTAAATTTACACCCCGTAGTCAAATATAACCACATCCACCACATGGTGGGGTAACAGTTAACAACCCACACCTGAAAATCTAAATTGAGACCAGTAAGTAAGAAGTCGGAAAGTCTGGTTTGGTGAAATGTAGAAAAGTAGATCGCTTTGATTGCATCAAAGTTTCAAACTGAAAGCTCAAAATCAGTTTAAAATAGACAAGTTTGATCAGAAGATTAATTCAAAAACATTTACAATAATATGGCCAATATAAAATAAAAAACTTGAATAAGACTCAGAACCATTTATGGCCTTGTATGTTAGGTATTTGTTACGGCGGGTGGTACATACATTGGACAGTAAGACAAATGTACACAGTGCAAGAACATCACTCATCTATAGCAAATTGTAAATTGGCTTATTTGAGGAAATTGCACTTTCTTGTTTCTTGTTCTCCTGAGTTTGTACCCTATGGTTGAATGCACTTACTGTACGTCGCTTTGGATAAAAGCGTCAGCTAAATGACATGTAATGTAATGTAATGTAATGTAATGCAAGAAATATGGATATGAACATAAATTTATGAGTAAGTTTAAGTGTTCTTGAAAACTTTAAAAGTGCAACACACCCGACTCCGAGGCAAAGACCATTATTTTGCAGACATTTAAACTTGTTCACAAACAAATAAACATTCTTTACATAAAATAGTACCATTAAGGCTTTTTTGGAGGATATAAATGATCACGTCACTACATTGAGTAATAATCTCACAATCAATGCAACACTAAAATACACCAATAATGTATAAGTTAACATCAATAATGCCTAAAATGTACTTGAATTCATAATACTTAGTACTGGGTTAGTATCACTAAGCAGAGGCAGTAAAGTAAAGGGTGTTTAATCAAACTGTACAGTACTTATTGATAACATATTGCCACGCAGCAGGTGTGTAAGTGTTATAATGTATCTCTTATGTAACCGTCAAAATAAGAGCAGAAAATACTCCAAACCAACATCTCTCTCTCTCTCACACACACACACACACACACACACACACACACACACACACACACACACACACACACACACACACACACACACACACACACACACACACACACACACACACACGCACGTTGTGGCCTCTGGTTGCGGTCAGCGTTCAGGGAGGTGGTCGCCCGGTGTGTTTGTGTCACGATCCCAGTAGAAGTTGGCTGACCTTGATTGACACAAATAGTGCTGCAGGAGAGGCGTGAAAGACAACAGGACAAGGTCAATAAAGACGGTTTGTCGAGCAGAAACGTGACCAGCCGCATTCTTTTCACACCGGCACGACTCTGCAGGCAGGTTGTGCACGTGAAAAATGTACCTGTCGAGTCCGTGTGCAGCTTGGATCCGTCGCTGCTGGTCATTTTGCATGTGACAAATACCTTCTTGCCTTCCTTCTTATCCACAGAGGATTCTAGCAACACTGTGTTTCCCAGTGGGATGGGCCTGGGAACAGGAAAAGCGTTTGTCAGGGCAAACTGGCCCTAAACGAGAGTGGTCGATCAAAAACACGCCCACATATGGGTGAAAGGACACACAGGGCCAGACCGCTCGTCCCAAGAACACAGTAATGCTGGATTACAGCATTACTGCAGCATGGAGCATGGATGTTCTAGAAACAAGAGGTCTTTCAAATGTACAATAATATATATGATGTCTGTCATTACAAAAACAGTTGGATAGGAAGCATATTGACACAAACATACAGACTTCTGGAACATATGTGACATACGTGTCTGAAAACATGTTCTTTCTGTACCTGCGGTAGTTGATGTTGAGATTGGCAGTCAAAACTGGTCCACATGCTATGGTAGCATGAGTCCCTATCACAGTGTCAATCATAGTGGCTATTGCCCCCCCGTGGACATGCCTGGAAATACATGTCATTTTTATTAAGACACCAAATACAAAGTCTAAAAAGTGCAGTTTTGTAAGGTCTGAAGATGTTAAAAGGTGTTGCATCATCACTGGAAAGCTGATAATATAGACAGGAACATGTGGGGAGAGAGTGAGACAGATGATAAGCAACAAAAGGCCTGTGGCTTGAAGGGGGCCACCGTGGGGCCCCACAGCAGCACATTTCAGGCAAAAGGACAAGGAAATGTGCAAACACATCTAACATGGTATCATTGCATTGTTTGGAGTACAGTTAAGCATGAACAGTATGTAAACATACAAAATACACATTCATTCATAAACAACCAACATAAACAGCCATCTCACCCTGGCGGCCCCTCCAGCAGATGTCCGGCCTGGAAGACGCCCACGCACTTGTCCTCCTCACTATTAAAAAATAAAACATACTCAAATGTAGCCCCCTGGTCTCTGTTGTTCCGGGTAAAAAGACGAGCTTTTTTGTGGATCATCCTGCTGAGATAAACTCCACCTAATGGGGAAACACACAAGTGAACTGTCAGCAGCTTACGGTGCACCTCAGGGAGAAAAAACTTTTCTATTTATTGTATAATCTACATATCATTCAAGCGTTCATGTCAGCGCATACGTACTTCAAATCTTTCGACAAGTTGTACAAATACATGAAATGTAGGTCGCAGTCTCGGTTACCTGTCGCGTACTTGAGGAAGCGATTGTAGCTGGGCAGCCTCTTCCACGGTCCCTCCCGGTTCTCTCCTCCTTCCGTCTCCTCCCCACACTGGCTGTTGTATTGCTCGTACAACCGCATCATCTCCGGTCCCCACGAGGAGTTCGGCAGGCTGAAGTCCCGGGGCTTGGAGAAGAAGCCCGACGCCAGCCCCTGCGGAGCCGAGAAGGGGGGGGGGGGGGCTTTAGAATCATCGTATATAAACACACAACTGGATTTGGGGGCTCGTAAGCTTCGGCCGGTCAGTGGTAAGATGCTCCGGGTCATATGATGTTTGTCATACGCTGGAGTTGTGGTTTGAAAAGAATTATCTAGCCGAGCCCCACGTCTTCTCCAGTAAAGTTCTGATATGTGGCTTGAAACACTTAGTAGTTATACTTGAAGAATTCTTGCCTCACCTATTTTGAACATTAAATATATATCTTGTGTGGTCAAATGTTGTATTTAATGCTTAACCTACATATTACTGTCTCATTTTTTGTTTAAGACCTTTGTAGATAAAGTTCCCCTCTGTTTGTGTGTACCTGAACGCACCAGTGCTTTACATTGAATTGCAGCCTAACTGAACTGAAATGAGAAACATCTGGAAGGCCCGATCAACCCCCCCACATCAGACCAGTCCTTTAAAGCACGTTCATCGTAACAGATCATCCTACTAATGTCACCTACCAGCATGTCCCTTGAGTCGGTCCTGAATGAGACGCAGGAGGACGGGCGGCCGAGTTGAGACTGCATCGACGAGACTGAGCCGAGCCGCTGGAGGGCTTTGCACATTCGGCCGAGGCTCCTTGCCATTAGCGCACTTTTTTTTTAAAGGGACGAGTGGCGGTGGGAGAGTTGCAGAGAAAGTGACGCAGAGCGTTGCCGTATCCTGAGCTAACGTTAAGTTAGCGCTGGGCGACGAGACTGGGACGCGTTTTGCTAGCTAACCTTGATAGCAGCGGTGACAAAGTATTATCGCTACAAACGGTGAGACATCGCGTGAGAATGTGCTGTGAGATCTACCTTTAACATGGTGAGGGCGTGAGGAACGAATAAGGACGCGGTGTTTTACCGGTGACTTTCACGTGTCATAACAGAGACGCTAACGCGATGACAGCTTCCGGCGTGAGAGTAGGTCACGTGGTGCACACTCTGCGCTACAACGAGCAACTCTTCACAAACTCTGCGTTACATCCGCTTGTAACTACAGGAATTCTCACAAAGACTTGAACTACCTCAGCTATACAGTTTTTAAAATGTAGATGCATTAATTAATTTCATAATTTCCCCCTGATAGTTTGAATTCATCTTTGTTTAAATGTATATATTTACCCTTGGCGATATTGTGTATATTTTCTTAGTATATCTTTAACACTTTGGGTGTATGTTTACTTTGCTGGTTATCTTTAATCAGTAAAGCACACAAATAAAGATTGGCTATTCAGGAGAAGTGGGTTTGCATGGAAAACAGATAACTTTGTTTATTCTAGTCATTTCTTAAAGCGGAGTTTACTACACTACAGGCATCACAATAGGGGGACTCAAAATGACCACATATTGCACGAGGAACAATTTTCCTCAAAACTACATGTTTCTTTTTTTCCTTTGTTAACTTCATTGGCCTTTATGAGGTGTTAAAACGGATGTCACAACAGATAAAAATGAATGTGAAGTGTAATTTACTTCTCAACCCACTTGAGCAACAGTGTGCTATTTCCCAGAGGAAGTTGTTCACCATTTGATTGCACTCTGAAGGCCTTACTCGAGTGCTCCGACCCGGACCGGCTGCACCTAAACTGAATGTGGGTTGAGATGAAGCGATACGACAGGAAGTGGAAGATACACTGTGCACATTACTTTGGTTTTATCATGACTAAATATGACAGTAGGACTGTCAGTATGATTCTTGTTCCTGCACTAGGTGGGATAGAGCGACATGCGACAAGTTTTCTGATGAACATATAATGTGTCATGGATTCATGCACATTGCATCTATTTTCCCCTAATCCAACTTAAAATAAAATAAAATGATTCTGAGAGAGCATTTTAAATCAACAGAGTTTTACATCCAACGTGCGTTTTGTATTTCTACGTGTAGGATAACTCATTGTAAAACTCCAGGGTGTGTATATTTGGTAAACAAATTCACATAGGCTTAGCACTTGTTTTTTTTTACGGCGGCTGGTAATCATTAACGTTTCTTGAGGGGTAAAGAAATACCGTGTGCCTCAGACTGGCTGGGTCAGGTGCTACCCAATGTAGATTTACCGGTTACAGAGAGAAAAATACATATATCTAACCAACACAATCATTTGAAAAATTGTACAAAATTATGCAAAATATTTATGGATGAACGGATTTACAAACAGCATTTTATTGAAATCAACACAGGTTTTACTTTCTTATGAGGAACAAAAAAAGCGCCATACTTGCATCTGTGATGGTAAAAAAAAAAATATTGTCATTGGCATGTCTTGCTTCTATTATTACACGGTAATTCAACGTTCAGTCAACTTTATTTTTCAGCGCCTTCGATTCCACACAGCTTCCTGCGAAATGGAGAAAAAAAAACAAATTTTACTTTGCTGTCCAGAGGTCTGATGTACCATGGCTCCACTATGTGGTTCTGCTCTGTAATGATATACAGTCGAACCTCTGATGTTCTGGAACATGCTGTTAGTCTAAAAGAGGCAGGTAAGCATTTGTGTTCTCACCTGACTTCGTCCTTGGTTGTGTCTGCAAACCCACAAATGGCTGTGTCTCTTTCCAAAATCTGCTTTTTCAAGGCCTGAACGTCCGCTTCGGCTTTCTGTTTAGCCGCCTCGTGATCCGCTAAGGAAATGTATAGATCAACAGTGAGAATAAAAGGTGAAATAGGTCTGTATTCCACCTAAAACAAAGAAGTAATATTGGGAGCTGCTACTTTTCCTGAGCTCAGTGCCTGAAACTAAGGGTGTGACTCAAAGCCTGTAGCTTCTGGTAGTTCCAATAGTCAGCTGAGATAGACGTGATTGACAGATCTCAAAAGCTGCAATCAGATCCCTCTGGGCCAATAGACACATTATGGATTATCACATTCTCTTATCTGGCTCAATTTAGACTTTTCTAGAGCTGAAACTAGAGCAGAAACACAATTACCTTTGAGTTTAACGATGGCCACTTCCTTTTCCGCCTTCCTCTTCTGATAATCTTCCTGATAAAAGGCAAAGGTGAAAGTGTTTGTCAACAGCCTTCCAGTCAATAATAGTATTAATGTAGTGCATAAATAATTGATACATAATGTCCCTTACCATTTCCTTGTTACATTTCTGCAGCCCGTCAGCGGAGTCCACTTTTAATTTGTTGCTTTCTTCCTTCTTTTTCTTCAGCTCATCGATATTCGTGTTGACAGACAACACCGTCGCCTTCATGTCCTTGATTTTGGTTTGCAATTCGATAATGGACTCCTCTTTCTTCCTGACCTCAACCACGTTCATCAGCATGCGGGATTTCAAATGATAAATTTTGAGCTCCTGGCGCACGGCTTGGTAGACCATGAAACACATTGCAGCCACACTGAGGCTGCACAAGACGACCACCAACTTCATCCTGGTAGAGACGCGGAAATGATCCAATACGCGACGGGGAGAAAGCGGATGATTAGTCTTTGTTCATTTCACGTGCCTGTTCGAACTGCGTGTCCCGCAGCTCCTTCCTTTTGTGTGGCAGCGCTCCTACCTGCTCCACCTGCGCCACCTGCTCAACAGGTTGGGCCGCGGCGACGCGCCTTCACTCCCTGCAGCGCGTGACACCAACGCTTTGGAATCACGCCACGAACACATTGCTTCCGGATACGATATCACACGAATATGTAAATGATAAGGAGACACACTGTGCTTATTGACTCGATCTCGTCCTTAAATGCTGATAGATAGATACGTGCGCATGTTATGTTTCGTTAGTATAACGAGGTGATCTTTTGAGAAGCTCTAAACTGCGATGGAAACGTTACTTGAAAACAAGCTTAAGATGCATGCCGTGCGTATCTTTCCTTTAATAGTGTAGGTTACTTTTCACTGGATGCGTCATACTCTTTTAAAATGACGCATTGCAATGCACTAATCCCTACGGTGGCTCTGAAGTGCAAAACACAACGACACATAAGAAAACAACAGCAAATAGAAAAACATAACGACAAATAAGAAAACACAACGAAATGAACTTCTTGCGGAGAGGGTAGGGCCTTATAGCAGATAGCGGAGGACGGACCCTTCTGATTGGACAGACGGACTGTCTGTCTTTTAACGCTCTTAATCCGAAGCCTTTCGCCGGCGACGGAAAGTGACACTGAGGATTCAAACTTCCGTAAGAAGTTAATTTCGTTGTGTTTTCCTATTTACCGTTGTGTTTTGCACTTCAGAGCCAAACGTAGTAATCCACCTAACAGTACACAAAACACTTGCCCACCTGCGATGACGTAACCGAAGAGGGCGTGTCTCTATTCACACACGGGAGCGAAGTGCCCAGCTAAGATCCGCCTCACCTTCATGGCCGCGCGCACAGCGCAGGTGAGTCAAGCACCTTGGTTGGTTGATTTCGGTTCACGCGCACGGGAGAGAAATGTCACCGGGACGACACGGATAGCAGCGTGGTGTTTGCTTGAGATTGAGCGTCGTTTTTCCATCATCAAGTATAAACGGCGGACACACACACACACACACACACACAGCTATGAAGGCCTCACATGTGCTACCCGTGACACTTCTCATTTCGACCGCTTTGGTGGGGATCACTAAAATACGCGAAATGAACCAGGACAAAGACAAAAGACAGCACGTCTTCCAGGACATCAAGCTGCGCGTGACCTACGATGTGCTGCAGGACTATCAGAGCACGCTGGAAGAGACGAGAACTTTACTGGAGAAGACCCAGAGTGCGCAGAAAGCGCTGGAGGAGGAAGTGAAGTTGCTTCAGGTCAAAGCGAATCGGGCTAAGGGTGATGTGGACGTCTGCGTGGCAGGCAAGGTGAGGAGAACCCAATAAATACAAGCAGAGAGAGAGAGAGAGAGTCATTTTTGTTGCTCGTAGAGATCCACACTGTGTCATTCTTGAGTTGAAAGAGGAATATGTGCAGCAGAGGTTAAAGAAACTGAAAACCAACATGCAAAAAGTTCCTCTGTAACCTTTTTGAAATGTATCTCCTGGCTCTGTTTTTCCACTGTAATATTAGTTGCAATGTAAGTTACGAGTAACGATCCCACAGAACCGGTTGTACCAGGTCAAAGAAGAACATACCAAACACCACCCAATTCCCGGCTTGTCGTGTAGCCCCAATAGTGCACTTTGCCCGACATTACTGTTTAATTTAAGCCATTTATTGTTTGTGTGTATTGTGAAATGTGGGAGGAATAATCCTTAAACGTGACGTCACCAAACTTCTTTCAGGCACAGGCTGTATCCTTATCGACCGGTCGGTCATTTAACACTAATAAATATATGCAAGTCTGTTGAATGAAGATCCGGTATTTGCTACAGTCAAATGTTTACACTGGAAGTCACAAGGATGTGGCTGCAATGTTAAAGATGTGATTATAGAGGCAGGATGTTGGTCTGTGTAGAAAGAAAGCAAAAGTGTATGTGTGTGTGTGTGTTGTGACATCTTTGTTCCCACTTTCAGAAACCTGCAAACGATGAGCTGGTATCGGTAGAGATAGAATTAAAAAATCTCGAAGGTAGGTGCTGATTAATGTGTGTCAATGGGTCATATTCAATTTCTGAGAGAGGACCACCTTTCCCTCTTTTACTGTGCCAGCAGGCGCTGATTCAAATGCATTTAAATGTATTCAAATGTATTCTAAAAAAGTAACTTCAAGCAATGGTCCTAATTCCTTTCATTTGTGTTCATGTGATAACACCTGCAGCTGAACACAAAAAGGTGATGAGCGCCTTAGGAACAGAATTGGAAAATCAGAAAAAGCAACTAGCAGCACGTAGCGCGGTGTGTGGCTTCTTGAAACCAGGATCACAACCACCAAGGTATCGTTCATAACAATACAGCACAAAACATTACAAAACAAATTCTATTATATTGGTCATCCATAATGGAATCCACCGTGTGCATTCACTGCATCTTGTATTGTTATTTCTTTTTTAAAGCCAGCTGTGTAGCAAGGAAGGGATCGTAGAGGGCCCTAAAGAGGAAGCACCAAAGGCAGAGGCCCCCAAACCAGAGGAACCAAAGGCAGAGGCCCCTAAACCAGAGGAACCAAAGGCAGAGGCCCCCAAACCAGAGGAACCAAAGGCAGAGCCCCCTAAACCAGAGGAACCAAAGGCAGAGGCCCCCAAACCAGAGGAACCAAAGGCAGAGGCCCCCAAACCAGAGGAACCAAAGGCAGAGGCCCCCAAACCAGAGGAACCAAAGGCAGAGGCCCCCAAACCAGAGGAACCAAAGGCAGAGGCCCCCAAACCAGAGGCTCCAAAGGCAGAGGCCCCCAAACCAGAGGCTCCAAAGGCAGAGGCCCCCAAACCAGAGGCTCCAAAGGCAGAGGCCCCCAAACCAGAGGCTCCAAAGGCAGAGGCCCCCAAACCAGAGGCTCCAAAGGCAGAAGCCCCCAAACCAGAGGCTCCAAAGGCAGAGGCCCCCAAACCAGAGGCACCAAAGGTAGAGGCCCCCAAACCAGAGGAACCAAAGGCAGAGGCCCCTAAACAGGAAGTACCTCAAGCAAATGCTCCTAAGAAGAGATGAGAAATGACAACCTGCTTTTTTGTAATTTACCTTTCAAAAACACAACAAGATTCCAGCACATTGCTTCAGTGGGCCAGTTTTTATCAGAGCCACAAGGATGACTACCTGGTACAGGACTGTGGTGTTCAGAGATATTCTTTTTTTTTTTATGTAACAAAATTATTATTTAAGCTACATTTTGAGGTGGACATACTTTTTTGTTTCTGCGATGGGGCAAAATGTTTTTTTAATCAGCGGCTTGTGCAGGTGTGGCTCGAGGGTTCTCTTAACATTTTTTGATAAGTGAAATGCAATGTAATATATAATTGACTAAAAAGAGAGAGTGTTGATTTATAGTTTCTTTTCTTCATGTCGTCAGTTACTGGATATCTCTTCCGTTGGTTGTCTTCCGTAATTCCGTTGGTATTTATGGCACAAATAAAATAACTGAGTTAGTATTGTTCATAAAGGTGACACGTATACAGTCATTTTTCATTGATTTTCATTCATTTCAATGTACCCTTTTTCAGTTGAACTTCGAAATCTGCTATCAGTAGATATGTGGTGGTTTTGTAGTTAGGATATTTAGAAAAAAAGAGTAAAACACAATTATTCGTTCATAGGGAACTAATCACTAATCGAGATCGCCAACTTCAAAGAGCAACGTTTTGTTCCTTGAACACTAGCAGTGCACATGCACTTTTTTGTTGCAGGATTAGTATGTCAAACTGCTTCTCTTCTGAATATACAAACCGTAATGTGAAAAGTTTAGGACTTAACAAATAGGAAGTTGTCAAATGGTTGACCACTAAAATTTGTATTTTGGTCACAACTCATTTTATTTGGAAATGCTGTGTGTGTTTGTGTGAGACAAAAGCTAAACACATATGTGAGGTCTAGTATCTTTACCACCACAAAAACAAATGCAGATCTGTGTGCTCTGTTATTTGACTGAATGTAAATTGGGAACTCTGGAAAGAAACCAAGAAGTTGAAACCAGGAAGAGAAAAAGCAAGTTAAACATTCTCCCTCTCTCTGTTTATCTTGCGTAGCAGCTTTTGTTGCTGTACATTACACTTTTATAGCTTTTTAACCTTAACATTTTCCACTATATGTTAGATAACTCCCCCAATGCTGAAAACACATAAATAGGTATTGAATAATCGTTGTTAACCTTGTCTGACTCTCTCTTTCTTAGTGACCCTGCCTCAGGGTGTGTGTGTGTGTGTGTGTGTGTCAGACCAAAGCACCGACCAATCCGAGAACACGAAGCCTTTGTCTGTCTCCCTCTATAAACTTCACTCTGTTATCCCGGTGATAACAGCTCCATGTAGTTTGTATTTGGCTGATCCTAAACCTTCACTATGTATTTATTCTAGAGCTTCCAATAACATGTTGCACATTGTTTCTTTTTGAATTATATTTTAAACCATATAGAACAAATACTCAAAAGGGCATTTTTTTCGTTTGTGGATTAATACTAGAACAGCTGTTTGGAAAGATGCTAAATCATCCAGATTTTGCATCTTTCTATCATTCTGGAACATTTTCAACAAAACATCAACTATACAGGGTTCATGATATTAAAGCCACAACATTCTGTTTTGTGTTGATTATTGCTGTTGCTCTCTGCTCTGTTCTGTTCTGTTCTGTTGGACTGGTTCTTCAGGTTTTTCTCCATTTTATTGTGTGCGTTGTAAACTTTCCATGGTATTTTTTGTACACTCAGTCGTGACAATACTAACTTGACAGTGTGGTGTTTCCTGTTTTTAGCTCTATTCATTCTCACTGCATTGTGCATCGCCTGAACATCTCATTTTGTGGTGATTATGGTATTTGTCCTGGAGAAAAGCGCAGGTGTTTGGGTCCTGAATTCTGCCGTGACTTCCCTGCCTCTGATTCGTCCCGGGTGGCTGCAGGCTGGATGCGGCAGAGGAGCCGCATCTGGCTGCACTGAATGTCTGTTTTTGTATTTGTGCTTATTTGTGGTACGTTTTGTAATGCAACCTTATGGTGTAATGATCTCATGCCCTGTTGTCATCAGTCTGTTTCTATCAAGATCAAGACCTCTATCGCACCAAAATGTTCCAATCCTCATCTTCTACCTTTTCTTTATAACAAAGTGGGTGTACTTTTTAATACACTGTACAATAATGTACTTTACAATCACCTCATCTTCCCACCACGTGAGAAAATTAGTGACTTTTGTACTTTGTTTGCTTCAAAGTTCATAAAGTTGATGTTGTAATGCTGTATCGTTTCAAGCAATTGGATATAAAAACACTTGATTAATACATAAGCTGAATATAGAATATACATTTGCATTGAATCCTGCCCCAATAACTTTATATTCTCAAACTGAAACTAGGTTTTGATTGCTGCAGATTTTAATCATTGGACCTTAAACGTGAGTGAAAAATAAAGTTTGTGCTGATAGGGGGAAATTATTTTGCCCTGCTTATTTCAGACTGTTGGAAGACTTACGTGTTCATTATTTCACTGAATTGTAAAACTTCTCGTCTTTTCAACCATTTTCCCTTTTCATCTCTCACTTTGCCTCACACTAGCATTCCATCTGTTGGAGATTAAAATACTACCCCCCCTCCCCCGGGCTCCCAATTAGACAATCGGAGGGGCTATCATTCCGCCCCAATAGGCTCACAAGGTCAGTTCACAACAGGAGAGGATACAGAGACGTCATAAAACACAGCATGCAAAGTAGGACTGTGTTAATGACGGGCTGGAAAATAGATGCCGTTGTTGTTTTTTCCAGACATTTTAAACAGTTAAACACTGAATGATATCCTGCAGTCTGGATACACAATCAAATCCTAGTCTCACAACGGACTTATTATTACTTATCAGCTCCGCGGCCGCTCCTCTCCCAGACTCCTCCACGAGGGAAAGTGTCTCCATTAACCAGCACATGTTACAGACGATGTGAAGTCAGCACGTGTCCCATACTCCCCCCATCAAAAACATACACATGAAGTGATAACAGTGGTAAACCAGACCACCAGAGGTTATCCTGACATCCAGAGGTCGACCGCCCTGCCCATATTTACACACATTTCCCATTACTTTTAATTGAGGAAGTTAGAGATACTGTTTACATAAAAGTCCAAATTCTTCACCTCGACCAATTTGAAACACCACGTAGAAACACACAATTTGAGTACCCAAAAATAAAGGGACAGCTGATGCTGAAACAGGATGGCATTCATATTTAAGTTTTTTGATGTTTTTTTATCTTCACGCTGCTACACAAACAACTGTAATTACACTTGATACGTGCGCCGCATCACTTTATAAAGGTAATCTTTTGCGAAATCAGCCACATAATAGTGACAAGATACAACTGATGACAATGAAGTGACCGTCGTGTCCTCCCCTAGAGGCAATAACCGAAAGTTATTTGACTTTGCGTTCCGGGGTCGTGTGTGTGTGTGCGTTTGTGCGTCTGTGGGAGCTTACAGCAGGATGAACATCACATGTATTGATCAGGCTAATGTGGGGAGGAAAGGCCTCAGGCCTCACTAGCTGATCAATATACCTCTAATTACATGGGGCACTCAGTGTGTGTCCCTCCCACGGTTGTATATAAATGCTGTTTGACTGAGAAATAACTCATACACACAGATCGTAGCTCACACACACAGTTAGCCGTGGATCATTTTTTACCACCTTTTCTTAATAACACGCAGGCTTAAAGTAATCACATTCTTTTACTTGTTTTACTGAGACTTTTTACTGACAGCACACAGGGGTGTTGTCTATGCATTTAGGAAATTGGTAAGTATCCTCATATTTGTATTTGTGTGTGAGTTTACCTCTACTTTGTTTCCCCTGAATCTGATCTTTCCCCAAAACCAGTGAGCAGAGATCACTAGTTTGTGATGCCAAACAGAATCTCTCGTTACTGTTGTTTGTGACTCGCTCCCTCAAGGCCTTCCCTCCGTCATAACCTCTTGTGTTGGACTGGTTCTTCAGGTTTGGTCCATTTTATTGTTCTCATTGAACATTTTTAAAGGCATTTTTTGTGACATACTTGACTGACTGTTTGGTTTTTCTTTATTTCTCTGTGACATTCCCTCATTCATTCTCACTGCATTGCCTGCAGACTCCTCCAGCCGGTTGAGGCGGCGACTGGCTAGAAGCTGTGTGATATGTTTGATATTCGGTTGTTCTTGTGCTTCGTCGTGTCAACTAAATATCAGACATATTCCTACAGAGTCTGGCATTGACTTCTGACCCGCGTTGGGCCAACAAAAAAAGATCCAAGTGAAGATGTTCAGGTGAACGGTTATTGATGGTAAATGTTATTCTTTTATATTGCTACTTACTCTAGAATATAATTTCTGTATAATATCTTTGAAGAAAGCTTGAAAGTACTAGAATGTCAGAATTGTGCTTTAGATAAATGAGAAAAAAAGTACTGTTATTTACTATATATTAACGTTCTTGTTATGTTCTCGAAAAAAGTTTTTAAAAAAGTACAATGTTTTTGTATTCTTTTATCCGGCTTTCAAACACAGTCATGTAGACGACCATGAGAGCGGACACAATGGGTGTAGTCCTGCTTTGTGAGGAAACAGGCATTTTCCTGCCACAACAAAGACATCAGACAGAGCTAACTGACAATAGCCGGTTATCACATGTTAGTTCAGTCCTGATTTATTCCGCCTGCAGTCTTTTATTAGCAACAACATCAAATTTGTATTCTCTTACTGCTAATGGATGGTACTTTTTTTCTTCCTTGTCAGTTATTTTTGTCATCATGCAATGAAGATATAAATAAAGCTTGATTGCATGTTCATTTTGTCTGTATTGATTCATTACTGGCTCCACATCTTGAATTCACGCCTTATTGCATCGGCCATAGCAAAAAAAATGCTTCAGATACTATTTTTATACCTAAATTAACTGAGAGAATGTGTTTTTTGACTTTTGGTTAAATGTCCTCCTTCAAGGGGCATTTTATTGTGTAATAATCCAATTTTCTAAGGTACCGTAACAAGCAACATCCTAATGTGCAGAAGCCATTGAGGCCATTAAGAGTGCTGCCTGGAAAGATCAGTGACAGCGATAATATATTTTTAAAACAAATTAGAGCATAAGAGTACATTTAAGAAGCAGCCAACAAGCGCTATCACATATTTCCTAAACTGCATTGCAATGTGAAGAACAGGCCATTGAAGGCTTGTGTCCTGCAATATCATTCTTAAAATAAAACCTATTCTGGCAAAAATGATTACAACTGGAAGGATAGTTTAAAGTGCACAGAAGACATCTGAGGCAAAACACATCGATGCATCACAAAAGGACAAAGAAAGGAAGATGGAGGACGTTTATGATTCATCACTGTGTGTGCACTGCCACTCATCTGATCTGCAGGATTTTAAAGCTCCTTTTTGGTCTGTGCATGTAATGTTTAAACAACTATAAGCACAAAGACATTCATCCATTTTCTTTGAATGCCACAATAAAATACGTACACATGTGCCTGAATGTTGAACATGGGTCAAAGCGCCACGCTGTGTGGGACAATAGGCCAGTGGCAGGTTGTGCTATGGATGTTGTCATGGATGGGGAGATGTCCTGATAAGGTCAAATGGCCCCACATGAGACAAATGTTATCTGAAAGAGTGCACACTGTATACTCTAGGGCAATTTCTGTGCAGCACCACAAGAGGGAATGACGAACATTGTCGCAATGTTTGTGTGCAGCGTTTGTGTGTCTGTACACTGAATGTCTGCGTGCTGATAGAAGGTAATTAATGAGTGTGTGGAGGGATAAAGAGGGGGGGGGGGGTTGACAATGGCAATGAAGGAAGTATAGATAAAGACTTGCTGGTTCAGTATAAATATCTGAGCCCACAAGGAGGCAGAGCATCCTCTCAAGAGGGACATCAAAGAGGAGAAGAGGGCTGAAAGGGGAAAATACAGAAATTAGAAGAAAAAATTAGAGGGTTAATAAAAGCTAGAGGAACCGAGGAAGGAGAAGGAGAACCGAGGGAAGGTTTTTATTATTATATATATTTTATATTACATTGTTGGATCTTTGAAATAGGTGAGACCAAAGATGTGGCATTCTTTCATCGGGTTATTACTTTTTTGTGTGTATATTTTTTACCCTGTGCGCTGCTTCTTTTCAGAAATGACAGACACAGCAGGAGGAATACTTCTGGCTTTGCTCTTGTTCCTGAGTGCCAGTGTGCCATGTTTCTCTGACAATAACAGGGGCGAGTGCTTCTTCAACACTAAAGGTGCAGTAGGTGTATGTAAACGTGTGGACGTGATGATTCCTATTGGCTTATATGTGTACAATTCGCCAAGTAGAAATAGAAAATTCTATGTCAAAAACATAAGAAATGTTTTTGAGGTGAACATACTTTACTTTTGTGCTACTTTATGCCTCTTCACTATATTTCAAAGTCAATCATTGTACTTTATATTTGTATGGTACAATTACATTTTTCCAGAACATATTATAAGCCTAGGAAATGCAATGCAAATTTGAATTATTAAGTACTCAACCTAGTTTGACTGCACCGATCTGGTGCAAAATTGAAATCCATCATTTTCATCAAATAATGTACTTCTAACTCTACTATAATCTAGGACTATTACTGTCAATTTGTGTATTTTACATTGTATTTATTTTTTGTTCAAGTAAATCCATTGCTCTATATGTCATAATAGCTGATATGTTTAAATTTAGGAAGCTGTGAACACATGGGAAAGTTGTACGGAATAGGAGAGACCTGGATAACCGATGACTGTTTCCAGTGTGTCTGCATGGAACCTTTTGGAGTAGGATGCTGTGACCAGTGAGTTTGTTTTGAATAACTATATAATAATAACCAATTTAGACGTGTCATAGATTTAACTCATCTTCCCAACAGTGGATCGGAACCTGTGGACTATCCATACTGGTGTGATGTCATCCGTAGACCCGACTCTTGCAAAAGCGTTGTAGTGATGAAAGTCAATCACAAACTACCGTGTCTCTGGGGAAGAGGACGTCTCAGACCGGCTGCAGGTCAACCTTGGAAATCTGACAATGATCCTTTATTTTAAATTCAGCAATTAATGAAAAATCGCAATGAGGCAATGTTTGACGTTCATTTTGGATTCAATAATAATTATCTCAGGGTTAGTGAGGGACTAAACTCTGTTTATTATTTTTAAATCTGCAAATAATTACCATGGGAATTATGGGTTGACTGTGTTCTATTCTAATTTCACAATATCTTTGTTGTTGATGTCTGAATGTCTTGATTATAGTTCATGAAAATAAAAAATGTACTTATTATCTAATTACAACTTTGTCAAATTCCTGGTTTTGCGTAATATTGGTATATGTTATTTATCAAATGACTACTAAGTATAATTTGTTTGATTACTCACTTACTCAACAATTAAGTAATTAAAAACATTCATACTTTCATATACATTCTCCTGCTTCCCAAAAAATTCTGTCTGTTCAATAAATATCTGCAAACATTGTAACAAATAGAGCACACGCGAGTAAAACATCTGTATCCTCAGAAATGTATAATATTACTTTAAATAGAAAAAATAATTTGGGTTTGTAATGAATTTACTTGCAGTTGATGAATGAGGGTTAATACTTTTATTTTGAAAAGAGAGCAGCGGCGCAGAGTTTGTACGTCACACCGAAGCGCGCTGAGTGTGTCCACCTTCGACTGATTACTGAAAATGTCGACTTACCGCTGACTTATTAGTAGTTTGCATACAATTAAAGACAACAAGAAGCAATACAATGTGGATACTGACCCCCCTGGAGCCCGGAGGTAACGTTCTGTGTTAGCTTAACGTTAGCTGGCGGGAGAATGTAGCTGTGTCATTAACGTTTCTAATGCCACTAAAAACGTATCAATTCTCCTCTTCGGGTTGTGTAGTAATCGTCTTTTGATTTGCCGACTAGCTCATTTTATTCATATCTATTACTCCGGAAAGGTTTTTCCCAGTGAAAAAGTGCGATGTGCTAAATGCAGTATCCTTTCAACCACCGTCGGGTTGTCAGTTTCTGGTTCCCCCGTTAGAAGGTCCATGACCGGCCTCCTTTCCCTCACAGGTGAGACCCACTATCTCGTCTCCTGCAAAGAGTATGTTGTGGGGCGCAAAAACTGCGACATCCTCCTGCCCAATGACCAGTCCATCAGCAGAGCTCATGCTTGTCTCACTGCTGCAGACCAAGTAAGAAAGAGAATCATCATCATCATCATCATCATTCATCACCTAATGGACTCAATGTGTTCAAGATAATCTCTCAAAAGCCTTAAAACAATTCACTGAGCAATTGACATTGCAAAGATAATTGGCCATTTGATGCCAGTGTTTGCACTCTGTTAACAGCAGAAAAAAAAGGTTGCTCAAAGCCGTGCAGCAACATAATTCCGTGCTCTGTTGTTGATCTACATGCATATCCATCCATCTATACGCTGAACGTGGTTTGCTGCGTTATCATGCCGGTCTGTACAATAATGACTCGTGTTGCAGTGCATTCAGTTTCTACAGTATTTTCCTAAAAGTGTGACTACTTTGCAGGATTATTAATCCATGATCAATCCATTATTGGTACATATGGCTTCTAGTCTGTTAATACTCAAAAGGATTACATTTTTAAAAGCATGTTAATGGAGCTGCATGTCGTCTCCACTTTTCCTCACAGTTCAGGTTGAATAGATTTTTCATGCTTGGGATCCGTTCAAAACATTTGAGACGTGAACAATTGATCATATTTGATTAACAACTTTACGAGTGCCTTTGTGAATTCTTTTCCTAGACGCTGACTTTAAAAGACACGTCCAAGTATGGTTCATTTGTCAACAGCCAGCGATCCCCAGAGAACACGCCAGTGGGTTTAAAGTCAGGAGACAATGTTACATTTGGGGTTTTTCAACACAAATTCAGGTAAGTTAGTGATACAAGACCAAGTTAGTTATATTTCACATCACTGATCACCTTTCACTTTTGATTGCGCTCACAATGCTCATGAATTTTATGTTGCACGACAAATTTGTCGTCCTTTGTCTCAGCGTGGAGCACCAGAAGCCAGTGGTGTGTTCGTCCTGTTTGGACAATGATGGCAAGGCATCGATCTCTCAGGCCCTGCTGGCTTTGGGTGGGAAGCTGGTCAACAACTGGACTGATGATTGCACCCACCTGGCGATGCCCTCTGCTAAAGTCACGATCAAGGTTCTTGTTTTCTCATTGGGTGGTTGAATGGGATGTGTTTAAATATGAGTTTGATGTGCTTATTCTGTTCTCTTATTTAGACCATTTCCGCCCTCCTGTGCTGTCGTCCCATTGTGAAGCCGGACTTTTTCACAGAGTTCTGCGAAGCCGCTCGGCAAAAATCACCTCCCCCTAAAGCTGAGCGGTACGAAACAGTCCATCTTTATTTATTCTCATTTATGCTGAGAGTAAACCGAGTCCACGCAGGAGCAAACATTATCTAACTATGTGCCGTACGTTGTCGTAAAGGTTCATCCCGGAGATCGACGAGCCCAGCTTGAGGAACGACGATGTCAATCTTGCGGCGATTCCAGTTCGCAGACAGCTTTTCAGCGGAAAGACCTTCATATTCCTCAATGCCAAACAAGTGTGTCTACTTCGTTCTTTGTGATGATCTCATGTTGGTTTAGCGACATTCTCCTTGGATTTGTTTCCATCTACTGTTTTAGAGAACAGGGTGATTTGATAACAGAACACACAACAGTTATAGAACGAATCGCTCCAGGAGAGATCACAGGTTATAGAAGAGCTGCAACTGATGGTTGTTTTCACTGTTGATGGGAGGATCTAGATTATATAATGTAGAAGAAGAAGAAGATATCTACATCACTTTTTATTCTCTGACCCAATAATGTCCGTTATCGCCAAATAAGTATGTATTTAATATGAAGGAAAGCAGAGAAATCTTTTAATCAAACAAACAGTCCATTGTCTCATCGCTGCTCTTTTGTGGTTTGCAGCTCAGGCGCCTGAGTACAGCGGTGAGCTTCGGACGCGGCGAGAGCCGGCTGCTTGAGGAGGGCTCTTTGCCCCGAGACCTGCTGGAGTCTCCACACAGCTGTGTGATCGACGTAATGACGGCCAGCTCCCAAACCCTTCCTTTCTCTACCACAGAGTGGGTGAACTCTGTGAAGAACATCGTTCAAAGGTTGGCACCAACTCCTCTTCAAAAGCCCTCGAGGGTGTGTTTTGGCGATTTATTTGTCAAAGTGCGATGATTTGTGAACACTTTAAAACGCTCTCTTTGGCACAGAAAAGGCCTCAGAGTCATCACAGAATCGGAAATTGGTTTGGCTGCCATCTATGCTTCCTGTAATAAGTACTGCAATCCATCTTGTCTGACACCAGACTCAGGTGGGTGAAGGGACCAAAAGGCACTGAATGCTGCGATTTTCTTTTTTTAGGTTTTCATCATTTCCGACATTTTCATTTCTTAATAATTCTTCTTATATTCGTTTCCGTCCTTGTTTACTGTTTTTTTTAGAGTCTGCACCAGAAGTGGCCCCCAGAATCCCCACCTCTTCGCTGTCGCAGAGCGCGGCCGTGGACGAGACCGCGTTACCTGCAGCGTCTCAGAACATCACGGCTTATGCGGCCAACACGGAGCCATCACAAGGGTACCGGCGAGCACGGCTCAGAGCACGCGTCACTTTTGATCTCAAGTGGTCCACAAACTTTCCGTTTTTTAAATCTGTGCAATTATACTTGTTTATCAGGAAAGACGCGTGTGAAGGTACGAGGGTGATGGCAGTCGGGGAGACTCCTGAGGAGACGCAAAACCAGAACAGCAGTCAGGCCGGCGGATTCAGACCTTTTGCTAAGAAGACGTTCACTCAGTGCGTTGTGCCCGATACGATGAGCTCATCATTCAACTCTGCAGAGAGCACGCACTCGCAGATGAAGAAGCCAGAGTCTAAAACAACAGGTGGATGCACAGTTTTTTTTTATTTTTTAGATTTGTATTTGTGTTATTCAGCGATTCGCTTTTTCCAGTCAAAATGATTAGCGAAGCTTGCACAACATGAGTTGTTTCAATCTCCTAATCTACCTCTCAGCACTCGCTTCATTCCATTTAGTGCTTTAACCCTTCAATGAATGTTTTTGCAGTTTCAGGTGCAGGCAGTAGTGGAATTAGGTCCCGGACAGCCCTTCCCAGGAGCAACGTGTCCCGCTCTGCACAAGGCTCCCCACAGAAACAATTAACTCTAACCACGTTCTTCCAAAATGCCAACAAGAAAAGGTAAACATATGCTCTTTGAAATAGGTAAGAATGTAGCGCGCTAACCAAGCAAGTGAATCGTCTAATGTCGATGGATTGGCAACGATACAAGATGAAAGTCTTTGTCTCCATGTCATTGAGGCCTTTGGAGGAAGAGCTCTTCTCCGTCACGTCGGAGCCAAAACGTTCCGCGCTGGAATCATCCATCAGCATGCAGACGCCAAACGCTTCAGCCAAGTCCAAAGAAACATCCTCGCGCTCAGTCAGAGCCCCTGTGGCAAAGTCCCAGGCTGCACTGCGGCCAGCAGCTAATCTCCTCGCAGGGCGGCCGGAGGCTCAATCGGACCGCGCTGCCCAGGAGGAGCCACGTAGTAGAAAGAGAAAGGAGATGGAGGAAGAGATAGAAATGGATGAGCTGGAGTCTCTTATGTCTGAGGACTTCTTTGATGATCAACCGACAGTGAATCAAGGTCGGCAAGCTCCGCCTACAACCCTCGGTTCAACCGAACCGAAACAGAGATTAGATAGTGAGGAGGCTTCTTCTTCAAGCAAGAGGCAACGGGTCCACCTAGAAGAAAATGTGAAGAGCCAGAGGCCGCAAGTGGGCCTGGAAAAAAATAAGGAGCAAAGATCTGACCAGGATGTCTTCACCATCAAGACTGAGCAGGTTCATCCTTTAGAGTACGAGACTGATGTAAAGTCCAGCGTGCGTCCAGAGGTTTCATCTGCCAGTACAAGCAAAGACCTACTTCCTTTTGAAGATGATGACGAGTCGTTCATTGAGGTGAGGATTTACTTTGTGTTCTTTCATCCAGTAATTCAGAGAAAAGAAAATTACAACTTGAACTGATTTAGCACACATTTTTGTTCAGCATTTAATATTACGAGACATTTACAACCTTTTATTCCTGCAGGATTTAGAACTACTCCAAGTGGATATTTGTCCACCTAAGGAAGAGCCAACGACCCCTCTGAAAGCAGTTTCAATAAAACCAGAGGTCAAAGTAAGTTCTGTTGTTGTTGTGCATTATTCTTTTAACAATTTTAGAATTCCGTTTTCCACGCTTTGATAATCATTGGGAACTACGCAGGATTTACAGGGGATACTTTATAAACTGCATGTTATATTTGTAAAATCTGAAGTCCTTTTAGTTGTCTTAAATTGTTTTTCATATTCTATATCAATTAAAACAAATAATATTAACGCTCATTCTGATAAAAGTGACATATTAATGTGCTGTTTTGCAGGAGACAAAGATTGATGAGGATCTACCTAACAGGCTGGTGTTAGTGGAGTTCAGATCGCTCACTGTGACCGCTCCTCCCAGAACCAGACCCCCCAGGATGCAGAACAAGGGCCACGCAAAGAACTTCAAATGCTTTCAGAAGGTCAGATTAAAAACAATGCGATTCACACAACAGATGCAAGGAGCCGTGCGAAGGATATTTGGGGCGTCTAGTTGTGAGATTTGAGGTTACTCAATTAGAACTATAAACCTTTTAGCTACCTGAAGCATGTTTCTAAAGGAGATGCTGCTAGTGGTTTTCTATTTTGAACATATCCGTATCCTTTAAGAAATTATCTTTTATGCCACATACATTATTTTCCACATGCACCAGATTAAATATGTTTTTCATAAAAACTTGCTTGCGACAGATCTACGTGACCAGTGCACAGCGCTCCCCCCACATCATCGGAGGATCTGATCTACTGGTTCACAGCAGGGGGAAAAACTCTGATCTGGATGAGTTCTTGAAAGATGCAGTTGAGGTACGATTGTCTCTGGGTCTCTATTGTCCGCCTGTGATCCGTGGACTTGGCTTCTTGATTCGAGCCTGTGTTTGTTTCAGGAGGAGCGTCAGAGCAGACGGGACGAGAGCGTTGGAGATGACCTCTTCAGGTGAGATTTCATCATCAGAGACGTGTAGTGACTTTGTTGAATCTAGATTGTGACTGCAACCAAACCAATTAATCTTGCCTCTGTTTTGTCATTAGACGTAAAACAGGCTCATTCTGCTGCTTTTATTGATCATTGGTAATGATGTGCTGCTTTACTTCCAAGAAGGTGACTGAGAACAAACCAAACTGCAATTAATAAACAACAGTCGAAAAGTGGCAACATCATGATAGTGTCAAAAGAAAAGTTGGAAATTCAAAGTAATGTGAATAATAATGGGTTTATTGACAAAAAAAAAGACCGTAATTCTCTAACCAATTTATCCTAAATAGTATGAAGGACTGTACATACAGGGGATCTACTGTTGCCCCCCTTTAGTGTTCATTGTTTGGCTCGAAAGGTACAGGTTCTTGTCTCTTTGTCAAAAGCACCTTTTTCTATTTAGACCTCATCGCAACTACGATATGACCTGTTGTGCTTTGTTTCTCTTTGACATAAAAATGCACCGCGTGTCTCTTGTGGTCGACCTGCTCGATTCCAGTAAACATTCTAAACCCTCAGTCATTATAATCAGGAGGAGACGCTATATGATTAAATGCAAACCATCCACCTGTTGCCACTGTAGCTTCACTTTATCCAATCAGGACATGGGGAGTCTTTCGTCACAGCGGTTGCCAAGTAACGGAGGTTTTGTAAGCTGTCGCTGACGTCTTTTCTTTGACTAAGCAGAAATGTGTGTGTGTGTGTGTGTGTGTGTGTGTGTGTGTGTGTGTGTGTGTGTGTCGAGGCTGAATTGTTTGATCACTGATTCATGCTCAGTCAGTCGTGCGGTCAAGGGAACACACTCTGCTGCTAAGCAAACAATTCACGATTATCTTTTTTCTGGTAGGTCTAAACGAAGTTTCCAGACGTGGCTCACAGGAAGCCTGTTTGCTCTAAGCTGTTCAAACACTCTCCTCGGTTTATAGTGCCTCATTTGGGAGCTTTTATGATTTGTTCAAAATGGAACATCGAGGAATGATCAATAGGGAATGTTAAAAGCCCATCCTGACCAGGACGGACCTTTAAGATCAAATCTTTTGTGTGTCTTTAGGTACAACCCCACCAAACAAACCAGGAGGAGATGAGATGCCTTCGGAGTGAATTGTTTTCAAAGACACAGGAAATATCATCAAAGTAAAAAAAAAAAAAAGATTCCAGAAAACAAATTAAACGATTAATCTTTATCTGTATTTCAACTATAACTGCTAAATTGATCAGAAATGTTTTCCAGTATTTTGTATAACCGTTGTTCTTGTTCTTTCTATCTCTGAATGTAAGTAATGGAGCCACTGACAGCCAACAATGTAACAAAACACACTCATCTTCAGAGATTTCTCTCAAAGTTTTATTTGTCAATGATAATAAAAACGCGCCATACAAAACATTAGAAACTCTTCGGTTGTACAAGAGAGCATTAAAACTCTGCATGCTGAAAGCAGCCGTCACTTTGTTTTAGAAGTGGAGACCAGTTGCGTTTCCCTGGTTCTGGCTGAAGTTTAAAGAGGTGCTTGTTGGACTGTCGTACGTGAGCCAACAGGAACTTTTACAGATCTATAAACTGTTTGGATAAATGTCGTTGTCATGCCAGAATCTCTACAGGCCTGGTGGGTGGAAGCCCACCTGTCTATTCCTGTTCAGGGAAAGTGCCACGAATGTAGATGAACACACAACAAACCTGTTGGTTCTCCATTAAGTGAGCAGAAAGCTCTTAGTTGAAAGTGCTCTACAGAAGTGTCCAAACAGGATTCCATCTTTTACATCTACAGCCGATTGAAATCTGTAATCATTCATTGTTTTAAAGGGTTATCTCCACTTCTGAGTTGCACAATTTCTTGATTCCTTAAATGCACTTCTGTCTTTTGCTTACAGCAACTGCTGCAAGGCAATATTTCATGCCTGCATGCATATATTTAATATTCATATAGAAACAATATACAAGATTCAACAATGTTTGGTATACAGTTGAAATGTAATATTTAACACAGGAAAAAACATGATCACTAGTTGACTGTTATGATCAGCAAAACTTATTCAGTAAAACTACTAACTTTGTTAGTGGAAAAAGTAATGTGACTACAGTAACAAGTTATTTATCTAATACATTAACCCCACTCGCACACGCACGCACACACATGCACTGAGTAGCATGTTGCATTTAAGAAAATAATCTAGGTGTTGCATCACAATAGAAAAGCAATGGGCAGGAGACGAACAGACGATGCTTGCTGCATAGGAAGGGAGGAGACCATCTTGGAAAGGAAGAATATTTTGCTACTGCTTCTGCTCACAACCGGTCAAAGGTTAAACGTTTTTTTGACAATTGGCAAAACAATGTCTGTTTGTTTTGAAGGTGTACTTAAAAAATAGAAGAAGCATTTGCTATAAGATGCATGTAGGGTTGGTTATTATCACAAAACTTATATGGAGTTTAGCTTTTAGCCAAAAATGGCTCAACATAATCATGATAATACAAAGAGGATGCGGAGACTTGGCTTTCTAAAACCATTAAAGGTAAATCATTTATTTGATATGGTTCTTGAAATCAAGTGTGCCATTTTTTTTGTTTACTTTTCTCTCCTTGTGCATCTATATTGTTTCAGATGAGCTGCCACTAATTAGCCAAAGTCTAAAAGAAGAAAATGTGCATAACATGATTGTTGCATTTAGAGAAATGGAATATGAAGGCAAGAACTATACCTTCATTAAAAGGTTTTAGTCATGAATTATTGTTAATTGTTCATTTCCATTTTTCTAATATTTCTATATAGAACCCTCTCATTAGAACACCATTCCCATCTTTACTTCGCTTAATTAATCTTTGTCGGGTGACACAATTAAAGGGGTGTCTTCATTTGATGAGAAGTTTCCATGTCTCTGAATTCAAAGTACGCTTTCTGAAGAAGATGATGCGCATTCAGTTGTATTTTGTGCGACAAGGTTTGTTTTTGTCCTGAGTGTAAATCTAAAAATAATTCATTTTTAAATGCCGGGATATACATTGTTCAACGGAGTACCATTTGAAGATTGCATATTGTATAGAATAAAATAAAATAAATATGTTTAACACCAGAGTGATCCTTTGAAGATCATCTTTTTGCGAAGATATTTGATGTGTTTGTGCAAGAATACAGTCCGATCCGCAAGTTATTTGCATAGACAGCTTCAGTAGCACTATAACCGCAGCGACACTTTTGAATTTATTAGACCTTTTAGAACTATTTTTAGGTGTATGGCTTCAAATACCAACAACGCTAAACAAAGAATCTTCTGAAGTTAAAGGGTAGGCTCAGAATAATCAGGAACATTTAAGATTGCTAATAAGCCTGTTTGGCCACAACATGCTCTCAGTTAAAGCTTGTGTACTATTGCAATTACTCACCACTACAGTTTGTCTTGGAGTTCGGATTAAGGTAACTTTGTCGGCGAGACCACAGATAGAGCAGCGAGTTTCTGTCACTCACACAATAGAAGCTGCATGGATGATGAGCGTTACAGCCTCAACTTTTAACTGCCATTAATAAATGCAGCGAAAGACACATGGTGAACTAATAAATAACCCTGATGAAGAAAAGATCCCATTCAGTCTTGGGGTTACTTATTAACTAGAAAACATTGGCACATGGTAGCTTGGACTACTGGCCTTCTTGTGAAGTCAGACGACACTCTGGTAACCGGTCTTTTCTCCACCGCGTTTTCAAATGAAGTCGTTCCCTCCGTCGCCGATGAGCGTCCCCTTCTGCTTGAGCCTCTTCAGCAGACACGAGGCGATGCCCAGAGCACCACCCTTCAAAAAGCGAACAAAGTTGTCTCCCACCAACGGGCCCATGGCGAACAGGCCCGGCTCCCTGGTACACTCAAAGGTGTAGGGGTGGATGTCAATGGGGTTCTGCGTGCAGGAGATGGGTTTTGTGGGATCCTGACCCAAGTACTGGCCCTGGCCCTTCAGGAAAAACAAGTTGGGGTTTGTCCCGATCAGCACGAGGGCCATGGAGATCTTAAATGCCTTGAGGGAGTTGTTCCCCTGCAGCAAACACCTCCTGTCGGACTGGAAGGAAACCAAGCAGTGTTCGGGGAAGCTGGTGTAGTCGGGAAACAGGTCGACACCGGCGTTACCGGCCACACTACCCGCGGCGAGCTGGGGCTTCGGGCACATCTTGGCACACACTGAGGAGGCAATACTTGCTGCCTGAGGTCCGTTTAAAGCAGAGGAGGGAGCCGTGTTGGTGTAGCTTTGAGAGCACATCATGTTGTAGACTTTGTGGTACTCTGGGTACAGGGTCTTGGGCAGCTGTTTGAAGATGAGGTCAGAGTCGCCGACGCTCTTACGAAAGACATGCAGCACTCTTACGTGGCTGTTACAAGCGCACAGAACTGCATCGGCAGCGCTCAAACCGGCACCGACAATCAAGACCGGATCAGAGTTCACGTCCAGTTTTCTCTGGCTCACGGCCAAACCCAGGTCTGAGATGCTGTGGAATACAAACGGAAGGTCCTCGCCCTCCGCGCCTAATCGGACCGGCGAGTCGGATGCACCCGTGGCCAGAACAACATTCTCCGCAAATAGAGAGAAGGGCACATGGGTGTCATTTTGCACCTGCTGGTATCCCCTCACTTCCCAGAGAGCCCCCCCTGCTCCGTTATTTAGACACTCAACTCCATTTCCCACATCTCCCAACCCTCCACCTCCCTGACCACTGTGCCTTTTTTCCAGGCCTTCCTCCTCGTGCTCCCGACACAGTTTCTGGATAGAAGTCACGTAGGTGTTGTCAACGAAATTCTTTTGCAGGCCCTTTAACTTGACATAGTCGCGGTAATAGGAGGAGATCTCCTCTGGGGTGGCTCGGTCACTGGTTACATCCCTGAGAAGAAGAGATAGATGATGAGCGGTAACAGCGGAATAAAACCCAGGCTTAAGCCGCGTTTTTACGGTCAACCCCCCTTTCGGTACCTGTGTTTCCCGTTGGTCAGGTCCCTGTAGTTGACCCCGGGAAGCTCCATCCAGATGCCCAGACTGATGGTCAGCATGGAACCCTCCATCGCCTGAGGGAAAAGAAGAGAGAATGCAATGTCAGAGGACAAAACAACGGATTGATAGGTGCAAGACTTGCAGCGGACTAAACGTTGCATCTCACATGCCAGGCGCCTCCAGGCGTTGCCCTCCCCAGCACCAGATGTGGGATGTGTTGCTGCTTGTCCCTCCTCCACTGAAGGACAGGGGGCAACTCGTAGCCAAAGTCAGCGTTGGGGTGCAGCAGCGTGTCAAAAAGCACAGCTACAGGGTTCCTTGACCTCCCCTCGAGACCTTCACTCAAATATTCCAGATCCTTCAAGAAACAGGGCATGATAATGACACGGCTGAGTGACTGTGATCATACAGGAACACTCTTCTTCTAGTGGTTTTACCTGCTCAGTAATCGATAGGTGCTTGCTCTCCTGCAGCTTCCTGTACAGTATTGGGTTTGGGTGGACAGTTGCTGTATCTAGGTAAGGCTTGTGTCCGCTCAGCAGGTAGGACAAACAAATACCCGAAGGGCCGTTGCCTGAAAACAAATAACAGGTTTAGGAAGGATCCGACACAATGAGTGACACAAGTTCAAAAAGAAAGAATGCTTCTGGTGTTTTACGGGAGCGAGATTAAACTTAAAGCATGGCATGCTTAAAGGTCCAAAGGTCAAGCGCAAGATGTTTACCTATGATAACCACAGGGACAGTGGGTGGGTGCTCTTGGGGCATAGTGGTCTCTTCCAGTAGAGGCATGGCTGCAGCCTGGGCCGGCGCCGGCACTGCGGAGGAATGGTAGAAATGAAAAGAAAGTTCCGGGCATTTCTGTAGCCCTCTATTTAGTGCCCTACTAAACGCAGAGGCCCCTTTGTGCTCTGAACACACTCAAACGGGCTTTCTGTCTTTGTTGTCTGCCAATGCTGTTGTCGTTGTCTCACGTTAGCTCGGATCCTGCATCCGTCCACCATCCATCAGCTGACGCACACGCCAGAAAAAAGCGTTATTCATCCTGTTATTGTCCTGCCACACAGCTATGACCCTCCCTGTCTGGGCCTTCAAACACATGGAAACGCCCCGCCACAACACAACGTGCCCCCTCCACCCCCTTTTTTTTCTCTTTGCCATCCCGCCAACGTCCACACCCCCCCCCCCTTGTCCTATCAAACGTGGCCGGCGGCGAGACTAGCCGCTGTAAACCCCGGTGCCGCTTCCCAAACAAAAGGGACTTCTAATCAGATTTATATAGGCCTGTGTCTGTTGGTAAAACGTTGCCATTGAGCATGTGTAGTGCGTGTTTGTGTGTTACGCGACTGTGCCATTGTGCGCCCGCCGGGCGGCAAATCCCCCCTGATCACTCCTCCGAGTGGGCCCTAATCCCACCGGGCATGTTTATGTCTTTACCGCCCATTTCCACAGCAGCAGGGTGAGAATGTGGTCCTGGCAGGTTGACAGAGCTCCTCCTCCTGTCATACCCATCTACCACTACCACACTACACACACAACACACACATACACAGGCAATCCCGCCAAAACATTACCCACCCACCCCGGCAAACAGTGCCCCCCTGCACCCAGCTCCAAAGTTCCTACTAACCAAAACTTGGCACGCTGCCGGTGGTATTTCCACTCCACTGGTCCATTTGACGAACCCGACAGTGTTTACAGTTTTCTAACAATTTCAATTACACACCAAAATTAGAGTCTCGCACTGTCGGTGGGTTTCAGGAGATCCCATATAATCCAAAGGAATGTATTCTAATTTGCATTTAGATTGTTATTTGTCAACATCTCCACCAGTAAACAGTATGGAAAGAATATGTATCATAAGACAATCGCAGTTTAAATGTTCATTTACTGGCTTCGGGAGTTTTCAATTGTATATTTTGTCTTATTCAACAAAGGAAACCAGATCAGTTGTACATAAAGTAATATGTATGTAGTATGTGTTATGTTATATTCAGCGCCCCTCCATTAGCCTGAGTGGGATTCTTACTCTGTGCATCATTTTATTTCTCTGAGTGATGATAATGATACACAATGCAGTTAACTCTTCATACTGCTGTGGCACCATGTTGTTAAAAGTAAGATTGTATAAAATGAGACGATGGGAACGGGATGCGGGAGAAATTGATAAGCGATGTTTTAATACCAAAGTAATCCACAGTTTCATTTCATTTCAAGCTGCTTGGGAGGAAAACCCCCACATTCATAGCAAAACATGTGAGATTACTAGAAATGTTGACTTGATTATGTTGCACGTATTTTGGTTTGTTGGCCTACTGACCTTCGAGTGTCTACATGGCCTCATTGTGAAGCCTGTGTGCAGACGATACACTACACTTTTCTAGAACATAGAGTGATGTGCGTTTAGCTGCAGTAGATAGACAAAATATGAAACTAAATGTTATTAAAACACCTGTCTTTTATTCGGAAACCGGCTTTAAAATGTCCATGCATTTCAATTTCGTTTTTTTGTTGTTGTATTTTTCTTAGTAACTGTTTAAAAGGTGTGCTCGGCCCTTTGCAACTTGTGCCCATTCGCATTGAGCACCCGGTCAGTTACAAAACTTCCAACCAGCTTGATATGAGGTGAATACAACAATCTACCCGTGTGTGGTTCTTACTGCAGCACAATGTAGCAGTGCGTTACGGAGCAATGCGCATCGATCGAATGGGTTAAAACCTCCCACCGTATCCGCTCGACTCCTCGCATCCTGCATCCATCGAGGCACCACGGAGCACATGCGACATGCGGCTCTGTGCAACATCATTGCGCAATTTAGGTCAAACTCACACCTCCGCAGAACCCGTCCTAGAACAACGATCTCTCACCTCGTTGTGATGCAGCTCTCTTTGTCCCAGTTGCGTCCAGTTATCACGACCCCCGCCTGCGTTTGTATAAATACACAGATACAGGTGGGAGGTCCAGCCTCTATCATGACATAATAAGCCAACCTCTCTCTCTCTCTCTCTCTCTCTCTCTCTCTCTCTCTCTCTCTCTCTCTCTCTCACACACACACACACACTCACACACGCGCGCGCACGCAGACACACGCATAGACGCGCGCGCATTTACCTCCGTGCAGTTGGATGACGTGCAGACGACGGTAGCCTCGGAGGTGGATCTCCTCTGCGCCTTGACGGCAGAGGGCGAGTGAGAGAGAAACCGCGTGTTCTGGCCGCCTCACGTGCGCATCTCTGCACCGGCAGGCGTGTGCGCGTTCACGGAGAAAAGAGGGAAGATGAAGAGCATCCTCGCAGCATCCTCACTGCGCCGCCGACCTGCTGCTCGAGGAGTGGGCTTTGTTATGAAATGTTTGCCCGAATCTCAGTAATGCCCTTGGACAGCATTGTTTCTGACGTACCTTTAAGCCCATATGCATGGAAGCAAAATAAAGATCCTGTAAGTCATTATAATGACAACATTTCTCATAATAATGCCTTAATGAAGCTAAAGACATGTTTCCACATTTAACCATTAAGTGTGCAACTAACTTAACATTTGAATTATGCTCTTGAGTTAATTTGGACGGATATAGAAGCGCTACAAACTAACATTTTAGTAAAACTCTTAACTCAGGGTTCCAGCAGCTGTCACACACTCTTACGAAGTCCCGCCTCCTCGCGCTATATCCAATGAAATTAGAGGAATGCACCGCTTCCGGTCCTTCATACAAACACATGTCGACAAGCCGTTAGCTCGATCAAAAACATACAAATCAAAGGCGAAAAACGCCACTAACGATGGTCCAGTTGAGTAGAATCTGCTTCCGGAAAGTAAGTAGCGAAGCAGTCATCATTTTAATCTCAGGGAAACGATTCAAAACTGTCTGTTTATTAACCACCGCAGCAGTGACATTGGCTGACAAGCTAACTGCTAGCTGGTGAAAACATCAACACTCACTCGCTGTTTGAGCCTCAGCTCGAATATTGTTAATACGATAAAACCCATCCGGGACTGAATGGGATAGTAGGAACTAGTTAGCTGACAGATTAATGTTTGTGGCACTCTTAATGTGCTTAATTTGATGTACAGTTAAAGCACAAAGAATTTTTAATAATTATTATGAATTACAAATATTTGCTGAAACAATACACTTACCAGCTTTTTATCCTGAGCTTGCTGGCGTCATTTTGTTGATCCATGTTCTGAAAATAATTTTCTCTTTTCAAAACAAAAATACTCAAACAGCAAAAAACAAGTTGTAAGAATGTCATACTCATTGCTAAGTTAACACATCTAAATGTCCCATAAAACCTACCTTTGGTTTTAAGGAATATTGTGACTGTATTAAATGCAATGTTTATATTTAACTATAAGCCACAGTTATCCAATGTGGTCATGTCTCTTCCTCCCGTTCTTCTTCCTCCATCACTAATCAGTCTTTTCTGCCTCCTGCAGTACGGTGACTTTGTGGACAACCTGCGCGTGTACGTCCGTGGAGGCGGCGGCGGCATGGGTCTACCCCGCCTGGGGGGGAAAGGAGGGGACGGGGGAGATGTTTGGGTGGTGGCTACAAAGAACATGACCTTAAAGAGGATAAAGGACAAGTATCCCGAGAAGCGCTTCGTAGCCGGAGCAGGAGCCAACAGCAGGTTTGTCTTTGCAACGGTCATCGTCAGTGACGTGAGTTGATGTTTATGACTTTGTCTCATTTTGTACAACAAGTATGTGTGCGTTTTCTACATCCGCAGTGTGCGCGCCCTGAAAGGCGAGAGGGGGAAGGACAAAGAGATCTTGGCTCCTGTCGGTATCACGGTCACCGGTGACAATGGCAAAATAGTTGGTGTGCTGAGCTTCTTTTGAAATACCTCCACCATTCGGTCAGCATATTCCGTGCTACGATGTTACCGTTTATTTCTACTTACTTTAGTCACTTAGGATATCTATAATGAAATGTCTGTAGCAAAGGGGTGTTGCAGGAGACACTGAAGTATGTTTAACCCCCTCTCCCTCCAAGGTGACCTGAATACTGACGGTGATCGGCTGATGGTGGTGAAAGGAGGAGCAGGAGGCTCCTTCCACTCTGCGTTTCAGCCCAGTAAGGGCCAGACGAAGCACATAAGGCTCGACCTCAAACTCATTGCTGACCTGGGCCTTGTCGGGTGAGTGCGGAAACCCCCCCCCCCACACACACACAGACATTATTGATCATTTCAAATTGGCACAAAAATGAAAACGCTTATTTTTTTTGTTGTTGTGCTGACGATCAGGTTCCCAAATGCAGGGAAGTCCTCCCTTCTGACTGCCATGTCGAACGCCACGCCTCAGATCGCCAGCTATGCGTGTGAGTACGCAACACAACGCACATCTACAGACTTTTTGAATCTTTTCTTTCTTTTTTTAAATTAGTGACATTTTTTATTTCACAGTCACAACTTTGAGGCCGCAGATCGGCAAACTGATGTATGAAGATTACAAGCAGGTATTGGGATACATTGTACTGTATTGTCCTTTTAACTGGCCCTTTTATTAAGAGTTTTTACTTTCGATAGATTTCTGTTGCTGATCTGCCCGGCCTGATCGAGGGAGCTCATGTGAACAAAGGCATGGGTCACAAGTTTCTAAAACACGTTGAGAGGACCAAGCAGCTCCTGTTTGTGGTACGTAGTGGCAGAAAGTACATAAGCTGAAACCAACCATGTGTGTTTGATTGTAGTCTGAATAACTAGGTGATCATGATAGTTTGATCTGGTTGTGCTTTGCCTGCAGGTAGATGTTTGCGGTTTCCAGCTGGCAAGCAAAACGCCGTTTCGGTCGCCCTTTGAAGCCGTTCAGCTTCTCACTAAGGTGATACTGCAAAAGTCTTGTGGTTTTTACCCCCAAAAGGTTGAATTTGAGCTAGTCATACTCAAACCTGGCTCCATCCAACTCATGCACAACATTGATTCGCCTGCATCTCATCTTCTCTCATTGTGGCCTCAAGGAATTGGAATTGTACAAAGAGGAGCTTGTGTCAAAACCTGCTTTACTGGTGGTGAATAAAATGGACCTGCCTGACGCTGAGGACAAACTAGCAGAGCTGAAGCAGCAACTTCAGAACCCAGATGGTAAAATCTAATAGATTCTTCAAAATGTTATTCATTACCTTTTTATGAGTTCCCTCTTACCTATTATGCAAATTCATGAATAGAGCTGTAGTTAAGCAAAAGCTTTCTCATCAGTAAACTTATTCACGAGGTCAAATGGACGGCAAGCTTTTGCCTCGTGTTGGACTTTGTCACTTTTTCTTTCTTTTTTTTGCATTTTTATGAACTAATATTCTTGGATTGTTATGGATTTTTATGACACTGTATACTACGACTATGTCCTTAACAGATGTGCACTGCCTGCGACGTGCTAAAGTGCAGTAACACACACTGGGCTTTTGTTTTCCTTCCTGCAGAATTCTCGCATCTGTTGCCCGATGACATGATGCCAAAGAGCTGCATGACCTTCAGACACATTGTTCCCGTCTCGGCCACCACCGGGTTTGGTGTGGACCGTTTGAAAAGGTGCATCCGAGAATCGCTCGACGACGACGCAGCGACGGCAACCAACGACATCCACCAAGACAGACTGCAAGCTTTGAGGCGGCAATCACATGAGCACTTGCGATGAACACACTCAATGCGACACATTTCTTCGGGACACACAGCCTACGATGATGGATCGTGCAAAATGAAAGCTGGTTTAACTTTGGTATAAAAGCAGCTGTCCGTTGAGGTGATGGAGGAGGATTTTATCACTGACTTTCACCTCCAACGTTACGACGCTCAACAAGTTGATCTGTGCTGCAGAAAGTCACTTCTGGTCACAAGAAGGGTTGCTGTCAAAATCTTGGCCACAGTTACTAAGGTCCATCTTTAGAGAGAAAAGAAACATTGCGGATTAATATGCTTATGAAATTATGTAAGACAAGCAAATGCAAGTAAAGCACTGAAATGATACAGAATGCAACGATCAGCCAGAAAGGTGAAATGTTACCTGACAATAATTCTGTTTCATCCGATTGCACTCTTTTTTGCAATATCCGTTTCAGGGATGTAACAATTGCAATGTTTTGGAATGTCACCAGTGTCGTCTCTTTGCAGAGTTTAAAATCTCTGAACTAGTTTTTATTTAACGTGACATGGGGCCAGGGATTATTTCAATTTAATACACAAAGAAAGGCCAATATCAAGAAAATCACCCTTTGTCATAAAACTGTTGAGATACAAAACTGACTCTTGATTTTCAAAATGATATTTTGTTATTACAAACCTATTTATAATTCAAAGCACAATACATACAGGATCAGAAAATATTTGTCCATCAAAAAAAACAAGGAGGGACTTTACCAGTAAACCGGTTTACCATTGTGTTTCCTAGAAAGTCAAAATGGAGGTTATTACAAATTCAAGCATAGACGAATGTGTTGATGAAAGTTTTATTTTATATTAAATATATTACAATACTGAATGATTAAGAGGAAAAAATATGGGGATTGATTTTTGCATCAGTCTGTACAACATTCAGGCAAAATTAAAAAATAAAGATTAAAAAAGACAGCAAGTATTTAGTTTTGAACTAGTTTTTCAGCTCCTGCAGCAGAGAACCGACGTGTCTGGCAGAATGGGACCATGTGGTTGAGACTGGGTGGTACATGAATACATTCAAGTCTCTGGCCAGATGGAGACAGACAACTCATCCGAGGGGACGTTTTTTGACACAGAGCGGTCCTGTTACGCGCAGGCCGACACAGCAGATCCGCTCGGAGAATCGAGTGCGGTCCAAGTGGTCCCATCCGGAGTCCTCAGAATGTCTTATAGTGCAAAGTCCGTAACACCGGGAGAGATTTTTTTTGTTTTTTGTTTGCACAGTATTCTGATGTTAAAAACATTACTCGCGGCTGAGCCGACGCTCTCGGGGAGCCTCGGTGTCCAGGAAGGTGACTGGGCCACCAGACACTGACGAAAGCGTAGAAGAAAGCGCTGGTAGAAGGCAAATCATGAGCCAATATGGAACTCATATACAACATTACGTGTGTCCAAACCCTACGTGATACAGAGTAGCACATGCCAGAGGAACGACTGCTTCTATGTGGCCCCGGGACAAAAAAACGGTCTCCATTCAAACTCACCAACACACATAATTACAATAATGCACTTAATTACTGTTTGAATCGTTGCTGTACATAACGCTGAGAACAAAGTGAACGTTACAAAGGTACTTAATAATAAGAAAAGATTCTATCTGCAACAATAGTCCAATACTGCAAAGATCTTGCTAACTATACAGTCTTAACGCATACATGAATTACAAATGAATAAGTGGCCACACCAGAACAAAAACAGTCAATTACAAACCGCAGTGCCTCGAGGCAACAGTTTCCACACAATGCAGAACAATGAGTTGCAAGTGTACAAAGGACTTGCTTTTGGAGAGTGTGATGGGAGTAGTTTCAAAGAAAATGAACCTTAATAGTAGATAGCTACACCGGCATTACGTCAGCACTGGCGCTTTGACGAGGAGCAGTAGAGTCGGTGGTGCACGATACTTCCCTCAGTCATCGCCTCGTGAATAGAAAAATGAAACCGTTTAATTATAGAGCTGTCATGCTGTTGGTCTTCACAAAGCTCAAACAGCAAGCACTGTACAGCATAGTTAATCATTTGCAAGGCTAAATATCTCAATCGTTACGCTAAATCCAAAATGCACATTTCCACCGCAGTCCAGGTTCCTCGTCCAGGTGAGGTCACCTGCTCTCACGTTAACTCTTATTCTAACATTCATCCATTCAAATTTACTCGCTGCCACAGTGAATGTGAGAGCAAACTGCTCAAAAGTAGAATTAAGGGGGAACTAAGATCTTAATATGATCAATTTTTAAAATGTCCAAAAACCTACAGGTACAGCAAACACATCCCTGATATTTCCCTCCGGAAAAGCACATAAAACTATTGGAATTTTTCTAAACAATACTCAACGACAGCCTCCAGCAGCTTTCTCAATGTGCCACAATCCACATTCATATCAATACTTCCCTCAGTCATTACCGGATGTCTTTGTATTTCTCCCAGAGATGGATGGAAATCAGTGTTAAGATAATATAAAAACACTTTTACATTCGGCTGTGGATGGAAAATAAGCTAAAGAGGTCGCGGTCACACAGGAAAGAGGCCAGTGGGAGGCAAAAGGATTTGGACAGAAAGACTAGAAACACAGACAGAAGAACGAGTGCGGGGGTCTCCTAAGCTCGTCTACGGGAACCCGCTTCTGTCCACGACACAACACAGCGGGAGGAGACGTCTCACTCGTGTCCCCCTTCAAAGTAAAAGCCAGACCATACTTTGTGTGTATTATTACTGTACATATTTACACACGCGCAACTGAAGGTCGGGTCGGGTCCCTGTCATGGGTAATAACTAGTGATACAATATGGGTTACCTATAGTAGAGAGAAAGCATCTAAGCCTACAGAAGGTATTAAAATCACTGCCCCGTAGCATGCTCTCTTCTCAGATCGGACCACTGTCTCGTCCTCTCAGCCGGAGGACGCTGCCGACGATCAGGGTTGACTCATGCATACGGTGCCGGAGTTTCTACAGTGATTTGCGTGCGTCAAAATGATCCCACAAATCCAGAGATGCAGCGTGATACGGCGACCTGCTCCTGGCTCCACGGTTTCTTCTTGCTAGAAACGAGCAAAGGGAGGGTGGGTGGGGTTATGAAGTCTTGTGAGTAATGTGTGCGGACAGGTTAAAGGGTAAGAGGGGGGTTTCCAGTCCGGTAGTTGGGGCCTGAGCAGACGGGACAGCTCAGTCTCAGCTCCAGCTGGTCTGGAGTGATTGTGGAGGTGGTTTCTCTCCGCCGGCTCTCTGCATCGTCCTGCAGAGGTCCACTGAATGACGGCGCCTGGCAGGACGGCCTCCGAGATGCTTGGACACAGTCACTCACATACACGCCTTTACTTTTGGGGGAGAGGGGAGGGGGGGGATCTCTCGCTTTGTTTCTCTTCAATCGCTTAGAGTCAATTTTGTTTCATTTTTATGTTTTTCATCCATAGAAAAGGAGAGACGGGTGTATTTCCGTGAGAACTGGGCGGGTAAGAAGGCTTATATTGAAGTCTCCCACAGCTGAGGGGACGGAGAAGAGCAAAACAAAGACAGGAGAAAGGATCAGGCAAGAAAACACTTTCTATGAACATTTTCTTTGATTCTGTAAATCAGGATCTTCATTGGCAGTATTTCAGTAACCTTCAGTGTTCATAGTTTTGAATCCATAAAGCCATCCAACACACTACAAAAGTCTTTCAGATAAGACGTTAAAAGCCTGATAATGGCGCAACCGTACAGATGAGGGACGTGAAAGTGGTCAATTTAATCTCATTAATGTGTTTTAGCGTCGGACAACTGATGCACCATCTGGGCAACCGGTTGCTAATCTCTAATGCGGTTGATACTTGCCTTGGCGCTCTGCCTGCTGGCCTTCCTCTGGTCATCGGGCAGAGGGGGCATGGGGTACGGGTACCTCCTGCTCGATGCAATGGACCCTGTAGAGGAAGTGGGGGACTTGGCGGGGGAAAGCGTCCTGAGGAAATTGGGGAGGTGACGTTATTATAAAAAAATCTGAAGGGTTTCAGATTCAGCCAAAGCCACAGATGGTGAAGATCAGGAGCTTCTTTTAGATCTGTGACTTTGAGCAACATCCTCTTTGAGCTGCTGAAATGATTCAGCGAGGCTGATCTTAAAAGGCTGCTTTCTTTCGGAGATGTTCCTTTAAATGTCAAAATTGTTGCTTGTAACCTTGACTTCTTTTTCACAACAGCACTAAATCCTAAATCCTCTACTTATATGCACATCCCACTACAATGTTCCTCAACCTCACAATATGAACGACGGGCCAGAAAGAACTCACTCTGTGGAGTTGGAGCGAGCGCGGAACTTCTTTCCTTTCAGCTTCTTGCGATTACCGCTCAGATTTCCTGCACATAAAAACAGAACATAGATCTTAAACAAAGTAAAACATGAATTGCGTTCGAGAGTACAAGTATAAGTAGGACTGCAATGGAGGAATTACTCCTGTGGTGAATTTGTACGTTACCTTGCCAGGAGTTGCTCCTCGGTCGCCCGTTTTCACAGATATCAGAGATGTGTTTGGCATCTGGGATTCTCTCGCTCCACGAGTGGGAGAGTCCGTTGGATCTACACGCACACGGAAGCACAACGGGCGGAATGTCATCAGCTTATTGTCCTTTAAAAGCTGCCGCAATGCTTTTCTGATCCCGTCGCATTAGTGGAGGAGTGAGAAACATTGAAGCATTGTAGCAGATTGTTAACGTTACTCGCATTAAAAAAATACTACGGCAGTTGAATGAGACACGACATGAGAAATGAAATATACTTTCTGCTTGATTATCTACTGGCAAAACATTTTGATTCAACTTCAAAATGCTCACAGAAAGCGATAGAGAACGTAAGCTACAATAGAAAGAAATCAAGACATGAACTCTCCAGTGATGTAGAGAACCCAACAAACACACGCCCACACACACACACACACACACACACACACACACGCACGCACACTATTGCCAGTGGATGAATGAGTGTGGATGAGATGGCACACCTGAAGCCAAACAGTGAGATGTTCTGAGAAATAGATGGGAAGGAGGGAGTGAAGGACAGCGTGCAAATCTGCAGATGCGACAGGCAGGCTGACCTCTTCTTGGAGCTGCAGCCAGAGTTCGTACTGACACCTGGAGGCATGTCGCTGTAAAATGAGTCTGCGTCCCCAGGCTTTGTTACATAGTCACCTGGGGGCATTTGCCTGGAAACACAGAAGAATGCTTTTTAGATACAAAGTCCTGGGGAAAATGGGAGAAAATAATCCAAAAGATCTTAGAAAGTTATTAATCACAATTCTATAATATTCAACTAATCCATTTTGTTCTCCTTATTTGTTGTTATGAAGGTCTACTACAGTTTCACATTTTCCAGAACAAGTTCAGTGAAACTGCTCCTGCAGTTTAACCGCAGTGGCAATGTGTGATGATGAACGTAATTATGTACATCTACTGAAGTACTGCAACTTTAATTTTACTCCAAATACATTTTGGAGTGATATATTATACGCTTCTATTTGAATAAACGTGACCGATGTCAGTGACAGTAAAAAATAAACTGCCCCACAGAATATACAAACTTTAACTCAACAAATACTTTTGATACACAAATCTATAATTTATGATAGAATTCTAATAAGGTAATTTAGATAATAGTACTAATAATATCTTGATAGATAGATATATACTGTTTATATCCATATAGATAAGCCGTCACACTTTGTTTTATGCTAAAATAGTGTTTAAAATGAGCAAACCGGCAGAATCTTCGATGGACTTCAGACTCCACATAGCATCTCTGTTTGTAGCTCCTGTGAAGAGAAGTACCAGCATCCTCAGTCCAACAACAATATCACTTTTACTCCAATTCATTTCATAATCAAAGCAGTCATCTTCCAACCCCCGTGAAATAAAGCGATATCTACTTGCTCCCTTTCTTGATTACTGTGTAATAAAGAGGGGGAATGAGAGAAGCTGCAGGGACACTCACTTGTAACCCCAGGCCGTAGCAGCAAGGATGAGGGCGAGCAGGAGGATGGAGCCTGCGATGGCCCCGATGATGATGTTGGTGCTGCGGATACCTGAGACGGTGGGAGAGAGCAGAGTGGGGAGTGTTAAATGAATGTGTGTCTCTTGTTTCGTGTGGGGGACACACTAACCACACAACACTACAGCGGAACACAAAAAAAACACAGTACACCGAACAAGGAAAGTGTAAGCAGAGAACAAAGGGAGGTGGGGGACAAGAGAGACACCAAACTGCTGTCAGCCCTCAGCATCACTCTGGGGTGTGGGGTAGGGGGAGGGGAGGGCGTCCCATTCAGGATAACATTACAAACTGCTTCATTCTTACTGAATGAAGGTCTCATTTAGCCGAAATTGAGGTGTGAGAGAGGAAGTGGACCAGGAAATGACATCAAGGACGTGACAAGTACAATGAAAAGGAACTCAAATCTGACCTCCAGTCACTGCGTCAAAGACATCGGCCTGTCGACAAAGAATGAGTGTGAAAATAACCACAAACAAAAAGAGTGACGTGCATGATACAGTGAATACGAATGCAGCTGGTTTTAATGAGAAGACACGGAATCCGACATGCCAAAAGAAAAAAAAGTTCAACGGAAGAAGTGAAATAGATGAAGTGGGCGAAGCAGAGAGCAGCAGATGGAGGCAGAGGCCTAGAAATGAGAGAAGAAGCGAGGAGTTGGTCACCGTTAACCGTCAACTTCTCGTACCTGAGACTGAAGCAGTGGGTCCGACCACGAGGTAACTGAGGGGCGACGTGGAGTTACAGTCCTCTCCGGCCCATCCCAGGTAACACACACACTTCAGCTCGCTGCTGCACACCTGCAGCAAACAAGAGAAGAGTTCAAACACAAAGGATTTGGGCGCTCCGATGATGTGCAGTTACTTATTATATTACTCCTGACCAACTGCAGCTGGAGGTTTTAGGAAATAATGCTGATAAATTGGGTATAGCATATATATGGGTATACTGTAGTACAATTATTTGTCAAAACAGCTGAATGTGCACACGGATCGTGTTTTGTTATCAAATTAAACCAAAGAACACTTGGTTCTTAACACTCTGGAATATAAAGTACCACAATTTAATCGACTTAAGTTCACACAACAACACTCTGAATGAATGAATGAATGGTTGCACACGCGTGTGCCCGTGTGTGCGTGTTCACCCCGTGTCCAGAGCAGACGATCTTGTCGGTGGTCCCGGGACAGGTGCTGAAGTTGAACTGTTGGATGGGCAGACATTTTTGATCAAAACAAATGCTGTCCGTCCCGCAGGCGGTCCCGTCCTCGACGTATCCCAAGTCCGTGTCTCCATCGATCAGCACGTGAGCTCCGCTGCACAACGAAACACAAACCCAGTCACTCACACTTGGACTTTAGGGAGACTGTAAATGTTGCGTTTGCTGTGCACAGTATCTTCAACAGCAGGACATGCGCTTTGAGCATTTAAAGATGTGTGCCCCCTCCCCAATGTGTACCTGCAGTCCAGAGAAGCGCTGTGCCGGGCTACTGAGAAGGAGGTCAGCCCTCCCTGCAGCTCTCCCAGCCGCGGGGCAGGCGAGATGTTGGAGCACAGCAGGTACCCGCAATGGATGTCTCTGGAACACGGAGATGCAACCAAACGTCACCGAGAGCAAAACGCTCGGGAGGGTTCAGTCACAGAGAGGATTCACTCACTGTTTGTTACACTGGATCCAGGTGTCCTTGTCCTTCCCACAGTTGCCTTTCTCGGTGCCTTCAATGTTCAACTTCTCGTAACAGAACTTGTCGGCCGCCGTTGCCTCTGAGGGAGACGCAGCACGAGGAACATTAATATTCAAGGTTTCAGGAGTTTAAATAGAGATGCATTTGGCCTTTGTGCTGATTTGTTAAGACACAATTCAATTAGCACATAGTAATATTCGACTTACTCTCTCCCCAAATGTACTTGCACTGTCTGTCTTTGGTTTTGCACCTTCCATTGAAGCAGCGACCCTGCAGAGAGGAAAATAGGGTCAGAGAAGTCAACTCTGCAGAGGCAAAGAGACAAAACGTAAAGTATCTCAAAATCTCACCTGGTCCTTTTCACATGTGTAGCCATCCATTTTATGCACATTTGGTGGACACTGCAAACCACAAAGGAAGCCTCAGAGATACTGCGATGCACTGTTTAGTGCACTGTATGAGTTTATAGTGGCGATTGCAGAACACCTGGAGGGAAGCTCTTGCTCACCTGGCTGGAATTGCCTGTGCAGTTTTCTGGGATGTCGCAGTCGTTGACTGAATCCCTGCACACGACTCCCATGAACTCCATCTATAAGAGGATACAATCAAGATCAAACTGATTCAAAGTATTTGTAGAGAGGTTTCTGGGTCAAGATCAGAGCTGAAACTTATTGTCTGGTGGCCTACTTTTAAAGTACTGTTTGTCAGTTTTATGTTACCAGAGTTGACCAGCAGGACCAAAAAAAGGGGGTTACTACTCAGGCACTCCTCCTTCAGCTTGCTGCCATGACTAGATAACACCTCCATTAATCACCCGAGTGGGCGATGGTTGGGAGCCGTTTTGTACCTGGCATTTGTTGCAGCAGAGTCCGTTGCTACACTTGGACCCTTGGGTCAGAGTGCACTTGTCGCAGCAGGCCTCCCCCTCTCTGGCACACTCCTAAACAGACGGACAGACGGACAGACAGAAAGTGCTCTCAGCTGCCTTCCTTTGATTGGAAGTTGGTTGCTTCAGGTAACACGTTGTCACATCTAACAGTTTAATGCATTCAAACAGAAGTCTCTCTGTAATTGTGTGATAACTATTATCACTGACGCCTTGATTTCTCCAGTGACATTACTTCATTGCTTTCAATTACCTCTTATTAGACTGACACAGAAGGTGGCCTTGTTGTTGGGTAATTAGCTCCCTCCCCCCCACACACACTTTGACCTGAGACGATTACCAAGTTAACCATTTAGGCCAGCAAATGTCATGTCTTACCAGTGGGCTGCCACAGTCACACTCCTCTCCCGGCTCCACGAAGCCATTTCCACACACCGGAGGGTCCAAAAGCTAAAGGGAAGACGGCCAGAACTCATTTTTCGAGCTACAAAGAGGACAGATGCAACCAAAATAAGAATGGATGAACATTGATCCATGTACGCGAGCGTGACGTACCTTCAGAGGTTTGTTGAACAGACACGCTCCTCCTCCGCTGTTCAGAAAGTTGTGGTACTCCTCCACGTTGCATTCGGAGAACCTCTTGGGCAGGTAGAAACTGTTCAAGACAACCGCAGCACATTATTCTGTTACCGTGGATACAGCACATACAGCATCTTCAGAGAATACCGGTACAGACGGGGGTTTGTTCCCCAAACACAAATTACAGGACGAAACACTGGGAAAAGTATTGTTTTAAAGATTTCTGCCCACATTTAATTCTAGTGCAACATACAATGCCATGTCAGGTCTGTATTTCTTACCCTACACCATGAATATTTCAGATTTTACCGCAGATTTACCATACTCACAGTTCAGAGGAGATCCTTACTACAACAGTGGAGCTAAGATCGTGAGGATCACATAGAGATATGGGGAATGGATTCTAAAATGCATCTATGAATTTTGCAGGGAAATGGACTATTCTGAATAACTCAGAGAGACACATATTATTGCATTATCATGTGACACTAAAATGATTGCATCATTATATTATATAGAAATACACAGAATAGAAATCAAGCCTTTTAACTGTTCAATGCTCATCGTAATCGCATTGATTCAGTTACAGTAAAACTATTTTTAAAAATCCAACTAGATGACAGATCCACCAGAAGCCCACACACCTTTGGGACTAACTGACTGACTAACTTGTCACAGTCCAGTGTGATTTTTCCATTCGGATGCTTTTTATGACATCGACCCAAACGTAGGCAGTGTATAGACATCATCTCACTGCTGCACCATCAGTCACTGGTGTTTAGCTCGAGGGCCTCTGGTGGTTCGGCTCATCGAGACTGGCAGACAGTAGACAGCAGACAATGCAATAACGGAGGCTCTGGTTGTTGGGTTTGAGATGTGGATGAATGGAGCCACGTACAGCGAAAACGGTTCTATAAGGAGCCAGTACTGACACTTGGATGACGGGTGAAGCGCACTACAATATTTCAGGTAGAATTAATCGGGTTGAAGTTGTGCCAACTGTCACTGAGATTTGCATCTTTGAATTTAAAATTTCGCACAAGCGCTTCTTCTCATGGAAATCTTGTAGTGTTTCTCCCCTTTTTAAAAAGTGATAAGGGGTAAAACAAATGATGAAACGTGCTTGAATGATTTATCGGTCACGAGGAGAAGTACAATCGTTGCCATGGGGACCAACATCATAACATAAGTCAATAATTAATCGTCTCTTCAACCTCACAATACAATACTTAACAGATAGTTTGTGCTTTAACACAACTGTGCCGTACTCTGATTTACTCTGGCTTTACGCTGCTTTTATCTATACTAGACATTTAAACTAATACTCAACAATATTAGTGTTCACATTTTTCATCGTTAATGAAAAATGTTGTTATGTTTGTTAGGTTTTTGGATTTCTTTTCACAAAGCACAATCTTGTTTCCAAAAACAATATTGATAGTAAATTCATTCATTCATTACTCAGTCAGTTTATCACCTCCTAGTGGCGTTTAGGGGGCAAAGCAGTGTCTGAATCACACTGAACCGCAACCAATTACTCGATTGTATCTGTTTATTATGGACTATTCTTTTTCAACATTACTCTTTATAATCATATTTCATTTAGGTTTCTTTGTGGCAAAAATCTCATGAGCGGATAACAGGAAAGCATATTTAAGTTGAAAACATGTATCTCCAACATAATTCTTACAAACATATGAAAACATGTACAGACACACACTCACACTTGCAAACACACGCGCACGCACACACACACACACACACACACACACACACACACACACACCAACAAAACCCTGTCAGAAAGGTGAGAACAGTTAGTATAGTAGTCAGGTTCGGTCGATCAGACATGCAGGTGCTGAGGAATAAAAAGAGACGTCCATCACACGACCGAGTGTTTTTCATTGAATACAAGTGTCTGAAATACCATTGAGTTCATTTTAGTGAATACAGATCTGGGCCCGGTCCATTAACAGGTGACAGTCTCATAAGAGCGCAGTCACCTGTCCCATTGTAGCAGCATCATTACGATTACCACTAGAGCAGAACCTGGACGGGGCGGTTAGTTAGTGCACTGCCGTTACAGTGGAATGAGGAAATATTGGCCTAAGATGAGAATGACATTGCAGACTGTTTCAATCGGTTAGAGATGGACAAAAATAACTGATGGAAAGTCCTGACTTTCAAAGCGCAGGAGGGAGAAGGAGAATAAATTCTAAAATTAGAATAAATAAAAAAAATTAAATGTTCTTGACTAATTAGACGGTTACATCCAAAAGCGGAAGAATACACATGACGTACATGTGAAATTGTACAAAATGAGCATGAAAAATACAGCCGGTGTATAATAAAGGGCCATCCAACTGTATTTTTTCACATCATTTGAATAAAAAGGAGAAGCCGGGGCCACAGCAGCTGCCGTTGGATGAGATGGGAAAGGTTGTGATGACTGACAACCCCTCCAAGGCAGCCGGTTGGTTCAAAACAGCACAGGCAACGTTCTAGCCAAGCTTCAGCTCACCTGCTGTCCCATTCGGGATAGAGGGGGAACGCGAGAAGTATTTAAGAAGAGGGGTATATGTATATATACATCTTCAAACACACACACACACACACACACACACACACACACACACACACAGGTAGCAGAGGCTTTTACAGACACAAAAGTCACGTCCGTATGCTCAGTAAGCCTCCACAGTCCACTGCTGATTTACACTGAGACGCGAAGTACGAACCATGCAGAGGCTGATCTATCACCTCGTTTCTAATCTCAACAAGCAGTGGATTCTATAACACACATGTAGAAAGTTCACGTAGGCTTTTACACTTTTATGGTGAATCGTCAAACTAGAATGTAACTCCAGCGGTGGAAAATATTACATATCGGCATATTTACAGTAGACTATTTAAGTGATCTAGATCTGCGCTGTTTGTCTGTCGTACACGTGTTACTGACGCGTCTGTGGTTTGATCTTAGAAAAAGTTGCTCATCTTCACTGTGTGTATGTTTAAACTGTCACGTTTTGCTGGTACGATACAATAAATGGTGATTCAAGTCTTTGGTTAATACCTAAGCCAACAAAATATGCAATATTCTTTTCAGTAAGTTGTAATATTTGCATTATAGCCGATGTACAACATATCGGTATCCGACTCTAAAGTTGTGATTAAAATATATTGTAAAAACTCAAATACACAGTTAAACTGTTTGTTTCTGTTAAGCCGTTGAGGTTTTAAATTGATTAAGGACTTTTCTGTAAAGTCACTTACCCAACATCATCCATGATGCAGCCCGACCAACGGTCGTCACACTTGCACTCGCCTGGAAATGAAAGACAACACACATCAACATCCTTCCATCGCATTGGAACGACCCTGAATAAATAAACGTGTGCTAGATAAGTAAGAAATAGAGGGTTCATTAGGGTCTGGCTGCGTACCGTTGAGGATCCTCTTCTTGTCAGAGAAGATGCCGATGTTCTGTCCCAGAGACTGAGCGAGGGTGATGGCCATCTCATCCGTCTTCCCGTACTGATGAAGAGACAGGCAGACCCAGGAAGAGAGACAACGAGAAGAGAAATTAATTCTCATTTAATGCAAGAAAGCATGCTGGTGTTGTTCCGAGTGGAGAAAATAGTTCATGATTGTGATCCCTGTTGCTACAATGTGTATGTAGCTGCCTGTAAACTGACTGTGAATTTACAAGTTAAACACACAAGTTTAAATATGTCATTTGTTGTTCCCGGCCCACCTCATTGACCCCCCCTCCTTTGGTCAGGGAGCAGACTCCTCCCATATAGGAAGCTCCTCCCCAGCTGCTATGGAAACGATTCCCCCTGTTAAGAAAATAAAGTTAATAAAGAATCCGAGTGCACAAGAACATGATTTCTAGGAATTCAGACTTACGAAAAGAGGTGAACAGAGTCGCATTTCTCCTTGATGAAGTCTTTTCGATACTTCATGAACTCCTTCAGCGTCACCATGGGGTCGTCGTCGATGTTGAACTTGTTGTCAGCGGACCATGTTTCCATGGCGACCAGCACAATCCTTGTATTAAGCTGTTCCTTGAAAATCTGGAGAATTAATAGTAGATTTAATATAGGTACGTTATCCCTTGAAAATACTGACATGGGGCGAAATTGAAAGTTATTATGACATATTCACATCTTCAAATGTCTGCTGTAAAAGCACCGTATGAACAGTGTGATCAGTCTCCCGCCACCAGACTGCAGCACATTACAGGCAGCTAGACAAAGTCAATACGACTAACAGTCTGAGGGACATACTGCAGAGGGAGCCAGCTGGCAAATAATAATGTTTGCTTTCATAAAATAGAAATCTATTGGTGCAAAGGACCAGTGAAACAGTGAAGGAGCCAAGTGCAAAGCATCTTTGTTTAGGCTGAATAGCAGTAAGATCACAATCACACAGATCCAGTCAATCCAGTAATTGACACCTCCCTCCATAACTCAAATTTGTTTGTGCAGACGAACAGAAATCATCACCCTAATTTGTGCCTCTATACATTTAAGTCTCAGGAGATCTTTGATAAATCCAGCGGATCACTTCTGTTACTCCCGAATGCCTCCAAAACTGAACAAATATGGTAGTCAATGATGTCATGTTTAAACTCAATCTGTGTGATTTGAATCAAAATGTTCAAATGTTAGTATACATTCATGCTTCTCCCCACGTTTTGGTTTGGGAACGAGGACTGTGTCAATCAGTGTGGTGACAGATTTCTGCATGTGACACTTTTTACATGGTGGATATTGTTTAAGAAAGTGTGTCAATTCCTTTTTATGAAAGTAAGGACACATTTTACTGACTACAAACTATGAAAACGTAACCCACATTACATTTCTTTAGTAGAGTACATTTTTTATGACCATCCTCTTGAGCACTTCTAAACGGAAGTCATGTCAGGAGACTTTTCTTTCGGAACAAGTGCAGACTTTAATTTAAAGAAGCCCAAAATTCCCCGCTGAGCCATTAATGTGACTGTGGCAAGAAAAAAACCCTAATTCTTAACAGAAAGAACCAGGCTCTAGGCCGCAATCTGCCACAACCGGTTGATTCTGTATATTTATACCCACAGTAAATCTAAACAGGGCTGTGAATGTGGCCTCAGTACACTGGGGGGGAAAAAGGCACCAATGCGTAGAAATCAATCTGTACGTCCAAAAGTCTGTACAGCTCTGTATGATCTCCTTCAAGGACACGACATGAAAAGCGTGACCTCTCCCCAGCTCCCACAGCCGATCAGCTTACAGGCGTGACCCGGTGGCCGGTCGGATATCAGTACCGCAGCAAACAAACATGGCTACAAATAATGACATTAAAATATCTGCCTCGCCGTTGTTGGAATAACGCTGCTGTTTCAGTGCTGTGAAAAAGTCATCACCGGCTGGTTAATTCCTGCACGCAGCATATTACGGGCCGGGAGAGGTTTTAAATGCTGCGAGTGAGGTTGGTAAGTGAGAAATCAGTTCAATGTGCGCTCAGCTAAAATAGTGGGAAGTGCTTGTGGCATGCTTTCCAAGAAGTGGATCAATACAATTCTTACCATGTCAGCCATATTGACCACTGACTTAGCATAGTTATTTGTGTGTCCAACGGAAAGCCGATGCTTCTTGTACTGAAGAGAGAGACAGAGACAGAGAGGAAACAATTCATTTTATACCATTTAAATGTATGGAAGGAGCTGTAAATATCACCTTTATTCTGTGTAAAACATTTCACTCAGGGGATTTTAGTCGGGGACATTTGAATCAAAACTGTCTATATTATGCACAATGGAGGTATTATTTGGAGTTATAGAAATAATTATTTTACGGTATACAGTCCATCATAATTGTACAACGATACCATATCTACTTACCATTAAATGGTCATTGATCACCATCAATTCAATGTATTTGTTCTCATCCTCCGCGCTGCGTGACAAATACGGAGCCTGAGAAGAAAAAACACATTTTGTCAGTTTCACCATGAAAACCGACAGTAACACTTTACTCAGTTTTCTTCAACCAAGAGGTTTCTACACGGAAGACCATTTCAGAGCAACACACACAGTAAACGCAAAGATCAACTCTTGTCTCATGCGATTGAATCAATATGGTTGAACTTTGCAAAGCTAAGCCAGGTTCATCTTTCTTCCAAATAAAGAAGAGAGCAGCTCTGAGGGCAGCAGATGCAAACATCTGATGGTGTCTGAGAAAAGACGAGGGAGCAGCATACCCGCAAGGTAAATATTTCATGAAAAAAAAGAAGGAACATGAGAGAGAGGTGGGGAGCAGATGCGTGGGAGGAAACAGCGCTCTGTTTATTTATATGAACTTATATAAAACATAGGCAGGGCAACAGCATGAGAATCAGGTTTGGACAAACAGTATATAGAGCATCATTTTTTCCGTATCTAACACTCACATGAACAAACATACTGAAGTAAAGTGCAGTCAAGGTGAGTCATTCATTGTCCATCTGCTAATGATGAGGATTTTCTCACAAATATGCCATCATACCTGTCTCTTTTTTCTCCTGTGAATAACTCTTGACCCAGGAAATGGAGGACTGGGGAAAGGCGGCTCGGGAAAATCACCTAAAAAACAGAAACATCAATAAAATGAAAAGATTTTTGACTCATTTTTATTAATATTGATCACACATTACATTCCTTCTTATGACTTTAGTCATCATCTTACCATTGATGAGATCATTAAATCCCTCTTGGCCTGCAGATTTGTATATCATGTGAATGCGGACATCTCCCTGCAACACACAGAAATATCACAGATCACACCCTGATTTGGAGGTGAAGCAACCAGGTTCCAGTTCAGTGTATATACTTTTATCTTGAATATTTTATGTCACAATTTATCAACCCTGTGTTCTGCACGCATGCGCATTGCAAAAACGACCTGTAAGACAACGCTGAGGGAATTAGGACTCCTCTTCAGCGAGAAGCGTCGGATGTGAGTTTGAACCGAAGAAACGGGGCTGAAATGAAGCTGCCTTCAACCTAAACGGGACCTAACTGCTGGAAATAAAAGGTATTTGTATATTTCTAACGTAGTAGTCGAGTTTTACCTTTACAATGAGGAATTCCTGAAGCAACAAGTTGTTGTAATGCTAACTTGTTAGCTACTAGCTAGCAAGGCTGCTAAGTTAGTTAGCGTTATCTCATTTAGCCTATTCGTAAACATTCTGTCGTTATTAACTATGCCAGTTAATATGTCGACGTTGGATGGCAGTGGACAATTGCTGATGTATGCGGCTGTTAATCCGGTCGTAACATTAACATAAGTGTCTCTAGTTAATTAGAGATAACATTAACCTAACGTTAAATCAACGGGCTAAAATGCTAACGTTAACATTAGCTAACTTAACTTTTACGTTAGCATTATAAGAAGTAACCAGCTAGAAGGGCGTCTTCTGGCATGTATGACTTCTGGAATATTGATCTCAACATTTGATTCCAGTATAATAACAGGTGTTGGTGTGACTAATGTCATGGTCTTAATCAGTGTATTACCACACTGCTATATCGGGATGACGCCGTCATCGTCGTTAAGTTACCACGGTGACTGCATTGAAAAAGTAAAAAATAACAGAATTTAACATAATCAAGATGAAAACCTTCAACAGACTCCATTACTAATGATTACTTGTCAAGAGAAGCCCGGACAGTGGTGATGAGTGTCTCAATACACAGTTTTCATACAGCCATGGTCTGTCACTGTTTAAGAGACTTAATTTAGCTGCTCATTGTTGAGCTGCACAGCCGATGGGATCCACTGCAGCATAGACACACTTGCTCTGCAACCACAGCTTCCAAGTCATTCCCACTTTGTTTGCTAATGAAATGAGAGCATTGTTTCTCGGGGACAGGAGATATTAGGTCAACTACGCTGTGGTGCATACAGGGGGGGGGGTGCCCATAGCTAGGGCAGTTTGTGGCACAGTTAGCATACTTCAGAAGTAATGGGGCCATTAGGAGAAGCTTGTATAACTCTGCATTTTTCCTCCGATCTGTGTAAAGAGACACATTATGACTCCATTGTATTCACTGGTCACTTCTCTCTGGCAGACTTCCCCTCCTTTTCTATTCAAACAGGAACTCCCCCCGTGAGCTCAGTTCCTGACGGCACCACCATGTCGTGCCGGGACATCCACGCCACCAACGCTTTCGCCTTCATCCTTGCCTTTGTGTCAGTGGGGGGGATTGCTGTGGCAGCATTAATCCCGCAGTGGCGCATAACGAGACTCGTCACTTTCAATCGTAATGCCAAGAATGTCAGCGTGTACGACGGGCTGTGGGCTAAATGCGTGAAACAGGACGGCTATTCAGGATGTTACTACTATGATGCAGAGGTACTACTTTGATGTATTGGCTCTCTTATTGTCATTTGTTTTTCACTTTGTTATAATGATCCTAACCAAAATTGTTTTCTCATGTTTCCAGTGGTACGCTAAAGTCGACCAGCTGGACCTGCGGCTTCTGCAGTTCTGTCTGCCTGCAGGCCTGCTGTTTGGCTCTCTGGCCTTGCTGCTGTGCATGGCGGGAATGTGTAAAACCTGCTGCTGCTCGGACAAGCCGGAACCGGACATTAAGACCATCAGATTCCTGGTCAACAATGCAGGCTGTCACCTGGTGGCAGGGACGTTCTTGTTCCTAGGCGGAGCTATCGCCATCGCACCCTCGGTGTGGTTCCTGTTCCGCACCAAGGAGATGAACATCAGATACGATAACATTTTCTCCGACGGCTTTGCTGTGTATGTTGCTATAGGCTGCTCTGGAGGACTTATGCTGGCCGCCCTGCTGATGTTCATGTGGTACTGTATGTGTAAGAAGTTGCCTTCACCCTTCTGGTTGCCGCTGCCCTCCATGCCTAACTCTCTGTCCACCCAGGCTCTTACTGCCAACGGATATCCTCCTTCCCCGGTTTATGGTCCTCAGCCCTTCCCGTCACAGCCCTTCCCTCCCACAGTTATCGATGCCCAGCCGTATTTGACCTCTCAGGGCTACGCACAAGGTGCGGTCGCCCCGGCACAGGTCTACGTGTCCCAGGTTTCCGCTCCAGATGGGTATGGTTCAGAGGTTGGAGGGACCCAGGCCTACAGCTACGCTCCGTCCCAGGGCTACGCGCCGTCCCAGAGCTACGCGCCGTCCCAGAGCTACGCGCCGTCCCAGAGCTACGCTCCGTCCCAGAGCTACGCGCCGTCCCAGAGCTACGCTCCGTCCCAGGGCTACGCTCCGTCCCAGAGCTACGCGTCCACCTATGCGGGCCACCGCTACTCCTCCCGCTCACGGATGTCTGCCATAGAGATAGACATTCCCGTACTGACACAGTAAGATAAAAGGCAGCTGATAACTTCAGCACTTTGAAGGCTTCTGTTCGTGAAGATCACTACTGATGAAACTATTAGAGTATAATAGATGAAAATATATGAGAGCTACTTACAGCCCCTGGAGTGTTTCAGTCAGCCAGTATAAGTTCCCTGGGCTAATGAAGGATAAGATTTTCTACTATATCACTTGTGCAAACAATACTGTATTTAGCGTAATATTGTAGAAAAGGAAGAACGGATACTTTAAAGACATTTGAACAAATCTGCCTTTTTCATAGTTTTACCAGCAGAGAACGACCACAAACGTGGCCAAAGGACCAATGCCAATTGTTACTAGCATGTGGTATGTGGGCTGACTATAAATCCCCATTCATGTTTTTTTAGAGTAAAGACGCCAAAAGGCTCCTGACAGCATGTTGGTTGTTATTCTGTTACATTTGTTTATGTTGGATACATATTCATAGTAAAATGAAGTGTCACTTTTATCTGCGTAAAGCTTTTGGTTTAGAAGTCTAATGTTATCAATCACTACTGTATATTACTTAACATTCTGTGGTTTTAAGTGGACAACTAACTGACTCACCTGTTAATATATTTGTTTGTTGTATTACATCAATTTTTTATGTCATATTGCCTTGGTGAGGAGTAGTGGAAGTTTTTAATGCACTAATTGTGTGAAATTTGTGCCAGTTTACATTGCCTTTGTTCACTGAACCCTTGAATATTCTTTGTTAACATAACTTTTAAGCTTACTATTCTATTCTGTTAAACTACAGAACAAACACTAGCAGATTTTGATTATTGTGTAACTACATTTTTATTGTACAGTAAAGAAAAAAGCAAACTAAGAAACAAGTGTTTTTTTTAATCTTTTCTCAACATGTCCCCTGATAACTAAAACATTTGGCTGCTCAATGGTGGTAGACAGTTTAGGTCTTTTGCATAATGAGTACTGTTCAACAGTCCTTCAAAGTCTAAATGCGTTTATCTTATTCAATAAGGTTGAAGTCAAATGTTTTTGTACTCTTTATTTTTATTAAAACCAATCCAAATGTATGTGTGTGTGTCTGTTTATGTGCTGGGGTAACATCAATAAAGCAATAGCCTCACAATAGAGTTAATAATTAAATTGTTCATGTGAAGAATCATCTGGCAAAAGAATAAGAGGAAAAACTGAACAATATTTCAGTCTGACCAGATTACAAACTGGAAAAGAGGCAGGAGATATCTGCTCAGGTGATTGTTTCAGCTGCTTGTTACCACAGTAACCGTTTAGATGCTGCATCTCGTAACTAAATCATGTCTTGTGAGGTTGTGGTTTCCCAGAAACGTATTGCCGTAGCATGTCATACTTCCTTTGTAATCTATTCACAATGACCTGATTTGCTGACGGGCATAAGTCATATGTCAGTCTGCAGTGAACCAGTAATGCCAAGGATACGCTCACAGCTCTCGCCTACAACCTCCACACCTAAAGCGACACAATCATCCTATTTTAGCATTAAGGAATTCCCAAACGTAACGAAACGTAAGTGCAAAAATCTACAATTCTGCAAACAAACGCTCAACATAGACCTAGACGCTACCAATGATTACTTTTATAATAATTTTTCCCATAGATAACATGGCCTTTGTTTGGCTGAGGAGCTTAAACCCATCGACAGTTTCCCTCCACCTTGATCTGCCCTGTGGGCAAATATTTAAGTTATCACATTATACTATAGCAATTAAAGCACTAAATCTTTTAGCACTGCAGTTTCGTAGTCCTTTTTAATTCAGAGCCGACTCCTCTTGATGTCCCACTTCCATGTTGACTGAAAATGTAGTGGCTGATGATCATTACGACCATATGACATGGATGCCTTTGTATTATTCGTGGAATATACATTGTGCATTATTCCTGAATCAGCTGTCGTAGTAGAGCATTTTCTGGACCAGTGTCTTCTTTGTTCCCCCAGATCCTCACTCCCATCTCAGAAATACACCTCCTCCGAATTAGACTCGGCAGGGAGTGTGTACTGATGGAGATTAAGAGTCTAAACACAGATGGCTCTCATATTTGTTTGCTACAAAGAGACGGGGTGGAGCCTGGGTTGCTATGGGAGATGGTACTTCAGACACAGACTGCGGGCTCATGAATATAAAGCAGGGAGGGGTAACACACGTTTCAATATTGCTCTCTGTCTCCGTGTGTGAATGAACCGGTGCAGGTTTAGTAACATGAAGTTGGCTTGAGCCCACAGGGAGACCCCATTTTTATTTTTTATAAATCCCAACGGCTCACTCTGAGGTTCATTCATGTGGACAACTCCCCTCCCTGCAACCTGCCACCACCCCCACAAACACCACCACCACCACCCTGGATTCATCCTTCCATCCCCCACCCCCTCATTCTCATTCTCATCATCCCAGATCTGGGGTATTTTAAAGAAATATGGCGATGACAATGATTTGGACAAACCGCAAAAGATTCTCAAACACAAAAACAATGAAATCATTTTAAATCAGGCTGAAACTAATTGAAGAATTAAGACCTCTTACAGAAAAACATTGTTCCCAGAGGATGGATTTTAAACACCAATACATTTCTATCATCCTCAGCTAAACTATGTGTTTAGTACTGATTATCAAATTTGAGTCTGTACATGCTAATATTTAATTAACACACAAAAATGCATGTTAAACTTCACAAATACAAAACAAAATCTCTTTATTAAGATTGATAACATATTTTGGTTCTCCAAGCTCTTTCTGAAGCTGTTTCACGATCATCTACAAAAAAATCGATAGTTAGGCCTGTGAAAGGATTTCTTTTCACAGCTGCGAGCAGGTTTCCTTTGAGCAAGGCATTGTGGGAGAACAGTTACCATCAACACAGGCGACTATCTGGCATTAGTGTGCACGCTGCCCGCTGTGAGCATCCTTCCTTCCGACTCTTATCAGCGTGAACCCACTACGCATAGAAGGCTCGCTAAGAAGTAGCCCGCGGCCATCAATCGATTATCAAAATAACGCTTTGTTGTAGTATTTTCTTGGCATTCATAGTTTAAATGAGGTGCTACACTGAACTCACAGTTACCGCAGTATCAACAAAACACAGCACTGCGCTTTCCTCAGTCCTCACTGAAGGTGTGTAGTCAGAGTTGTTGGGACGTAGCCGCGGGGGCCCTGAGGTGCAGGTGGGGTTGGGAAGGTGTCCAAAAAACAAACAGAGTGCTGAACATATGGTGTTTTCTGCTAATGCAAGTCAGCGCCACACATCCTCAAGTTGTCCGCGTGTTCAAAGGTTGCAATATTTACACGTGTCAGCCTGGTTGCTCTGGTACATCACGTTCCCGTCTCAACGCCGCTCTGGGGTTCTCACAGCTGTCACGTTCAGAATAATACACTTTAAAACCGGTTGTGCTGTGTGAGGTTACATGAGCAGCCAGTTGAGGACACACGGCTAATTTCTCACCAGACTTTTTTCTCCGTTGGCAGGAGATCAGACGGATTCCCCATATGGTCCACGGCGTCCATGCCAACTCTCCATGCATCCCAGCAACGCCCCGTTCCCACCATCCTTTCCCGCTCACTTTCAACTATATGATAAAAGCCTAGAATTATCTGGACGAGTGGCCTCTGCCTTTCATACAAATATCTGATGAAGGGCTCTTTCAGGCTGTAACAAGAACCAACAGCAGACAGCCTTTTATGAAGAGAGAGCCTTCTAAAATCCATTCAGATTTTGTGTTATTGCATGTGCGTGTGTGTGTGTTGGTCGGTGCACGCGGTACACGAGGAGTGGACGCCTCGCAGACCGAGCGGACGGTCAGACGAGACAAAGAGATGCTCAGAGAGTGAAAAAGAGGAGGAGATCCACCGAGAGGAGCCCGGAGGTGCAGAGAAGGAGAGCCGCGGCGGCGCTGACAGACTGACGGACGCAGCCGGGCTCGGGGGAGGCTCCGAGCGATGGAGCTACGTGCCAAATATTCTTCTTGTACCACTTCGGTACTCAAGACTTCGGTACAAACAATTATGTTTTGAGTGATTTACAGTGTCACACTTTAAAGGGATCTGCAGAGGTGGAGCAAGTTGTAATAACACAATAACAAATAGTGCATTAATATCCAAGTAGCATTTTATCCTGGTAGCTTATCAAGGTGTAACTGATTTGTATTCTGTTGTGTAATTTAACTTTATCTTTTGGCCTTGTTCATGTTCTGCACAGTATGTCAGTGTTTTGGCAGAATGCTTTGCATGACACACACAGAACTAAACCAGCCGAGAAGCTCCAATATTTATGTGCATTCTACGTCACTGGGCCCGTGTGAATGACCAAGAAAAGGCGACCAAGATACTGTATCTCTGCAGACTAGTGCTGCCGCAATATTCTCAGTTAAGATCTCGCTCTCTCTCATCGCTTAAATAATTCAGTCTCTCCAGAAAACACTGAAGGGGAATGACGGAGGCAGAGGCCCGATGAGGAGGGAGTCAAAGACGAGGCGGAGGAGAGGAGGAAACCTCGACTTATGTAAAGCATTCTTTCTCTTTCCCTGCCTTATTTTATCAATCTTTCACATTCTGAATATTCTATTGCTTATATCGGAACAGATTGACGACTAAAAGATGGCTAAATACAAAACACCCCTTTTGGGTGTTCACCTTTATTGTAAAAGCCACCTGAACCTTTAAGGATTACTAAATTTAAAATGGAATGGTGATGCAACAATATCTGATCATGGAAAAATCAACAGGGCAGATGAAAAGATGATAAATTCATAAGGACGTCAAGAGGAAGCAGCTCCTACAAAGCACATGTATATTTCTCTGAGGAGTACTTACGTTGCCGTCGCCCGGTCCTCCAGGTTCAATCATGTAGGTGTGGTTGCCATCGAAAAACATCCCACTGAAGTGCAGACAGATGAAAGCACATGTCAACACCCGTTCACGTTCTTACGTTCCTCAGCAAATGGAATAATGTGAATTCAACTCCTCCTCGGCCATCAGTGTGACGGGCAAACCAGTTCAGTGCTCGACAAGATCTTATGGTGTTATTATCATCGGCCAGAATTACAGCTGAAAATGCTTTTGCTGTCCTGCTTTATTTGGCCTTAGTACGGCTTAAGAAGGGTGGAGGGTCATCTCAGAGACCCCACCCACCCAGCAGAATTTAAAGGTCACCTACGGATTGTTCTCTGGAGAGAAGAGTCTGAACTGGTAGACCGATGACAGAGACGCCTTTGAAAGTTGGCATTTTAGACGAGAATTGGTCGCAAAATCATGATGGTTCTCTCTATTGTCAAATGGAAAATTGGACGACTTCAAATGCACTTACAATCTCTAAATACATTCGTCACATGAAGGTATGAGAGAGAGGAGGCCTCAACGCGCACGCATCGCTTTGACCACGCAATCATTTTAAAAAGTGAGATCAATCCTTCATCCAGCAGCCGGTGAAGGTCTCCTCGTCTCCGACCGCCTACGAGTGCGCATGTGCAGAGCAACGGACGTCCTCCATTAATTGACTTTGTTTGAAGCTTTTAGGAGATTGGTTGGGTCAAACTGTAAAGTCATGAAGGTACCAGGAACACGCAATCTGTCTCACTCTTCACACTGCCTTTTTTCTACTGCGTTCTGGCCAGAAATCACTTTCAGGAGGACTCTGAAGGTTCAGGTCCAACATTGCCCTTAAAGCAGATATCGCACACTGCAAAAGAGGACAGACGTTTTTGTTGAATTGTTTTGTTTTGATAAAATACTTCGAATAATATACTCTACGTTTAGCAGTGTGTCAAACACTTATTAAACGCATGACACTGATTTATTGCCTTTTCTATTTATTCCTTTGACACTCATCCCCCAAACCGGTAATTCTGCTGAGACAACATTCAAATTTTATACACTATTTTATCGACTTAAGGCCCTGAAAACTTTCTCGACATTTGAATATTTCCGGGTACATGATGTAATCTTCAAACTGCTCATTTCATAATCCGCGCGAGGCTTCAGTCTCAAACGTAAAACATGGAGGATGCTCTAAACAGGGGGAGTTGATGGATAATTGTCTGCTGAGATCACTATCCTACTGAGTACGGTTAATACCCTATTGTGTTGCACAGTAAAGTTTCTCTGTTAGTGTGTGTGTGTGTGTGTGTGTGTGTGTGTGTGTGTGTGTGTGTAAAGTAGGGAGGAGAGAGCAGGATGTATATTAGAGTAAACACCTGACTCAGCATAAAGGAAATACTCTGCCTCTATTATCTAACCCCTCGACACCACTGTGCACTCCCTGAACTCTCTCACTCCCACCGTCTCGCTCTCTTCCACAGCCACACAAACACACAACACAGATTGCATTGGTTTGCAAAAAGAGGTCAAATATTATAGAAGTCAATGAGGCCATGAAAAAAAATCCTCATCATTTCGATACCTGGTGTATTATTTAGTATTCGGTCGCACTTGACCCTCTCGTGTTACGCTGACGGCCAAAAATCGTAGACGGCAAAAGTGGAAAATACAGATATGACGGCTTCCATAATCCAGTCAATGTGTGAGTCCACTTTGACACAGACCTATTTGCTCTCTGCTCACCTCATATCATAATCGGTCCTGCATATGTCGATGCACCGTATGTGCAACACATTCACCTGGTTGGGTTTGATTAATTCATGCCCTCCTTTTCATTATTTAGTTTGTGGCACTCCATCATTTGCTCTGCTGACGCATTTCCCAAAATGATGCCCACAATCACACGAAATATGGACACGTTATTAAAAGTCCAAGCTTATCTAAGCTTATTCAGCAAGTATCAGTCTAATTTCACCCGCTTGCCTTAATTAGATTAATGTATTCCTCTGCAGTGGGGATTTTGGTTTGGACGTTATGTTGAAAGGGGATTTACTGGACTGAATCAAGCCGTGATGAGGCGTAATGGATGGAGAATGAAAGGAATAAAGTGATGAAATAGTGTTTATTGTTAGCAATATACCAATGGGAATGAAAACTTCAAAGAGCTGAGAAATAAAGATATTTGCAACTAAATGCAGACCACTACAAGTTCTACCCATCACGCGCACTATTTCCTTTTATTATTATTGTTATGCAATATGAAAATGTCATAATAACTAACTATAGCAACATGCTGTAAATTCTGCTTTTTTGTGCAATTACGTTTTGAGCCACCTAAGTAGTCAATGTAAGATTACCAGCATGAGCTAAAGACACCATACAATGTGTTAAATATCTGTGATTTCATAAGGGTTTTCTGACAGTACGTTCACAGTTTTAGAGGTTTCCTTTAAGGAAATGTGTGGAAGCAGCTGTCAAAAGATTTTATGTGCATAATCATTCATAGGTGCCCATTTTTTCACGTTTGTTAGAAGTAAGAATGAACTCACGCAACACAGTAAACATTTGTGCCTCTTTTGTCTTCATAAATACACACATTGCAACACACAAACTCATATCTAGCATACAAGCGTTCCTCCCAGCAGGCTTAGTTTCTGATCCATCTCTCTGCCTTCGGGCACAAACTCTAAAAATACCAACGGCGAGAAGAGAAGACGCCCGAGCAGCGCCCGCCGGTGCGAACGATAACCTGTGCAAAGTGGGAATGCAGAGAGACAGCGGAGGCCTCGCTAAAACTAATTACATTGACCTGATGAATAAATGGGAGCGCGGCTGCTCACCCCGACACACAAAGGGCAGCGGCGTTGGTGGTACAACATTCACACACACATATAAATTTGCGTGATATTTGGACTTACTACAATCCGTGGCAGGTTGAGACAGCAACGAACGAGTGAGGAACGTCCCTGACCTTCCCCTGGTAGTAGCAGTGCTCTCCTCCCTGTGAGAAAAACACACACAAATTAAGATCCTGGTCGCCTCCTAAAAACGTCACCACACACTCAAACGAGGGACCGACATCCCACTTTCTGCCTCGCTGCGTCAGGAAATGTGTCCAGAGCGATCAATCACACCGGATTAATTGGTTAACACGTGCAAGTATGACATGGTGATGTGTGTGTACTCTATGTGTGTGTGTGTGCGTGGTACAGACACACACGTGATTTACCCATTCGCATCCTTCCATCTGTGTGTTAACCCCCTCTGTGACTTCTCCGTCCTCCATCCCAACGTCTCCTCACAACTCGGTCTCTCTATATGTGTGTGTGTGTGTGTGTGTGTTTCTTCTCCTCGCGAGCGTAGACACTGATTTATTTTTCTACAGACGTGTATGATGTCTAAGTGTCTAAGTGCTCTGCGGGCCATCTCCTCCTGGTCCATTTCTTGCTGCCTAACAGCCATTAGGCAGGAAGCCGTCCTCCCCGAGGAGCCACTGCTTTTATCAGAGGATCAATGTCTGCCATACAGTTTGACGCTTCGTCCACGTCGACCTCCGGCTCCCTCTGCGGATCCCTACGTGTACGCGTGAGATGCATGTATGTTTGTTGGGGTTTTTTAAACTGCATGATTAAAAGTAAAGGGATCTTAACTATACAGCGTAACGGAGGTAACTCGCAAACAGAAGAGCGGTGAGTTGTCTCGTTGAACTGAGGCCCGGCCCGCATCCAACAAGACTGTCGGACGGGTCTTAGAGGAAGGCCTTCGTGCAGGCTAGCTAGATTAATGGGAAATAAATAAATACTGAATTGGACTTATCATGGAGATATTGTCATGAAACAGGAAAGGTTTTACCCCAAATAGTTTCCATAAAGTTGGAAGAACACTGTAATTTCCTTTAATTGTAACAAAGATGTGAGGCCAAACCAAGAAAACACAAACCGATGTTATGGGGACATTATGCTCATTTCCCTGCAGAACTATTTCAGGTTTAATTATGCTTAATTTACAGTCATGGTTTAGAGCTGGTGTATAAAATGGTTATCATGTGTAGTAATATGATCTCAAAAAGATCTTAATTTTATAACATTATTTTGTCTTTCTTCTTTCTTTTGACTCGCTCTCTGTGCCAATTATGTCCCTCTTAGTATTTCTCCTCTCTGTGTTTCTCCATCCAAACTGCATGACCAGAATGAACAGAAAATACTAAAACACAGCAGCTCTTCCTTATTGACTAGATAGGGAATATCCATTGAATAGTTAGACCCTGGGATGAGACATATACATGAGCTGAACAAGTTATGTAGATGCACGTTAACAGAAGTGCAGAGAGAGAGAGAGAGAGAGAGAGAGAGAGAGAGAGAGAGAGAGAGAGAGAGAGAGAGAGAGAGAGAGAGAGAGAGAGAGAGAGAGAGAGAGAGAGAGAGAGAGAGAGAGAGAGAGAGAGAGAGGCCTTCTGATAAAGAGACAGAAGGCTATTTATAAGAGGCGCTGTGCTCTACTATCCCAGCGTCTCTCCTCCTCCTGTCGCCCTGAACCTTCTGCTCCACTTCTCATCAAAGCAAGAAACAGCCCAAACCAACCAGTGCAACGGGTACATCCTAAGAGAGAGGCTGTGTGTGTGTGTGTGTGTGTGTGTGTGTGTGTGTGTGTGTGTGTGTGTGTGTGGCTAAATCGGTCCGATCTGTGATCTATAAGGTAATTAATCATCCATTCTGGACAACACAATGAAGAGGTGACAGAGTCAGAAAGTTGGTAAACAAGTAGGACACTTTGCCCTCTGAAAGTTTGGCAATTAGATAAAGAAGAAAAAAAAAGAAATTACATATAATATAATATAATAATAATAATAATGATGATGAATTTGCATTGTACCCTGCACAAAAACATGTTTTTGGGGATAAAGGATAATAATAGTTTCCTGTTCATTGCAGTAAAATAAGCAGACAGAAGCCAGAACCGCTGACACATTTAGCTGCACAGCACGTATTACCTGCATCGCGTACGTACAACGCGAGCAGAGAGGATTCTGAGTTGGACCTTTATGAACAGCTGCTGTGGTACAATGACTTTTGACCTCTACTGTGTAACAAGCAGCTTGTCCCAGATCAACCTTCCTGAACAGCAGTCATTAATAAAGTGGCAAAGTGCTTCTTGTTCTTTCCGCTACCTACACGGAAAGCTCTATAACTAAGAGTCCATTCTGGATCTTACACTACAAGGTAAATGAAGTCACAAAAACAATTCTCTGTAATAAGTTCCATACAGGTACAGGTGGACCAGATCCCTCTATATGTGGTGTAATGTTTTGGATCCCCGTCTTTAAAGTATCTAATATCTCACTAATCTGCTTCTGAGCTGAACAAATCCTGACCATTATAATCCCCCCACTGAAGTGATATGACACCTCAGTGCGTGTCCCGTAAATGAAGTCCCGATTTCAGAGGATTATCACAGCAGTCGGCCTTTCATTTCAGTGGGAGGGTCCGGCCTCTTCGGCCCACTGACCCTGAACTGAACAAAGACGTGATGTCTGTGCGCGCAAACTAACACATGAGAGGAATCTCCAGTGGAGGCGATTCAGTATGTGGATCCGTCATGTGACACATGTGACACTGGAATCAGATTTCATGTCATTCGAATACTCTCGCTCTCATTCGTGCTCGTCACGACGGCCATCAGCTTCTTAATGCTGCTCTATGTTTGGTCACCAGCTATTTGATGAGCTTTGTCTGCCTGCAGTTCTGTGACTCAGAGGCGCACAGGAATGTTTCTGGTACTAATGTGGTTGGAAACGAGGCGGATGAAAGCAGAAAGGGTGAAACAACGCAGTAAAGTCAATCAGGACTGTTGGGAAGTTGGGGGACCATAGAAAAGGGTTAGAGATGTTGAAATACGTCACAGAGCTTCTTACAGGGGTCACATTACACATGACCTTTGATCCATCGATGATATAACATACTGATTACAGCAGCTTTAATAATCTGATTGTTTTCAAACCTGATTGAGGTCAGATTATATTGAATCAAAAATGCTTTAACCATCCTCCACATAATCAGAAACTGTCCACTGACGCGTGGAAATAGCGGAAGTAAATAGGCGGTAAATGTCCGTAAGAACAGAGCAAGATGAGAAGTGATTTGCAGAATCTTACACTGGTGACGACAGTCCTCCCTTTCTCTGACAAATGCCGCTCCACGTAGCCCGATGACAGCAGATCACTGGGAACAGAGAGGACAAAAATAGAGAAGAGAATCAAGTTAGAATATTTGTGGTTTTCCTTCATGTGTCACTCAGATATGCGGCCATGCTTGTATTTTATAGGACGATTGTATTCAGTCTTGGCAGCAAAAAGCTTCAAAAGCATCCGCCCGGCTAATTATGCCCATCGTACAGGGACGCGGCTATTTCCAGCTCACAAACTCACACAAACACAATTATACAAGTCAGGCCTTCGAGAGGAGGGTTGGCGCGCGGGCGTACATGTCTGTGTGTCTCTATCCGAGGAATGAAGGGCACAGAAAAAGAAAAAAAAGATCCGTGTGAAGTAAAACAAGTGAGTCAGGCAGAAAAGGAAAGAGGCAAGAAAAATAAAGCGAGAGAGCGAGGAAATGAAAGAGTGGCACAAATAAGAGGAAATCAGTGTGCGTGTGCTTCCTCAGCAGAGCTGGACCCAAGAATCCCGAAGGAGACACACACTGCTGGGCCAGTCTGAGACAGAGATGTACGAGCTGTGGTACAGAACAGAGCGCATGCCCCCACCCGCCCCTCCACCCGCCCCTCCACCCACACACACAGGAATGCGGCATATGAACGGGGAATTTGCCTCTTCTTCACACTATTTTAAGTTCTCAATGAGATGACCTAAACATGGACACACATACATATATATATATATATATATATATATATATATATACATATATATATACATATATATATACATATATATATATATATATATATATATATATATATTACATTCCTCGGATATATATATATATATATATATATATATATATATATTATGCATTATATTATATATTATATTATTTGCATTCAGTAAGCGGTACACTAGTGGCCAGTTATCTGAGGCTCGAATACACAAACACGCACATTATATAAAGACGTGCAACGGAAACCACAGACAGTACGTGAGCAGGCGAGCTGCAGTGAACCAGAGAGCCATCACTCAACTCCTGCCAACTTCCTGTCGACATCGACAGGCAGCATGTGTCACATAAGCAGTTTGGAAACTTTCATCTCACCGCATTGATTAAGACATATTCAATGAAAAGTTCAAAGTTTAACCTTTGCGTCTTCAATCACCCTTTTTATGCAAGAATTTTATTTTATTTGTGTTCATATTTGGATTCACTGGAGAAATCAAGAGAAACATTAAACACTGCTTAATCAATTAGTTGATCCCCATAAAATGAATCAGCACTTTTTTTTCTTGTTTAAATATCGAGCAAATATGAAAAACATTTGATGACTCCAGGCTCTTGCTGATGAGAATGTCCTGCTTGCTGTGTATTATTCTAGTTGTGCAGACATGAGAGTACCATCAATCCTCCTCAAACACAGAGCGTAAAACCCAACAAGGGAATTTTATAAACGTTGGTATATTCAGTGCTGTTAAATATTGACAATACTGTTCAAAGATGAATTCATAAGTCTGGTCTGACAGAGATATCTATCTAACAAAAGGAGAGAAAGCAAAAACAAATTACTCATTACTTATTATTCTAGTGAAACCCTTGACATCAACCAGCACACAAACATGAAGGAGGCAACTTTCTATGTTGAATCAGTTTTCTGGCACAATTGAAAAAAAACATGTACAGGGAAAGATGACGGAGAGTGATGTGCAATGGAAAGAACGGCAGTATTCGAATCCCATCGAGCAAAACCACCACGCACTTTCACGCCATCACACCTGAGATCACACTTCGCCGCACACTTCCAACAACATCCTGCCCATTAGACGGAGCCGCGGCTCCTGAGAGGCGAGCAACATTTCATCAACACCTCGCGTCAGAAAACATCTGCCGCCAGAACGTTCACACGCTCCCGCGATGAAGACGTTCTGTGAGTGCGTGACAGTCACCCGGGTCACGGGTGTGCTGTTAGCCTTTGTTCTGCTGGGATGTGTGTTTAAGATTCAGAGCCTGTGATCTTTATCCGGCCCCCACGCCGAGCCCCCGGCGGGCGAGGAGCATACTGAGGCAGCGAGGCGACCACACGGGCCTCTAATGGAGGACGCCGATAACAGACCTCAGCTTTAATTGTTGTGGGATTTAAATAATTTATATGACAAAGGCGTAAACCCAACATTGACCCCATCCCCCCAGCTGACACACACAGCGCCCCCCGCTTCTCTCTGTTAACATGCGTACTCACTATGTATGAATGCATGACTGGGAGAGACCTCTTAGTCTCCAGCTTCCTGACAAAATGAGAGAACTGCAAATAGATGTTTGTATGTGATCTCGCTCTCGCTCTCGACATGAATGTTGCAAACCCTCAACATAAATGATGATCAGAGTGTGGAAAGGGAAGCTGAGGGCTTCATTAACAAGAATAAACAGAGAAGAGGATGAGGGGAAACAGAAATACAAGCAGTTCATTCATCATAAATCATTAGAGCTTACACTAAGACATTCCTGGTGGCACGAGCGATCTACGTCAGACATATTTACATGACATCTGGCAGTTAAAAGTGTCCGACCAGATGTGTGGCTGAAAAGAAGACGTAGCTAACAGCACAAACATCCTCTTGTGTCCGTTACTCTCATTATCAGCAGCTCATTGCTTTTCTAAATTGTCTGCTCATCCTCTGCCGTAGTGGAGATTTTTCTTGGCTCCGTTGCCGCGGCAACATCTGTTCGAGAGCTAGTGTCGAGCTGTCCATCAGGCCTCGAGGAGATTTCAGACGGACCTGCAGACGGTCCACTTTCAGCCGTCAAAAATGTCATAGCCAACATAGATCAGCCAATTATGTGGTGATCACATCCTTCTCTAAGCACACTGACGCTGCTTCAGTTAAGAAAATGTTCCTCTGAAACGGCTTATTTAACTTTATTAAGGTCCCAAGAAACGAAACGGATTAAAGCAGAGAGTGCACTGACTCGGTCCGGCTGTGAGTCACATCAAACTTCCTCCTTCCTTCTAAAGCACCTTGCTGCTGTGGGTGAAGAACCTGCTGCTGGCGACCCAGTTTGAACTCCTGAAGTGAATCATAAACACAAACCAACTTTCCACGTGGCCTAAAATTCCTCTCACGATCCGTGTCGCCGGGCACCGCCGGGACAGTGGGACGAAATACAGCACAAAAGGGACAGATTGGCAGAACTAATGTTTAAGAGTGTGTGTAAGTGAGTGAGTGGGTGTGAGAGATTGAAGGAAGGCGGGTGGGGGGGGGGGATTGGCACAAGTGTCGGGGTAGCAAGCTTTTCATTGCTTTCAGGCAGGCTAATCAAAGACCCTTGTTAATACTCCCAAAAGCACACAAATATAAGCAAATGTTAAAACAATTAAGGTAATTTAATCAGCTCCGTTGACGTGTCCTCACAAACACGCTAGTCATCAAGTGGACTTCTCCACCCATGTATGGATTCTTTGCCATTCAACACAGCAGTTAAAGGGAAGCGGCACACAAAAGGACTGAACATGTGCTGTGTCAGCCGTCCGTAATGAGGACGGGGGGCGTGCTGACAATATAAACAGGGGAAGTGCATCAGAGAAATGGGGGGCGCGGGGGGTAGAGATGGAAAGGTGGATAAGGAAGGAGAAAGAAGCAGACAAAAGAGTGTGGGGGGTGGTGGTGGTCTATCTTGGGGAAAGCTGCAGCTGCTTTCACCTGCTCTACAACCCTTTCTGCAGCCTCACCCCCCCCCCACACACACACACACACACACACACACAGGGGCCTCATTAAAGGTCTGTAATTCATTCACTTTCCAATCACTTTTCAGACAAGCAATTCCACTGGCACTCTCGCTTGGATCCCACTTCCTATTGCTCAGGGAATACGGAGGCCCACAAAAAGAAATATTGGACAAAAAAAAGGCAGCAGGGCGCTTATATTGGCACTTTGATACTGCGGTTGGGTTTATAGCACGCAACACACCAGCCCGATGGAATCGACTTTTGGATGTTGCAGACACGAAGGAGAATATGCACATCTGTATCTGTGACGTTGCTGGATTGCTAGTGAACTCCATACGCCATAAAATCTATGCACTGAATCAATCGGACTTTGCGCAGTGGTTGAATGGTTAGAGCCTCGGTGGTGAACCATCATTTTGTTTGATTTTTATTCAGCATGACTGAGGAAAACGAGTAACCTTTAGGAGACAACGGTCTCCACAGAGGCATTAGTGTCTTTTCCTGCGGCGAGAACAGTCCTTCCTCCTGCGCCCGTCTGCGGCGGGAGACCTCTCTTTGTCTCCACTAATCCTGCAAACTGCGTTCAGACGGCTCGACCGAAGACAGAGGGGCAGAAAATAAGTGAATATAAGGAGATGGAGAGGAAGAATGATGGTGCGTTAAATGAGGAGGGCCGGTAATTCAACTCTCGACATCCAGCAAAGACTACAAACAAAAGACCCATTTTTGAGTATGGTGACGTTCACCATAATCAACCCGAAACACATTTATCACTGGATGGAAGATTATGAATCCCAAATGCAATTGTGGTTCTCAGAGAAAATAACAACTACTGGATGGATTGCCATGAAATTGTTTTTGGTTGCTATGGTTTTTCTTCTTGCTCCGTCGAAAAAACGCATCCCGACACAATTCTTTTGTAAGTGACGGTGGGCAAGAAGCACAGTCCTTGACGCAGTATAAACTACATGTAACCGGGGCGGCCGTTCGCCTGGTCACAAGGGTGACAACGTCACTTTGGGACTCTCACCCAAAGTATATCAGTTGTAATGAAAAAGAAAGGGGAGCAGAGAGGTGAAGTTCCAGTTTTGTAACAATGTTTTTTTTATTTACAAGTAGGTTTAATATTTAAAAGAAAAGGAATAATCAATCCAGAAACATTGGTCGGTTTTATGGCAAAATATAATCTATGCTTTGAAAAAAAGATTACTATACTGGGGTACCCTACCAGTATAAGGTGACTACTTGAGGCCCACCGGGGCGGGGGAGTGAAAGGGGACAAGGGGGCCACCACCAGGTCAAAGGGAAGAAAACACAGCAAATCAAAAGG